GTTGCGTCCCGCTTTAAAGTCACAAAAATATGGTAACCCTACTCCTAGTCCGTGTAGTGCATCACCGAAACAAAAACGGTACTGAAACCTCCAGTTTAGATGTGTTTCGCAGACAGTAATAAAATGCATTATGCACTACAAATATTACGAATATGTGACGATATATCTCCAGTCACATTGAGACCATGCACGCAAGTGCTTTGTATCAAAATGAACAGGGGGATCTTCTCAACTGCATTAGTCTAATTAAGTTTTTGTGGCGTGAGGCACATTATAATTCACTTTCACTCACAGATCAATATTACTGACTAATCTGAGATGAAAGCAAACCTCAATGGCAAGCTTTACACACATTACTTCGACAATGTATAGACTGCAGATTAGGCAACTTTTTAATTTGGTTGTCGGATTGTCTTATGGGAAATTAATAACATCGTTCATGAACTTGACAGATTTAATAATTCTGAGGTTTGTTAATAAATACGGGATCAAATTAAAATCATTTTAAACAAATGGGCAATGCTCAAATATATGAACACAAATGTCGCACATTCGTAACCGTATGATAACACTTTGAAGCAGGGGTGTGCAAACTGTGGCCCGCGAGCCAAATGCGGCCCACAAGGAAAATTTTGGGGCACTCGAAACGAGTTTTAAATTTAGTTTGATCTGAAACGTGCTAGTAATTCGAAGTCTATCTCTCAGTCCAATTTTTATTTATGTCTATGACGTTACAATACCCTAACAGCTAGCTTGTGCGAAGCGGACAGCGCATGTCAAGAAATCAATAACCAGAATTTTTGTGCCTGCAACTGCTAGAGAGCCATGCTATGTTGAATAAAGTTGCGACCCGCGGTTTCACCCAGTCATTTGTATATAGCCCTCCTGTATTAAAGGTTGCACACCCCTGCTTTGGTGACCGAGACTGCTGAAAAAATCGGCTGACAAACGTGATCAATAAGATCGAGAGTAGCGGAATAAAGCTGCAAAATTTTTGCTAAAATACCGTCTATTAATTGTTATAAACAATGTTCGTTTTTTTTTTTGCGCAAATTAGTTAAAATGTCTGAATGATTTAAATGAACAATTAAACCCACAGAAGAGATATTTCAACAACGCATTACAGAAAAATAATCTGATGTTGACTACATGTTACACATACTAAAAACGTGTTTGTTGTTAGTGTCGATTAGTAGTCTCTGAATTCCGAGTCGCGAGTCAAGTCGAGTCAGGGGACATCCGATGTAACTCGTTCATTTGATGAATCGTGACGTAGTAGGGCTGAGCATTTTCGAATACCTGATGATTTCAGAATCGAATCGAATATTTTTTCGGATCGAATCGAAACTCGAATACTTGGGTAATATAAAATTGTATGTAACGTTCTTATTGTATTAGGTCCTCCAGGCACATTAATTACTGAAAACATAGAATACATCACTCAGGCTGAGCGTTCACACATAATAAAAAACACGTTTTCATTGATACCTCACTATAGAAAATAGTCATAGGTCAGAATTGCTTTGAAAAAATATGGCTTCAATAAAAATTTACTTCGACCATTGGCGGAAAGAAAAAAAAACAAGATGGCGGCGATTCGAAATTTTGCTCTGAATCGATTCGAATTATTTTATATTCGATTCGATTCGAAATGCCCATTCCTAGACGTAGGCTTATCCAAGGGGCCTGGGGGACATGCTATTGTTGAACGATTTACTAAAACCCGGACATTTCCTGACTTGCTATCAATAATCCTTTCACCAGACGAACCAACGTCTGTAGAGTGATTCTTTATGATATTTTGGAAATTAGTGATTACGTTTATCTGGCTTTGTTCGAAGCAAAACACATGGGTAAGCGTTGTATTCCGTCATTATACACCCACTCAGAAAAAAAAAATTGACTCCTGAATAGTGACTCGAGTCGAGTCATTGAGTTGAGCTTCCCCAACATAAATTATTATACACAAATATCGTGAATGTACGATATTTTTTCCAGGTGCCAATAACACGATTGTTGTTTTCTTCAAACAAGCGCGTATGCGGTTAGCGTGTGCCACTAACTTGTTCCTTATCATTGCATCAAATATTTTAACCACATGCTTTATACCCGCAGTCTTGCAGACACTGCGTCACAGACTATATCAGATTTTAAAATGACTCAAATGTCTGAAATCATACTTTGAGGGCGGGTATTAAAAGTTTAATATTCAGACGGTTTCCATCAAGAAAACCATGGCATTAGTAATAATCCACTTTTGTCATTCATAACAATAACGTAAGAATATTATATTTATTTATGAGACATGCAAATTGTTTTCAAATAAGTTTTGGTTTCTATTAATAACTATGCGTTAGTTCCTTTGAAAATACAGTTTGAGATGGGCGGTTATATGTGTCGTTGTGGTCGGAGTCTTATTTTCAAATTACCGGAGTCAAGATTTTGATAGACCGGGGTCGGAATCCGACACGGAGTTTCAAACTCCCAAAATTTTGATTTGTCAAGATTTTTTTGGCTCGGATTCAGAATTCAATTTGGGAGTCAATTTTAGGAACTTATTGTTGGAGTCAAATTTTTGAGTTACCTCGAGTCGGAATCCGACTTGGAGTTTAAATTTCATGACGGATTCGGAAGCTAGAGCTGGAGTCAGTTTTTAAAACCTAGAGTCGGGAGTCGGAGTCAAACCTCTGATATATCCGGTTCGAAGTTTCAAAAATAAAAATTTTGAAATCTGCAGTTCGAAGTCGGGGTTTGGGTGGAATATGATTTAGACATAAATAACACGCGTCAGTGGCCATCAAACTTTTACACGCTTCTATTACTCAAAAGCACAAATTGCATCTTTCGACTAACTTTAAACAAATAAATCGCTACTTTAAATTTGCAAGTTTAGAAAGACTAATAAACAAACAGACTTGGCTTCGAAATGACCTTCCGAAACAATGAGTAGTTTTCCGCGGATTATTTTATAACAATTGATTTTTTTGAGCTTAAACATGATTACTTTTGACACCTTGGAATCGAGAAAACACAACACAATCACTTTAAACCACCTCAGAGATTTACTTCCCACGTACAAAAGTTTCATTTTCTATCGGTGTAATGATAAACGATTATTAAGTTTGTAATCTGTACCGGCAACAATGGATGAATCAAGACATATCTCGGGAATTATATTAATACCTGACATGTAAACCAGCTTATTATATCATTATTTGAATATAGCGAGTTGTATAATGTACGTTCGAACAATGCCATTCTTCCATGGAATCTTTTCGGCAAAAACCACTTATTTCCAGTGTTTTGTGAGAGTCAGTGACAGAAAGCTGGTTATCAAGCAGCAAAACCCAAGGTTCGAATATCTAATTAAACATTTGTAAGTTCCAACATTTCGATTTTCGGAGTACTGTTATTATCGATGAACGGGGCTTAGGTAGTTATACAACCAACGCGTAATACAAATTACCTAATATCTGCCAAGGTAAATGTTGTTGATAATAGACACAGCATCAAATTTTCTTTTGCCTTCCAAATAGCGACTCGAAACAGCGGCAACTTGACTTTACTTGTGGCTCGACACTCGACACACTTTATTAGTTGGGAGTCGGACGTAATTCAAGATTTGGATAACCCTTGATCCGATTCATTGAGGGATTTCACTAAACACTTATTACTGCTCATTTTATGATATGTACCTTTTGGATGGTTGAATAAGAGGGAAATGCTCATATATCTGGGCGACCAAATAGTCTTACTTACTCACACGACAACTCGATTAGTTCCTAATCTTTTAAGATTTGTACAATTTGAGTTCAAACATTCGGCCCCGAGAAGCCATCAAAATTCTAAAACCTCAAAAAAAGTTATATAATTTTCCAGGGGGCCGTTCCATCTTTTGTTAGGGAAAATTTGAAAGAGATTACTCTATTAATTGAAGGTAAATACAATATTTTATAATAATTGATATTTTATACTTTACTCCCACAGCAGGCATGCTTTCTATTTGTGTCCAATGAAGTACTCGGTAAGGTGGTTAATTTTCTCATGTGGGGCAAACCGCTGTTTTGATATTGAGTTTGAACAGACATAGTTAGTTGTTAAAATGAACCTCTAAAAGTTGATTCATTTGTAATATCGTTTGATCAATTTGATTCCACAAGTTCACAGACGTTCATTGTAATATATAGTTAAATTGCTTTTCCTCATACTCTAAAGTATTTTAAAAACTACAAAACACCTCTCTTGAGATGTGTATCTGTGATTGATTACTTCTGAATGTATATTTGACTTTGACTAAAATGTTGTTGTTTGGGTTCTGATTATTCCCAATTATTCTCGCTTTTTGCTTCACTCACTCAATCTTATTCTTGTGTAATTATTTTTTCGTTTGCAATTCAAAAATAAACACGCATTTGGATATTCCGATTTGTTCCATCGCTATTTTTATGATAAGTTAATCTTCCGTTTGTTTACATTAGGTTATAGGACAGAGGTGAGCAAGGTTTTCGGGCCATTGGCCAAAAGTGTACAAATACTACGGAAGTCACTTGGCTAGTCCGGGAACTCGTGATAGATCTTAAATAAGGAAAATTGTAATACCATTATGTTCCGATGTCCGCCATCTTGGTTCACATACACAAATTAACGTATAAACGGAAATGCAAGACAGTATCAGTAATTTATTTTTCCACCGTTTGAAAATACGCAAGGTACATATACAGAATAAAATAAAAGAAGAATAGCATTTCAGGGCGGAGGGAAACGCTGAAAAACCAGTATTGATTATCGAGCAGCGACACCCTAGATGGGGTCTAACAGAGCATGAAGAATAACATGAAATAGAAAGCCTAAAATGAATATGAATGAAGAGCAAAATAATCACACTAAATAAAATTGAATATTGGAAACGTTCAAGTATCCAGCGGAATGTTTCAGAAAAGGGGGCAAACGTATACTGTTTGAACTTCAGTCTAATCTGTTCATTTTTTTTCTATTTTCAGAAGGAGAACTCCGAGCCAATACCATGCATTCGTATCACCCATAACAAAACGCATTACATTTATAATGTTTCTCTCGACTGCCAACGTGCGGTTGGAAAACTTGACTTTGTGGCGTCTACAATTTACACTCATGAATTTATCCTTAATGATATTAGACCGAAGAAATCAAAAAGAGAATCAATGTAAAGTATTATTTTGTTCACAATAATAATTGTATAGTTAAAATCTTACAAATTTCTCTGGTTTGGAATTTCTTCTCCATTCGGTATTTCCAGGGCTCTAGAATCGGTGTTTAGCATGTTTTCGGGGGAGTTGGAGTCGTATTTAAAATCTCCAGACATGGAATCGAAATTTTAAATTTACCGGATTGGGAAGTCGTAAAAAATTGTTAATTTTACGTGTTTACGAGTCTATTGAAGAAGGCTTACGCATACGCCAAAGTTTTCGTTATCAAAATTCGATTTTATTGGAGTCGAAGTTGAAAATTGTTAAAAATCGAGGTCGGGGGTCGGAGCCAAATTTAGTTTTAATGCAAAAACCGTTTATCCGAAATTATTTTCTTCAGTATTACTTTCCTCTCCCTAACTTTAATTAACTATATTTCTCCCTTGCATGTCGTTTATGACCGTCACAGCAGTAATGGGATTCAAAATTTCAAAAACGTTTTTTCTTTTGTATCGAACTCTTTTAACAACGTCATGTTCCTCATTTTCAAAAAGTATTTTGAACTTGCATCCCCATAACAACTGCACGTCATATTACCTGATGTATGTCATTGCGTAAGCCACATTAACATGACAAGCTTTACATAACTCTATAATACATACCTTTCGGAACGCCAATAGCGCCAGTCCTTATTCCGCCACTGCTGCACATGATATTTGATTTAAACAAGCTTGCTAAGCTCCCCCTCTTTCTCACTGTCCCTTTATTCATCTCTTTTTTTCTGCCTTGCATACTGTTTATGCGTGCCCTCATAAAATATTCAAAATAAACATTTCTTATTTCTATTTTTCAGTCAAGCTTACTCAGTGATTATAGACTGCGAGACTCCACTTGCAAAGTCAACTCCTCAGAAATGGTTTCCTCAGTATCGGATCTTTGAACACAGACAAGGTAGTGATTGTTCGGTGGAAACATGCCCGCATGAAGATCTGTGTTTGCCCAGTAAAAATATAAAAGGATATTTCTGCAGTTGTCCTCAATTGGAAAAGAGTTGCGGTGGGTACAGTGGTTGTTCATTTTAAACAGGCGCGGTTTCCACAGTTTAGATATCGTGATATGGGATAATTATGTGACAGAGAATTGCAGGACTTCTCGCCGCCGTATGGTGGTTCTCGTGATCGCTGGTCGGTGAAGGCTTCTTCCACCATCAGGTCAATGCGCCTGAAACAAGTAACTGGCTAACTAGTCCCATACATGACATGGACTGGTAATCTGGCGAGAGTCCGGGTCCTCCATAATATTTAGAAGTCTTACTGTCCTTTCTCTTTCTCTGAATATTTATGAACATGTAAACGATTTAACGACTCGTTTTTTTGACCGCAAGACTAGACCGAACGTAATTTTAATCCGGTACCTAGTCTAAACCCGGAACCTTGTTTATTTTGAACTCTGATGTAAATACTGAAGTATTAGGTGGCGCAAATTGCTTTAAATGGAGAAGACCACCCAACCACTTGTACATTCATTCCACATTAGTTTTCTTTTAGTTTGCCCTGACGATTTCTACGGATGTTCGTTTGGCGATGGAATATCAACTTCTGAAAGCGTGATATGCGTAAGAAATGAACAACTCTGTGATACAAGATATGATTGCCCTCTGCAAGTGAGTCAGAAAATACTATATATAGTCCGGATCGACAAACGGCATGGGGGCCGTAGTACATCATATGATTCGTGTAGTAGCTTATATATCCCATTCATGGATATGTAACTCCATACTGTTTATTTTGCAATTTATTGTAAATAGCATTACTCACCTCTCAAAGGATCATTACTAAAACAAGAGAGGAATGCACAGATTCATAAACAGGAAGATAAAATTAATACCGAAATAATTGTTAAAAAATATACAGAATGTCATATGAAGGTGCGCTCGAATTACCAAATAAACCAAACCAAAACTTGGGGTTACCAAAACTTGGGGTTACACGTGGTCTCATAATTGAAAAGAGTAAATAAAAGTAATATTAAAATAAAAGTAAAGCCCCAGAAGATTTCGCCATTGTGGATACTAAAATTTGAAATCATTCGATTAATTTGCTGCAGAGAAAATCTACAACAAGAATATAAACCACCCTAAACAATTATACAAATCGATCATCGGGGCCACTTTATGCACCAAGAAAAATTCTAGCACAAACATGCTATTATTTCAGAGGGTAATGCTGTGTATAGTTAGTTGGACAAACGTATACTGTTATTTCAGGATGATGAGAACTGCGGAGATGTATGGAAAGATTGGGGTCCTTGGTCACAATGCAGCGCCTCTTGTGGCGAAGGAACTCAAATGAGACAACGTTCGTGTGCCTACGTGTTCAAACAAGATCCATCAAGGTATTTGAGTTAATAGTTTGAGGTATAATTTGGATAAATTTAGATGATCCAAAAACTACTGGGTTACCAATTAGTCCATATTAAGTACATTGTACCACAATTGCTCACAATAGTTATTTTTCGCTTTACCTCCATATACCATTCTTAACGTGCCTTGCATAAAATATACTTATGAGGCCAAACTATATGCATATGCATCCGGCCAAATATATATATATACAGCCAATGTAATTTACATATACAGCCAACTGAATATGCACATACATCCAACCCATTCAAGTCCGTCCATTAGAATCATAAGCATGTACAACCGTGAGCTTAATATCACAGATATCCTATTCTTTGACTCCGTTGATTCGTCGTTCCTTGACTTTCTTATGTGGACCATAAGTTTTAAATTCATACTGTAGATTTATTGCTCAACAATTTAAAAAAATATTCAGACACAGCAAAGAATGCTCAAATTCAACTTCAACAGAGCAAGACGTTCGCTCTTGTAATAGCAAAAGCTGTTCTTCTGTTGAATGTGGAAGCCAAGAAATGACGATTGAGATTCCCCTAGAATTTGGGATGACCCAAGAATCTGTGAAAGAGAGGATGCATCTGACTAAAGTAGAAGATGAGGAAGGATGTGAACCAGTAGTTAATTCAACCCATGTTAGGTTCACAATCCCGTTGCACAAATGCGGTACAACAAACTGGGTAGGTACCAAAAGAGAGCAACACGTTTATTTTTGTTGTATTTCGTGTAATTTTAAATCCTCAGATAATTTTTTTTAATTTTGTGTGCTTAACCCTAAATTTTTATTTTCCAATGGATACTTTTTGTATATATTATTGTGTGTATCTCTATTCCTTTCTTGACTCGCCGAATTAGACTGATTACCGGACCTGGGGGCCTTTGTCACCATGTGATTAGTAGATATCGTTATCTTATCGACTTTCTCATCCTGTTTATAAATATAAAAGTTCTATATTTATATCGAAATTATTCGTCACTCTCGCCTATTTTAGTCTATTACGAGTTTGGGGACTGTCTGTGTTAGCCAAGTTAATATACCCTCTGCCCATAGGCTTCTGTTCCTTTACACAACTTGATGTAAAATAGGCGAACAAAATTAGTTAACTCCATATTGATACACACATTTCTGGGTGCCTATTATTCTATTTCTCGTTTCAGGTTGATGGTGACATAATATTTTATTCCAATGAAGTTGAATACGGTTTACAAGACCAGGAATCGTCAATAATTGTGCGGGAATTAGGGCATTCCTATACGGCAAAATGTCAATATAAACGTCGACAAACCGTTTCTATGCAACGGCTTGGAGCGGATACAAGTTTTCATGAAGTTGCATCTTTAAAATTTGAGGAAATCACCGCAGGACGAAATGGAGAAGCATTAAGACTGGACGTGATTACACATTACTCGTCTGGTGATGGCGAATTTGAATACAGAATGGATATATTCGAAGGTTGGGGGTTTGTTTTTATTCGAAGGTAGAAGACCAAGTTTTTTATTAAATAGTTAACTTTCTAGACGGATCTACTCTGTCAGTGCAACACGCCATCGAAAAATGTCAGGCGTATACAATATGGGACTACGGGCGACCACTGGACGCTTATATAATAGTGCATAACTGTGATCAAATATTTTATCTGAATTACACAATTCATCGCTACAAACGTATATTTGACCTAAAAATGATGCAATGTTGTACATGCGTATAATGTTTCACCGTATTCGCTCAGAACAAGGTTTTTATGAGCACCAAACCAGCTAGTGGGATCTGAAGAGCCATGATCTTCTCTTTAACATGATTAACCTTAACTTCTTATGCTCCATAAGTGATCCTTGTTCAAGCAATAGACTGACAAACGCTCAAACTCTAGATCTGTCACGGGTAAACTATGGCCCGCGGGCCAAATCCGGCCCGTTGGATAATTCAATCTGGCCCGACTGATGCTGCCACACCCGAACTAAACCCAAATTTTGACGATTCAGCTAAAAAAAAAGCTGAAGAAATTTGTTGAGATAGCGATTAAATTTAGTTTTGGTACGAAACTTATTGTTTTCCACGTTTGCTTTTGTAACACTGTAGATATTGTTTACAAAATGTAACTTATTAGGTTACCTTTACATGGGCCGCCAGTTTAGGTGGGCAAATGCCCATCTAGACTCTAGATTCTAGTCTTTATTCCAGTCTTTATTCTAGAATGCCCCCGTGATTCAGTCATTCTAGCAATTTATATTTTATATACAAAACCACGTATTTTCTCATGTAGATTCATCTTACACGACGTCATACAAAAATGAAGATTATCCGCTCGAGAAAAAGTTAGGAGAAAGGTTGTTCATTGGTGTCAATTTTAAAAGTCAGGATGAAGATTTACATGTTTTTATTGAAAGATGTTGGGCAACGTCATCAGATGAAAACAAAGCTAGTTATGACGATGCAATGTACTTGTTTATTAATGGAGGGTAAGTGATAAAATACGAACGCGTATTCTCTTTCTTATTTTAATAAATAAAATGATATATAGACAATATCTTATTGACTCAAATATACCCTGGGGCATTTTTGTCCCAACCTTTTATGTCTTGTGGCCCCCTTTCGAAGGAGTTTTACCACTCATGGCCCCCCTGTTTGTAATTACAGTAGTATGTATAGTGTTAATTTTATTGGTAGATTCAGAATCCCATTAGGTTCCTACAATTCATGCTCAACAAGGTGAAAACACCCAGTAAAATAACCTTATCAAGCAATGAAACTGGGGAGAACGGAGAGTTTTTTCTATGTAAAGGGAAAGTAAAGTTAGTTTTGCGCCCAGCATTGTCGCCCCCCTCCGACTGCTCTGTAAACCCCTTGGAGTGCAGGGTTGGGAATCGCTGCCCTGGAGCTTGTGTTCGTATAGCTTGAAGAGTTAGAGGGTAAATAGTTTGTCAATGCTTATAAAGACGCACTTTTTAAATGAATTGAGCGCTGTACAACACAGTTATTATGAGAATGACAACTGTATTAATTTTCCATATAATTATAAATTTATTAGTCAGGTGTTATGTGGAGTACAAACTGTATAATTTTGCATTATTCTCAATTTAAACAGCGAGAATTCAATATCATTTGCACATGTAAACGTATAGTAAGTCCTCGGCTATATTTGATCTGTGAAACTTATACTAATTTTATTTTAAAGTTTAGATATTTTAATTAAATGAACACTAAATTTTTCTATTTTATTAGGGATTACTCTGCTTTGATCGTGGCATACCGCAATATTGATTAGAGTACTTGGTATGTTGTCACTCAAAGTCTCATTTATTTTTTAATTTTTGCTGATACCAAATTTTCCGGTACTCCCGCAGTGTGCGTACCAGGTTAGGGTAGGCCATAATTTTATTCCGACTGTCCTTGTTTAGTTTTATTACGAGTTCAGGGACTGTCCCTTTACACAACTTGATGTAAAGTAAGCGAATAAAATTAGTTACACTCATATTGGTATTAACACTTTTGTACTCCGTTTGTTTCTTACAGATGTCCCACTGACAATACTGTTCAATTTCATAACGACGATGATTCGCCATTTTCTGACCGATATTCGATCGAAACATTCAAGTTCAACGATGCACAATTCTGGTACATCTACTTCCGATGTGACGTCATACTATGTGACGCAAGCGAAAATGATCCCGCGTGTCAGCGTAATTGTGTTGGGGTAAGTGTATATTTGTATAATGTCGCGATGTCTTAGGTTAAAGCGGCAGACGTGAATATGTTGGTATCGTTTAAAGATATCTGCTTCGAATTTCATTCTCATCACTCTACCCAGGGTATAAATACCCAGGGTATTGGTTGAGCATCTTCCGGTGTCCCCAAAATAGTAGCTCCGACACAGCGGCAGCTTGAACTGAGACTCGTTAGTGATAAATGGTAGTGTCTGACGCATGAAATTGGTTAAGCAACGCACAAACGTGAAGCTTCCGGTCCGATGCCCCCAAAGCTGTAGATAATTATTCAGCGACAGATTGTACTGAGACTTGTTGATAGTGTCTGACGCAAGTCGGTTACCGCAATAATATTTACTAATGCAAGAGTCATCTTTGTGAAAATTACACAGAAAGCCGTTGTAATAATTTGAAACTAATTTCCCTTGGCAACAAGATTCGATACAAAAAAACTATTATAAGAATAATCTTGAAAATTTCTAATAAATAATAATTTGGATTATTGAAAGTCAAATTTTTTAAGTTTTCGAATCACTTCACATTCATAAATAACGCTATACATTGTATTCGTAATTACTTACTCAGGAAAGCGAAGGAAGATCTACATTTAAACGACGAAAACGAGCAGCGAATTATAAAGAACATACTTATAGGCAAGTCATGCAAGGACCGATAGTTGTGTTGAACGAAAATGATGTCATCGACCCTCAACAACGATGGAGGTCAAAGACGAGCGTTGGATCAGTGGAACATAAAATTATAACCAAAGAGGAAGGTAAGAATATCGAAATATGTGTCTATATTAGAATGTTGGCCCCCCTGTTTGTCATTAATTTGTATGTATAGTGTTAATTTTATTGGTAGATTCCATATCCCATTAGGTTCCAACAATTCATGCTCAACAAGATGAAAACACCCAGCAGTGAAGTAACCTTGTCAAGCAATGTAACTGGGAAGAACGGGGAGTTTTCTTGTAAAGGGAAAAGTTAGTTTTGCGCTCACCATTGTGGCCCCCTCTGACTATTCTGGCCAATATTTCCGCTCGGCTAATTAGTCAGTTTCATGTTTCGAAACACAACTAATTTTTGTATTTAACACTATGGAGAATTGGCTCACAAGGTTAAGCGAGGCGGGTTGATTAACGCTCGTTATTCAAGTTCACTCAAGCAATGAAGCAGGCTCTCGACTAGAACTAAAAAAAGGTTGCAAGTCATATTTGATACGCTAGAGTCCATATACTGTACATATATGAGCTTATCTTCATAGAAGAGATAACAGTAGATAGGATTTGTCATGACACTATGCACACATTATGTATCGACATCATTGTTGTGGGAAGACGTAAGCGTGAACGCAGATGCATGATTCCTCGCAGATAATGTTTCCTACGTGAATTAAAACTTGGTCTCCCGAGCAAGACCCATCACATCGGTGAGGGGGCAAATAGGTAACAACTTCTGGGAAACTGTATTTACTTTTGAGCGTAATTCGCGATGATATGGTTACGTATCGCAGTCTCTGAATATTATTCTCAATGTTGCACTAAATATGCAATATACTTGTTTTATAGGAACCCGAATTCGGTTTATTGATCAACAACCACGTGACAAGAAAAACGTTTGGGAATCACCGTATATCGCTGCTGGAATAGTCGGAAGCATTTGTCTTGCTATAGGAATCGTTTTGGGAGTAATACTAAGAAAGAAGAGCACACCTACTACAAGCAAAGAAGTGCATTTATAAAACTTTCAATGTGCGCCTCTTAGACCAACTGGGAAATTACAGGCAAACGACTGATAAGTTTTAAGCATTTTCGACAGAGTCGCAAATCGATATTCAAATCCAAAGTTTCTACATTTTTGGACTACACTATGCCCTACTCTGGATTACCCTATGGACATTTTGTGTAAAAAATTGGAATTAATACAGTTCCCCATTACACCGAGTACCGAGATACCTGACGACCTGCTGTAAAAAATAAAATAACACGAAAATGGTACATGAATAACTTGTTTAGTGGTATGAGAGTCACAAAATATAGTACTGCCGTAGTATGTGTACCAGGTTAGGGTTAGGCTTCAATTTTATTCCGAATTTCCTTGTTTTTAGTTGTAATACGAGTTCGGCGACTGTCTGTGTTGGCCAAGTGAACATAACCCCTGCCCATAGGTCTCCGTCTCTTTACACAACTTGATGTAAAATAGGCTAACAAAATTAGTTGCATCCATGTTGGTACACATATTTCTGAAGCGCCCGAAATAATACATAAACATACATAGCATAATCCATAGTCACATATGCGCTTTGAATAATTGAGTATTTTATAATTAAGAATTAAGTAATCAAGTATTTTCTCGAGAGATACTTGAATATGAGGGAGATTCTAAGAAAAACCTAAATCGTTCTACTGTTTTATTTAATCGGAACTTCAAATTTATCTCTTGTTCAAAATTTGATTATGTTCCTTCGTTATTGCATGTTTCACAAATTTGCATTTTGCACTATGATATTTTACTGCCTTACTTTTTATATAAACTTGTGTAAATACGTTTTCAATATTTTATTGCTTTAATAGCATCATGAGATGTAACTGAGAATGGCGAATATTGTAAAAAAAACGGGGAAAACTAATTTGAAGTGAATGTGCTTATTCGCGATGTAAAAGCTAAAAGACTAATTTTTTTTGTTAGAAATGTGAATAAATAAACTTTTCACGAAAAAGTATTGAGAACATCAGACGGGACTATTGTCTTGTCAGGTGTAATGTAATGAAAACGGGGTTCGTCCTCATAAAATTAAAAAAAAAAAGTTTTGTTGTGATACTAAAGACTACTGCAACATGTGATTATATTTTTCGTTAGTCCATACCTAAAATTATGGATGCTGCTTATAACGTACATAACCAGAATAAGATGATAATTCGGCTCAATCATATAATGAATTCGGTCTATTGTCCAGTTATCAGCACATGCCGAATATGAGAACAGTTAAAATGTAAGTTATTTGTTGAGATGTATGGGCTTGATCGCGCCAATTAATTAAGTGCATTAATATTCATTACCAGATAACATACCAGCAATGGATAGGAGTAAACGCAAAATACAAAATCGATTCACATATGGGTAGGGTCTCGATTCAGGCGGCACAGTCCCACATTTTCCAATGTCTTGTCCCGGCGCCTCGACCGGTCAACCAAAAGTCACGCTTTGGCGTTCAGCCAGTCAGCACTCAGCATAGTACACGAACATTACCAATTAGTATGTTCTCGACACTGTTGTTGCTACGTACCGTACTTACTGATGTGTGGTTTTGTTTTGTTCCGTTGTTTTCGGCCAACATTGTTGGACACTTGTTTTATTTGTTACGTGTAAGCCTCGTACGCCAAAAGGGTGCTTAGCGTTAACGTAAATTTCTTTCTATTTTCGAACTCAAATCGATATTTAGACAGGCAGTGCATGAGCTCTCTATGACAGTATGGTCCGGTATGGTTTTAAATGTAGGCCCTGTAGTAAAATCGGTAAATTTGAAGTTGAAAAAATCACAGCTATGGTCTTTGGAGGCGTCCCGCTTTGAGGTCACAAAAATATGGTAACCCTACATAAGGGTAATATTTACACGAGTGGATAATGTGCAGCCCAAAACTGTATCCAAAAATTTGTATTCATTCAAATATAGAAACAAACAAAAATAGGAAGGTAAAATTAATTTAATAATTGAAACAAAACCGAAGCACCGAATGATGTCGAATCATAATTAGGGTTACCATATTTTTTTTTTGATATCAAAGCGGGACGCCTCCTGTAACTTTACAGTTTACGATTTTACTACATGGGCCTACATTTGAGCTATCCCGGCTGTATTCATTGACCATATCGTCATCGAGAGTTCATGCGCATACTCTCTGTCTAAATATCGGATTCAATTCGAAAAATAGAAAGGAATAGACGCTAACGATACAAATGATCCGAATTTAGAATATTTTATGTACAGCAAATAGGATAAAGAATAATGAAATAGTCTGTCGTTTTCAAGCATTGAAATTTACTTATTCGCCCAAGCATGCTTTTCTGTGCATAACACCTTTAAAAACACGTTGTTCAATGTTACATTCACGTGAACGTCCGAACAGGACAAATTAGAATTGATTTTACATGTGATACGTTCGCTAACAATGTTATCGGGAAACAACGAAACAAACAAAACAACGCATTCACCTTCAGTAAGTACGCTAGCGTTGCGCTACACAGCAACGGGAACAAATTCGTGTATTATGATGCATGGCTGAACGCAAAAGCGGGACTTTTGGCTGACTTGTCGGGACGGCGGGACAAACGCAAAAAAGCGGGACTGTCCCGCCCAAAGCGGGACGTATGGTAAGCCTAATCATAATGCAAAATCCATACTTCCTCCAACTCGACCTATCATTAACCTTTAACCCTGTAATCGTTGAAGTGTGCAAAAGTAAACAGATTGCCGCATCTTGCTGAATCATCTTTGGTTTGCTTTACTTGCGGCTAGGAAATCAGCTGAGTATGTCACTTCGCGTTGCTAATTTAGCTACCAAAATGATCAGGTGCCCGCCAGAAGTAATATTACGTCCATTGGCGAGGGGAGATCATGTCCAACGAAGGCTTTTAACGCAAGAGAATGTTGCTTCTACAATGAAAAGGTTAGTCTGTTAGTGAATACTGGAATATGTACGGTAATGGTATCGTATCTGTCTGACTGAGAATGTGATTTTTTTTGTAAAACTGCATTCACAATCAGACTTCACTGCTTTAGACTGCTTTTTCACTTATTGACATGCTATGCAATCAATTATGTTTCAAATTGCTGAATTGTGATCTGACAAAGTAGTGAGATTAGGAAATAGCCGTTTTGAATTTTAATACCATGTTCGCACAATTTCAATTGATTCTGTTGTCACTAAATGATCTCACTTTATGCTTGTTTCAAACAGGTTTTATCGCACTGCTGTCTGCACAGAACTTAAGAAACCTATGATCATTTCACAAAAGGAATCAGAAGATGTCGATTTGGATCAGGTCTTGTTTTCAATTCTTTCAATTTGTCTGGGATAAATATGGAAATCTTCTAATCATAATTTTCCTCTTACTGTAGATCAGTGATTCTCAAGCAGTGAGGCGAAGAACAATTTTTTAAGAGGACATGAAGCTAATTAAAAATGAAAATATTTCTTAGATTTTATCTTGCCCGTCTTATTTTGGATATTCACATATCTTTATTGTTTACATTTCTTTATTATGTTACTTTATGTACACATATTTTCAAAGAGTTTTTCGAATAAAACATACTTTTGCGTTACTATCTGTTATTTGTAGCTTACTGTTATCTAGTTATTTTTTGAGGTTGGGCTCGAGACTTGACTAATTCTAAAATGGGGGCGCGGCTTAAAAGGTTTGAGAACCCCTGCTGTAAATAGTTAATTTTATATATTTCTTGAGATATCTTCCTATGTCAAAAAATAGAACTCTAACATTCTTTGTATATTATCAGGTCCGAATAAAAGTTGAGGCAGCAGCTGTAAACTTTGGTGACATCTTGACTGTTGAAGGAACTTATCAAGAGAAAATAGAACCTCCTTTTACACCAGGAAATGAGTTCTCTGGTTGGTAATATCTAGGAAGTGATTTATGATTTTGGAGTATGAACAATTCACTGCTGCAGTCTAGAGACTGAAGCATGATTTTGCAACGACTAGTTTCTATTTTAAGTTTTTTTTTCAGGGTGAAGCTGTATTTGTATATTTAATGATTGATTCTCTGTATTACTGCATTACTGCAATTTCATATGCTGTTGATAAAGTAGCATTTATTATTTATATTCCGGGAGTAAATGTGACTGTCTGGTTTAATTGTAAGGTGAATTATGGCCTCTCACTCTATTACCAGTCCAGGTCAATATAGGATTAGTTTGAGTATTTTCTGAGTGAGCATTGTGACAGGAATGTATTCACATTGATAAAAATGTTGTCCTAAAACAACAGGTATTGTAACAGAAGTCGGTCCCGAAGCTAAAAGAATTAAACCTGGAACAAGGGTTTGTGGAATGAGTTATGGAAACGCATATGCTGAAGAAATTATTGTCAATGAAGGGGTAAGATATATTGAGAAATGGCTGTTGGGGGGGCTGACTGTGATGATCAGAGAATCAAATTGCTTCCCCCCAGTCTATACCAAAAAACTTTGCATAGGTTGTTGTATATTTTTATTATTGTTGCAATGCTCATTTTTTCTGGTTGACGAAATAATAAATCTCTTTCTCTATTGAAGTTAAATATCTTGAAATATATATAGACTTCTCTAAAAAGCTTTCCACATCAAATTTTCTGCCTGTGAACGGCTTCATGTCCCGTACAATTGATATTTTATAATATCCTCTGTAAATACTGATGGCCTTGCCTGGAGTAAATTATCAGATAAAATACAGAATAGGATCAACCATTTTTACTTGATCTCATAATTTATGGTGTAAAAAACACCATATATAGGAATGAAGTTTGGAGTTAATATACCCATGGTAGCATATTTATGCGATAAATATGATTTTTGCCTGACTTTTAATATTTTATATTCCATATAGGCAGTGTTTGAAATTCCTGATGAAATGAGTTACGCAAGCGCAGCTGGCTTTGTTGTTTCTTATGCAACAGCTATACTGGCTCTTGAAAAGAAAGGAAGAATAAAGAAAGGGTGGGTTTGGACAATTTTTTTTTTAAATACAAATAATCACCGCCATGTTTGTACAATTTATTCATCTATTCAAGTTAAGATTACATGTTTTTTGCTTGTACAAGATCATTTTAAATCAAAGTCTTGTTTCATATATTTTTTAGCCTACTCTGGTATGTGACCTATTTGTGTGTTTGAGTATTTGTACTCAATTATAGTATTTGTAAAAGTACAAGTGAAAAAAGCTTCTCTCTTTTTTCTAATTTTATAAATGCCCTATTGATGTATATTGTGTGCGAGTGTGTATGATTTGATTCAATAGTTCGAGATGAGTGAACTCGTACCACTTCTTTTTGGCAATATCTTCCTTCTCATATTCCGTATGTTTTAAAACTTATCCAAGGTTTTGTTTACTCTCCAGATTTCATAATCAGTTTTTATTTATTTGTTTTTATCAACCGTTTGATCGCCGAATATGCTGATTATGGAGTCGGAATAAACTTATCTTATCTAAAATGTGCTTGAATCCGTGACTGGTCACTACTTATTTAAAAGCACCTGCAAAAATCATCAATTATTGAATGAATGTAGCACACGTAAGAGCTTCCCAACACTTAACACAATGTGCCAACAGGCGCTTCATCAAAATCACAGAGATTGCAATCAAGGAGTAACAACTGGCAATAAAGCTAGTTGCTCCTGCATTATTCTAATTGACTGTAATAATAAATATAAATTTGATGATTAAGATTTTTATTTTCATACATACCCAGAGAGTCGATACTTATTACAGCTGCTGCAGGAGCAGTAGGATTGGCTGCTTTAGATCTTGCGAAGAATGTTTATGGAGCCGAAGTATTTTGTGCTGCAGGTGGAGAAGAAAAATGTCAATTTTTGAGACAAAAAGGAGCAACTGCTATAGATTACAAGTAAGTTTAGGATTCACAAAATGATGATTAAAATGAATTCATTTTTTAAGATGAAATTCAATAAAAATTATATCATTTATGTGTCAAAATTCTTTTAGATATTAACTTGGGTTATGTGTATAAATACCCAATTCAAAGTTCCAGACTTGCTATAACAAGTATCATAGAAAATTGGCAGGGAGCTGTTATACTTTTCACTCGACTTGTTTCCAGTTCAGGAGCAATGAGGAAACATTTCTAAATATTCAATATTTACAGCAGCCATCTAGTGGCAATATTGTTTGCAATGAGGGAACATTTTAAAAATATTGAATTTCTTTACTTAATAGATTCATTTTATTTTGGATATACAACTTGTAGTTGTTGTTCAACTTATCAGGGAATTTGACTCACTATTTCAGTAACACACATTATCCCACAATCACCACTTTTATCATATTTATGAAAACATATTCTGTTTACAGGAAAGAAAACATTCGTACAATCGTCAAATCAATCAAACCACGAGGAGTTGATCTTGTGTTCGAAGTTGTGGGAGGAGATGTTTTTAAAGATTGTTTTAGGAGGTTTGAAATTTTATTGACAAAATTGTCTTTTGATTCCTGCCGCGTGTTATCTTAATGTGGTTGGTAGCCTGTTGTCTTCACTATATTTGAATGATAATGATTTATACATGTAGTAAACTGCCAGATGAGTGGTTACTATTTTAAAAGGACCGATATCGTTCCAATTGGGATTGCGTACCTAATTTGGCACTCCAGAAGTGTGTGTACCAATATGAAGGTAACTAATTTTGTTCGCCTACTTTAGATCAAGTTGTATAAAGGGAGGGGAACCTATGGGCAGGATGAATAGGTGTGCCTGTATTCAAAGACTTTAGTTATATAGAATTCATTTATGCATATTTATTTCTGAGAACGTAAATGAGTGTATTTTATAACTATTTGCGATTTCTATTGAAAAAGCCTAATCTATTGGGAAAGTGTAGTCATGAAAAGTGTAGTTCTTAAAAACGATATCTTGAAAATCAATAACTTTTAGGTGGGTACTCAACAATTGTTTTTCGTAACAACCTCAATGTCCCAATTTAGTAAATTGAAATACAATTAGAGTCAATTGCCAAGACAATGATCAGGAGATCATGTGTTTTATTTTCAGTATGGCACCAGATGGAAGGCTTCTTATAATAGGATTTGCATCAGGAAAGCATCCAATGATACCAGCAAATCATACTTTGGTCAAAAATGTATCGGTCATTGGAATTTATTGGGGAAGCTATAGAGGAATTGACCCACAATTATTCATGTGAGTTTTCTTAGAGGTATTTCAGTTGCTGCTGCACATTTGTTTGAGATACGGGCAAACTGAGCCGGAACCAAAGTGATTCCGAGCCCCATTGTCTCAAGAGGGTGCGATGATATACATATACTACTTAACTGATCAAGAAAAGTCAAGAAGTTTCGTTATGTGGGATACCAAGTAAAATCTGTGGGCTTTGCACAATTAAATCAATAGCCTTGCTCAGTTCGGGTTCTCCATCTGTTCCACTCTTCATAATTTCATTTACTGTATACAGTGTAACGCTTCGTATGACAAATTATATCTATCCTAACCTTGAACATACTATGAATTTTACCGTACTTCATTTGACCCACAATATATAACTACTCAACTCAGAACAGTTTGTAACAAGCATAGTTGAATGGCACAATTACAAGCGGGACACAACAGTGTTGAGATGCCGCACATTATATATAAATGAAAAAGCTTGATAGTGACAAAAAATCTGGCAAGTTTTCATGTTAAATAGTTCTGACAACATCAAACTTTAATATTTGTCTTTCTAGGTGGACAATTACTGAAGTATTTAAACATTTCAAAGCTGGAAAACTCAAACCTCATGTTGATAAGACATTTAAATTAGAACAGGTAACCATTTATTTATATCATGACTTACAAGCAGGGATGTCCAAATGTTAAGATACATTGACATTTGCCAATTTTAGCTGTGAATTCACTCCTTTAATTATCTTTAATGTCGTCCACAATGATCTGTATGTTATTCTGGCTGAAGGTATAATTTTGAGAGCAAAAAAAATGCTCATTGGTGTCTGCGTTGGCACGAGACTTATTAATATTTGAGTTGAGAGATACTTTTGAGTTAGGGGGAAGGGACGCAGTTTCGTTACAAGATTTGTAACTCTTCTGGCATCTCTAGCTCCTGCTGAAGTTCTTTTACCTCTTTATTTCCCTACTAGTAAACATTTGGCTTTTAGATGATGTTTTTTGGAGACTCAAACCGATCAGATATTCCAATGGTTCGCTATATCATCTTGCCTTTCCTCCACATAAATTAGACTTTCTGATATGAATGTTCTTTACTTAATTTTAGGTGAATGAAGCTTTTGAATATATCAGAGCAAGGAAAAATATCGGCAAAGTTGTATTAGAAATGACATGAATCTTATCACGAAGGTTTACCGCCTAAATTGAATAACGTGATTCTACAACAAGAATTGATTATACCACTAATTTTTAATACTCTTCATGTAACAGACCCAGAGATTTTCGGGGATAAAAACTATCATTTACCAAATTTTTCATGACATTTTACTGTGCAATTTTCTACTTTTAATCATTCATTATTCCTTGCTATATTATATAAATATGTGCTTGGCAACCAATCACACAAATCAAATATAGAAAGTTACTATTTTTAAGTTCTGAGATCTTTGTCATCCCTTTGTTAGTAGTCAAGTTTAAAGAGCTATCTCTCTGTATTCCTCAGTGTTGAAACGATCTATACGAGTATTTTCGTAAGTTTCATGTTCTTGTTTAGCCGGCGATATAAAAGCCTGGCATATAAATCGAAATGGGATATGCGTCGATTCCAACCTATCCTACCAGGATTGGACTCGTACTCTCAATAAAAGTGACGCAGTAACTTGCAGTAGTGGCTGACTAAACGATGGAGTTGACATGCGAATGTGATTAACAAGCAGGCTGCATTGGCCACACCGAATCTGGTAATACTTGAATGAGTTTCTGTGATCCCCAATTTCGTTTGATTTGGCCTTCCTGTTTAGTGGTCGGTCGCACTGGCAGACACCCGCACAAAACCAGAGTAGGTAATATGTTGGTCATAATATTGACAGCTTGTTTACATTCTTGTTCAACGCAGTTTTTAAACACCTCATAAAAAATGGTAACTGCTGACTAGCTATTCTGTAATGCAGTGGTGTCCAACCTTTTATGACTCGCCTGTTTTTCATTCCAGTGGTATTTTGATTAGTAGATTCCAAATCTCGTCGTTTTCAACAAATTCTTGGCCAAAAAAGTGAAAACTACCCGTGAAATAACCTTATCGAGGAATGAAACGAGGAAGAACACAGAGTTTTTTGTAAAGCGAAAAGTAAAATCAGTTTTACACCTAGCATCTGGCACCAGGTTGGTTACGGCTGCTATGATGTCTATTGTTGCCTTCTCGGCCCAAAGGTATTTTTTCTAGGAGTGTAGAAAAACTGAAATGACTGGTAGTGAGGTATTGAATTATATTTAGGTTGCATAGAAAATTAAATTTGATTATAAAGTAGGATAAAATAGATATTTGACATATTTAATCTATTGGATTGCATTCAAATATTGAATAAATTTTTACTGTGACATGCCCGTAAAGGTCGTAATCCCAGAATAAAATACTGCAATTCTTAAAACCCTTATTTTGTAGCATTAGCATATTATCTCTAAATAAGGAAATTAGGTGGCTATTGACAAACTAAAGAATTATTAAAATGGAACAGAAATGCTATCTTAAAATTTTGAGGCAATTACATACAGTCTATATTCGAGAGCATATTTTGAGTGAATAGAAAATTGGAAAGAAACAGATTAGAGAGAATCTAGAAACAAATTGACAAAATGATTTTTTATAATTTTGCTTTCGTCTGTTCCCATGACCATTTGGGAAAGTTATCATGTTTCGGAATCCTTATGAAATTAGTGTAAAGACTCTGAGCACCATCAACTTTCAGACTTTCACCGGTTATATACGCTGCAGCCGGAGAAAGAAGGAAACACACTGCTGCCGATATTTCTTCAGGCTTTCCAAGACGTCCAGTTGGTTGAAGTTGTAACGCTTCATCAAAGATCGCAGGGTCAGCATAATTCGCCACAGCTGTTTCGGAATAAATTGTACCGGGTGCAACTGAGTTGATTCTTACCCCACTTCCTGCCCATTCCAAGGATAACGTTTTTGTTAGGTTATCCACACCAGCCCTTGCAGCACTACTGTGAGCCATAAAAGTATATCCTTTCCACATGTCGGTGATAATATTGACTATTGAGCCACCATGTTCTTGCATCCAAGTTAAATATGCATGCTTGCAACAGTAAAAAGTTCCTGTTAAATTGGTTTCCACTACAGCATGCCAACCTTTAGCAGTTATGTTTTCAGCACCGCTGAGAAATTGACCTCCTCCATTATTGATTAAATAATCAATTTTGCCATATTTTTCAATCGTACTTGTCATAAGGTTAATGACGTCACCCTCACTGCGAATGTTACACTTTGTTGTGTAAATCCTCCCTTTCATTTGCGGGTCTTCCTGCATCTTTTTCGCTGCTGCTTTTAACTTCTCTTCATTTCTTGAAGCAATTACAATGTCGCATCCAAGGTGGCATAGTTCCTGTGCAATTGCGGCACCGATACCCGTGGCACCGCCAGTGACAATCGCGACCTTTCCAGAAAACAAATTTGGTGCAAATATACTACGAATTGACATTTTTTTAACAACCTTTTTGAATATTTTAGAACAAAATTAAAATTTTGTGAAAATTGCAATTTGATTACAAAAGTATTAACGAGTATCATTTGATTACAAAATATAACGCCTAGAATTTTATTATTTAAACTCATCAATCAAAAAAGTATTTTCAAATAATTTCCAACCAATGTCATTCATTGGTATAAAACCTTGTTTTACATTGAACTGTTACTCTGAACCCTGAGTTGAGATTCGAGTCACAGGCCATACAAACCGAGTCATTCATTGAGTTTAGTTGTTTCTGAGCCATTTCATTTAAATAACTAAAGTCATTGAAAAATGGTGACTCAAGTCAATAGTCTACCAAACAATGTGTATAAGTAATATTAGTCAGACTTTTGATAAAACTTAGGTTAAATATTGACGAGGCATATCAACTTTTTGCCATACGCAGTATGGCACAGTTCTCCGCTTTTACTGTTATATTTGTAAGGGGCTGTTATGGAATCGGAGAACTGTGCCGTACTAGATATATTTTAAGTAATATCAATTTTATTTAAACATTTCTGAGAGACAAAAGCACCTTTTCTAAAAATAATTGTCAACAAATGTGTGGAATAAATTACACAGATTGAGTAATATAATGCACTTTTGATTTATATTAGCGCTGATATACAGACTTAGCTATAAAAGGTATCAGGACTTAGGATCGACATCCCATGACCAAGCAGGTAGTTTGTCATGCTTTGGAATTTCTATAAAGTTTTTATAAAGACTTCCAGCAGCATCAACTTTTAGGGTCTCGCCAGAAATATATGCTGCCGCGGGAGACAGTAAAAAACAGACAGCAGCGGAAATTTCTTCAGGTGTGCCGGACCTCGCGGATGGTTGATTATCAATTGCTTTATCAAACATAGTTGGGTCTTTGTAATTTGCACGAGCAGTCGGCGAATAGATTATGCCCGGGGCTACAGAGTTTATCCTTACTCCATGACTGGCCCATTCCAAGGATAAAGTTTTTGTTAAATTAACAACTCCGGCTCTTGCAGCTGATGTATGAGCCATATAAGGCATACCCTTCCACATATCTGCAGTAATGTTAACAATAGCACCCCCATGGTCTTTCATTGTAGTCATATATGCATGTTTGCAACAGTAAAATGTCCCAGTCAAATTTGTTTCAATAACAGCATGCCAGCCCTTTTCTGTCAGCTTTTCTGCTTTGCTTACAAATTGACCACCACCATTGTTAACTAGAAAATCAATTTTACCAAATATTTTCATGGTCTTTTTCATCAAATTTTCAACTTCGTTTTCTTTTCTAATATTGCATTGAGTAGATATCACTTTGCCAATCAGTTTATCATTTTTCTGCATCTCTTGTTCAGCAGTTTTTAATCGTTCGGCATTTCTCGATGCAATCATAACATTGCACCCCAAAAATGAGAGTTCATGGGCAATTGCCGCTCCAATGCCTGTGGCACCACCAGTAACGATTGCAACATTGTTTGCAAATAAATTTGGCTTGAATACACTTTTGATCGAAAGCATGATTAATACAGTAATTTGGCGCACAGCAGCTTCTTCTCATTCCATCGTACCGTACGCTACCTAAATAAGAAATAAACCGCTTTGTAATAAACAACCAAAACGGGTGGGAGAATAAGGTGCCCTTTCGCGCTACCTCGCGATGTCTGTCAACGAGCAAGAAATAAGGAAGGCGATATGGACTCGTTTAGGTGATCTATTAAAATGTAACGCAGCACAAACACACAATTAATGAATATTACGCAAAGAAAAACACAATATATGCCATGAAGCGGAAAAAGATTCCCATTCAGCCAATCAAAATTTTGGTAAAATATACCGTTGTCGATCATGATATTCTGATCGTGATTTGCTCATGTAACTCATTTTGATCTCTGGTCGACCGATCATGATCCCACAAACTTGACAATGACTCCTAACGGTTACAAAAGAAGTTTTTCGCTGCAGACCCACAAATATATGGCCCGTGTCATCTCTTTGCTAAGCTGTTAATAAAAGGTAATTGCTAATGTGAAAAGAGAGTACGATCATAGTAGTTATCTCGGTTACGATTTCGCGTTAGTGAAGAAAAATTTGAGCAACTGCCGCAATGCGTTGTTGGGAGACCCTATCCATTTGTTCTATGAAGCCCCATCAACTGAAGCAACATATTTTAAAGATCTATTCTCAGTGTGATAAAAAAATCGCAGTGATAAAAAAATCGCAGCATTTTCATAATATAAGCAAGTCACGCGAAGAAGATGAGATTCGACAGTATGGGACAATTTCGGATAAGTTTGAAGACGATATACTGCGTCCTATGCAGTTGTCTCGCGATTAGCAATGACAAATGAATGTTCTCGCGGGGTTTTAGCGTCTGCACCAATTGCAAGCCTTTATATTGCAGGGAATACGAATACAAATTTTCCACGCAGATGAATTTTTACCAAATGCCGGTTGGGCTAAATGTGGGTTAACAGGTAATAAATGAATTGATTAAAAATAAATGTCATTCTACTCTTGGCCCACACTGCATATTATAACATTAAATATTTTTTGTAATGGCCAGTGGTCAACGTAATCATCTATTTTGAGAGAATATACTGTATATGTTTTTTACGACGTATAGCCTAAAGTCTTATTGAAAGTTCTTAAGCTCCATGAAATGAATTCAAAGTTTAAGCGGATCGTTTGATTTCGATAGAAAATCATATGAGTATATTTTATTCGGTAATCAATTCATAGAAGATATCCTTGTTTAAAAGGTTAATTCGAAGAGTTACAAGTCGTCACTTGAAACTTGCTGCACGAACAGCAAATATGCGATTGCTGCCTCTATTTTAGGAAATGTCGTTCAAATAAATGGATAGAAAACCGTCACGAGTGTAAATTTAAAACATTTAAACTGTTACCATAACTTTGGTTTATGTTTTTATCACGTCATTGGCATTTCCACAACAATGAAAAGAACAGCTTTTTCACATTAGAGTTTTACGTCGTTGTTCTCTGACGACTTTCCTCGTCACCGCGAGACTTCCCCGTGATTACCGGAGCGATCACAGTCGTCTATAAATTCGGATTTCATCTACCACGAGTATCATTTAAAAACAACTCTCGTTCGCTTGATGTTCTACCGGTTCGAAGACAAGATGATGAGAATAACAATCGTCGTTCTCCTGTGTCTGACATTGGCGGTGAATTGCCAAGTTGCAAAGAAGCAGAAACCGCGAAAGAAATTTTTAAGTAAGACTTTTGTTTTCTAAAATGACATTGCCCGAATGTAAATCAGCATATTAGAATAACGTCGAGGATTGTATTCTCGTACCTTTCACGAAACATTTATTGAATTCGCGCAATATGGACGAAATATATCTGACTACGTCTATGCGTTCATCTTAAAACATGAATTTCTTGTTGTTTCGTATAAATAACAGGTGTTGTGTTTCAAACTGCTGAAATGATACCCTATTCGACTTGCCAAATGTTGTTAGTGATTCGAGAACAATTTACAGTGCATTTCTTCATTATTTTAATCTGGTCGAGCCAATACCCGATACCGACGTCGCTTTGATAAGCGGGTGAATAATGTAATGGGTTTCATGTCCAGTTTATTTTCATTGAAAGGAAATTGAGCAATAGTTTCACATCAGAATATTTTTTAAAAGAATTGATTTAATAATTACTTCTTCGTGTTCGCTGTTTCTGACTTTCCTAATATTTTCTGTATAATACTTAGTAGAAGATAATTTTGTCATGTATTTTTTATGCAATCACCTTATTTACAAGGAGGACCTCACTTCGAGAAAAAGGTCGCGATGTTGCATTTAATATCCCGTGATTCCATTCCATAATCAACCGCGATAAAAACACTTCTTCTCTATAAATTTTAATACTCAACCAGTAAAATTTGTTTTTCAAAATTGTAGACGTATCAAAATGATGTGTCAAATTTTCTATTTATTTCTGCTATCCGACTGTGATTAGCCTAAAGGCTTGCCATATTCTCGTATCAGATTCACTCTCTATATGTTGAACAACAAACCAAGGGTTTACAGCGCGCCATTAATGACTTGCTAATATCAGTGAATCGTACTTAATTGTAAAAAATACCTTAAATAGCTGACCTTTTGCCGAAGTGGTTTACGCCTGAACTTTAGTTGATAGGTGTATTTACGTAAACTAATAAATTTTAATTTAAAAATATGGAGTAGCCGATAAAATTAAACAACGCATAATTGCCACCTCTTAACACCTTCGTACCTTCCGTAAATAGGCAACACATAAAACCACTCGAATTAATTTTAAAAATGAACAATTTCATTGCGAAATTTACAAACTCTAGTAATCTTTTTTATCGTAATTAATTGCGCGTTAGTGGCTACTTACGACAATACTTTTGAATTCCGTAACTTACTTAAAATTTGAGAAATGTTATTCAAGCGAATTGCGACCACAAGAATTATTCAAGATAGTACCAAGGCTTCCTTCTTGTCAGCAGTTTTCCGTCTCGTATTTGATTTAAGCTTTATTAAACTCTGTGAGTGAGCGTAATCTATATTTGATTGGTTTGGTGTTTTAATATTTCAAACCGCCCAATTATTCGCAATACGGGGCGTGGCTCCGTGGGGCACGGGAGCAGCCGTCCCGGGTAGCACGTTGTAGAATTAAGTTTGTTGCTTATTTTGATAATTTTCATATGATAATACGAAAATTTCACTTTTACTTGACCCTTCATTTATTTATTCTTATGTATAACAACATCTATATTTTGTTTACCTTCCAAATTAATTTTGAATAAGGGGCATCATTATCAAAAACTCGCCCACCTGCCCCGGGCAGCAGAAAAGTAGCAGCAGCAAAAAAGCTAACAACAATCTTTTGATTGGGCGTGGTTACCGACTATATGTAGGCTACCCTGCTGGAGTTGATCAGCATGGCTTAGCTACCCCCACATTACTCGAGATATCTAATAGTTTAGGGGCCAGGGGATAAATATAACTTGGCCTGCTCTGATTTAGTAAGTCAGTCGCGGCCTCGACCACTGCATTCATTCGTTTATTTCTACGACTGTAATGCAGCGGCGTTCTCTCTTTATGACGTCAAACAATGATAAAAATAGTACGATAATCGGGATTATCGCAACAACAACAATCGATAAGGACATTTTAGTCTCTTTCGATTAACTTAAATTTTAATAATCTTGCACATATTATGATGCAAAAATCCCAAATAAATCAAATTTTTTGTAAACTTATAGTAAAATAATTTATCTTAAATATTGCGTTTTGCTGCGATACTTTTGTTTCTCAATTTGTTTGTAAAAACATGGATTAGTGTTTTGCATACAATTCTTGACATTCAAATCGAAACGGGCTCGGTGGATTAGTTGCACTTTGTTTTGAATTATTTTTCTGCATGCTTATTGTGTGGTCACCAATATGCACAGACAATATTGTATACAGCACTTGGCATCGCGACGGTATGTGACAGCACTTGATGCTCCCGAGGGTAAAAGTTCAACATTTGATGACGTGAATCTAGAGATCGTTTTGACAAGTCGTTGTTATTCAAATTTTGTTATTGAGACAAAAAATGCTCCTTTATATACTTGCAAAATAATTGATTCAAAATTCAGTACTGAAAGATGAAATTTATCCTAGAAAGTTGTTATTTTATACCTAATTCTTCTTACGCCTCACGCACTCCCTTTATATTTCAAATGTATTTTTATTACATTGCTTGAAATGAAAGATATATTACGATTGCAAACCGAATATGGTCCATGTATACGAAGCGATTAACCAGTTCACTATTTCCATACTCGAAATTGACTGTTACCCGGACGAGGACCCGTGGTTCGTTATATGGTCAAGCCGTCTTATTGGGTTTCCTTTCCTCTGTCTGCGATAAATAGTAAAACCTTATCTTATCCTCGCCTACGTCATAAATATTTGTAAATGCTAAATATAACATGGCATTATCATGTTAAGTATATTTATATTTTATTCCTTGTACTTATTATACATTTACGGATTAGTTACATATCATTGTGACTAAAGGTCATGCTCATGACGTCAAGCATAAAAAGATTTGCCACGATTACATGTAGATGTCTCTACCGGTATCATTGACCAAATCAAGAATGAGATTGCCATTATGTCAAGTGGATTGTTGTCATGATATGGCGCGTTGAAATTAGATGTACTTTTGAATTTAAATTGGGGCATAAATTTACCTATTTTGCTGATTTATAACGTTTTGCTCTGACTGTGAAATAACTTGGTCTGTTTGAGAAATTCCAAACAAGCATAAACAAATATTGCAGTATAAAAGTATGTAGGCGGTATATCATCTGCCGGAAAAAACTATAAAATAGCTTTACGACTGGTTTTGATTGCGTTACCGGTTACAAACTCATTTCTGCATTTACGGAAGGTTCATGTTTAAATATTTTAAAGAAGCCCACGTGCGAGAGGTATTCCGAACTATTCATTTTCCTGAACTGCTATTTCAAATTTGAAATTTCATTCCGTGTGGTGATTTAGCAAAAACTTCCTTGCAAAACGGACACCCTTCGATCAAAGCACCCGCCTCGTTTTTTTTTTTCATCTTCTAAAGGTCATAAGCGAACGAAACCTTCATAATGGATCATGTACCCTAGGCGTTTCTAATTTTAAAACAACAAAAAAAACGAGAAACAAACCGCTTCCGTTCATGCAAATTATTGTCTAGTCACGGAGTCATCATTTGACCGCCACCAAGTTTATCTACTGCGTCAATGTACCGTATTCACTTACGAATTCCTACAATAAAACAAACTACATAATAATATGTCTACTTTTTCAATTCAGAGTTTGTTTGGTTTGTATCGCGTGGCATAAATTTCAACGCGTCTCCAAATTTACATTTAAAAAATATGTCGTGTTTGTGATAAAAATCCATGGTATTTTATCGTTCAATCTTTAGTTGACAAGCTAACATGCTATACTGTAATTAAGCGGTGGTAACTACACGTCAGTTGAATTGCTTGACATAAACAAATCACGAGGTGACAACTTGAACTCCCGTAAAAGCAATTGATTTTATTTCGCGATAAGCATGGACATTGACAATTGAACTTACCTGATTTCTTTTCAGGCTTTGTAACTGTATAACGACACCAACACTAATTATACAATTAGTAATTTCCGAGTCTTGACATGATTCAAATATCTGTTTGTACAAGCACTGAATTTTGTTGAAGTTGAGCTCGCTATCCACACTGCAAACCGATTGCCTAAACTATCTTTGTTGTAGAATTCAGTGAATAATTGAGTACGAGAAAGGATGTTGAAATAGCAGTCAAATAGAAATCCAGTAAAATACCGCTCTTTCTCACAGGAGCGACCAATCTTAACATGATGAAAATAAAAGGAAGATATAATTAAGAGGTAAAAATGTAGACCATGCCTAAATAAAGACTCTACCACCCCACCCCCACAACCCCCCACCCCAACACCTGGGGTGACATACGAAATGCGAACGTGCTATCTTCAAGAGGCCCACGCCGAAAGAGATCGCGATAAGAAATTAACGCGCCAAAGTGGTCTGGACTTAGCGGCCATGATGCTGTTGCCAGTTTATTACATATGAAACAGACTAACATTGCGTGTGTGAGAAAGTTGTGTTGCAGCTGCTACATAAATGCCTTGGGCCGGCACTATCGACTGCGACTTCCTTCTGCCATTAGCACACCCTTTTGTGAATTCTCGGAAGCCAGTGGTTTGTACTACCGTTACGTCTCAATCTGAATATAACTTTTTATTTGTACCCTTGTCAGGTTGTAATGCCAACAATATAAAGAAAGCAAAGTGCGCTTTTGGCAAAAATGGTAACGGATGTATTCCAAAAGTCAGAAAAATCAATTATGATCAATATGATGTCAAACCAACATGGTTTAAAATTACTTGGGACGCAGTTGCTTCGGCAAAATGTTATTACCTGGAACTTTTCACTGGTTCGACTGGCATCGTGTACAAGACAAGATCATGCATCAAGGGAAATACTTATAAGGTACATGCTAATTCTATTTTACTCTAATTTCATTATGTGAATATAAAACAAAAAGATATTTGGGAACTTGTTTACAAATCCCCCGTCACTAATGCAAAATGTGAGATTTGTGAAAAACGATTTAAAAATTTGAATTTACAGAGCAATCTACATTCGTAACCCAAACCCTAACTGGATAATTACTAATTTTCTTACTTTGAGCGTTGGTGGGACTTTGTACAAAAGATCCGATGTTTGTTACGAATAATTTACCCACTGTTTTCGTTTCCGGAAAACTTCTAACTTTACATTTTCTGGTTTCATATTTTCAGATGACTGGACTAGAACCTTGGACAGTCTACGAAGTTCAACTTAGTGTAGTCAATAGGGCTTGTAAAAGAGGCAGACCGAGTCCGCCAGTCAGAATAAAGACTTACTGGGCACCAACGGAACCCACAACGGTAAGAGATGAGTAAATATGAAAACTCGAAATATGAAAAGCTTTTATCTCTACTGATTTCTGGCAACGATTCTGACATTTTTAGAGAGCGCCAAGACCAACTTACTCACCAACGGCAGGAAGATGTGGGGCGGGATATTTCACATGCCGTTCCAAAAAGAAGCAGTGCATCCCAAGCAAAAAATGGTGCGACAGGAAAATCCAATGCGACGATGGTAGCGACGAAAGAAGATGCCCTGGTGAGTTGGTTTCCTACGCGACGTTGCTTTACTTCAGAGTGTACCAGGTTAGGGTTGGGCCATAGTTTTATTCCGATTTTGCTTATTTTAGTTCTATTACGAGATCGGGGACTGTCTGTGTCAGCCAAGTGAATATATATACTCTATACGTTTCCGTCCCGTTACACAACTTGATGTAAAGTAGGCGAAAAAAATTAGTTACCTCCATATTGGCACACATACTTCTAAAGCGCCCTTCAAATATATATAGGCCCCTGCATAATACCTATCTTTTTTTCTCGAAGGTGGATGCCCTGAATTAGATTTGAAGTTCAAAAATGGAAACTTCTCCTGTTCAAGATGGGGATCTCCTGGAAGTTACTGTTTCTTTGATTGTGATCCTTTTTACGTTAGAGATGGAAAACGATACACCTCCTGCAGCAGACAAAGTAAAAGATGGACAAACCCCATCCCAACGTGCAGATGTAAGTATTTTTAGATTTACATCAGCAGTTTATAATATTATTCACTGCAAAGCATATGACCGTTTCTCATTGCCAAACACAGTGCAGGTATATCTGGTCGGTTCTGTTTTCCATTGCGCATAAAAATTCTATTTGGAATTGTTATTGAAACTTTAACTAAACATTTGCTTTTGATACGTGCCACTTGCACTCTTACCTTTTTTTACATTTTGTTTGTATGTGTGTATATATATATGCATGACAATAATAATAATGAGTTCGAAATATTAGTAATACACGCAAATAAAAGTCGATTTCAACCCCGGAAACATTCGAATTCCTTCTTGGGGAAAATTCACCCCCGATTGGAAAACGTCGTGTTATACCTTCAAATAAAAATATTTCTTAAGTTCAAGAAATCCTAATCTTGTTTTTCAAAGTTTATTTTAGTTTTTCACGAACGCTAATCTACCTATAAAAGGAGACATAATTTATTATCGCGGCATCAAAAATGTGTTACTCTAATTACATGTTATTTTCTTCTGCATATTTTAAATTTATCCTGTTTTCTCCAGGGTAAATGTTTATTATGAATTGTCATTAATCCGCTCCATATATTGTTCACAATACATCCAGGTTTATTGTCTGATATTTACCATTAATTTAATAATAAACTCAAACGTGTGGGATTAACATAGTACTGTGATGTTTTGAGCAAAGCACGTTCCAAAATACAACAAACAGTCTAGACATCTTTAGCCACATAAAAAAATGGAGAAAATGCGTTTACACAGTTAAATTATTAATTGTAGTATAAACGATTTTTGTCTTTTTTCGACATCGATGTTTGAAATTGCGCGAACGACTACGGAAATTGCATTCTAATAAGATGAAAACTTTTTATTCTTTCGTCACTATGCATAAAAACTACTTTATCCATTTAATTTTTGAACCTCCTGAAGTATGCGCACCAATATGGCGCACAACCTGAAGGTAGTATGTGTGTACCTATAAGGATTCAGGTTGTACGACATCTTGGTGCGCATACTACTGGAGCACTGATTTTCAATGCTTGGTTAACAGGTGTCATGCGCAAGTATGTATCTCTATTTCGCACAACTATATAATCGAATTGATGTCAAGTTCCCCTATTTAACAAGTGTGTTGCGTTCGGCGAGATCCAGATTGTACCGTTCGAGATGGTGGACCCCCCCCCCCCTCTAAAAAAGAAAAAAAAATTAGTATACCGGTTCCGTCATATCAAATTTTATGGTAGTTAAAATTAAAAATATGATAATATTTTCGATGTATACGTTATGCGGCTAGAAATGCATGTTATTATGGAATAGCGCTATTCAATATTACGCTTAAAGGGCAAAGAAGTTTATTGATAATCTCTTATCAAATAAATATACTAGATATGGCGACAGGTACGGGCTTGTTTTACATGAAAATATTAAATACAGATTCACTCGCAACAAACAACTCATAAACAGCTTATCAATTACATAAAACGTATTATGTATACTATATTTACTATATTAACACTCATAGAACAACAATATTCATAAGGCAATCTTGAAAATTTTCAATTTTTTTTATTTTTTTTATGTTTAATAATATGAAATAGATTCAGTGGTGCAGTAGACACAATAACAGTATATGTTTACAGCAGTGGTTCTCAAACTTTTTAAGCCGCGCGCCCCCTTTTTTAAAATTGGTCAAGTCAAGTCTCAACCTCTAAAATAACTAGCTAACAATAAACTACAAATAACAGATAGTAAGGCGGAAGTATGTTTTATTCAAAAAACACGCTGGAAATACGTGAATGGAACGTGAATATCTAAAAATAAGGCGTGCAAGATCAAATCTAACATAATATTCATATTTTTAATTAGATTCACGTCCCCTCAAAAATGGCCGCGCCCGCCGTTTGAGAACCACTGGCATTGAGGAAGGATTGGGAGTTAGTCTCGCGCAACATCTAGTAATAGTCAAATGGGCAATTCCTTAATATCTTTACCTGCTGTATTTCCAAATTTCAGTGAAGTACACACGGATTCTCAAAGTTCTTCCGGAAGAAACAACATCTACAAGCGTAACACTACAATGGGAGCCAGTCGGTGAAGCGATACAATATTCATTCCAAGCTATAGAGCAATTGTCAATAGACCATACTGATATGGAATTTGTGGTATGTTTAGTTATGCTTTTGGATATTTGAACCTTGGGTGTCGCTGCTCGATAACCAGCTTTGGTTCCCCGCGACTTCCATTTCCCAGTAAAACTGTGTAATTCATCATTTTTTTTCTGTGTTCTATTGTTTCTTATTTTCGGTTTGGAAAAAATGACCTTGACAACATCTCTTTTTTAATCTCGTACGAAAGATTGACTCTTTTCTGCCACCTAATGTCCATTCAGTTAATAACAACGCATATCTCAGCAGCTAATGGACTAGTCGTTTTCAAATTTTCAGTATTAATGATGGTTGAAATTGCCAGAAAGCTATTACTTTCAATTTTGTCGCTGAGTCCTATATACTCGTATGCGACCCGATATTCTCCCAAAATTTCGCTGTTTCATTTGAATTCTTTGCAACACTTTTAAATGACAATAGGAGCACTGTTATTTAACATTAGACCGTCTTTTTTTATATTTGATCAATGCCACTACTAGATTTCAAAATCAGGAGATGCATTAAATTAAGTACATATAATGGCTCCAAACTAGTGGTTCTCACGACGTGGCCCGCGTAACGATTGAAACTGGCTTGCTGAACTTGAATGAAATAGTACTACACTTTGTGTTTTTACATTTTTGCGTTCTAGATATCGCCATTTGTTACGTCATTATCACATGTGTATGTTCGTAACAATTCAATTGTACCGGTATCTTAATTATACGTTCTGTGCCGCTGTCGGCCAGTTGTGGGCGCCCCCCTATCCTTCCGCTTCTAATTTTGGCCCCCGATTAATTAACCTTGGGAACCACTTCTCTAGAGTCTATCTAGACCAATCCAGATAAATCACAGAAATGGTAGATGGACGTAGTACTCTGAGCATGATCAATATTGGATCCTCAAATGGCCCGGGGCCCAACCTCAACGGGGTACGCGGTAGCGAGAAGCTTTTGCCTATGGTCTTCAATAAGTCAAGTCAAGTTTTTTTTTCCAACCAGTAAAAAGCAAAAAACACGAGACTAGACTGATTTTTTGCTACGAACTCTCATATTGTTACAAACTCGTTACGTGGTACTGAGAAGTTTCGAGTTCTGGTTTTCAATCCTTGTCTGATTTCGTGGCACGAACTCTCATTGTGACAAATTGTTGAATCATATAATAGTGAACTTAAAAACCCCAAATTCCAGATTGTCCCAGACGTTCAGGTCTTCGGGCCTTAGATTAAAGCATTGTTACAACTACTATTCATTAATCAGCTAATATTATACTATTCAGTAGTTTTAAGATTAAAAATTCTCATTTTTAGAAAACTGAAATTGTAAATGCTACCGAATGCTGTAAAACTACGATCACTGGCTTGAAGCCTGGTGTGGAATACCGGGCATCTATGTGGGCGATGGACAGAGACGGCGAAAGAGGAATGGAGTCGTTGCCAGTATACTTTAAATCTGGTAAGAATCCATCAATATTATTTCAATACTGAGTATTCCCGTAGTGTGTCTACCAGGTTAGGGCCATACTTTAATTCCGATTTTCCTTATTTTAGTTTTTAGCCAAGTGAATATACCCCCTACCCATAGGTTTCATTACTATCACACAACTTGATGTAAAGTAGGCGAACAAAATGAGTTACCTCCATATTGGTACACATACTTCTGAAGCGCCCGAAAACAACTGTACATTCAAAACGTTTAATTTCACGAAAATTGCTATGTATGATCCAGAAAGATGCTTTTATTTTTTTTTCACATTTAAAAAAAAAAAGGGGGGGGGTCCGACCCCCAAAACCACCCCACTGGCTACGCCCCTGCATTTTGATGATATATTTTTCTATACAAACGATAATAATACACAATTTATTTATCATCTTCTGCGTAAACGTTCTAACAGCGAGTTTTATATTTTAGTGGCACCACCCACGATCCATATCAAGTCCGGATGAAAAAAATTTAAAAGGATTTTTGTTCTTAGATTTCGAGAATAAGCTGCTTATTTAACTTTGTGTCTGAATGCTTTGCTTGGCAGCTTTTATTTAAACTTTTAATATTGTTGCATTCTGATCATGTTTAAATTTTTATCAAATTTTCAGAGTTTCTGAGATTAAAAATATATTTGTTTATTTGTATCAGATCGTAATGAAATATAAATAAAAGTTTGTCCACTGGAATATTGCAATGATTATTGTACTATATAGCAGGGCTACTCATCTGGCGGACCGCGGTCCGAATCCGGACCTTTCGAGTATTGGATTTGGACCTAATTATTTATTTTGGATCATTAGCCCCACTTTTTGAATTTCCTATATTATAAAATGACTTTCATAGTTTTGAATATATACGAAAAGAACCATAACACCATAATAAACAATTTTAATTTGCTACTAATCATCAGTCGGTCGAGGAAGTGCTCGTTCAAGGATGCCGAAATATCATTTCTGGAAAGACCGGACCCAAATAATTTTGAAGTTTTGTTTACGGACCTTCGATAAAAATAGTTGAGTAGCCATGCTATAAAGTATCAATTACATAATTGAAGGCAAAAACTTCAATTTTGAAATTTTGGCAGTGATGATAATTTGAATCCCGAGTCCCTGGTTTGCCAAAGCTGAAATCGTTTAAGAGTCCCATACCAAAATCTAAATATCGCCAACACAACGATCGATTATTGAGAAGTTGATACTAATAAACCCTACAAAATGCTTAACCAAATAAGGGTACACAAACGAAATAACATAATTCAAAATCAAAGTTTTATGAATATGGGAAACGCAGTGAGACCAGGGCTTCATCTCGAATCAGACCGTCCGTTACTTGACAGTGTTGATTAGGCTTCAAGATTTGCGCCGGCCAAAAGCTTTTCGCGTTAGCACTTCAGTCACAACTCATCTATCGGTATTCTATGTTAAACTCGCGATGAGGTTACAAACAAAAGTTATAAAAAATGTAGATTTTATTGGTATATTACTTCTGGTGAAAATAAGATACCAGACTATTTCGTGTGAATAGAATAGGATTTACTTATTTATCCCGGGAAAGGTGTTAAGACGGCTTAACCATATGGTGAACCACGGCCCCTCGTCCCGTTGCCAGTCCATGTCGGGTATGGGATTAGTCAGTTATTTGTTTTCGGACTCATGGACTTCATTGATGTAAAACTGGTTGATGTGAAGGTCAGAAAAACACATACGTTACTTGACATTTTCAAAATAAACGGAAAAATATGCAATACTGTTTACAGACTTGGATGAAAAAATTCTTCGGAACCACGTAAACATAGCACACAAATTACAGAATTAAATCTTCAATATTACAATAGCTAACTCAGCGATTCATAGATATTACAAGCTTATTTTCAATATCAAATAATCAAGCATGAATAAGCAAACCACGACCTCGCAATTGTATCAGATTTAGGTCGCCAGTTTGTAAACAAATGAGACAAACAAGTCAGTTAATTGCGACGTATTTTAACTAACAATTTGTATCGGCCATGCTTACGACAAACTAATTCAACATTGTCACCATTTGCGCAACGCAGAGAAAAATATTTTGTCAGCGACAATTGAATTTAGCTTGTGACACGTATGAAAAGTGTAATGCTAATATAGTTAAATTTTTCAGAATTTAAACAGTTTTGCAACATTACGCCAGTGAAGCATGTTTTATGAATGAACTGACTTAATGTAGATATGGGTAAACTTACAGCAAAACGCCAGTTATATAGTTTGAAATGTTGACAGTGAGATTTCAAATTGTCATTGCGCAATGTATCCCCACAACATACATAGCTACTCATAATATCAACCTGAGATCGGCCCATAGCAAACGAAGCCTCCATTGACCGAGTTTGTCTGAATCATGGTTACAGTTGCTTGAAATGCGTGATTGCAAAACTTGATTCGCTTGACTGATTGTCATATTGCTTTGAGCTATATTTTGCAGTTCAGCTGTTTGTAATGATGCGAAAGCTCAAATACTCAAGTCTACCTAGCTTATTTCGCAACAACAAATGAGATTAAAATGAAAATGGATAGAAATATGAGCAGGAAGAGGTGAATGGATATGGGGGACAGGAGAGAAAAAGAGACATCAAGCATTTTGCAATCCATGTAGTTGTTCCATGTCTTTCATTCCTCATTGCAGAATAATAAACAAGGAAAAAATAAAAATCCGTTAACCAGTCCAAATTAGTAACAAAATGAGATAAGTCCTGTTGTATTTCCCAAATTGAATCAAATGGAACAATATCTTTGAGCACATACTAACGTCAGAGTTATGCAAAGATTGCGTAATGCATGCATACTGTACTTTGTAAACAAATCAAATTTTGTTTTATTATGTCTTGTAAATCAAGCGCTGAATGTAGCTATTCCACTATTTCAACATACTACATTGACAAATATTTCAAAATATCACTATTATGTTTGGTATATTTGGACTATTGATTCTTATTGCTGTGAATGCCGAAGTTCTCTTCGCAGAGTACCCGGCGTGTGGTGAGTATCTTATAATATATATATAGTTTAGTATAATCAGAATTATTATCATCAAACCTTCTGTTTGATTTCTTAACCATTTTGTCTACATATGCTCAAAGCTCCTGTCGAATATGATTCAAGACCTTTTAAGCCTCGATATATATACCTACCTAATGACTTTATCCACTTTGTTATTATAGTGATGTTTCCTTTAAATTACCGAAATAACATTTCAAGATAGCCACAGGTCCGTTCGAGTAGGTTTAGATGGATATTTCACCTCCCTCAGGTAATTCAGGGTTCGTTCGGGTAATTAAAGGGAGTGACGAATACGCAGAAAATGGAAATGAATTAAGACATAACTTGAGTTACAGGCATAATGTACACCGGGTTCACTATTAAGCTTTTTAAAGACAGTTATAATAATCCCATTTAGGTAGTCTTGACGATGAAATAACTGAGGCTGGGTTGGAAGAAAACATAGACGGTCATGTAACCCGATTATTGGAACTTGGAAATTCGAATGGCGGGTGGGCAAATACTCCAGAAGTCTTTCTCAGTATACAATTAACTGAGCCTGCGTCCTTTTCAAACTTGGATAAAAGTATAAGAAGGATGGAAGAGGAAATCCAAGATGGGATATCGAGGTAATAGAAATATTGTAATGTCGTAATGGCAAATGTGGTAATGTCGAATATTGCTCACTCCATTCCCACTCAAACAAAAATGGTGAATAAAACCTAGTTCAACGAAAACGAAAGTGGTGTAAATATTTATAAAAAAAAAAAACAGGACAACACAATAACCATATTATGCAATTTTAGAAATTTCACAGCTTTATCGCTATTTACAATATATTTTCCTGTGCTCTGCAAGATTCTAAATGTGATGCTGTGTACTAAAGCTTGAAATAACTTTGTATTTCGGGCCATAAATTCTCCGCAGAGTCAAATTACCAAGTCAGATAAAGTGATTACTTTGCTTAAAGTGCAGAATGATCTTTGTATTAAAATGTTCAATAAATATAAGGTCCATTGCAGCATTACCATCGGAGAATTGGCTCAATACATGTTGGCAGTAAAGTCCGCTTGCAAGAATACCAGCAGTTTTGGCGAAGTGAATCTAAAGAAGAAATTACTGGAAAAACTTAAAGGAGAATTCTATCGCAACGGTAATGAATGTTTTCGAAATATTAGCCTAGCTCATTTCATACCTTCCCATATGGTCATTACATTTGGTTTTCGAAGTTTAAACGAAACAATTGCAATAGATTGAAAAATATATTACAAACAGGCATTCAACTTTCAACTCCTGAGGATGGATGGTATGGTGTCTTTCTTGCAACTGAAGCATATTGTGTTAGCCAGGCACAGTCGCCAGGAGACGAGTTTATTCATCGAATCTTACATGCACAAAATAGAGATGGAAGCTTTGGAAACTCGGCATCAATAGGTAATTTTTATTCAATTTATAGAATTCCTTCGCGCTTTTAATGCAGCTGTTGGGGATACCACAACGACATACATTTATCAGATAATTCAAAGTTTAGTCTGTCTTATATTCAACATTACTTTTTTACATTTCATGCAATAGGAAATTTGTGCTTGATAACTTGTTTCGGCGAATATTTTCATGTTTATTATGATATTTTTAAACAGTACGTTATTTCTTCAATTAAAATAGCTATTCTTTTTTATTTTAAGATCACACTACTAGGGCTATGATGGCTTTGCTTTGTTTGTCAAGAATAAATGCAATTTCCTCAACTCAGCGTGAACAAGTGAAGAATTCTTTAAATCTGGCAACCCAGTTCTTAAGGTCAAAGATCACGACGGAAAGAGACGATGTTTGGTTCGGCGACAAGTACGCGACTCCTGCTGGTGTGCTAGCGATAAAAGAACATACGGAGTGGGCAGAGAATGCCTGGCGATGCAGGTAAACTGAAATATTGAAAATAACTATGTTTCTTCATCCAATTTCCAGTCATTTACATAAAATGTGTGAATCAGACTTGATGCACCAAGTAACTGTTCGCACTCCAATCCGCAATCTTCAGTGACTTCGCTCGGAATCTATCTTCTTTGCTCTTGAGCAAGTGCTCGTGACCTTGCGTTATCCTTGTCCGAAAGTAGACCAGATTATTCGGCGCTATAGAAGTATTCGTAACAAGATGACGCACAACCTGACCTGGTAAAATACTAGGTCCAGGTTATGCGTCATCTTGGTACGAATACTTCGGGAGCACCGATTATTCTCATTTCTCATCCCTAATGGATTTACGACGGTAAACTTGTCTTCCAAATAGTACAAAAGAAGACAATAAAATTATTTCAATCAAATTAATCATAGGTTTTCATCAGGTAGAAATCCCGACAAAATGGGCTTAGTATGATTTGATTGTTTCTGCTTGTAAAGAAAGTGGTCACGACCATAAATATTCAAAATCCCATATTGTGTTTTACTCGCTTTTTCAATTATTGGACACGAAATGTGTACGAAACATTGGATCATTTGTACAAAGCCACCACCAAAAGAACACCCCCGCCAACGCTTGAAATAGGTAAATTAGTAATTATCCAGTTGGGCCCTGGAATGCAGAATCACTCCTAACACCAACTGGATAATTACTGATTCGTTATTTAAAAACGTAGCGGAGGAGTTTTTCCCAAAAACTCACACTTTTGCATTAGTGACGGGGGCTTTGTACGAAAGATCCGAAACATTTTGCTAAATTGTTGTTGTCGAAATAAATCGCTTTTTTTGCAAAAACTGGAACATATATGGAAGCCCTTTTTGACCTTCGTGAATTTGGATTGTTGCTCTCACGTTCCGTCTATCAATCGTTACATTTGCATTGCCGTGTATGATTTTGTGGGTTCATTGGACCTATGGATCGTTTGGGTATTTTTGTTGTCGTTCTCATTTGTTATCTACATCATTATAAAATCATTATATTTTTCTGGGTTGAAGATTGATGTGTTTGCCAGAAGGCTATTATTTTTATTTATTTCAAATATACCGGTGAGCTGCATGAGATTCGTTTAATTTGTGTGCTATGACGTCATTCGAATTTGCCACTATGTGGCGCCATGTGTTCATATACTTGAGCATGTTGTCACTCTTGTTTGTAAAGTAACGACAGAGCAATCAAAATGAACTCATTTACATTCATTTCTTTAGACTTATGATGAGAAGTTTAAATCGTCAGCAGAGCGATACAGAAGGAGAATCTGCAATATCGCAAAGACTACTCGCATTAAAAGGAGTCAGCTATTTATCGATGTTGAATGTCGATTACAGCTGTAGCAATTCAGGTAGGTCGAATCGGTAATTTTCAGACTGTCATTATGCGAAGACTCTTAACGGTTGTGGCTCCTTACTCTTCAATACCTACCTTTGCTAGTTATGAAAACATAGCTAATTTGGGTAACGCCGAGTCAGACGGACCCTGATTATGGCCATAGCATATTGACTACCTTTCCTCGTGATATCAAAGTTCTGTTTCGTACCAAATGTATCGTTTTGCTAAGTTATTGAGCTTGCCATGAAAAATCACTTTTCTCAACAACGAAAAGACCATTCGGTTTTTAACTTCCAGTAATTAAAGTCGCTGGGAGACCATTACTTTCGCAAGGGATATTTCACTGTTTATTTCGATATACGGGTACACACGCCAACATGTACTCCTCGCTACAATTCTTTCAAATTTTTGTTCCGGAACACCTACACTTTTCATCTCGCTTCACAGAACACAAAGTAATTAGAATGTGAAATTGTGTAATGTATTTACTCTTTAGTCTTTATATAAACTTGCGCACCCAGTTTATCACGACATCTTTTGAGGCTTCCAGTTTTACGCCAACGATCCAGGGGTTTGCTGTAAACTTGACGATTAAAAAGTTAGGTCGACGGTTAACAAAATATAACGGTTAAAGAAACGACATTCTTTTCAGGCTCGCAAGAGACCTGTCTTCCGCCAGGTGTGGGGCAATTTACGACCCAAAGTCTCCGAAGTAGGCCTTCGGCCAAAATCGCCATCGCTATCAATTCAGTGGCAATTTTGAACCCTGTACCGTGGTGCACCCGTAGAAGCACACGAAACAGCAGTGTTTCGCGGAACACAGTTTGAGAAACGATGTATTAGACAATTAACTTTCATATATATGTCCATATATTTGAGCATATCCCTCATCTTTAACTCATTCTTGTCCAAATTAGCTGGAGTATCCTATTTTAGGCCGCGTGTATCGGAGGATTTTTAAACTAATTATGTATTCTTGCATTTTTTCCCAGAAGGAACAATACAGGACAATACCATAGAGACAAGTCTTGGGGAAGATCCTTCTCCTATTCATTGTAGTCAGGAAGAAAACGGCCAATCAAATTTTCTATTCTCGAAACCAGCAATCGATATTGATATCGCGATCCAATCTGATATTTTACCAAATGTCATCACTGAAAATTTGGATGCAAAAGTTGTGACTCTTGGTGACGTCATAAAAGGCAAAACTCTACTTGAATTATTGACAACAGCACAGTGCCGTGGCTTGCTAACGTGAGTATAATAGTTACTCAATTTACGGTCGCTTAATTTCTCACAGGAGATTTTATTTTAAAACTGGCGAGCTCGTGAAAAAAGATTAACTAATGTACTTTAGTCACTAAAAACCAATCCCACACGCGACAGATAAAAAAGTAGCAAAAGCAAACAGGAACATGTTCATCGGAATAAAATTTTTGCATTTGTTTTTAGTTTTGGTGCTTGTCGGGCAGGTTGACAAATTTGATATTTTTCGTTAATTTCCATATTTTCAAAAACATAAATAAAACATGCGCTTTATCAAACTGAAATGATTTTTAAAGGCGGGAGAACGTGATATTTTGTGACGGAATCTGAATCCGGAATTTAGCTGTTCTGCAAATATCAAAAGAATACTGTTTCTTGGTCTCGGTCTGTTGTGACGATAACTTTTAAGATGGGGCTGCTGCGGAATTGTATTTCTAATCGTCCAATGCTAAATGGATTGTTTAATTTAATTTTTCCGCGTGGGAAGGCGTTCAAATGATAAATGTCTACATGTCGATAAATGTCTGAACATGAATTCAGTTGCTCGTTTCGGGTAAAATTTAATTATCGCAATCTAAATGGTCTAAAAATAAATTGTTCTATTTTATCAGTTTCAAATCGGAGAAAACCGGATGGGGAGAATACATCACTGCAATCGACGGAAAGCAAGCAAACAGCGAAAATAAAGAATATTGGTCAATTCAGAGGAATGGCGAGAGTCTCGATGTCGGAATAAACCAGTTTAAACCGGCTCATTCTGATTATATTTTGTTCAAACTTAAAAAATGGTCTTAAGAATACATGCATTGATCAGTAGTATTTTGTATACATTGAGCAGTGTTATTTTTAAATACGTTGTTGTTTGTGAATATAATTTTAAGTTAACCACTGATGGCCCTAATCTAAAATCGTATATTCATCGAATAAAGATATTGCAATATACCTTATAATTGTTTTTAGTTATTGAGTTGTTATTATTTCAATACTGGGATCAAGACTGCTACTTCGTCAACATACTCGATTTGAAATAAACAACATAAAATAATGACTTTTAATTGTACGGTACCGGCGTTTGCATAGCGGGATATTCATTATAAATTCCAAAAATCAGCATTTTGGATATTTGCATTCATCCAGAGAACAGTATCAGCACCAAAACTATTATTAACGTACACTTATTCCAACTTTAATATTCCATTGGCACCCTACCCATTTTTAAAATAGTTTGTGAGCCTTATATTGATATTCCATATATTTTTTATAAATTGCACAAGAAGTGCTTAACTTTTGTCAAGTTATTAAAATAACCCTTTACCGGTAATTAATCTTAGCGATCAGCTCACGTACTATTGTTAAAAGGTCTTCGCCCAGCTGTTCTTTCTGGGATGTTTACACTTCCGCCATATAATTAAACGCCTCATCATATGACTGCTATCCAGGTAATTAAACAAACATAGATGTCTCACAAAAGGAAGAAAATAGCGCTCAGCTGAACAAGTTTGCTAAGAAGCAATCACTTTACGTGCAAATTGGCTGGATGCAAAAAGTGGGACGTGGTTCTCATTCACACTGTTTTCTCTATAACGTTGACAATCGTATCCGGTTCACGAATATCATGCGGTGTCTCCCTGGCCTTTTGGACTTGAGGTGACACTGTCACACGTCCACCGTATTTGTATTAAACCGATAAGTTTTTGTTGTATTTTACTTTATATAAAATAGATAATTCATGTATGACCTATAGATAGACATGTTATTACCGTTCCTACGTTATCAGATACTTATTTTTTCGACACGACGTTCAGGTACAGGAAGATTGGTGAATCTCTCATACCGCGTTTCCTCGAAAATAAGACTTAGCCTGAATTTTGAAAATTATTTTAACATATGCCCCCGGTTTTCATATTTTGTATATTTGAAAATCTCGTAATTCTCTATGTTGGTATTTTGTTTTTGATGAATGAAAATAAAAGACATCAACAAAAAATAAGCCCTAGACTTATTTTTCGAAAAAAAAAAATTGAAATAAGACCCAGTCTCAATTTCGGGGAAAACGGTAGTCATATAGTGCCTCACATAACCTTATGCCAGCTACTGCTTCCTCCGGCAAGCACGCATACTCAATTGTTGCGTTATCATCTCCATATGCTGTAATGCAGTGAGATGACGTTTTTCTCAGAAGTATTCTACTGGAGGACAAAAAACGATAATAGAGGAATCACTGCACGATCGGGCTATTTATGGTCATTGACAGGAAATCTTTCCTCGCGGGGCTTACCTGTCTGGGTCAATAAAGCTGCTCGCTGACAAGACTAATACTTCAAATCTCTTTAAAACTTTCAAGGACGGTTGAGAATATTAAAAGGTAAGAAAGAATATTTTGTTTGTTTTTATGAGCTATCTTTTAGTATACCCGCTCATCAATTTTAGTAAAACGATAGAATTTTATATGGATAAATGAGAAAGAAAATGCTGAAACCGCAGATTTGGTACCGTCACCATGGAGGGAAACTGTCAATTGAGCACTCACTAGCCAAAGTACTCGTCGAGAAGCAAACTTGGAAGTTTATTCTATCCACGTGGCAACATTTAAAAATCAAAAAAATTAGCTATTTTGAAAACAATTCCATTTAATAAACGAGAGAGAAAGGAAAGGGTTCTACGACAACAATGTACTAGAACGATTTTTGTGTATCAATATGGAGGTAACTAAATTTGTTCGCCTATTTTACATCGAGTTGTGTAAAGGGACTGAAACCTATTGAAAGGGGGTATATTCACTTGGCTAACACAGACAGTCCCTGAACTCGTAATAGAACTATAAAATAAGAAACTAACCCGGTACACATATCACGGGAGTACCCAAATTTTTAATTGTATAATTAAATTTAATAATTCAGACGTCAACATGCAGATGAAAACTTGCACTATTCTGTTATTAGTCGTACTGTTGGCAATTTCCTTTGAGATGGGATCCTGTAACCCGAAGAACAAAAAAAACAAAAATAAGAAGAACAATAACAACGGAGGGGACTCAGAAAATGGGTAATGTTTTAAATGAGTTTAAAGTTTATTATTTTAGATGTGGACCGACACCCTCGTTTTCAATGAGAATGATATAAAGCCTACGATAGACTTAGATGTAAAAACGTCGGAATTCTCTCGTTGTAGATGTTGTTTGCCACTAAGGTTATCTCCAATTAACCAACCGTCAAAACTAAATTATAAATGACATTCATGAGTTCACTTTTGGCGATTTTGGACACGACGTGGATCTATAGATTGTTTTGTCGTTGTTTGTATTCTTCTTTTTCAAGCAGATGATCTAAATCATTTTATAAATTTTTGTCAAATTTTACTTCACGTTTCATCGTTTGATTACAATGCAATATTTCCAACTCAAAGTCAAATTTGTAATTAATTTTAATTCTAATTAATTTTTTCCCAAATATATTTTCCATCAGGTTTGAAGATGCCGTTGCCGAATTTATGGATGAATTACAGGAAATGGTGAGTTAAACAGTGCCGCATTGGCTTCACTGTATGTTATCGAAAATTAGAATAAATATTAAATACAAAACAGCGATTCTTAAATATATGGACACGAAAACCAAAACGAAGTAGTACGAGTATGCAATCTGTCACAGTAGACATTCCCTTACCGCGGCCTCCACGACTTCGCATGACCACGAGATCTCTAACGCGGAACCTCCACAAGGTGCGCAATATTTGAATTTGATTACGTCATCGCACACAAAAAACGAATCCCTCTAAGCCCACAGAAATTTTTGAAATAAATTAATATAGTAGTAGAAAATACAATTCGTTTTCGATTCCTTCTCTCTGACTCAGTAGCGTCACCGCGTGTCTCATCACTAATTAATCAATAACTCGCTAATTATACGACATAGTTCATCCAAATTCAATAGGCTTCTGGTCCGAGATATATGAATGCACATGCAAAATTTGGAGCAGATTTATCCTCGCTTTCGTGAGATATCGCGTAACATACGAAAGTGAAACAAACAGACAAATCGAGATCGATAAGTAATAAAAAGTGTTCCCTTTAATTAAAATCAAACAAAATATTCTTGGTGATATACCATAGGGCTAGGAGGACGCCACAATAGCAACACGAATAAACACAACAATTTTGGGAAACGATCTATATGTAGACATTACATGTCCAATAACTTTTATGTCTCTTTCAGATGAACATGGAGACGCTTGATGAAGAATAGAATCAAGTTCGAGGTGTCTGTGAATAAGAGATTTGTGAACACAAACATTGATTCACCATTATTATTCAGTGTAATTTACGAGAACGAGTTTGTAGATTGAAAAACATTTTCAATCGAATTAAACTTTTTATTGTGGTAATGCGTTTTTGTGTTATATAATAGTAAACTGTCATGAACAGCATCAAATTATTAGATGTCCCTGACTTGCCAGAAGAATTGGCGAGAGGAAACGGTAGATGTTACCCGAGCGATTCTCGGTAATTAAATAACGTAGTATGTGTACCAGGTTAGGGCTAGGACATAAATTTATTCCGATTTTCTTTAGTTTAGTACTATTACGAGTTCGGGGACTGTCTGTGTTAGTCAAGTGAATATACCCCCTGCCCATAGGTGTCAGTCCCTATACACAACTTGATGTGATGTAGCTAATACTAACCCGTAAGCTTCGTCAACAAAAACAGCTGTTGCTGAATTGACGAGAAAGAACGGTAGTTGTTACCTTCGCATTGACTTCCTAATTTATATCCGTGATATTGGCTAATCAGCAAAAAAGGTTTCGGCGTCTTGAGATATCAAAGAATTATCCTTTTTTAATTTCAAGATTGAAATAAATATGCTATTTCAGTTTTTGATCAAATGCAAATCTTTGACAATTTGCAATAAAACAGGTGCATCATATCTTTGACATATTATTTACAGCTGAGATAACTGTTAATAAATTTTATTTCGGTTGAAAAAGATAAATTTACAATCAGCAAATTATTATTTCTGAAAATAAATCTAATCCGCGTTGAGATTGCAAGTAAAGTACTAAACTAAATGCAAGTGCAAATTTACAGAGTTATGAAGAAAAAATGTTTTTAAACTAAGTTCATCTGAGTGTTTGTCAGATCAATTTTTAAACAATTTGTATCGGTCCATTACATTTATTAAATCTGAAAATTGGGAAGCACTTTGTGTTTGTGTCTTATGCTCAATGATTCATATCACGAGCACTTTTCTCGGGTAGGTTGTAAATCTTGCAGATTACCTGATTTTAAGTGTTCGTGAAAATTGTGTGCTGTCAAGTCAGTTAACGTCATATGCGGTATAATTAAGTATGATGACATGTAAGCTTATTAAAGATTGCGATCAGTTTAACGTCTTCCATACACATAAAAGAATACTCTAAACACATTTTCATAGACCGGACTAAAAAAAATAACCGAAAGTGACTAGGGTTCTATATTTATCTCGGTATAAATTTAAACAACGCATTTCTATCGCTCGGAGTGTTTAGTGAAATGAAAATCCTTTCATTTATGCATATAAGTTTATTAAAGATCTGTTTATGCGGATGTAAAAATGGCGGATCAGATAACGTCTTCAATATATACATAAAAACAAGTACACACTAAACATACAAACAGCACTTAGAAACGTTACAGTAATGAAAGATGAAAGTCGTTTACTTATCTCGATCATATATATTCTTTCTTGGCAAAATTTGTCATTAATATTATTAGTTGGGAGCTAGATTTTTATTTGCAAAACTGTTCACCTGGAAATAGTTGAATTTGTTTAGTGTTCATTATATACATCAGAATTGTTTCTGATGGTCGTCAGAGCTCTATTCTATTCAAAAATCTTTTTCCCAATCCTGGAATGAAAAGAACTTATATATAAAGTTTTTTATAATTCTCTTTATCGTGAATACTTTTTTTTTGAATTAAAAATACTTGACGCGAGTTGAAAAGTGCAGGCAACGTCTGATCAGCTGTTTCTATCAAAGTGCTATATATAATGATCCAAAATTTCAATTCATAATTAAACTAGGTTCCAACGGTACATGCAGGTCAGATCGTATGCCAACCAATTACAAAAGTTAGAGTCCGCAGATCCCAGAGGTAGTTATAGTGTTATTTCGATTGGTAGATTCAAAATCCCATCATGATCAATCAACTCATTCACAAGAAAATGAAACCACCCAGGGGAATAACCCATATCCCGGAACGAAATTATATTTAAAGTGCCAGTAATTATTAAAAAATTTCTACCAATTATTATCTTATTTCATTATTTAATGGTCTGGGATTGTCATATTTTGTGGATGCTTAAATATTCATTTTATGTAAGATTGTCTTATCAGAAATAAAAACGCAGTCATAAAGCTTATCTTTAAATGTACATTACACATGCAGTGTTTCGACACACATATAGGTAGCAAGTTATATCAGTATATATATAGTTATACATATGGTTATATTGGGCGTTACACAGCTTGTTTTTTATTAAAGAACGCCGAAATATGCGTTATGATGGAATAGGTTGCATAATTTCTCTCGTTTGAAAAGTGATGTGGTCAGTAAGCTATATAAAAAAGTCGTATATTGGCGAGAGCATTGCATTTCGCTTTGAACTTAGTTCTTGCAAACATATTATTTATTTTCAGATGTCAGAGTCGGCACTTTTATTAAATTTGAGCAGAATATGAAAATAGAATTTAGGTGACTACGTTTAAATAGGTTTTATTTTTTTCTTGTACCATAAACTACCTCTATTAAAGGTCGCCTTATTTAAATTCTTCAGAAAAAGCAAAATATACGTGTATGGGTGGTAGGCTATTACACTTACAAAATATCAGCTTGCTAATTTATAGTACTTTTTAGAACTTTATTCCTATTTTCCATCCGAACACTATTAGAACTATTTACAACAAGATGATACTGAAAATATTTGTTATAGTCTTTCTAATGGCGGAAGTTCGAGCTTGTTTATGGGAAAATATGCGGGAATTCGTTCCTTCAGAATTCTTCGCTAAATTCGATAAAGAGGCATGTATTCATATATATATTGTAAATAGAATACAGTAACAAAAAAGTGGAGTAATCCTATACATCACAGGTTTCTCAAAGTGAGGCATTGGAATTTGCTTTCTGCAAAGATAAAAACTTTGTTTACGGCAAATATCCTAAATGCGCACCACTCAGGTAATCATTTATTTATTCAATTTTTAGTCAAATTTTGACAGATGATGCTAAAAGATGGATGTTAAAATAGAAAAATAAATAGTACGTTTATTTTGTAACAAGCGCTTTGACATATAGCTTGCAATAAAAATATTAAATCTAAGATTAGATTAGATTGTGTATGTGACAGGTCCAACAAGTTTTAATAATTTTTTTTCTGTACGTTCAATACGATTGTTGCTGGTACACCTGATGACTCAGACTTCAATATTTCCCGGTATCAAAACATCAATTAAAGGAAGAAAATTTTTCCTGTGTCAGGAATTAAACTATCTCACCATTGTATATTCTATTTCGACAGTTATTCATCAGGACCAGATGAAGTGTGCCAAATAGAGAAGGGAACAGGTAAGAAAACGAATTGCAAAGACAGAAAATGCTCTTACATTGTTCGTTATGGATCGACTAAATACAACAAAATAGTTGAACTGTACAGACCGATCAAAATTGTCACGAAGGAATGCAGGTAACTTTTTCTACGTAAAATGTTCTTTCTTGTCCTTTATTCAGCTTATGCATGATAACAAATTCAAATCATCTTATATATACATGATATGTTAAATAAACACGAGTCGTGCTTTTATTGAAAATATCACTCGACCACGAATAAATTATAGTATTAATGTTTTTTGAGTGTATCAATTTGTAAGTTTCAACGACTAGTAAATCCGGGCGTACAATTCCTGAGAAATATTAAGAGATTTCAATTTGAATCATCTTCATAACAGCATTTTTATAGAAATAGCAATAATGAGACAGAAAACTCTTTTTTTAATTATTTTGGAGGAATCGCTTTGCCAGGTAGTTAAAAAATCCGGGGATGTCTAATATGCATCAGAAAGTTGTTCTCGGATGTTTTATTTATTTTTTATATTTCAAGTTGTTTCTACAAATACATAAATTTAGTATAAATTGACTGATACATTTAAAAAAATCTTTTATTCTTCAAGGCCTTATCAAAATTCGTGTGGCCAGCTGGGCAAATATTACAATTCAAATAATATTATGCCAGAACTTTATCCCAATTTCGAATTTTATCCGCGTGGAACCTCAAATAGAAGATCCGAATGCGAATGTCAGACTATTTGGTGCGTTGGTGAAACGTTGACAATCTACAAAGAAAAAGGAAGATTGTACAAAGGGGATGTATCAATTAAGGTAAAGAAATATCCTAACTGTGAATTATTTGAATATTTTATTCTTTATTCAGTAAATATTCAGTAAAAGTATGCTATGTTCAGTTGTATGCAAAAATGTGTACTTTTAACGTTTACGACAGACGTTTTTGCTAATTTTTATTGTATTAGTTTTTCTGCAATAATTTCACAATTTTGGGTCAACACGTAGTTTATTAGATTGAATGTCAATAGTGATTTCTAAAATGATATTCCTTTCAAAACTAAAAAATACATTGTACGCACTCAATGTAGAATATTTGATATCTTTCATCTGTGCATTATACTTGCAGAAACCATGCAAATGCGAGTGCAGAAAAAAAGTGACCAGATCGACTTATGCAGGATAAGCAAACAAGGGAGAATGTTGCCGATATGTTGAATCGTTCATTGTTAAAATTATGTACGATTTCTTGCATGTGTAATAAATGAATGTATAAAAGAATGAGTTAGTTTCTCAAAAATTATTACAAGAGCAATATGAATAAAAAGTCGTATTGCTTTTTAAGAGTCAGATTGTTTTCCATTCCCAATCGAGTTTTGTACTAGGCGTTTGTAGAAATAGGTATGAATATATAGTTGCAATCGCCATTCGGAAAATGTCATCTCTGGGCCATTGGGCGACATTTGTACAAGAACGTAATGTCGAATCTGTCAGCAATGTTCTCTATGTCGACAATCTCAGTAGGCAATGACGTTTCCTCAGAATTGTCGAATCTGTTGACAATGTCGTATCTCGCATCACTGTCTAATCAGGTAATCGTGTCGACTCGGCTGACAAAATCGCCATCGCAGGCAATAACATATGTAAGAAGGACAAGATACAAGATTTTAGTTTGGTTGGACTACATCAAATCTGGTGAAGTCATTACAATAATAAAATGGTTGAGCTAACCTATTTTTAATCCCCCAATTTTTTAAAAGGCGAAAAGTGGCATTTGATGGGCTACTTGATTAAGCTAATAGCTTTGAAATAACGTGGAAACGTTTTCTTCCTCGCTCATCTCTTCCTTACGGGTTAAAATTGGTTCACCACGAATATGTAGTACGACAGCGCAGTGAAATTATGAAGTTTTAGCAAGTCGGCATTGACATGAGTTGTCAAGTTAAAATATGACGTTAGTAACACTTGTCAGCTTATAATCATAACTGGTAAACAAAATTCAGTACAGATAAAGTATTGATGTAAATAAAATTCTTTTAGGAAGTTTTTGACGTTTATTCCTTTAGTCTTATACGTATTGATGTATATCAGATGTATTTATGCTCGGGGCATTCTGTAAAAAATAATAGTTGTAGATCACCAGGGTTTTAGTGTTAATGAGAACTGCAAAGCTACTGGGCGTTGCACAGCTTGTTTTTAAGCAAATCGTATACTGGAAAAACAAAATGATCTATAAGCATGTTTGCTGATAGTAGCAAACCTAATATGTATTTCATTATTACTTATCGATCTTGATCGGTAAGTATGTTGATAGGTATTCGTTTGTTTGTCTGTCTGTTTGTCTGTTAGACATTATCGTATGTTACGTGATATCTCACGAAAGCGAGGTTGAATCTGCTTCAAAGTTTGCATGTGCATTCATCATATCTCTGACCAGAAACGTGTTATTAATTAGCGAGTTAATATTTGATTAGTGATATGACACGCGGTGTCGCTATTGAATCAGAGCGGAGGATAAACGCCGCTGAATCGAAAAGTCGACGGTCTCTGATCGCTATCTCGTATTTATTCATCAGTCATTTAGCAATCGCTTATTATGAGAGTATCACGAACAGGAAGCTTTTTTTGTGTAATTTTCGTGCTATTTTAGCAAATGAAGTACACGTTTTGACGTTGTAGATGTAGTTTAAAGTTGTAGATAGACACGGAGAACAAACGATGAAGACATGACGACAGGACACCGATCCAGACGACTTGACTCCTAATACAAGACCTCTCAATATATGACTTCTTCAATACCTTACCCCCAAATATCCAATTGAAACCTTTTTATACGTATGTGCGTATGGTGATATCGATTCCATTAGGGTTATCGATTCGGGTTTGGAATACTAATTACCATATGTCATCGATCCAATTATATTTTTTGGTTGTCATCTGTTTGTCTAGTTACAACGGGAACTATATCGATCCAATTCATGAATTTGGAGAAATTAGCAATTTCCAGTCTTTTTAATGAATTTTACCTGAAATAACGAATTTATCCCTAAATATATCTACGCCGTTTAGATTGGAAATCTGGGTTTTGGGCATATTTGTCACCTAACATACGTAAATTAAAAAAACACATTGAAAATGACAAAAAAACACAATTGAAAGATATACATAATAAAATTCAAAAATATGGGACGAGAAGATTTAATAATGAGAGGGAAGTAGGATGACAGTAAGAGTGTAGATTAGAAAAGAAAAGGCGATTTATTGTTTTTTAAATTTGATTTCGACAGATAAAACTGATCTTTCAATCGAATATACTTCGTCACACTGAAATACTGATTGCTCATGCTTTTGAAAAAATAGCGCTTTGTAAGTTCGCTTGTTGCGATTTGTTGATAATGCCAGCTTCGGGCTTTGAAAAAAATAATAGCGCTTTGTTTGTTTGTTAATAAAAAAAATTGTCATATACTCGTTTTGACGAATATATTGATGAGCTCATTTATGCACTGTTCTTATGACGATGTTATAAACGCTAAAAAGAGTGACGCGTTTGAATCATCTTTTAAAAATAGTTCAGTGTTGATGAAATCTATCTAATCGAAATAGTTTACATCCGTCAATTTTCAATTATTATAAATCACAAGAATTTTGAAATTGAATATTCAACTTGCTTGCATAATCAATTGGCCATAAGATTAGTTGCAATTTGAGTAAACACTTAAACTCTGTTTTCAAGCAATTCATAGAAATTGAGATCCTAATTAATATCGCCAACAAAAACCGGATTCATTCTGTTATTGGGTGTTCTATTGGCAACTTCATTCGATGTTGTATCTTGTGGTAAGCAAGGCCCATCCAAAAGTACCCCCCAAAGCATCTAACTCATCAAGCCAATACATAGGTTAAGATCTCAACATAATATAGCTTCAAGATTGTGGAATGAAATACTCGTGAAGAGACATAATTGATGATTTAAAGCAGGACTTCCCAAGCTCTCGCCTCCCAAGGATACGCGAGCAAATGTGTTTACTATGTTACATTTGCAATGACTACATAAATCCAAAGTAAATTGACTGTGATTTAGTTAATTTCTCGACTGTATTGCATTTATTTTTGTTTGTTGGCTTTTTTATTATTGAAGGTGGCGCATAAAACACCCGTCTCTTCTAACTTATTGACCCTTAATTGATTGATTGAAACCCTGATTGATTAACTTATTGTGACGAGTCTATTTTATTTTCAGAATAATGATAATTTTGGGGTTAATTCTACCGTTGATTTTATTTTCAAAAGTTTTTTTTTATCAGGATGATAGATTTCGTTGCCGAACTTTAGGACGAGATGAATGAAATGGTGAGTAGAATGAATATACAATCCAACCGAGTCATCATTTAAACCTCTATGCAATGCCGCTACAATGACTTTTCTCTGATTAAAATTTTGTTACGAGGTGGATTTATATAATCCTAATTTGCTGCTTTTTGAGTTCCAGCAAGGAAATTTTATATGCTGTTGTATCTAAAACGAGTATTAATTTCTTGCAGAGAGACATGCTCGATGAGGAGAATCAAGTTCGAGCAGTCTGTGAATGAGAGATTTGTGAACACAAACATGAATTCAGCCATATTATACGGAGTTATTTACGATAATGATTTCATGGCTTAAAAACATTTTTAACCGAAATAAACTTTTCATCAATGTGACTTTATGTAGTACTTGTTTGTGTATGATTGAGAGGAGACTGATGTGTTCTGTAGTTGTTGTTCCTAAATACAACTCAAAGTGAATGCGCATAAGTTTCATATGGATTTATTCATTTCACCCCGTTTATTTACTTTCGGGTGCGTGCAAAAATAGAGTTTGGTTCATATTAGATATCTAGTGACCGGACGAGATGCCGGGGCTCGCCATATGTTTAAGCTATCTTATCGCCCTTCCTCTCCCCCGGGATAAACATGTAAATCCTATTCTTTCTTATAACCGAAACAAATTGATATTTATCTTCCCTTATATGCACAGAAAAGTATTGCGGTGTGTCGAACATCCTCATTTTTCTGTTACCGCGTTGCGTCCTCGCAACGGACCTTATGCCCAGGTCCCGGGTGTGGCATTCACGACTTCAACTGATAACACGATTTACTCGCCAACATGATAAGAAAATAGGTTCTATGGACCTTTGACTGTATAATTCCACTCTTCCGGCTAACGATAATCGTGCAATAACTTTAAATTTTCTATTTTATACTGATAGCATGAAGAGATGACTATTACTTTCTCCGCTCTCGCCAGTCACTAAATTGTAAAGCAAATTCACCTGGTGAATTGCCTCTTTCCTTCCGTCTTATAAATAAAAGATCATTCTTTTGAGCAAAATGATATATACAGTAGCACCATTAATAGAGCACACAACATTAGTAGTACAAAAGAGGATAGTTAGTTATGAATAAAAAAACATAATGTTGAAGGAAAAATCGTTCAATCTACAACAATGATCGACACAAAATATATACATTAATAATCGATGTCGGCGCCGACTGGCAGATAACCATAACAAATACAGCACAGATAATCACTAATTAAGGGGTAGTATGCACGAGCTAGTTCTGACATAGACAAACTACGAAGTGGGGGCCAAATTTGGCCCGTTGGGTAATTTAATCTGGCCTGCCTGATGCTCCCACAAACCAAATTTTGATCTGGGGCCAAAAAAATAGCTCAAGGAATTTGTTGAGATTGCGATTAAATTTAGTTTTGGCACAAGGCTTAATGTTTTCAACTTCTGTTTCAGTAACAACGTAAATATTGTTCATATTGGCAAAACCTTGTGCACCCCTGAGCTGTCCATGATACTACGTTGGTGTAGTAGACATTATCAGACAATATGATGGGATCTAAATTACAAAGCTGCGCTCTTGAACGTCGGAGACGAATTTGTACATGAAGGAAATAGTGAAAGAGAAAGAATAAATGCTGAAATTTATCAACAGTTCTAGGCAGTGGATAAAAAAAACTAAACCAAAAGTAGGTTATAATAGTACCATATTACAATTAGTCAATACATGCAGGACATCCGTCATTGAATTACAAAAATTTGAAGTTACAACGGTTCTGTACTACAATTGAGCAATTCATGCAGAATAAAAAAACTCACTAAATTACAGGAATTCAAATAAAATTAACTAATAATATAACAATACTGTTGTGATGGAATGACAAGTGCATATGGCATAGTTGGCCTAACTTGATTCTTTATCAACATAATAAGATTATTACGCTATCAAACAATTGGGACCAGAATTTTGGAATATGCTGCCGTACATTGTATGTTTTTTAAAAAAGCATATTTGTACCTCCACAGATATCTGACTATATACCTCATGAAAAGTATATCAAGAAATCGATGAGAAATGCGCCAAATAATCATTAAAAATTGTGGTTATTAAAAATTCATAAAATATTTATTCCAGGTAAATTTGACACAAGAGCTGTGGATGAAGTCGAGTAAACTCATTGCACGAACAAAGTAATGCTGGAAGGGCCACTTAGCAAACTAGACTGGAAGGTAGGAAAATCATGATTTTTTTATTTTACCTTGAATGTGACCTAAGATACTCATGTAGGCTTTAGTTTAGGTTATTCCAAATTAGAATTTCCAAACTATGAATTTCAGGGAATTCTGAGATTTGGTGAGTGAGATGTGAGGTACAATGCAAAAAAAACCTTGTTGCGGAATGATTGTTATGTTCATGCATTGAACTAATCGTGATGCTGGCAATTGGTTGTTTTGAAATTGATGAATAATTTTCTAAACTTGTAGCCCTTTGGATATCAGTCAATCTAAGCACTCTAATTTTACAGTAAAAAGAGTTCAAATTCGAATGAAATGGTGCTCAAACAGGGATGCTGACGGCTCCATTTTGTGAAACTTCAAATTTATGCATGTTCGATGGTACTCCCGTAGTATGTGTACCAGGTTAGAGTTAGGCCATAATTTTATTTCAATTTTCCTTATTTAAGTTCTATTATGAGTTCGGAGACTGTCTGTGTTAGCAAGTGAATATACCCCTGCCCATAGGTTTCAGTCCCTTCACACAACTTGATGTAAAGTAGGCGAACAAAATTAGTTACCTTCATATAGGTACACATACTTCTGGAGCGCCTGATTGATTGAGTTATAGAGCCCCAAGTAGCTAAGGCATATTGAATATGGGAGAGAAAGGTAAACAGTACTCAGGGTGGAATTTTGTAAATATTGTCAAGGGTTACCCAGAATCCCTACTGATCTTGACAGTTTCCTACGAATTTCTGTGGTGTGTGTGTTCCATTTTAATTGACTATCACACTGCATAGTTGTCTGAAGATCGTAAATATGAAGTAGTGCTGATTTTTATTTCATTTCGTCAGACATTGGTACTGTTGTTGTCCAAAGTTATATTTCCTATCTCTCCGTGGTTAATGATAAAGCCACGTCCAGCTGAAACACAAATATTCAAATATTAATCAGTCTTTTAGATAAAAATTTGCAGTAGAGAAGAGCTAACATTATTAGATGGCTTGATCATAAGAGAATAGTTGCACAGTGTTGAAATGCCTTCACAGCTGGGCTTTATCTTCTAAAGCAGGGGTTCTCAACCTTTTTTCTGTCAAGTAAAGAGTCACGAAACAATCAACGCGAACCCCCGTAATCAGGCATCGAACAAAGTTGTGATATATTGACTAGCAATTTGTTGCAACAACAATTTATTGACCATATGTAACTAAATTAAATCTTTGCGTTGATATTATTGCTCTTGTCGTTCACTTAACTAATGAATTCTTAAAATCTTTCCATAGGCATAATCACTTTCTCCAATGCTGACAGCAAGCTGTCTCAAAGATTTCAGTTTGCCTGCAAAGCCGTGAATTTCACATTGTTGCATCACAATCACAACAACGCAAAATCAGTGAAAATCTATGTTTCAATTGGCACCCATTTTCTTCTGGTAGTAATAAGGGATATTAAAAACAGACTGCCTACCAAGTACCCCTGGATATCTTCTCGTGAACCCCAGATTGAGATTGTTCTAAAGAGTCTAAATCAAAGTTTATCTTGGGGTCTGAATCCAAATTTCAAACTCAACCAATCGAACTAAACTTGACTTGTTAAGGAGTTGTCGAGACTGGAATACAAGATCCAAGAGCAAAAATCCTGACCCTGAGCCACTTTTGAGTCTTTCTTCAGTGTGCTGGTGGATGGCTAGACTCTTTGCTGTTGCAAGTTAGTTTGTGAAACTAGTTTACATCACAGTAAGCAGTCACCATTCATATAAATGCATTTGTTAGAATTCCCTGAACAACTACCCCCTTACTACACCTGCAATAGCAACTGGCTGCGACTTACAATTATTGAGCCATTTCATGGACTTCCTAATAAAACATTAGAAGTTCATCTTATCTTAAACAACAATATTTATCTAATTCATCAGACGATTTTCAACTGCATGGGATTGGAATGAAATAAAGTACAAAATTCCATGATACTTCTTTCATAAATTGTTTTGCATACCTTGGTTATAGCTTTTGTCTTTGAATTCCATCCTAAAAAAGTAAGGCCGGTGGTTGCCGCCACTTGTCCGATCTATCAGAGAATACTTCATTGTATAACAGCCACTTCGCTTGGGACTGCAGACGAAATTTACAGCAAAGTAAAGACCGTGGAAAGGATTTTGAAAATCAGAGACATCGAAGGGGCGTCCATCTATTGGCACAACTTTCACATCATCCTGACCAGTGCAAGAAATTTGGGATACACATTGGAAACCAACACCTAATGTAAATCTAAAAGGATCAGCTTTTATTTCCACAAAACCATTCTGAAAATATTGGTTCCTAATAGTGCCAATCTGATATCTCCCCGTAATTCCATGAACTGCTACTATCTCATGCTCTTTCTTCCATAAATTAACTTCAACAATCCAACCTGAAAAAAGAACAATGAATAAGTCGACCGACTCGATACTCAAACAATTTAAAATTCTGGTCAAAATCTGTCGTACTCGGATGCGTTGCCCGGTGGAACAACTTCACCAGCCAGAACCATGCATCTTGGATTTCTCTTGGCCATTTAACAAAAGAACGTGGTCAAATATATGGACACGAAGGTTTAATCGAAGTAGTACAGATATGCTATCATAGTAGACCACTGATATGTCAATCTTCAAGAGTAACGTAAAACTGGGGCGCAATTTTCTATGACGTCATAAATTTTCTCTCTCTCTCAAGATGTCACTAAATGACTACATAATGAATCCACAAGGCGGGTTGCCACTTTTACTTCCCTATATTTTAGAATGCATGAGAACGAATTAAAATATTTACCATTGCTGGCAAAACAGTTTTTGTACTCAACAAATTGGTAGTCAAACACAGATCCGGAACTAATTATGTTCGACTGTAGAGTTCAACTGTACTTACTTTGATTAGCGCTCATTCGTCCAAATATATTCATAATGTCTGAGCATGACTGATCTATAACAGAAAAACATCAAGACAAGATTATTTTTTTTTACTGGAAGGCAATATTCATGTGATAATCATGATGGCCTTCTGAATAATACAATGATTCCCAATTTTGTAATTTTCAGCAAAATGATTAACAACCATTAATATAGATAAACCTGTTGCCCAAGAAATTTTAAATTGCATTTAGGGAGGTCTCGAATTCGGATTGTTACTGTACTGCAGTGATCAAAATGCAAGAGTGAAATTAGTTATCATAGTAATACTCGTATAATACACAGTATTGCCATCATAGGAAATAACAAATTCCATTGGAAGCAGGTATTGCCATCATAAGGATCACCCAGCATGTGTTTCAGCTTCAAGTTACCAGTACCATGTTCCTATGATTACTGACTCAACAGCTTCAAATCGATTCTATTTATAGAACTAGCATTTTGTGCCATACTAATTTGCCTTTTCCCCATTATGTATGTAATTTTGACACTTTGGCAGCCATGTGATGGGCCGATAACTATCGGTAAAATTAGCCGATATTGATAGTTCAAAATTTGTGAAAAACAAGGCCGATATATCGGTCGAGCCCTAATCAAAACACTGAACTGACCTATTGTCGGCCGCAATGAGTTGTATGGTAAGCTTCTTATACTTGCTCGCCCCATAGAATCTAAGAAAGCAAAATGGTTACTTTTATAGCAGGCATCAAGAAAAGTTGTGTAATACCGACTAGGGCTGACAATCAAATGAGAAATTATGGTATTTAATTGGACTATCATTTTTAATTCCATTCCAATCCAGGATAAAATTGAAATCCAATTGCCATTTTTCCAATTGCAAATTTATTTGTTTAAACTTGATAAATCTAATAAAAACTTTATATAGACACAACGATGTAGTGATTGGGATAGGATAATTTTAAATACTTACCATAGAGCACCAATTGATTACTGCCAATAGTGTCGTATCCAGAAACAGTTTCGAATGATTCAAATTTGGCTGTAATGATAAAGATTGTATGATTATTTGAGTGACAGTCTATTGGATAGTGTTATGTTGGACTATTGAACCCCTAGCTAGGGTTGCCACTTCTGGATACATTTTTTCAAATAGAATCTTGAATCGAATCTGATTCCATTAAGCTTTTTTTTTAGCTAAAGTAAGACGACATTCGCACATTATGCTTGGTTTGGCATGAAATCTGGCATGTGTTAATGTAAAACAGTGCACAAGTTGCCATTCCTTAAGTATTACCTACTCCCACCTGTCCGTTATGACATTTGCTAGAAATAATTCCAAATGTTTTATTCCCTCTTGTATCGCGCTAACAAAATTAAAAGAAAATACTACATTTCTGTTAATGTAACAGCTGGAAAAAGAAACGTATGTTTTATGACATTATGTTCCCTTCATTTTGTTTACCGCCACTCAAGTGGAGGCCTGGCAAACGCAAATAAAATAAATAGCCTATACCATATGTTTTGGGATGAGAAACATGATTGTCAATTAACACGGCCGGCCAATCAACTTATTCAGTAATAGTTCTCTTCAAATGTACGCAAAAATATTTCACTCAGAACGAAGTTTAAATGAAATTTCAACCAAAATTAAACATTTTCTAGACGTCGCTAGCTGACTCTTTATCCTATCATGCCAGAGCATATCATAACTTAGTCGTAGCGCAGGTGTGCTGTTCAAAATTTTCATCCAAATTGTCAAGAATTTTCAGGTATACGATCCATTTAAATTCGCGCATAATAGAGACTCGGACCGTTCAATGGAAAACTGAACTCCCAGTGGGGGGAAATTACTCCACACAGCATATGAACTTGAAACAGATGACGACAGATCAGTTTTCATATCCGTCCCGTCATTTGGTGTTATTTGGAGTGCCGCATTCATCAGATAAACGCATTCATTTTGTAAATTCTTGTTTGTGTGTAAATCGATTCGATTCATAAATCCAAAAGTGGCATCCCTACCCCTAACTTTGATCTTTTTTATTTTACATATAAAATTGTTGGGTACTCCTGTAGTATGTGAACCAAGATGCAGACAACAGAAAGTAGTATGTGTACCAGCCACCAGGTTAGGCCATAATTTCAGATACAAATACTACAGGAGTCACTAGGCTAGTCCCCGAACTCGTAATAGAACTAAAATAAGGAAAAATAGATTAAATTATGGCCTAATCCTAATATGGTACACATACTACATTCAAGTGTCGGCCATTTTGGTTCACATACTTTGGGAGTGTTATTTTGTGCACTAACATAACTCTTTAACTTGAAGGCACTCATGTACTCATGTACAAGTACAGATATTGGTCCACGGCCACAATATTTGAGAGATGAAACATAGACATGAGAAAGTAACAAACAGTTATCGAACAATACAAAAAAAAAAGTGGGGTAAATGTAGGGAGATATATAAGAAACACGCTAACTGTAAAAAAGTCAATTTGCCCCTTTTACACACTGATCTCTTCTGTGGTCGAAGTCTTTTAGCAATTGAATGTAAAAACGGGAGGAAAAGTGTAGCCTAAATGAAGTAAAAGATTAATAAATCACTGGAAAGTGGAAACGCTGGAATCTTTTGAGCTCAAAATGCCCAACTCAATTCATTGCACCCCTATGCGGTGTAAGATATGGAAATCCAACACAAGGTATATGGGTAAAAGACTTGATATCAAAATAGTTGTTTTCCAGACCCCTAATTTGATATTCCCGTAATATGTGTACCAGATTAGGGTTAGGCCCTAATTTTATTCTTCCAATTTTCGTTATTTTAGTTCTATTACAAGTTTTGAGACCGACTGTGTTAGCAAAGTGAATACATCTACCCCCTGGCCATAGGATTCAGTTTCTTTATACAACTTGATGTAAAATAGGCAAATAAAATTAGTTACCTCCATATTAGTACACACAATTATGGAGTGCCCCTAATTTAACAGAAAACATATTTTTTTAAACTAACCTTGCTTCCATTTGAAGCTTGTAACTACTGGGTTTGTCGATAGAATCTCATACTGAAGATTGTATTCACCACCAGCCTAAACGGAACGTGTCAAAAATTTAAAATTATAATAACTTTTTAAAATAAGATCACCTCTTGTTCGGTTACCTTCCATGTCAGGATGGGATTAGTCAGTTTTTTGTTTTTCGAAAGCATGGCAGTGAAGGAAGCTGTAACCGACCAGCGTTTACGTGAACCACCCTAAGGCGACAAGGAGTCCAGCAAGAATTCGTGGGGTTTTTCAAGGGCAAGAATTCGTAGAAATCAGAAGTTGGAACTTAATTTTAACGAAGCAATGCCATGTTCATTCCTATTACGATGACTAGGGATAGCTTAATTAAGGTTGAGAATTACCCAAAGTCTATTTTAGGCTTAGTGGATCAAGTATATTGCTTATAGACCTGACATGGGCAAACTGCAGATGTTGGCCAAATCCGGTAATAAGCCAATTACTTTTCCGAGTCAGTTACAGATAATAGACTTGGTTAGTGGGCTGAATGCTCAAAACTCCATATGAAAAAAAAACTTTTATTCACATCAGCTATAGAAGCACAATGTAACAATTAGCGTTATTATGACATTATTTTTATCAATATTTCAACGGAAATTTATAGACATAAAAACTATAGTGGTAATTTCAGCAAACACGAGTGGGCCGGATGAAACACTTCAGTGGGCCGGATCCACCAGCGGGCCATAATCTGTCCACCGCTGCTCTATGCCATTCCACAGGATTCGTTCTACTTGAAATGAATTCATTTCAAAATAATAAATATTATTATCTTCACCTCTGATGTAATGGTAGTAATGAACTCTTGGCATTCATATTTGAATATATTTTCATAACACAAGGAGTGAACATCTGGAGAGAAATTGAGATGCCGGGAATTGGTGACAATACGACACTTGTATTCCGAATCTGGATACAGCTTTATATGCCGCAGTCTTTCGTCACATTGCTCATATCCCTCTTTTTTTAGTTTGGAAATCTTTGTATTTGCTAGATTTTTTAAATGGTCAATCACATACAAAACCACAATTTCATCGTCTCGTTGGAATATGTAGTAGAGTAAAGAGAGTTTGCCATCTAAAGAACAAAAATAATCAGAGTGTAATTTCTTTATTTTTAAAAAACGATACAAAAAATTCTATCATAATGTTTTGGACTAAGCGAAAGAATAACAACCCTATACATACATCATAAGCTCAAACATTCGCCAGCCTTGGACCATAAGTGCATTATAAATCCATTTTTTCTCAAAAATTGATTGCGAGCCTTATAAGCTGGTGCACCAAATGTATGGATCAGGTAATGCTTTATTGCTTACACGCAAAATCATTACCAATATCTCTCTGTTGTGTCTTATAGCCCAGGGCTTCCCAAACTGTGTGGGCCGAGGACCCCTATTTGTGAATCTTAGTTTTGATGGACCCCCATCCTAGGCCGTACTAGTTTATGTGCCAACCGAGGAAGGATAATTTTTCATTTGCAAAACAACAACACAAAAGACATTAATGTGATGGATGTGGTTGCTTTTCACAGCACAATTTATGACGAGAAAACTCATAGATCCCACTTGGTAAGTCTTGATCTGTATTTTGTCATCATATTAGTAATAGCTGAAAATGCTACCTTACACATGTAGGTCGTTGTAAAAGGCAATAACATCTTAATTGCATTTTCTGACAGCAATGAATATTTATCCGCAACACTCGACCAAACGAATACAATGGCTTTTTGATCGAAATTAATTTTGATTGAACATTCTGCGCAGCCATCACAGACCACAGTTTGGGAAACCCTGTTATGGCCTGATGGACCTTATAAGGGAATAAAAACCCAATTACCCAATATACACTATTTATTGACAGCGCGCGATGCGCCATATGGAAAGTAAAATAATATTACCATATTCAAAACTTGTTTTGTATGCTTGTCCAGACACATCGGAATAGTTGGCCGTGATTTCGAGATCACATTTTCTACCTGGCATTAGCTGTCGAAAGCTACGCTGGTAACATGGATTGACTATGCCTCGTACATCATCAATTACTTCATCTTCAAATGACAGAATCAAGTTGTATTTAACATCTCGTTGCTCACGCCATGTCACCTTCATACCGTTATTTAGGAGCAAATTCACGTTGGTGACTTTATTTGGGGCTGAGAAAGAGATAATTATCTTATGAGTCGTGGAGAGTAAAGGAATCTAGCATACCATCAATCATAACCAAAGAAGAAGTATTGATGAAAGGGTATTAAAACGATGAAATAATACCATTTTTTCGCTTATAGATTTAAGTACAGAATCCGGTAATCCCGTAGTATGTGATTGTGGACCAAGATGGCGGACACCAGAACATAGTATGTGTACCAGGTTAGTCCCCGAACTCATAATAGAGCTAAAATAAGGAAATTGGAATAAAATTTTGGCCAAAGGTTGGGCCCCAACCCTAACCTGATAGTTTATACACATACTACGTTCCGGTGTCCGCCATCTTGGTTCACATACTAGTACTAAGGGAGTACTCAAAATCATAGCAAATTATTGACTGTGCTTACTTTTACTCCATTCGATTTTCTCAACTTTTTTCTTTTCTTTTCTTACAAGTACATGTTCCAAATGATATTTTCCTAATTGCGAGACTTCAATTTCACACTGATGCTCAATAAATCCTTGTTGGTAGATTTCTTCATAAGAAATAGTGTAACTTCCATTTGAGATAGTGAGCTCCCTACTGTCAGAGTCAGGATATACTAAGGAGCACTGATATTGTTTCCCGGGTTTGAGTTGCAATTTCCATGTGATTTGATCATTCAGTTGAAATCCCTTTTTTCCGAATTTCTCATTCCATTCGTTCCCAAAAGGGATGAGAGTCCAGAGAAATGAAATTTTGTTGTTTTTGTAAAATGTGTAGCAAGTTGCCACAAGATCACCCACTAAAATACAAATTTGAGCTTTTATTGAATGTATTAGAAGACAGTCTGTGAGGCAGCTTCAAGTGGGAGAGGAATTACATATGTATTCTGGAGGAGTGGAAAGTGTATGAGACGGCTTTAATCATATGGAAAACCACAGCCATTGGCAAAAGTCCAATGTGTCGAACTATGTTTATGTTAAAGCAAGTTCTGAGGTCCCATTAAAATGGGGTAGAAAAGAAAATACAGTGAGAGGTCCCAATTAAAAAAGGGGTAGAAATGGAAATACAGAGAGAAGGCCCAATCAAAAAAGGGGTAGAAAAGGAAATACAATGGTATTAAAAATCTGGAAGAATTTAATTATTATAGTAGACCCATCAGGCTCGTTTATTTAACATTACTTTTCTTACTTTATCGCCAATAAAATCGCCTTGCTATTATTTGGGATCATGATCAGAAAGTTGAAAATAGGTTTTGTTCTCCCGGCAGCCTAGGTGATAGCCTGTACAGGCAATAATTGTTTCTATTTTTGGTTCCTTTGCTGGAGGTTACAAATCACCTTTTCTATAGGGATTATTTCATCATCATTCTACCAGGGGAACTACCAGGTATATATATATAGGTCAATATTCCAAAATAATTTTCTAAAATCAACAGTACGTAGCTGCTACATGAGATTATATTACATTTCCAACTTAAGCTATAAATTTAAACAAATATTTAAAATTCCAAGTTAAGTTATAAATGAAATTGAATATTTCGCAATAATCCAATATGGGTATGTAATAGTAGCTTGACTAGTTCCTCTTACAAAAATAGGAGACAAACTTTTGGGATGGTCCAATATTTATTTGAATATAGCTATGTCAATTTTGTAATACGCTATTCATGTACCCAGTAAGGAATGTTATTCGAACATATAATCAAGTAACCCCACCTTTCTCATTACATTTAATTATTCATCTAAAAGATAAAAAAATGAAAAATTACAATCTGTCAAATCTAAATATTTTACCAAACTTGAATTTCCTTTGTAAAGTTTTGCCAGGAAGGTCATCAAAATTTGCCCAGATTTTGTACGAATAGATAAGACCACGCTTGAGATGTTTATAACTGCGTTGATAACATGGTTGAACAAGGTTTCTTATTGTATCAACTACTTTATTGTCAAGCAGAAGTACAAAGGTAAAAGCGACGTTTTCATTTTTTTGTTTCCTCCATTTTATTTTTATGCCATTGTCTTGATCAACACACAAATCTACAATATTGGATGGCTCTGAAAAACAAATTTTTAACAAAATACACTTGACATGATGTATAGGAAAATGAGCCAAACAATGCTAGTGTCTCAGATTAAAAATCAAGTCTCCCATCAATTGATTTTATTTTCTGATTCTGGAAAGTTTGTTGTTGCTGACGACTATAATAAAACATGAGAAGTAAATTTTCTCATTCAATATCGCCACATGAAAAACCGAGTTGCCACATTTTAGAGGTTTTCAGTAAATCACATTTTTGTAACTTTTAAATCTGTTACGTAATGAGTGCTCTAAACCGGAATTTGGTATTATTAACAAAACATAATAACAAAGTATGACCGTAAAGACTGTGTGTTTGAGGATGTCTGAAGCAAACATCTTCCCCTATATATTTTTATCCCAATTTTGGGGCTTGAATTTCAGAATATTCCAAGTTGCAATACTGAAATTAGAAAACAATATTCAGATTTCTACCCCTAAATGTCTGATAGTTTCACAATATTCCATTCAATACATGCCATTATCAAGTCTAAGAAAAACAGGAAAGAAGATCAAAAGTGCATTTCTGAAAAATAGGTATCACATATTCTACTTTTGATTCACTGTGGCAGTGACAAACTGTAGTGACTATCTTATGTTATACAGCCTGCAACAGAAATTAATTTTCAGATATGGAACAAACTATAGCTTAATTAAACTAAAAAAACAAACAGACATGAGATAGTTTGGTTCTAACAGCTAAACCAGGGGTGGCCAACCTTTCACATACCATGCGCCACGTTTTAAACATAATGTTTCAGATGCGCCGTAAATCTCTTGTATTCCCACGCCTAATGTCCGCTTCTTGTTGAAATTATATAAATTTATAATACACACACATATATACACACGTATATGTATAGTTAACTCAAAGAAAATTCTCGTATCTACGCAAAAATTCGAGCAATTTACGATAAACAGATTACGATTGATTACGAAACAGGGAACCATTGTGACACCATGCTTCAAGAAAAAACTACAGCCTTCCTGAAAGTAGGAGCAAAACGCATTCTGCCTTATGAGCATTACGCAATAAAGCTGTTTTTAACGAAGAGAAAAAGGTACGATTAAGAAGCTGTTTGGCCCAGCGTCGCGTGATTTTACTCCAGGCTTCTTCGAGATTAGTACTTGCGTCACAGCAAGCGATTTTACGCTTTGCTTTTGTTGACAACGGTCATTTGAAGTTTGGATGAAAAAGATGGTATTTAGGGGTCATTTTCAGCATGTTGTGGGTTGATTTATAATAAATTTTTTAGGCTTGGGCAATACAACTGGTTGTTCAATGGTTATTGGGAGATATTTGGGAAGTCTGGGCAATGGAAAATCCATGTTTCAAGCTGATAAATGACGATTTTCTATTTTTCCAGAACTTCTGAATTTTTTACTTCAGTAGGGAAAAAATAGTAAATTTTACTAAAAGTCTAGAATGAATGTCATAAAGTCCGTCCAAAAGCTCTTGTCAATAATCGCCTGTTGTTTCTAATTCCAACAAGCCGTAAATGGGCGACGTGGAGTAAGGAGAATAGATTTTAGGTACAATCAAGTCGCAGGTAAAATAAAAAAAAACGGCTTGGCGTGGAGAAGCCAAGTACAATTAAGAATTTTGGCATGAAAGGGTTAAAGATGCAATGCGCCACCTCTAATCATGCGATGCGCCACGTTTGGCGCATGCGCCATAGGTTGGCCACCCCTGAGCTAAATTCATCCATTCACACCCTTGCTCCATTCACACCCAGAACACGAACATGCAAACTCTTGTAACACTTATCATCACTTATTATCATTGACATAGACGGCTTAATCACACAGCATGCCAAGAACTCTCGACCAGTTACCAGTCCATGTTGGGTATTATCAGTTATCTGCTTCAGATGCGAAGACTGATGGTAGAGGAAGCCACCCAGTGGTTACATCAGGGGTCGGCAACCTACGGCCTGCGGAGTGATATAATCCGGCCTGTGACACTTCACTAAATTATAGTAACAAAACAGCTGTTTTGACGATTATATTATTTATGTAACATAATTTATTGTGAGTTACGTGTAGACTAAACTATAATATAACCTAACAAGTATAAAATTATTTTTTAATTTATTTATATTTGTACAACTTGCAACGAAACGCAGAAAAGTTGATGTTAAGTGCAAAGGGTTCAGTGGTGCCTAAAATTTTCAAATAGAATTTTTTTGAGATGCAATGCGATGAGGAAATAAATCTGTATTCTTTTCGAGAGATGTATCATCGCTTGATTTGTATTATAAAAAGTATCATCCGTTTGGTTTTCAACTTTCTAAAAATATGTGCTGCCGACCAATGACTTGCAACCCTTAATTTTGGTCCTCGAGCGAGAAAAGGTTGCCGGCTCATGGGTTACATAAACCACATTTTTCTGAATTTCTATTTTGATCTTAATCGATAATTTCAATTTAGAGCTCAGATTTCCTTCTACCCAAGATATTTTCAGATAGGGGTCTGAATTTATTAGTAAAAGGAGAGACTTATAAATTATTGTTTATATTTGTAACGTTGAGATGTATGAGTAAACTTTTTTAAAACAATGAGTAAAGAATAAAATGAATTAATATGAAATATAATGAAACCAACCTATGCTAACACTCTGGGAAAGCAGCCTTTTATTGTTTTCATTTCTTCCCACAGAGACACGATAGATCGCAGCAGATTTATACTCAAAATTTATTTCTGTGTCCCTGACATACATTGTTTTCAATGACTCGTTATCACGAAAAATTTCCACAACTACTATATCATCCTCCAATCTTTCCATCTCCCAATGGACTTTAAGACACGAATTCTGTCGATGCAGTTGCACAAACTCGCCTAAATGCATGAAATACGAGACATCTATTATTATAATTTAAATAAATTCTCGTTGGCTTCCCAATGTGACAGATTAAGGTTCTAAGGTGTTTTCCCTCTTATTACATTTGGGCATTTCTTGTATGGGTTCTCAAGTCTATAAAAAGAGGAGAAAAATAATATTGGATAATTTTGATGGATTCCTCACTGTCAAGCAGTGGTTCATGTCACCATTGGTTAGTTCAGAACTTCATGGTTCTGTAGTTTTGCAACTATCTGCAGATCTGACCATGCAATACTCATCCTAGACTAGAAAGACAATCATTCAATTGGAGTATTGGACCAATCTTATTATAACCACAAGTGCCCATCAGACATTTCAATAAAAAATGAAAACCATTGAACTTTACTCTTTTGACGTGATATTCTCTTCTTTCAGTCTTTAGTATTTAACTGTTCACAGGTTTAAGAATAATTAAGTTTACCTGGGGTGCTGTTCTTGTTTCCCATTTTCTATTTTTCTCACCAAACCGTGGTCATTAAACCATGGTTAACTGAACAAGAGAGCTACGCACAAATATATCCACACGTTAGACCAGAGCGAATCAGTCTTTACCGGTAACTTTGACGCTACCGGTACCCTCAAAAAAGTTCTGAATTTCCAGTAGCAAGAATTTTGCGGAATCAAAACGTACAGCCAGTCATGACACTGACTAAAATCCGTGTTCCCATGGATAAAAAATAATACAGCAAAGTTTTAGACGAAATATCAAATTTCATATAATTCACGCAAAATTTTGAAATAAATAAAAGTAATAGCCTTCTAGCGAAGAAATTAATCTTTAACCACTGAAAATTTCAAAGCAATTGGTCCAGTATTCGAAAAGAAAAGCGATTTTTTAAAAACGTGTCAAAGAACAAGAGAGCTACGCACAAATATATGGACACGTTAGACCAGAGCAAAGCAGTCCTTACCGGTACCTTTGACGCTACCGGTACCCTCAAAAAAGTTCTGAATTTCCAGTAGCAAGAATTTTGCAGAATCAAAACGTACAGCCAGTCATGACACTGACTAAAATCCGTGTTCCCATGGATTAAAAATATAACAGCAAAATTCTAGACGAAATATCAAATTTCATAGAATTCACGCAAAATTTTGAAATAAATAAAAGTAACAGTCTTCTGGAGAAAATTTTTATCTTCAACCACTGAAAATTTCAAAGCAATTGGTCCAGTATTCGAAGAGAAAAGCGACTTTTCAAAAACGTGTCAAAGAACAAGAACAAGAACAACAACAACAACATAATATTGAAACGATCGTTATGTCCACTTCGTGTCCAACAAGAACAACAACAACATAATATTGAAACGATCGTTATGGCCACTAAACGTGTCCAATAAACAACATGATGCGCAACTCCGGCATTTTTGGCCGAAGATCGTATCCGATAGCACGCTCCAATGCACATACTTGGCGAGACGAAAACGAGCGGATTTGTGCTGCCAGTGAAGTTGAAAAAGAAAAACAAAACATTTCGATTGCTAAAACGAATATTGAAAGTCATGAAACAGATGAGGAAAAAAAACAGCAAATAGTGGAAATCATGGATACAAACAGCAAACTGAAGTTGAAAAAATCTCACAATCACAGCTTTCAAAGGAACATAAAGAAGAAAATATGAAACTCGACCAACTAGAAATGGATGCAATCACTTCATTGATGGAACTAAGAAATGAAAGTGATATAATAAAAAAATAATATTGAAGGAAATCAAAGTGAAGATGAAAAGCCTGAAAGTCAGCCAAAGATCTTATTGATAGGGGACTCACAGGTAAAAAGAATAAAAGGCGTAGTATCACCACAAACTGTAAAAACAATTCATATACCAGGCGGTACATTTATGCATGGAGAAAAGTGGTTGAATGATAAAGATCCTTGTGTAGAAAATCTTGCCTTATATTTTGGCACAAATCATTTAGATGAAGATATTGAAACCTTTAATCATCAAGTAGAGAGAATAATGAATTGTGCCAACCGATCCGCAATAAATGTATATTGTATGGAAATTGTGCCATATAAAGGATCAACAAAAAAGAAAATTGATACGAGTCAAATGAACGATATCATTAAACTGACAGCAAAACAACTTGACATCCAAGTTGTAGAATTACCAAAGAAATTCCAAGAAAACAATGACTCATTATGAAAAAGATGGTGTTCACCTAAGTGAAGAAGGGACAAAACTTTTGGCAGGAAAATTACTGTATGAGGTCCAACAACATATGACATTCAAAAAGAGAAAAATGGACAACACCCCTAGTCAATATCAAACGTAAAGGGCATATAAAAAAAATCAGACTCTGTAAGGTATTTACTCATTTATCTGATTATGTTTTCTTGTGTTATTTGTGTTACATTTATGATTATTATTTTTTCTGATTTTTGTAATGAGAGATTAATATATAGTGTAAGATTTAATACTAAGGTATCATTAGCATAGTTTTTTGAAACAAAATGAATATGGCTAATAAAAGTAACCTTCTGTCTCTCATTACATATAATTTAAATGGGATGAGAAATGGATTTAAAAGGAAAAGTATTTTTGATTTTTTGAAAAAGCATCATATTTTATCACATCACGTATCATATTTTTACAAGAAACACACTGTAATAACCAATTAGAAGCTTGTAATTGGAATAGGGAATGGGGGGGACAATCGTTCTGGTCCACATTTTCAAAATGGTGTTGGGATTATGATATCTAAAATTCTGGGAATGGTGTAACATTGCACCTCCCCAGTACAATATTAAAACTATAATTTTCCTACAAAATGTAAAACCAATATTAGGACTGATCATTGCGTGTGCAAAAGGGGTAATATGGGATTTTCGAAATTATATTATATTTGAAGAAGGGCAAACTTACCAATCAACCATGCGAACAATTTTCAAATGCAAGCTGAAAGCTGCCATCAAATATATGGGAGAAGGAACAAAATTGAAAATAATAAGCCATGAAACCATTGATGTATTATTTGATAAATCTGTTATGCTTTAAATTTGCATATAGTGTTATTTCATTTAAATTTCAAAGGCATCTACCGTATTTATTGTATATCATCAACATGGATAGAAAGTAGAAAAACCCTATAATCATGGTATGGAAGTTTTTTCTTATTCCTATCTAATTTATTGAAAACTTTTATTTTTCCATGCTAATTAATTACTGATGGTAATATAATTATAAATTAATAAAATGACACGGATCAACTATAATAAGTATAAGTATAAGTTTATTTCGACTCCATAATCAGCAATAGACGATAAAAAAATAGATAAAAACAAAAGTAAAAGTAACTGATTATAGAATCGGGAAAGCGAACAAAACCTAGAGTAAGGTTTGAAACGTACAGATTTGAGATGGAAAGGTATTGATAAAAGAAGTAGTACGTGTTCGCTCACACAAAAGTAAAAAAAAAACTAATTAAGGCACGCACGCACACACACACACAATCATCGAGACATGATACTGTCGGAAGCGAAAAAAGCGAGACTTAAAAGTAAAAAGGAAGGAAAATATACAAACAGATAAAATAAAAAAATGAATAAATTCTTTTGCCACACCAAATTAATAATTTTATGAGGATCGCCAAATTGGATACCGAATTAGTCAACAAGAGTAATGTATTGTGGATAGAAAAGTATTCCTCAAAAGATATCGTCAAGCTGATTATAATTGGAGTCACCTAATGCCAAATTGCCCAATCAGAATTGCCAAGTTGGATGTATGAAGAGGTGGGCTAGATCTGCTTCACTCATCAAATAGAAGCCACAACAAGCCAAAAAACGTCCAAATTATTTTAAATACTATTAATCAATAACAGTACCGGTAATCATAATTAAAATTAATTAGGGCGGTATGATACAGAGGTAGGAAAATTGGTTAAGGGAATATGTATGGTGTTTAAAGTTCAAGTAAAGTTTCTAGGGTCATGGATTATAGGCAAGTAACTTTAATTGAGGTTGTTGATCACTGCGGTCAGTTCAAATTCATCACGGATGATTCATCAGTCTGCAAGTTTTGTTGATGTATACACCTTTCATGTTGACATAGATAGCATTTGAATTGATCATCATGACGTCCTGAAAAACGAAAAATATATCTGCGAGTACAATATTCAATGATTGCAAATGAGGAATCAATAGAAAACTACCCTACACCTACACCTTTGAGTGGAAGTTGTTGAATTGTGTAAATATTGATTAATATTAATTAAATATCATTAGACTGCTAGTTGAAAGACCTGAGAAAGAAGAGATTGTGGTTGGGACACAAGAGAAATTGTTCACAAACCATGCAAAAACCTTTCGATGTCTATACTTAACTTCAAATGGACATGGATGTAATATGTATATATATGTGATTGATAAACTGGTATTTGATGGTTTTATAATTCGTATATACAATATGACTTTTTGAAATGGTGGTAATTAAAACCATGATATTCAAAATCATCAGAACATCGTTAATTATTACCCGCAACGAGGCACTGTCAAACTAATATGCACAACTCCAGGGTTGATTTGCGACGATCTTCCGACGGCCTCAATGATCGTTGCCAGAATAAAATCCTAAAATAATCCCAATATTTCTTAGATGTGACGCACATCGAAAGATTAGTGATTGATATGTGTTCTTTTTTCATATTCATTAAAGTTCTTATTAAAAAAAGTCAATTCGCATACGTTTACGAAACGGTACAAATTAATTCAAGGCACGGGAAGTATCATCTTAGTACGCGTCTGTCAACGCGCATCAGTTATCGATTGAATGCCGACATTTTCCCTCGCAGCGATTTCTCTCGTTTTGCGTTTCACTAAGCGCGGTAAATATCTTACAAGACAAAGAATATTGAATGATAATTAATCGTTCATTAATTAAGGTCGGATATGAAAAATGCTGAATCAGTTAATTGCGCGTAGGCGGGGACTTGCGTAGTGGGAAAGTCGTTGCCGACCAGAGGTTATGTAAAGTTCAGAGACTTTCTCGTACATAATTAATCGGAAAGCAGCTAATTTCGTTAAAAAGAATTTGTAAACTTTGTTGCATTAGGTTCCTCTATTCACAATACCTTTTCGTTTCTAGTTTTTTTCGATTACCTTCAAAAATAGTCGAGATACATTCTGTTGTTATCTGTCTGACATTCTCGCGGTCACAGTTTTTGAGTCGGCGCAATACAATCCTTATGGAAAAAATTGGCCTATCGGGCGGTACTGAAAGGCCGATATCTCCGTTAATTCTTGACCGTTTTTCGCAAACTTGGTATTGTTTTCTTATTTTCACTTAGATCTATCCACTGGTGCAGTCTCTATTTAAATTTTTTGTAACATACCTACATGTGGGAAAGCCAGCCTTTGTCAAATACTACGAAGTTATTAATTCAGTACGGTGCATAGTTGCCCATTTGCCGGAATTGCATATTTACTTACCCCTTGTGGTTTCAAATAGTTCATGCACCTCCATTTAGATTTTTTTAATCAGTGAGGATATATACTACTAAGGTCATCTGAGTGTTTGTCAAATCAATTTTTAAACAATTTGTATCGGTCCATTACATTTATTTAAATCTGAAAAGTGGGAAACACTTTGTGTTAGTGTCTTATGCTCAATGATTCATATCACGAGCACTTTTTCTCGGGTAGGTTGTAAATCTTGCAGATTACTTGATTTTCAGTGTTCGTGAGAATTGTGTGCTGTCAATTCAGTTAACGTCATATGCGGTATAATTAAGTATGGTGACGTGTAAGTGTATTAAAGATTACGATCAGTTTAACGTCTTCCATACACAAAAAAGTATACTCTGAACCAATTTTCATAAACCGGACTAAAAAACGTTACCGAAAGTGACGAGGGTTCTATATTTATCTCGGTGTAAATTTATAAGTATTATATCCATGGACGATTAAATAACGCATTTCTATCGCTCGGAGTGTTTATTGAAATGAAAACCCTTTCAACTATGCATATGGGTTTATTAAAGATCTGTTTATGCTGATGTAAGGATGGCGGATCAGATAACGTCTTCAATATATACATAAAAACAAGTACACACCGAACATATTTTCGTAAACAGCACTTAGAAAAGTTACAGTAATGAGACATGAAGGCCTCTTACTTATCTCGGTCATATAAATTCTTTCTTGGCAAAATTTGTCATTAATATTATTGGTTGATAGCTGGATTTTTATCCACAAAACTGTTCACCTGGAAATAGTTGATTTTGTTTAGTGTTCATTATATACATCAGAATTGTTTCTGATGGTCGTCAGAGCTCTATTCTATTCAAAAATCCTTTTCCCAATCCTGGAAGTAAAAAGAACTTATATATAAAGTTTTTATAATTCTCTTTATCATGAATACTTTTTTGTTGAATTAATAATAAATACTTGACGCGAGTTGAAAAGTGCAGGCAACGTCTGATCAGCTGTTGCTATCAAAGTGCTACATATAATGATCCAAAATTTTAATTCATGATTAAACTAGGTTCGAACGGTACATGCAGGTCAGATCGTATGCCAACAAATTACAAAAGTTAGAATCCGCGGATCCCAGAGGTAGTTATAGTGTTATTTCGATTGGTAGATTCCAAATCCCATCATGATCAATCAACTCATGCACAAGAAAATGAAACCACACAGTGGAATAACCCATATCCCGGAACGAAATTATATTTAAAGCGCCAGTAATTATTAAAAAATTTCTACCAATTATTATCTTATTTCCTTATTTGATGGTCTGGGATCTTGTCATATTTTGTGGATGCTTAAATATTCATTTTATGTAAGATTGTCTTATCAGAAATAAAAACGCAGTCATAAAGCTTATCTTTAAATGTACATTACACATGCAGTGTTTTGACACACATATAGTTAGCAAGTTATATTAGTATATATATGGTTATACATATAGTTATATTGGGCGTTACACAGCTTGTTTTTTATTACAGAACGCCGAAATATGCGTTATGATGGAATAGGTTGAATAATTTCTCTCGTTTTCAATGTGATGTGGTCAGTAAGCTATACAAAAAGTCGTATATTGGCGAAAGCATTGCATTTCGCTTTGGACTTATTTCTTGCAAACATATTATTTATTGTCAGATGTCAGAGTCGGCACTTTTATTAAATTTGAGCAGAATATGAAAATAGAATTTAGTTGACTACGTTTAAATAGGTTTTATTTTTTTCTTGTACCATAAACTACCTCTATTGAAGGTCGCCTTATTTAAATTCTTCAGAAAAAGCAAAATATACGTGTATGGGTGGTAGGCTATTACACTTACAAAATATTAGTTTGCTAATTTTTAGTACTTTTTAGAACTTTATTCCTATTTTCCATCCGAACACTATTAGAACTATTTACAACAAGATGATACTGAAAATATTTGTTATAGTCTTTCTAATGGCGGAGGTTCGAGCTTGTTTATGGGAAAATATGCGGGAATTCGTTCCTTCAGAATTCTTCGCTAAATTCGATAAAGAGGCATGTTTAATACACTATATATTGTAAATAAAATATAATACCAAAAAGTGGAGTAATCCTATACATTACAGGTTTCTCAAAGTGAGGCATTGGAATTTGCTTTCTGCAAAGACAAAAACTTTGTTTACGGCAAATATCCTAAATGCGCACCGCTCAGGTAATCATTTAATCATTCAATTTTTATTCAGATTTTGACAGATGATGCTAAAAGATGGATGTTAAAATAGAAAAATAAATAGTACGTTTATTTTGTAACAAGCGTTTTGACAGATAGCTTGCAATAAAAATATTAAATCTAAGATTAGATTAGATTGTGTATGTGACAGGTCCAACAAGTTTTATAATTTTTTTTGTCCGTTCAATACAATTGTTGCTGGTACAACAGATGACTCAGACTTCAATATTTCCCGGTATCAAACATCAATTAAAGGAAGAAAATCTTCCCTGTGTCAGGAATTAAACTATCTCACCATTGTATATTCTATTTCGACAGTTATTCATCAGGGCCAGATGAAGTGTGCCAAATAGAGAAGGGAACAGGTAAGAAAACGAATTGCAAAGACAGAAAATGCTCTTACATTGTTCGTTATGGATCGACTAAATACAACAAAATAGTTGAACTGTACAGACCGATCAAAATTGTCACGAAGGAATGCAGGTAACTTTTTCTACGTAAAATGTTCTTTCTTGTCCTTTATTCAGCTTATGCATGATAACAAATTCAAATCATCTTATATATACATGATATGTTAAATAAACACGAGTCGTGCTTTTATTGAAAATATCACTCGACCACGAATAAATTATAGTATTAATGTTTTTTGAGTGTATCAATTTGTAAGTTTCAACGACTAGTAAATCCGGGCGTACAATTCCTGAGAAATATTAAGAGATTTCAATTTGAATCATCTTCATAACAGCATTTTTATAGAAATAGCAATAATGAGACAGAAAACTCTTTTTTAATTATTTTGGAGGAATCGCTTTGCCAGGTAGTTAAAAAATCCGGGGATGTCTAATATGCATCAGAAAGTTGTTCTCGGATGTTTTATTTATTTTTTATATTTCAAGTTGTTTCTACAAATACATAAATTTAGTATAAATTGACTGATACATTTAAAAAAATCTTTTATTCTTCAAGGCCTTATCAAAATTCGTGTGGCCAGCTGGGCAAATATTACAATTCAAATAATATTATGCCAGAACTTTATCCCAATTTCGAATTTTATCCGCGTGGAACCTCAAATAGAAGATCCGAATGCGAATGTCAGACTATTTGGTGCGTTGGTGAAACGTTGACAATCTACAAAGAAAAAGGAAGACTGTACAAAGGAGATGTATCAATTAAGGTAAAGAAATATCCCAACTGTTAATTATTTGAATATTTTATTTTTCATTGTAAGTTTGAAATATTTCAGTAAGAGTATGTAAAAGTGAGTTCAGTTGTATGCAAAAATGTGTATTTTTAACATTTACGATAGACGTTTTGGCTAATTTTTATTGTATTAGTTTTTCTGCAATAATTTCACAATTTTGGGTCAACACGTAGTTCATAAGATTGAATGCCAATAGTGATTTCTAAAATGATATTCCTTTAAAAACTAAAAAATACATTGTACGCACTCAATGTAGAATATTTGATATCTTTCATCTGTGCATTATACTTGCAGAAACCATGCAAATGCGAGTGCAGAAAAAAAGTGACCAGATCGACTTATGCAGGATAAGCAAACAAGGGAGAATGTTGCCGATATGTTGAATTGTTCATTGTTAAAATTATGTACGATTTCTTGCATGTGTAATAAATGAATGTATAAAAGAATGAGTTAGTTTCTCAAAAATTATTACAAGAGCAATATGAATAAAAAGTCGTATTGCTTTTTAAGAGTCAGATTGTTTTCCATTCCCAATCGAGTTTTATACTAGGCGTTTGTAGAAATAGGTATGAATATATAGTTGCAATCGCCATTCGGAAAATGTCATCTCTGGGCCATTGGGCGACATTTGTACAATAATGTCGAATCTGTCAGCAATGTTCTCTATGTCGACAATCTCAGTATGCAATGACGTTTCCTCAGAAATGTCGAATCTGTTGACAATGTCGCATCTCGCATCACTGTCTAATCAGTTATTCGTGTCGACTCGGCTGACAAAATCGCCATCGCAGGCAATAACATATGTAAGAAGGACAAGATACAAGATTTTAGTTTGGTAGGACTACATCAAATCTGGTGAAGTCATTACAATAATAAAATGGTTGAGCTAACCTATTTTTAATCCCCCAATTTTTTGAAAGGCGAAAAGTGGAATTTGATGGGCTACTTGATTAAGCTAATAGCTTTGAAATAACGTGGAAACGTTTTCTTCCTCGACTCGTCTCTTCCATACGGGTTACAATTGGTTCACCACGAATATGTAGTACGACAGCGCAGTGAAATTATGAAGTTTCAGCAAGTCGGCATTGACATGAGTTGTCAAGGTAAAATATGACGTTTGTAACGCTTGTTAGCTTATAACCATAACTGGTAAACAAAATTCAGTACAGATAAAGTATTGATGTAAATAAAATTCTTTAAAAAAGTTTTTGACGTGTAAAGATATAGAATATTTTGGTTTCAAATCCCCAGAATTTTTAAATTTTAGGAGGAAGATGATTACGATATTTAAGATCCAAAATTTGACCCATTGTTTCAAAACAGATAAATGTATTATTGATTTGCAGTTGAGAGAACTTGCAATTGAGTTTAAATTAAATTGTTTAGGTAAATTATTTAGGTAAAAAACGGTAAATTTGTAATTAGCTATAAGTATCCAAAAGTACTCTGTGATGGAATTAGAAGTAGAGTGCAAATGCTAATAGAAATTGATATGAAGATGAAGAATATATATTTTCAAACGAAAGTTATTCTAGGTTTTTGTCAGTTAAATTTTTCAACAATAGGTATCGGTTCATTACATTTACCAAATATGAAAACTAAGATTTCGTGATATATCTATTAAGTATGATAGTTCTATTTTGTGCTCTGAAGCATGCGATGCTTACATTAATTACAGATTATGCGATTTTATTTCTTTAGTCTTATACGTATTCATCTATATCAGATTTGTTTTTGCTCGGGGCATTTTGTAAAAAGTAATACTTGTAGATCACCAGAGTTTCAGTGTTAATGAGAACTGCCACGTTACTGAGCGTTGCACAGCTTGTCACATCATATCTCCCTAGGATACGCGAGCGAATGTGTTTACTATGTTCCGTTTGCAATGACTACATAAATCCAAAGTAAATTGACTGTGATTTGGTTAACTTCTTGACTGTAATGCATTTATTTTTGTTTGTTGGCTTTTTTATTATTGAACGTAGCGCATAAAATACCCGTCTCTCTTATCTTGTTGACCCAGACGGGTCGCTTTATCAAAATTCTGTGACGAGACTATTTCATTTACAGAATAATGATAATTTTGTGGTTAATCCTTTCGTTGATTTTATTTTAAAAGTATTTTCTTATCAGAATGATAGATTTCGTTGCCGACCTTTTGGACGAGATGCATGAAATGGTGAGTAGAAACTCTAGAATCCACTCGAGGCGCACAACCTGAACTCGTGGACTCTAGAATCCACTCGAATCACCATTAAAACCTCCAATGATTAGAGACTTAACTCATTGATTGACTCGATTTCGAACTAAGACACTAGACTCGGATCTCGACTTGGCTTGCAACTCGGAATTCAAGGAGTTCATTCTACCCAACATTGTAAAATACTAATCGTGTCTGCTTCATCTTAATTCCATTGAAGATTATTAATCTGAAGCATGGTTGATTCTCAGCCCTGCAAGCTTCTAGAGCAGCGGTTCTTAAAATTTTTAAGCCGCGCCTCATTTTCGAAATTGACAAGTCTCTCGCCCACATCAAAAATAACTAGCTAACAATAAGCTACAAATAACAGATATAAAGGCGAAAGTATATTTTATGTCGGAAACACGCTGAAAATACGTGGATGGAATCGCAATCTCTAAACAATAAAGAAATGTAAATATCCAACATAAGACGGGCAAGATCAAATCTAGGAATAATTTTTATTTTCAATTGGCTGCTCACCCTTCAAACAATTGTCTACGCCCACCGTTTGAGATAAATTTCATAAATTTCACATGCGGTATGAGAAATTGGGTTGTCTATGCAACCCCGCTAAAAGGACTTTTCTCAAAAGCCTATTGTCTACATTTATTTAACTCACTGTTTAGTGAAAGTATGAAACATCTAATAAAATTGAGTAAGAAGTCTTTACTTTTATGCTTAATTCGTCATATGTCAAAGCTAAACTGATCATAGCAAGGAAATTTTATATGCTGTTGTAACTAAAACGATTATTTTTCTTGTAGAGAGAAAGGCTTAATGAAGAATAGCATGAAGTTCGAGCAGCCTGTGAATAAGAGATTTGTGAACACAAACATGAAATCACTTATATTATTCAGAGTAATTTGCGGTAATGAATTCAAAGGTTGAACATTTTTAACCGCAATAAACTTTTTATCGTGTAAATGTGACTTCATATAGTATTTGTTTGTGTATGATTGAGAGGAGACTGGTGTGTTCTGTAGTTGTTGTTCTTAAATACCACTTAAAGTAAACACGCATAAGTTTCATATAGATTTATCCATTCCACCCTCCTTTATTTACTTTCGGGTACGTGGAAAAACAAATTGAAAGCGACAATTGATTTTGGGAATTTGGTTCATATTAGATACAGATAGCTGAAGCAAATTGAAAGTTATCTTCTCTTGTGTACACAGAAAAATATGGCGGTTGTCGAATATCCTTATTTTCTGTTATCGTGTTGTGTCCTTAGAAATTTTGCAACGGACCATATTCTCAGGTTTCCGCACAGACTTGCTAGAAGTAGAGGGTGGAAGCTATTACGTGGAACTTCCTCGCTATAATGACCAACAGGTGTCTAGATTGACAGCCAAACGTGGCAATCACGACTTCACATAATAACACGATTTACCTGCCTATATGATAGGATAATAGGTTCTATGGTCCTTTGACTGGATATTTCCATTCTTCCGGCTAGCGATAATTGGGTACTCCTGAAGTATGCGCGCCAAGATGTCGCATAACCTGAACCCTAACCTGGTACACAACCTGAGTTCAGGTTGTGCGCCATCTTGTGCACATACTTCAGGAGGTCCTGTGCAATAACTTTACATTTTTTACGAGTCGAGTGTCCGTGATTAAGATAATGAGAGAACATGATCTTACTTTTTAGCGAAGGATTGGTCAAAAGATGATTAAATATTGGTGACCGTACATTTGAACCCATGTACATTTGAACCCATGCGTATATCCACGGGTTCAATCTATATGCGGGTGCTAAAACCCATGAGTTAGGGTTAGTATCGGTTTAACTATCCGTGAAACAAAAAAATTCCATAGGTGCAATAGGATACAGGTGCAATTGTCATGGGTTCAAATGTACGTGGGTTCAAATGTAATGGAACCTTAAATATTATTTATTTAAATCATATGTACCAAATTTCTGCGAGGCCACCTTGTACGAATCAAGATATAAAAATTCCAAGCCTTTTTTCAAGTCTGTTATTTAACGTATCGTAAACTCATTCGCCCACGCCATCGCGGAAATAAAACTCTGAATGCAAAAAGGCGTGTGGTGTGAAGCCTCACTCGACGTAACCAGTATGCTCCCCCAGATTTTCATTTTAAGGGGTTGGGGTAGGGATTCCAAATCTAGGGGGAGATCTAGGTAGATATTTTGATATTAGTGATAAAAAATGGCGCTCCCGTAGTATGTGAACCAAGATGGCGGACATCGGAACATAGTATATGTACCAAGTTAGGGTTAGGCCATAATTTCATTCCAATTTTAGTTCTATTACGAGTGCGGCGACCATCCAAGTGAGGAGGTAATGGTAGAGAAATTACTGGACGGCCTGGTATTTAAATTAAAAAAAATGTATCTAACAACTTGATATTCAAAGAAATTCATTCCACCTGCAATGGTATTCCAAACAACAAATTGTCAGTGGTAATTCGTTATATATAGCGTTTCAACGTTTTCGGAATTTTGTGATTTAAATCTAGAATTACCCGAGTTGGCGATTTTCTTCGTTTTGAAAACGAATATTTATCTCCCTCCCGTGGAAGAATTTCTCACAAATTTCTGAACCGCAGAGACGCCCGTCCTACAGAGCTTCAATTTTCAGTATGTTCCAAAATACGAGAACTTTTATTAATAATATAGTAGATATAACAACTCAGTTGTACTCCCGGCATTTCCCCCATAAAATAAACTTTCCTCCCTTTATATATACGTGTTTCCCCGAAAATAAGATCTACCCCGAAAATAAAATCATGCATATAAGTCGATAGCAGTTAAATCTCTCTTTCACGTTTTAAATAATTCATAAAATTCGGTTTGCAGCTATTCCGAATAAAAACTTGGTATTTATGGGTAAATGTATATCGGTTTTCATATTTTGTATATTTGAAAATCTCGTAACTTTCTATGTTGTAATTTTGTTTTTGATAACTGAAAATATGAGACATCAACCGAAAATAAGCGCTGGTGTTACTTTTCGGAACAAAACTGAAATAAAACTGGGACACGATAGAATAAATATGAAAAGTGCCTGTTTTTCTTCTTTTTAATACTAGTAGTTGTAGTTTTATCTCAACCGTCATCATAAATATTCGATATCGATATTGTCACCGTATGCAGGTATGGTATTTCGCATAGACAACCGTTACCAAAGTCTTTGTATGAATGCATTATATTTTGAACAGTCTTATTACATTATAATCAGGAGAATAGGTTTTTCTTTCTTTTTCGTCATCACATTCGAGATGATATTTAATGCACCACTCTTTAGTCACCGGAGCATGACACACCCACATTTTCACTAGATGGCGATGTGCGAAAAGGTGGGGTTTACTCAGTGGGCTGCATTTTTTGGGGTAACAATACGTCTCGGGTCCCGCTTTTTTGGTGCGTTTTTTTTGTTTTATGTACCGTGTATAAGGATAGGGATAGGTCTATATACAGATATCAGGATATAGCGAAAACTGTTCGGAAATATCTCTCAAATTCTCTCTTTGCTCTTCGTTAGTTGAAGTTGTTAGTTGGGATCTAAAGACTGAAAGAAGAACACACCGTACCGGTAACTAGGGGTACGTATATGAAGAAGGACACACCGCAACTTCTCAAATAACGTCAAACAAAAGTATGATGTGAAAATAATGCCCAAATTTTCATTTTATTCCAAATACCAGAACGGTATCAAAAGTCAGAAAGTCAGTCTCTAGCGGCTAACCCTATTTCTGTATTCAGGTATTTGGCATTGCAGCATTGGAACATACCGGTACCTGCTTCTGTGCTTAGTTCAGTAGTTTGAAAATTGAGTGGGTTTAATTTTAACGAAGCACGTCTGTCAAAAATTTCATTTCGTGCCAGACAGATTTTTTTTTAGAAATCATAAAAATCTCATATCACATTTCTGTTTGACGTTATTCAAGCAGTTTTTCAGCAGCAAGTTTCAAGCAATCCCATTTTTTGATGTTATTTAACTGTTTAAGGAGTCATGTCGTTCATTTCGCCAGACCCGAAGTTAGATATTTCAACTTTCTGTCTGAGATTAAGATTTTGGGTCTCATCTAGTTTCGTACCTAACATACTTATAATGGGCGTAATATAACAAATTTTGCACGTGTCAATCCTAACCCATCAACTACACCATCCAAAAGTTACTGAATTATACGAACAGTCATCTAAGAATGGCAGACGAGCACCCGAAATCGAACAGCTATTTCTCTCGTTTTCTTGTCGCGACCATGATCCCAATATGAGAGAGAATGATGATGTTAGTCAGCTTTTTATCAGCGGCGTTGATGCCATTTCGGGCGATTGTACGTCTATTCGGCACGCTTTATGATAAGATTAGATGATAATTTTAGACGACGTAGTCAGATGGGGGTTAGGATTGACATATCAAAAAATAGTTACGCTACGTCCACTAGAAAAACGATATAGGTACAAAACTACAAGAGACCCAAGATTTTTATACTGCTGTAGTGCTGTACTGATAGGCTGCTGATGTACGCTGGTTATAGTTTGAGACTGTAAACCATGATAATAATGACCTTTTGTGAATTTTGAAAAGAAAAATAACCAAACATGTTCGCTAAGTCTTTAGCCAGCAAAAAATATAAAAAATAATTTTGGATTTTACGCAATAACACGCTAACATTCAATATTTATGTGCATATCCAATAACAACGTTAAAAGTTGTAAAAATACTGAATTAATTAATAAAAGGACGAAGTACTGAAGTAATGTTTTTCTAAAAAAAGTTGGTTTGGCGCGGAAGGCAATTCGTTTAGTTGAAATCAAACCTACCCAATATTCAACTGAGCAGTTATGACCCATGCCAAATAGGGTAGTCTATAGGGTTCCATTACATTTGAACCCACGTACATTTGAACCCATGACAATTGCACCTGTATGCTATTTCACCTATGGAATTTTTTTTGTTTCACGGATAGTTAAACCCATACTAACCCTAACCCATGGGTTTTAGCACCCGCATATAGATTGAACCCGTGGATATACGCATGGGTTCAAATGTACATGGGTTCAAATGTACGGTCACCGTCTATAGCGTTCTGGGCGAGACAGACTTTGAGAATGACTAAAAAAATTTGGCTGTATTTTTATATCATATTTTTGTTTCGCAATATTCAAGCAGTTGTCTAATCTGCTTCTAACTTAAATTTTATGATTAGTAGCTTTGATTCAGATATCAAATTATACTATTATTTCGTATGTTTATTAAGTTGTGGCCAAGTTTATACCCAATTGAGTTTCAGTCAACGGTTAAATCGTTATTCCCTGGGTTAGGATGACATCAAATTTTATTAAAGTGGACTCTTTTTTTTATCTTGTGTACAGTCTACTGGCTTCTCACTTGGTAAATTTTATGTTTAATTGTGTTTCAGACATCTACCAACATGTTGTAACATTTTTGTGTACAAAGTTAAACTAATAATTAATGAAATGGATAAATCATCCTTAGGCTCTGCTGGGTCTTCTCCAGCTGGGAATTTAATTCAAGTAAAAAGCAAATTTCTAGCTGAATTTCGACGATTTCATCTTGATCCAGAACAAGACAAATTTCAAGATTTACATCAAAGAATCGAATCACTTCATCAAATTCATCACGTCGATTTTATTGTGACTTACACCGACCCACTTCATGGTGATTTGTTGCCAATAAATAACGATGAAAATTTTGCAAAAGCGAAAAAAACGTCAAGTACTTTGCTAAGACTGTATATTCACAAACGAGAGACTTTTAACTTACAAAATGGTTTTGGCCAATCAACCGTTAGAAAAAAGAAAGGAAAAAAATTACCACCAATTATAAGTTATCCAGAAGATTTTCGTCCGGTTTCCGCAATCATCGATGTGGATATTCTACCAGAAACCTTACGTCGGGTGAGGCTACATAAGCATGGTTCAGACAAGCCATTAGGGTTTTATATCCGCGACGGTGTGAGCTTACGTATGACGAATAACGGACTTGAAAAAGTGCCTGGAATTTTTATATCTAGATTAGTACAAGGTGGTCTGGCAGAAATGACTGGTTTATTAGCAGTCAATGATGAAGTCTTAGAGGTAAACAGCATCGAAGTGATGGGGAAAACGTTAGATCAGGTCACAGACATGATGGTGGCGAATAGTTCTAATTTGATTATCACCGTCAAGCCTGCAAGTATGAGAAATGCAGTCGCAGGGATAAAGCCTCCTTCTCGGGCTCGTTCTTACGACGATATTCCACGACATAGGCATGAAGAAGAATCCGACGATGATCAGGATGTCGTAAAAGATATCACTCCTGCATCGAAGCATGACCAAAAACCAAAAAGCAACAGTGCACGACATCAAAACGAAAAGGTTTATTCAATAAATACGACTCAACAAGGCAAAGAGCACTCTTCTCCTCAATCTGTACCTAATAAAACTGAAGCTTCAAATTCTACGCAACCGTCTCCAAAAAAGTCACCGAGAGTTGGGCACAAACATGGTAGAGACTCAGTAAAGGCTAAACGTAGAAGCCAAATTAACACTCAAAATGATCTGACATTGTAGGTATTTGCATCGCCGTATCATCCCATGTTATTTTGGGTAAATGTTTTGCCAAAACGGCTTTTTGCAATTTTTCCATTTTATTATGTTTATTATGATTATAATCCATAGGTAGCACGGATTCACTTACTTATACCAGTAATTTATTGGTTACATATATGTGTGGGAATAATTACAAAAAACCTAATTTTTGATCAATCATAAAAATTAATTGTTTGGCATTTTCAAAAATTCGAATTTCACTGAAAAATAGTTTTTCTCAGGGTACATTCCCAGCAAATTATTAACTATAAGCCCAGTGTGGTCGCAATTAGGATGCAGATTATATCATGCGTTGTGTGATTGAACATTTGAAGTTGACGTTAAAAAATCATCAAAATGTATTATCAGCTTGAAAATAATTGCATAAACTGAGTATTTGCGATTATCCTCAACTAAATATTACAATTTGAAGTTGTCTTCACTCTTACTACAGCATCCTTGCATTAGAAGGAAGATGAGTAGTTGGTCCCACAGAAACCCAATTAATAGTAAATAATGGACAATACGAAATAATTTTGAAGAATTGATACAATCTTTTAGTGTCGTGTATGGACTCTTTTAAATCTTAGTTGCTTCCCGTTCCACAGTTGATAAATCCACGTTTTTTCTCTTTAAATTATTTGTAGTTATTTTTTTCAATTATCTTGACAAATATGGAATTCCACTTTATTATATTGTTTTGTAGGTGCTGAATTATCTCTTTAAAGTGTTGTTATTCCTCTATAGACGTTTTGGCCAATATTTTATTCTACCAATTTTACTTAATTATCAAAATATATCACTCAATTTAAGCAAATAGGAGTTCCTCAATTCTCGGTTTATGAGCTCTATTTCAACCCCTGCTCATGCTAGATTTGCTGCTCAGATCTGGCGCTCCAGAAGTATGTGTACCAATATGTAGGTAACTAATTTTATTCGCCTACTTTACATCAAGTTGTGTAAAGGGACTGAAACTTATGGTAAGGGGGTATATTCACTTGGCTAACACAAACCGTCCCCAAACTCGTAATTGAACTGATAAAAGGGAAATCGGAATAAAATTATGGCCTAACCCTAACCTGGTACACATACTATGGGAGTACCCAGATCTGTTGTCGTCAAAAATTGTACTTCAAAATTAAATATCAACTTTTTGATTATAAGTACCTTTAATAATTTTGTTATGTTGTTTCATTCGGTTTTTCTTCCTGTATTCCATTTTAATCATGGAAATTATAATAATAGTTTAGCTGAAGATTAATTGATTAAAATTTAGATTAAGCGTTAAGACGAAAAATTTCATAATCAAATTTCAGGTACCGGTATATTTTGGAAAAAAAGCTTTCATGTCAAATTTGAAGTATATTTCTAAATATTGACTCCCTCAACATGAATCATCATTAATGCAAGATTATTGAGAGTGGTAAAATGTATAATTCCACATTAGCTAAAAATTATCATTATTACAAAAAAAAGTAATTCAAGCCTAATTAGCCGTTTGTCATCTACCTCAGTCATTAGCATTTTATTTTTCAAACAAATTGGAAAATTGCATTAAGTAAATAGGATTGCGTAGTGATTTAATAGTATTACATTATTATAATTCTGTGTGACCTTTATAAGCAAGTTTCACATGAATGTTGCGCATGTGTGTTATATAATAAGCATGTGATCAGGTCTCTTAATTGAGTTTTCTAAATGACATCCATCTTTTATAAAATAATGGGTGCTCCAGAAGTATGTGTACCAATATGGAATTAACTAATTTTGTTCGCCTACTTTACATTAAGTTGTGTAAAGGGACTGAAATCTATGAACAGGGGGAATATTCGCTTGGCTAGCACAGACAGTCCCCAAACTCGTAATAGAACTAAAAGAAGGAAAATCTGAATAAAATCATAGCCTAGTCCTAATTTGGTACACACTACGGGAGTACCAAATCATGTGCAGAGGTTGTATAAGAATTGTGGATTAGACAATAACAATTTTTACCAAATTTACGGACAGATCTGTCATGGTATGTCAAAGTTTTGCTCAATTCATTATCGTGCTCGCGATTTCTTGGACATTCCTCAAAGTTTGTATAAGCCAACTATAGATATATGTTGGTGGCCAATGCCAAATTGATTACAGTTCTTTGAATATATAAATTGATATATATTCCAGGCAAATCATGTGTACGGTATATCTAAATTTTGACATAAGTTATATCAAATCGAAAATGGCAAATTTGTCAATAAAAGCAATCAGATAAATAAATTTTTGAAAAATTAAGGATTTCAAATCTTATTTTTATCCAAAGTTTTCTGTCTACATAAAGATTCTTGAAACTAATATAATTTTCATTTGTTCAAAAATATTCAATACAAATACTTATTACCTTCAATAATCATGATTTTTGAGTGACTATAGATGCGAAAACCTCGCTTTACTAACATATTTGATAGTAAGTATGACAATATGTTAAAGTTACAGTAAAACGCCCTGTCTCAAGTGAATATTGATTTTTTTTTGCCACTAATATTAGCCTGCTTTTTCGTTGCATTCTCAAACATTTTTTTTTTGTTTATTTGTGATGAAAATTACTTTATCTATATTAGTATTGAGAATGCTCTCATTTGTATTAACATTAACTATTATTTGTTCATTAGGAAAATAGAGTGGTTTGAATATTGTTTAATTAACAGAAGTTTAAAAATTTTCAGCAAATTTATTTCCTGTAAGTTTTTGTTTTCCCCAATATTCCCTGACAGATATGACTTGAATCATATCAGGTCTCCAGTCAACTACCATCTGCTAGTATGTGTATCACAAGAAAAACCTATATCACAGCAGTAGAACCAAATCAACTTAAGTCACATTTTGAAGTGTTGAAAAAATGGCAGATTTTCATATCCTTGAAGCCAAACCTAAAATTGAGCGTATGGCATTACCTAAAATCAAAACCAAAATGGCCCATAATGAAAGAAGATAAAAATTTTAATACCTATTTTAGGTTTTGGTTATTTTCCAAGTATCACAGTTTAGTTGTTTCGACTCTTTTAGGGTCACAATAAGTCTATATATCGATTTTCTTGATTGAAATGTTGGTCACATCACATGAACCTTTGCGAACCCAAAGTCCCACCACTGGCAACAAAGTACATTGCAATTCTAATAATGTTTTAATCTGATATGCAGTCAGTGGTCATGTATTTCTGGCTTGCAAACATCACCCCTCAATGCAGATCAAACTTACCCACTGGTTAGACCTAGGGATGGGCCGGGATCCGGACTCGGATTCGAGTCGAATCCAGGCATTTTTTGGACTCGGATTCGATTTCGAGTCCACGTCGTTTTTACCGAGTCCATAATCAATTCTGTTTTTACTAATTTACGCCTATGTTTGTACTTTTACCTCTTTAAATCCCACTACATACCTTAACTAGTAAAATTCAAAGTTAGATCTGTAACAATATCCCTCGTGTGCATTATAAACACTCCTAATAAAACGACGACAGATATCCAGATAATATAACGCAAGTTAAAAACTATTGATCGCTTATAACAATGATGTTGCGCCAGTCGCCTTCAAACTATCTATTCTTTTCGGTATACATGTGGTACACAATAAAATATGTGTTAGCGCAATATTTTTGAGTTTTAGATTCGCGTAAAAATGAAACATGCCCTGAATCAACCCAATGGAGAATCTCATCAATACCTCTTTTAAATCGGGTTTATTACGTGCAATCCTTTCGCTAAAAAGGCAATGGAAAGCATGGAGAGTTTTAGAACGTTTAGATGAACTATTAAATTGCAAGCGGATGTACCACAATGTATTGACGACGATTGGCATTTCTCTACCATATGCGCACGTGACATAGTAAATTCACGGCTAGAAATATCTGGAATTATGGGAAAGCATTGTAGTCAAAAGATTTTTTATTTTTCATATTAACATGTAAGAATATCTGAATAGCCGACCAGAATTGACGCAAGGTGGTGGGCTGGAAATCCAGTTCACAGCCAAGGCGCACATTGGCCCACGTTTACGTTTGTATTATGGCCTCCAAAAAGAGAAAAAGATATTATTAAAATGATTCAACAGCTATCTGCGGAACCATCAGGCAAAAAATATGAGCTACGACGTATATTTGTGAGCGCACGATGCTGTAGCATGGTCAAAAACGTGTTTTTCTGCTTTTCTATTATGACGTCACGGACTCGGCAGATTCGATTCGAGTCCTTGACCTATTACTCGGATTCGTCGAATCTCTGTAATGCCGGACTCGTCCCATCCCTAGTTAGACCCCGTCTTTAGACAGTTCTTGAAACGCTTGTTAGTAATAAATTTTCATTACCATATCTCCAGTTTTGTCATTTTCACCAATATCATGTCACCTGTTATGGTACTTTTTATACTTAGGACTGAAAATAATTATATTTTCTGCTAATATTGTTTATTATTATTATTACTACTATTATACATAATGAAATTTTTATTTAAACAAAAAACGTATTCTGCTGTAAAGTTTTTCTTATTGTATCATTGATTAACACTATTATGGTACTGACAAATGATTGATGCACACCAATTTTGTTCATATCTTAGTAAAAATTACCGTAATAATTTGAAAAAGCAATCAAATGATATGTTTAAAATGATCTTTTTTATTCGGAACATATCAGCTTCTATTTGAAATCTATTGAGGGATTGCTTCTTAGGAAAAAAAATCTGTTTCTGTACAAATTCCCACTGTTAAATTTTTGAGGTGCTATCGCCTATCGGTTTGCCTGAGCCACAAGTAATATATCAATCATGATAGATTTCTGTAATGGTATCACTTGTCTGGATTTCATATTGTAGTGTTCACCATCTTCACGTATTTTATCTATTTATATGAGAACAACATTTTTAGTTCAGTTTGAATATTCCAAACCGTGTCATTGTGCAACAAAATTCACGAATGTAAAATTTCATGGAGAAAAGCCTTTCAAATTTGTGAATCATCAAATTATTGTTTTTAAATAAGAATTTTCATTCAAATTTATTTTGTTGGACCACACTCAGCTTAAAAATAGCCAATACCATTCATGTTTCCAAATTCATTGATAGTCACATTTTGATGCTTAGACAAATTCAGTCCAAATGAAGTTTGTAATTTTCTGTATTAGAAAAAAAGCATTCTTGGTATATACAGTAATAAGCCAAAATTGTTTGCTTTGAAATAGGCCTACAGAATAGGTCCATTTAGATTATTTGAAATTCATTAAAAGTTGAAATCCGAATTCTATAATATCATTAATTAGGGTATGGGTTTTCCTGATTTTTGATATCCAAACATTGCTATGGTATTCAGCACATTTTTGAATTGTAGTTCATATCATTGCATATGAAAAATCTGAAATAGTCTGATTTTTATTGGCTAAAACAGCCTTCTAGAATTCACTTCAGATTTTCATTGTTGAATATATAAATTGTGTAATTCTGATGCATTTATGATTTGTTACCTACATCTATAATTGTGATTTTTTTCCTGTATGGGACTAGAAAATTCAATCTACTCATTGTGCCTTTTCATGTGTGTGAACATTTCCAGTCTTAAAATTCCTCTTACAGTATCAATTTTTTTTGGTGCCACTTTGGTCTTCACTTGCTTAACATGATCTCAAACGCATACCAAATTGGTATTTGCCACTTTGGTATGTGTTTAATCTCATGAAGACACTCTCGCATAATTCAGTTCCTAACTAAAATCGCTTAGAGGACATAGCACAGAAGCACCCCTTTTTCTTATAGCAAGTTCACAACAATCCACTGCGATTATGAAAACTATGGGATCAGCTAAACTGAATATCCCTCTGAAAGTAGATAACTTTATCTATCGTTACCCCATATAATTTCCCCACAACCTTGGCATGGCATATTAATTCAACTCACATAGGATATGTAGATTTTTTAGATTCTTGAGCAAAATTTGATTTAATGTTTTAGTTAGACATAGCCTGATGTGCCTTGCATGCTGTCTGTTCTGCAAAATGGTTGAGATAATATTTTTCATATTATAAATTAACCCTACAAATTGCATTTAGACTATCATATCAAGCATTAGCGAGAGCAAAGGCAATTTTTTTTGTCCAATTTGGAAATATTTGGAATTTGTTCCCAATTGGAGTAGATAATATATGTATTGTTCAAAGTTTTAGGATTTGCACCATATTCATTTGTAGTTGCCACCAGATTTCTGATGCTGCAAGTCAGTATTACTTGCAAGAGCCCATGTATTTATCTTAAAAATATGTTCCAACTATGTATAAGAGTGGAATCCTAATTTTTTCTGTATGACTGTCCTCATTTCTTTGAAATTCCCGGATAACCCTGATTATGAAAATTACAACTTTTTCCGTGAATAAGAATTTTCAAAGTACTGGCAATTCTTGTTTCTATTCATCATGATACAAATGAACAGATTTTATTTTATAGATAATCCAATCTGATTTTGATCGCCAATGAATATGTTTCATTATTATTGTTTACTTTTCTGTATTTTATTCCGTCTTGAAATAAATTTTTCGCACTTGTATATATAAAGGTGTTTCTGTGGTGGTGACATTTTAACAAACTTCACATCCTTCCAAGTCTAGAACCTTGTAAGCATTTGTTTTGGTACGTGAATATGGTAATTTGAATGACATACCGGTAGGTACAAAGAAGATGACAACACAGGATAGAAAGTTTCAATGAGGTTTAGTAATGCGACATAATTACACAGGCAATTGCAACTTGTGTGACAAAGAATATAGATGAAAAACAGATGAAATACTCTCTAATGGGGAATTAAGCTAGTGATCATTGTGATGATGAACGACTGTGCGGGATTAGTGGAAATACAGATAAAATTGTGATAAACGTGACTACATCTTAGCCAACCCACCTCCTTTTACCAAATGATATCGTTCAACCATCCTAAGGCATGTTATGACTCGCACCGAAACCAAGACTGATTTCTCACAGAGCGATCACAAATTTTCTATGCATAACTGCCGGTAAATGTGGTGAAAATTCCATCGATCTTGATCGGCTTTCGTGGTCGATTACGTGATGGTAACCCGCGGTGCGTATCAAAAGTTAAGATGCGAGAAATTCCAACAAGATTGTACGCGAAGTTCACACACGTCGAGCGATTGTAACATCAACAATCCCTTGTATATAGTAACGGCGAGTACAGCATTAGCGCGATCGCGAATACGAGCGACGTGGGCCAATAGCTAGGGATTTAAGTTTCGAATTTTTATTTTAGTATAAAATCACACGTTGGTAACTTTCTTTAAAACTGTGAACCGTGACATATATGAAATATGGCTCGACGGTGTGATGCATCGTGCTAAGCACTATATATATACTGGCTATATCATCCCGCGGGTTTTAATTGTGTTCCAGAGGGCTCCTTTTAACAATACCCAGGTGCAGATTGAATCGCGCAGTAATAGCTCACGTATAGATTGGAATTTTATCTGAAGGGGTATTCGAAGGACAATGTGCAACATAACATTCCTTGAACAATCGGTGAACTCAAAACTGCAATTACAGCAACAAAACGAAAAATTTCCATAGAGGAGTACGTATTGATGATTTTGCGCAACCGATGCACGTCTGTTTTTAAAATCCTAGTAGGTGATTTTATATAAAGAAAGTTCACCATCTTGGTTCACGTACTTCGGGAGTACCGAATATTTCCCGATTTAAATTTCGATACTAATATGAGTCGTTCCGCCACGCAGTGACTTATTTGCAAAGCATAGAACCGTTTTAAGTAGTAGGCAATGGGGTGAGTGAAGGTGCAAAAATTGATCAAACATCACCATGCATAATGTGAGAATTGTTGCCATTCGTTAATATTATCTCGTTTGTACATCGAGATAAATCCAGCGGCCAGATTGGAATGCATTGGCTTTGCCAATTTTTACCATCCACTAGAAGAGTACTGGATGTCCATAAAGTCCCGTTGCAGTTTCAATTTTGTAATGAAGTCAGATATCAACCATTTTTTATTTATTTTTTTTATCAGTATTTTTTACTTCGTTTAGTGAATCTGTGAGGGCCAAAACAGTATACGGTATCGATAAATTCCCTTTGCAATTTTTAAAAAAAATCAAGACTTTATGGACACCCCAAATTACCTTTTGTGCTTTCCTACTAAATGCTTCTGAAACAATGAATCGCATTATAATTGCTGTCAGTTATGTAAAGTTCATGACACGCTGTATCATACATTTGCTTCAAGTAATATCAACCAACGAAATACGGGTCAGCATAAAAGTAACAGTTGGGTTTTTAACTGCGCAATAAAAATTTCCTTTGCCACATCAGCACCGGGAATTTTTTTAGCAAACCAGATGTGCAATTTATAGGTGTATATTTACAGTGACGTATTTGTAACACCGAAAGGTCGTCAGTAATATCAACAAAAAGCCGCCGCAAATAATACGGGACATTCAAATTGAACCCACGCCAAAACGAACCTCAATCCATTAAATTCCCCAGCGAGGGAAAATACAGGAAATAATACTTTACATTTAATGTTTTTCCACTTTTCCTATTCAGGTATTCAATATTATTGAGATACAGGTACTCTCGTAGTGTGTATACCAGGTTAGGGTAGTAACCAGGTTGGTACCATAAATTTATTCCGATTCCATCACTTTAGACGATTTGATGTAAAGTAGGCGAACAAAACTATTTACCTCCATATTGGTACACACACTTCTGGAGCGCCGAGATACATACATAATATTGATTGAACAAAAGGCAACATGGTTATTATGCATAGTCATGAAGGAAAAAAAAGTTTTAAAAAAAGTTTTGGAGGAAATGTAAAAATAAAGTTTGGGAACCACCGCTATAGTGGTTGAAACGTTGGACTAAATTGTGTTAGTATCGCACATTAATGCGCAATTTACTCATGGTATAATATATTTGGCGGACAATGCCTCCCAAAATATAGTAGCCCCCATCCTTATGTATGATTTGTCCTTTAATTCAGGGGGGCCTGATTAAAATAACTGAGTGACACCACGGTCCGCACCTTAACGTCTAGTAGTTGCGAGCACAAAAATTTTGGCTATTGATCTTGTGACATGCGTTGTTTTCACAAGCTAGCTGTTAAGGCATTGTAAAGTCAACGGCATAGATAAGTAATTGGATTCAATTATAGTCTTCGCAATGCAAAGGGGTTGGAATTACATCAAATAAAAATTAAAAACTCGTTTCGTGGGCCACACATCATTCGAAATTGGCACTTCTCCGCGGGACTCCAATTTTTTCTTGGGGCCTCATTCGGGCCGCAGGTTACACACCCCTGCTTCTATTTATAGAAAAATTAAACAAAATGTACACAAATAGTCAGAATTGTGTATCGAATAACACAAGAAAAATTGCAAAATAAAAATGGAATGGAATACGCAAATAGTCAGGAGTGGACATCAATTTACGTCATATCTTGTTACATCAATTCTCTCTTCACAAGCAACATGTCAGTCCACATAACGGGAATTTTGTTTCTTTGTCACACCACCAATGTGACATTGTGATGCTCTCATATTATTACAGCGTTTTTTTCGAAATTTTAATTTCAAAATTTTTTAGGTTTGAAAGAGCGGTAGCAAAAATAACAGACGGTCTATAAAAAGGCCAGTTTGTCTTTGGCCAGACACATAAATAACTGAAAACATAGAATACATTATACATCTGGGCGTTCACACACAATAAAAATACGTTTTCATCAACTCACTCGCGTTGTAATAATATGGCTTCAATAATAAATAGAGAAATTTACCTCGACCATTGGCGAAAACAACCAAAAAACAAGATGACAACGATTCGAAATTTTGTTCTGAACTGATTCGAATAATTTACTATTCGATTCGAAATGCCCAGTCCCAATTATGGCAAACAATTCGGCAACGCGTCTATCCTTTCAATTCCAATATGAAATTGTTTTTTGATTTGATAGTTCACAAACTATTTTGTAGCTTTGGTTTTGATATATACTTTCATTTTTATTTTAGTAAAATTACTTATTCAGCAAAATTACTTATTGTCACGTCGTTGCAAACTTCGGAGTCACTCAAAATGAAGTTATTCTTGACTGCGTGCTTGTGCTACTTGTTCGTCGAGACAGGTTCGAAATCAGATATTTTTAATATTTTTTTTTAGTTTATTTTTTACATCCATTCCAAAAAATAACGAAGGTGTCAAAAAAAAAAAATTAAACACACGTTTTCACTGGGGAAGGGATGCCGCGGGGCATCGGGACTGGTTATCGAGCAGCGACACCCAAGGTTTAATATCTAATTAAAGTTCTAATGATGGAAATTAAGTTTCTAAAATACTGTTATTATATGTGAGTAGGCTTTTGGCAGCTGACCCACTAGACAGCAAACCAAGTGTTTTGAATTTTTTATTTTAATTCATTTTATCCCTTGTAATCCAGGTTACGCCGTTATGTGCTACGATTGTCAGGACTGTGGCGATGCCACAAAGTTGACTGATGATCAACTCCTGAGATGCCCTGGCCCAGTTTGTGACAAGACTTCTGAAAATGGTAAGTGCTTTACATCATACACATTGCTTACGAAAGTCTCAAAACATTATTTTTAATAAACTGAAAGTTTCTCAAACGGTTATTTCAGGACATCTTTGTTAAAGAGGGATTAAAGAAAAATACTATCTCTGACCAAATTTAAATTGTCATAACAATAAATCAGTACGAATGTCTTTTTTCGGTACTCCCGTAGTATGTGAACCAAGATGGCGGACGCCGGAACGTAGTATGCGTTCCAGGTTAGAGTTAGACCATAATATTATTCAAATTTTCCTTATTTTTGTATTAATACGAGTTCGGGGTCTAGCCAAGTGACTTCCGTAGTATTCGTACCTGAAATCATAGCCTAACCCTAACTTGCGACACACACTACATTTCGGTGTCCGCCATCTTGGTTCACATACTACAGAAGTACCCCTTTTTTAGCCAACTTAAACCAACGATGACAACAACAAAACGATAAATATGTCTAATTCAATATGTCCATTAATAAAACTCCAAACCTAGAATAATTTTCAATCTAAACGACATACTGATGATAAAATAATGCTCTTGGAATTTTGACCGTCTACTCCCTGGATAGACATTCAAAGCTTTGGCTCAGTTTAAATACTTGATTGTTTAATAAAACCTTTTTTATACAGGTGTTGTTGTGCGAACATGTGCCGGCGTTTCGCCTGTTCTTGGCTGCCATAACACCGATACTCATGGTGCAACCAAAGAAACTTGCACTTGCGTTGGGAGTAAGTTATATTATTCTTTTTGGTATATTCGCTGTATGTAAACCAAGATGGCGGACACCGGAATGTAGTATGTGTACCAGGTTAGGGTTCGGCCATAATTTTATTCCAATTTTAGTTATATTACGAATACAGGGACTAGCCGAGTGACTCTCGTAGTATTTGTACCTGAAATTATGGCCTAACCCTGACCTGGTACACATAGTACTTCCGGTGTCCGCCATCTAGATTTGTATACTACAGGAGTACCCTTTTGATCTCTTTATCTCTGTCAATCTCCATAAGGTTATTCACGCCTTCACTCCAAAAACGCTCGATTAGACAGACAGTCACTTACGTACGAATAACGTCGTTCGTGGGGACGGAATAGATTCAGATATTGAATACTTAGACCAGGGGAGGGCAAGGTTTATGGACCAGAGGCCAAAAATTGTGTCCACATTTACTGACGGGCCATGTAAGTGTGACGTAAAAAATTACATTTTATGAACAATATTTACAGTGTTACAAAGATAAATCTAGAAAACAAGAAGCTTCGTGCCAAAACTAAATTTAATCGCGATTTCAACAAATTCCTTGAACTATTTTTTAGCTAACACATCAAAATTTGGTTTTAGTTTGGCTATGGTAGCATCAGGCGGGCCAGATTAAATTTCAAAACGGGCTGAATTTGGCCCGCGGGCGGAGGTTCGACATATCAGATATAGACGTTAGACGTGTTGAACCTGAGATATATTCCTTGCGATGCAAGCATAATTCAAACATACAGAAAATGATGATACTTTGAGACAAAGTATTAATATTTTTCTGAATGTTTTTTTGTTTAAATTTATTCAGATAAATGCAACGGAGCTAGAACCGTGAAATCAAGCATCATAGTTGGATCCGTTATCAGCCTCCTCGTTGCTAAATTTATTGTTTAGACCAGAAATAACAAAATTATATCTTATGTTGATTGAAAGGATTGTATATATATTATTTGCACTATATCCTGGAATTTTTACCCTTTCGCCAGAATAAAGATTCAGTCAGATGGACCCATTCATTTAACCAGAGCCAGGGGTGTGCTACCTTCAATACAAGCGGGTCAGATACAAATGACTATGTGAAACCGCGGACCGCACCCTTATTTGACATAAGCCCCTAAAACAAAAATCTGGGAAACATGCTGAATGGGGTGAGATGAAAAAAGTCCATCAAACAGCTGTTATATATTTATAATTCATATTATGGGAATTGTTGTGATTCGTTAATATTAAAGTCACCCATCTCGTCTCGACGTGATCCGTTTATCCAGGGATTTTTAAACTTTTTTGCATGAAGGGCCTATAATTTCATTGATGACAAGTGTGTGTCAGTGATTTGTACAAGGGAAAACCAGGGTGTCCATAGTCTCTTTAATTTTGTTATGAAGTCAGTGTTCAATATATCTTAACCAGGTTTGGTATATTTTATTCATTAATTGTTTAGGCATTTTTACCACATTCAATACATTTGTGAGGGCCAAAACAATAAATAGTATCGATTAATTTCTTCCTTCGCAATTTCAAAAAATTTAAGACTTTGTATCAAGCAAACTTTTCGGCAGTTTCATAGGGATTGTTGGTGAACTCGACGAATTTGAACAGTTGACCACCATTTTATTTATCCAGTCGTAACAACTTCATCGCATTATAATTGATGTCAGTTAAAGAAAGCCCATAGTACGCTGTATTCTTCTTCAAAAAGTATCAATCAAAGTATAAGGGCCAGACAATTGGGCTTTTGACTACAATAATAAATTTCTTTGCAACATCAGCATCAAACATTTTTTTTTCAGCAAGCCAGCTGCTCACTTTATAGCTATGTATTTATAGAGACGTTTGACAATGTAATAGACGAAAAAAACTCTGTGGTAGTTAGGTCATCTTGGGTGTCATATTATGTAGTTAATGACTGGGTCCGCCTGTGTCCTAAGACTCCGACAAGCGGTGAAATCTTCAATGAGCGCGTTTTGTAAAGTCCGCATTCGCATAAAACCCAATATAACTCGCTGATTGCTAAATTGTAGAACTTGGCATTTCATTGGAATAGCGGATGACAAAAGCAAATTCAATTTAAGTGTGTAAGCTGACCGCCCGTTCACTAAAAATGCGACAAATTCTCAAATTGAAAGTAGTTTAATATTTTATCGTTACCAAAATGTATATTATAATTCCACCTAAATAAGATAAATTTATTTATAACGGAAAGATTAATCGTCGAATGGGTGTAGAGCTTTATTGGTACTCCCGTAGTATGTGTTCCAGGTTAGGGTTAGGCCATAATTTTATTCCGATTTCCCTTATTTTAGTTCTATTACGAGTTCGGGGACTGTCTGTGTTGGCCAAGTGAATATACCCAGTGCCCATAGGTTTCAGTCCCTTTACAAAACTTGATGTAAAGCAGCCTAAAGTAGCCAGCCAACGTGTCTTACTCGAACTGTTCACAATAAAACAATGTTAACGAAATCTTTTACTTTCAAATCTTATTATCGCTCTATAAGTATGTGTACCAATATGGGAGTAACTAATTTTGTCCGCCTATTTTACATCAAGTTGTGTAAATAGACCAAAACCTATGGGCAGGGGGTACATTCACTTGGCTAACACAGACATTCCCCGAACTCGTAAAAGAATTAAAGTTATGGCCTAACCCTAAGCTGGCACACACACTAGGGGAGTACCCATTGGCCATCATTATATCAGTGAGGATTCGTAGCAGAATTTAGTCATATTGTTGGTATCGACGGGCCTTTGAAATCACTGGTTATATAGTTCACGCCATCATTCATACTCATGTACCCTAAAGTACGACAAATCTAACAAATGAGATTCGTAGAGCGGCAGCATTTTGTCAGGCTCTTAATATTATTGCACACGAAGTGGACCTATGTACCATTTTGTTAAATTCTTGTTATTATTTATATTCTGTTTGGTAGACTCTTTCTTCTTCTTGTGAAAAAAAAAATTTTTTGGGGTAATTTCTGGACCAATTGCTTTAATATTTCCAGTGGTTAGAGCCTGTTGTTGTCGCTAGAAGGATTTCGTTTATTCTATATGGAATATATTTACGGCTCCAAAACATTATATATAAATATAAAAGGAATCATGTTCATTCATAACTATGCCGAGTGATTCGCTTCCGTTATCCAGTTGCACAATGATCATTCCTTTTTACGGGGACTAGATTTGGATACGTATTTGAAAAAACCCTTCACAACTAAATGAAACCAGTAAACGTTCAATGTATCGATGAAAACTCCAACTCCATAGAAAGCCACAACAAGGCCGCTGTGTAACCTGAAATAAAGGAAGAAATGAAGGTGATTTATGTGGTGATTTGCGTCTTAAAATCTGGCAACGCGTTATCCAAGGGTTCTCAACCTGGGGTTCGCGAACCCCCAGGGGTTCACGAGAAGATTTCCGGGGGTACTTGGAAGGCAGTCGAGTTTTTGCGTGTTGCTGTAGGAAAATACGTGCCGCTTGAAACGTGGATTTTCTCTGATCTCGCGTTGTTGTGATTGATACGCAACAATGTGAAATTCACCACTTTGCAGACAAACTGAAATCTCTAAGACAGCGTTTTTCGGGCACTGGAGAAAGCGATTACCGTATGCTTATTGAAACTTGGGAAAGATTTTGAAAATTCATTAGTTAGGCAGACGACAAGGGCAATAATATAAACGCAACGATTTAATTTAGTTAGATATGGTCAATAAATTGTTGTTGCAACAAATTGTTGGTCAATATATCACAATTTTGTTCGCTGCCTGATTACGGGGTTCGCGTTGATTGTTTCGTCACACTGAGGTATACTTGACAGAAAAAAGGTTGAGAACCCCTGCGTTATACAGTCACGACATTTGACTCTTCTGACGTAGAATGTTCGTCCTTGAATAGCATGGTGTTTTGATTCGAAAGTATTCTTTGGTTCATGCTGCTTTAAGACTCTTAGTTGACGTTTGAGACGATGAACGTGGAAATATTCAAAAAAGTTAGCGAACCAAATGGAACGGCACGAATTTGTTGTTTAACAATGTAATAAAATGAATTAAATATTTTCTCATTCACATTTTCCTATATTCAGGGTTCAGATCGAATTACTTGGCCGTAATTTGACTTTTGCAGAAGTAATAAAATTCCCATTCGTGATTGTCAATATTTTACAATCAACCGTTACTTTAATAAGTTTACACCAGACGAGCGTTTCTCAAACTGTATTCCGCGGAACACTGCCGTGAGCTTCCTCGAAATGTTCCGAGCGACATGAATCGAGACTGCGTTAAATCGGTCGCCAGGGCAATCTCGGCCGCAATTCGGCGACTCTGTATGAAGAAACGTAAATAACCAAAAAAGGCGGGCAAGATCAAATATTTTTATTTTTAATTAGCTTCACGCCCTCTCAAAAAATTGTTTCCCCCCCTTTTGTTGGGCGCGCCCCACTCTTTAAAAACCACTGGCCTATGTACTTGTTTACCTAATATCCCAAGAAAAACGTTTGTCTCGTCATAAAGCTCCATTAAATAACTCACCTTTCATATCCTTCTCCATAACTAGCGGATACTATTGCGTAATAATATATTGGCATGACTGCAATTCTTCCGAGGAAAAAAGTTATCATAAATAAAGTTCCGTTTATCACATATAATCTTGTTTCTTTCATATCAAGTTTTGCTAGAACGTACCTGAAATACAAAATATCAATGATAATTGACTTTCTATAGAATGATTACCATTCATCGCCGTGATGAAGTTGTAAGTCATACGCTTGGCAGATTCACCTCGCCTTTGTTTAGTAGAGGGTTGGTCTGCGACCCAGCCCGTCTCAATTAGTTATAGCTACATGGCTCACTTAGGGATAATTTCATAGGAGTTACAATTTCGCCCGGTACTTATTTCGTACAATTAATTTTCCATCTTATTTCGTGAGAATTTGCCATGTCTCTACCTGTTATATCCTACAAATCGTCATTTCAATCCCAGAAAAATAGCATAAATGGAGTATTGTTTGTTCATAATTACAATTTTTCTAAATTTGACTGAGATCCTCCTAACCTTAACAGACAGAGTATTGATATCTAATTTGAAAGGCGTTTTCGCGTTTGTAATACTTTTTAATGAAATCATTAGGAATCGAAACGACAGCGATTGTGTAACCTGTATATAAAGGTGTTGCTTCGGAAGGTACTCCTGTAGTATGCTAACCAAGTTGGCGGACACAGGAACGCAGTATGTGTACTAGGTTAGGGTTAGGCCATAATTTTATTCCAATTTTAGTTCTATTACGAGTTCGGGGACTAGCCAATTGACTCCCGTAGTATTTGTACCTGAAATTATGGCATATAGTCTGGTACACATACTACGTTCCGGTGTCCGCCATCTTGGTTAACATACCACGGGAGTACCCGTTGGAAAGCAAACAACTGATTGCAAAATAATATAAAAAAATTTAGTCATTACCTTCCATTGAAAAAAGGTGCAGAAAATTCATTCAACGTTCGTATACACATATGGAATGCAAATACCTTCCAAGTCTATAAATGAAATGAATTTATAATTGTTTATAATCACAATCTCTTAACTAATATCTATGCTGGAAATGTACGTTCAGGGAGAAACACTCCATACAACGCGTTCCAGTGGATATTGACTGGATGACTTAACGTAAAATGACTTTGACATAATCGCCAATCATTAGCAGCTAGTAATGACTGGAGCTAAATAACCAAAATAAACTCATGTACGCCAAGTGCTCTTACCGTAATAACAAAAAGAGCCATTAAGCAACACGCATGATGAGCTAAAAATGTATTCCTTCCCGGATATCCAGGTGTTAAGATGGCCGCAATGGCGTCTAATTAAAATAAACAAAAACAGATGAGTATATTGACAAACTAACTCGATCATGTAAGAACTAATATAAAATTAATGAAAACAGCTGAAAAGTGAAATTGAACATAACCAAATGATGTGTTGGGTGTCCATAAAGTATAAAAAAATTGCAAAGGGAATTTATCGATACCATATATTGTTTTGACCCTCACAGATGTATTAAATGAAGTTAAAATACTTGAACAATTACTGATTGAAAACAACAAACTTGGTTAAGATATATTGAGAACTGACTTCATAACGAAATTGAAATTCTAAAGTGACTTTATGGACACCCTGTGATAGCCATAATCACCATTTAAATAACCTCCTTCTAAATCTAATATATCCAATATCATATATACACAGACAGCGGGTCCGGTATTCAAGGCAGATTTCATCTCTTCGAAATATAAGACGAACCTTCTTAGATAAATATTCGAAAAGCATGTGTCGCACATGCGTGGCTTTTCCATAATAAATCAAACTAGAAATATTTCGACTCACCAGCGATAAAATATCCACTCTGTATCGACGCTAGTACTTGAACATGATGGTTGTTAGACCTGAAAATAATACGTTTGTTTTATTCTCATAAAAGGTTGGAGCGAAGCGTGGAATTCAAAAACCAAACCTACAAGTGCACTTGACAAATGTCGCGGTTGATCTGATTGGTTATATCATGGCATAAGGATCGGCCACAATCCACTGCAATCTAACCGACCAGCAATTACGTGAACCACTCTGCGGCGACGAGGAGTCCAGCTATGTGCTAGCTAGAGAGGCCGTGGTTCGCCATATCATTAAGTCTTATCGGTTTTCCTCTTCCCTAGGATAAATATGTAAACCCTAACCTATATGTGCGGCAGTGGGTGGGCCCCGCACTCCCGTAGGCCCCTCGCTAATATTATGAGTAAGTTTAACAAATTAAATCAAATCAAATTTAACCATTATGAATTATAATAATATATGTTAGCGTATTTATTCCGCATAAGTACGGCTAATACAGTAAAGTACCGTAACTTTAAATGTGACATTGTACTTAAAAGATAATAAATGGCGAAAGTATAATTTTTAGGTTTTATAATCCTATCTCTTCCCACAACGGGCCCAGCGCAATCCGCTTCGCATAGGGCCCGAACTATTCTCTGCGTTATCCCGTAGGTTGCAATAGGAATATCCCAATGGCTGCGTCAAGAACTATCGATGTGCTGCTATATTATAGACAGTGGTTTTGTTCTTAATCTTAGCTACACAAGAGGTGTGTTGCCAATAAATTATGTAAGATCACATAAGAAAATCTCACCAGAAAATATCTTCATGTAGATTGTCCATTAGTAAAATATACAACGCAACAGCAGTGGCAAACACTCCATTTATACCCGACACAAATCTGAAAATAAGGTTATTTTATATATCTATAGTTTTGCACGGACCGATAATTTTCGGACCGTTCATTTAAGATTAATGCCTATATCATGATGGGCTCAAAAATGGGTACTCCCGAAGTAGGTGAACCAAGATGGCGGACACCGGATAATAGATAGAACTAAAATTGGAATAAAATTATGTCCTAACCCTAACCTGGTACACATACTAAGTTCCGGTATCCGCCATCTTGGTTCACATACTTCGGGAGTACCCATAAATGTCCGATTTAATGGCATCCAATAAATACCGCTATTAATATGACGCCATATTGACATGGGAATTGCAAGGTTAAACAACACATGGCCCGAGATTTCATTCGGAAATAATACAATCTCATAATTTAAATAAGGAAAATTTCCCACAAATCACCTCGCGCCAGTCTTGGGCCAAAACAATGTCTCTATTATATGGTAAAATGTCCACATATAACAGTTTTTTTTATTAATTTGCACGGACTGCCGAGCAGTGTCGACTCGTTGGAACAGTTAAAAAAAAATGTTTATTTATTTGCCAGCGGATATTAAATGTCGAACGACATGACTCATCAAATTTATCTTCCATCAACAATAATAAATAACGTTAAAACAAATTTATAGAGTATTACAAACTTACGAATTGGCAATCATTAACTTGTCTCCTTTTGGAAGTAAATTTTTAGACCTTGGCAAAAGTAATTCACATAACAGCGGCGTAACATATTGAATAACAATAAAATATAAAAATGTTGAAACTGCCGAAATTTGTAGATAAGTTGTATAATCTGCTATCATTTCGCCAATTTATCTGAAAAATAAATTTATTGATTATACGGAACGAAATACATGGCAAATGCGAAAAGCTCGTACGTCGTGTGATAAATAGTTGCAGCTAGAATTACCTGAAATACCCGACGCAATTCCGCATATTTCAGGTGAATGGTCTGGGTTAAACCATACTTAATCACATCATTAATCGGCGCTCCAGAAATGTATGTACCAATATGGGGGTAACTAATTTTGTTCGCCTACTTTACATCAAGTTATGTGTGAAGGGACGGAAACCTATGGGCAGGGGGTATATTCACTTGACTAACACAGACAGTCCCCGAACTCGTAATAGAACTAAAATAGGGAAAATCAGAATAAAATTATGGCCTAACCCTGGTACACATACTACGGTCTCAGTGAACCATACTTCATCAAATCGATATTCTACTACACCATAGTCTGTCCCGTAATAAAAATATAGTTTTCAACCCATTCATTAAAAAGTTAATGAATTCCTGTACTATATTAACATCATTTCTCTATCGTCAGAACTATCATCAGGTAGGGTTGTTTAAAAAAAGGAACAAAACAGAGCTTTCCAAGTTAGATAAGACAAATCTCAAAGCCATCTTATGAAATCTAAATGCTAAAATCTAGCCTCCTCTCTTATATACATGCATTTATATGAAGTAATCCTATCGAGATCGATACCACACTTAGATCTATCAGTGAATTCATTAAGTTAAACAAATAACGCGCATACCATTCATAAGGCGGATATGAAAGTATGACACACAGCGAATGAATATAGCATACGTTACCATTCTCTATTTAATACAACGTAAACGGATTGCATAGAATTTTACATTAGAACGAAAATTACATCGACTAATTTTGCTCGATTATCACGCTAGCTCGCTAACGAACATGTAACTGTCTGGACCAATACTATACGAAGAAAATTTATCTGTAGGCACATACTGATGCTTCATAATGCATAGTGATTTAGTATGTTATCCACCACAAAAAGGCGGTTATCATTTGATTCGTGAGTTCCGGCAATAAACGTTATGCTGATGTCTAATCTAACCATACTTTTGCCTGCATGAGCAACTATTACTCACTGTCGTTTCAAAACATCTCGAAAAACCAGTATTCGATGCCATGCCATCTAGAGACGTATTATACAATTCCCATCCAAATGTAGATTATTTACACAATTGAGTGGTTAGCAATGTTCAGTGTTTACACAAGGACATTGGCTATTGGAAAGCAACTGGCTCAAAGTCGAATAAAGTACACAAATAAGTACAAGACAGTTCCACTGCAATTAAACAATATCGACTTCTATCCAAGTCTGGTCTTCACTTGAACGACATATCAAGTACGTGAATTGAAATTTTACCGGATAAAAAAATATATGTGTATATTTTGTCGCTCGGAAAATTCAACGCAAAAGTAGAAGTTGAAACTAATATCTGATAAACCATAATCAAATACTGTCTGTGTAAACTAGAAATGCTACTATTCTTGATCAGCCGACTGAATTCCCAAAAGACATTCAGACATAGTATTCGTCTATGTGCGACGATTCGTTTTGGTTGTTTGTAACGCTTGAGTAGCTTCGAGGAACACATTACGTAAGGTGCGTTAAGCAGAAGAATGTGCTGTTTTTTATGGTAAAAGCGTCTGAAGCGTCGAGTTACATAAATAATGAGAGTTATGGAAGTTCTTAGACAGTTTTATAAGCTTTGTGTCTAAAGAGTTATACCTAACATCAAACTGACGGTATTTTACCATATTCATAGTGGGAACAGAGACAGACATGTATCGATAATTAATTAATTAAATTTATTGATTCGAATAATAAATACTTGGCAGCAAATAAATTTAATTTTAATCTATACTTCGTGAACAATTCTCCAAATTTGTCAATTGGTATTTTTTTCGAGCCTAATTCAAATATAATTCGGACTAATGCTGGCTCTAATTGTCGACTTATTTTAAGAACAGACTTTTGGGAAGTTTATGAGAACGGTGGCCAATAAATATCTGTAAAAATATCGTCAATATTGAAGATTTGACAATACTTTTTTAATATGTAGGTCAGAGCAGAGCGGTGGAGTCGGACACTCTATATCCAACTACGAATGTATTATAATCGATTATGTTAGGTATGAAATGAGATCTTTTGTGGAAAGCACCCGTCACTAATGCAAAATGCAAAAAAGTGAGATTTGAGAAATTACTCGCCCTAAACCTAACTGAATAATTACTATTTTTTTCATTTGAAGCGGTGGCAAGGCTTTTGTTTGACGGGGCTTTGCACAGAAGATCCTTGAAACCTGTAACTACAAGAATGTAATATATATATATATTATGCCTTTTTTATTTTTTCAAGTTTAGTAGGACTAAATTGAGTCTGATTACCGACAAGCAGTATTATTAAGTTTCGACTTAACACTATAAAACACCTATACAGAATGTTCATAAATTTCCTTTACAATTTCAATTTTGTTATGAAGTCAATTCTCAATATATCTTAACCAGGTTTGTTGTTTTTTGAATGGTAATTGTTCAAGTATTTTTATCCCATTTAATACATCTGTGAGGGCTAAAACAATATATTATAAAAATTTTAAGACTTTATGGACACCTTATATATTTGCAAGAATAATCTAACTAAATTGCTTTATTTCACTAATAAAATGACTCACTATATACTCACATAATAAAATTAACCATGGCAACTTTTTAGAAATTTACCGAACGTAGTTTGCGCTTCTTTGCCCCCCAAATATAATGTATATGTTAAGCGCCGATTTTATGGCACAAACGACGCCTCGTATATGTCATGAATTGATTTTGTATTAAATTTCCTAAGATCGTGTTGCCAACCTAACACTCGAAAGATATTGACAAAGATTGCTGAAACAACTTTTCTGCTGACTTAGACTTTTTCGTTAGCTGCATTCTCCTTCGCAATTATCTATTCAATACCGTGTTTCCTCTAAAATGAGACCTAGACTGGAAATACGAGCCTAGTGTGAATTTTATAAATGATGTTAATATATGCACTCTCCTTAAAAAAAGACGTACGTGGTATTTATATCTAAATGGATATCGGTTTTCATATTTTGTATATTTGAAAACCTCGTGATTATCTACTTTGTAATTTTGTTCTTGATAAATGAAAGTAAAATACCCCCCCCCTGAACTCCTTTGCTTTTCCTCTTCTCAAAAATCAATGTAACATCTAACACCCCATCCGAGACCTCCAAATGAGAAGAACCATCGCATATTACATATGAAGGCAAACAAAATTCGTCACATTCAATGATTAAACCACGTCGTGAAATTGACATTGGTTTGAAGATCATGTGACAAATAGAATAAGTGTCGATTGCTTCCTCGCCAACGCATTATATTTCAAAGTGTCGATAGATGGAAGAAACTTTGCGCGATTTTCGTACAATAGCACAGATTGATTGATAATACGTATGGGAAATGGCTCTAACAGCAGGTGTCGCAACTTGCACCTTGCGGGCCACATTAAAATAAACCACCAATGAACATTTAGTTCATTCAGCTGAAATAACAAACATCTGTGAACTAATCATGATCATAAAGTGAGATATGTCAAAGACTATATGAACATAGAGCAGCGGTTCCCAACCCGGGGCCTGTACCCACCAAAGGGGCCACAGAGCGGTAGGTGGGGGCCACAATTCTAGATATAAAACTGATTACCCTTTACAAGAAAACTCCCCGTTCTTCCTAGTTTCATAGCTGGCTAAGGGTATTTCACAGGGTGTTTACACTTCGTTGAGCATGAATTGTTTGAACATGATGTGTTTTGGAATCTACCGATCAAACTAACACTAATGATAGACAGGGGGCCATTAGCGCTGAAAGCCACCTGAAGCGAGTCATGAGCCAAAAAAATTGAGGACCACTGACATAGAGAGTCAATGTAAGTTAAGTGTTATTTGATTTCTACGCAATGTATAGACGGTTTCAAAAACTTTTGAGGAAAACATTTATACTATACACTAGTTAGTGTCATGCCGACATGTCTTACCTCTTTATAACGAGTTTCCATATTTACATCTATAACAAGATGACCGTACATTTGAACCCACGTACATTTGAACCCATGTGTATATCCGCGGGTTCAATCTATATGCGGGTGCTGAAACCCATGGGATAGGGTTAGTATGGGTTCAAATATCCGTAAAACAAAAACAAAAATTTTTTTATAGGTACAATAGTATGCAGATGCAATTGTTGTGAGTTCAAATGTACGGGAACCCTATAACAAAGCTCAAGACAAGTATACGAGGTGCGGCTAAAATGAAACGGGACTGACGTCACAGATTGCGCAACTCCTCAGACCCGTTTCTTTTCAGCCTTACCTCGTATTCTGATATGTAAGACACTTTATTTTTTGGAAAACGTACGCACCTGCCTTTCGCCATTTATTGCCCCCTGAATGAAGTTAAGAATGAGTTTGGGACTTTTAGTCCACCATTACAATTAAAGCGCAGAATACTAACTAACCCATTGCCGTTGCGCTCATGGTTCCGTCCATGTGCGCGAATATTCTCGGTATAATCTCATAGAAATATACTTCCATGAGCACAATTTAACGCCGTTCAAAAACAATACTTAACATTTGAAATTGGGGGCTTCCGAAGTATTCGTACCATGATGGCGCAGAACCTGAAAATAGTATGGGTAACAGAATTAAGGTTGTGCGTCATCTTGATACGGATATTTCCGGAGCGCTTGAAATCGTCCCTGAACCTTTGCGCACTTTTGCTTCCCATACGTCTTTTCCTGTCGTAAACGATCGCATACCTCCATATCTCAATTCGGATATTCTATTCGTTATAGACATCTGAACAATAGAAACGTATTGGGTAAGACGTTTATCAAATTGGACGTTGTTGGTAGGAATGGGACGAGTCCGGCATTACAGAGATTAGACGAATCCGAGTAATAGATCAAGGACTCGAATCGAATCCTCCGAGTCCGTGACGTCACAATGTAAAAGTAGAAAAACACGTTTTTGAACATACTACAGCCGCGCGCTCACAAACATACGTTTTAGCTCATATTTTTTTTTGCCTAATGGTTCCGCAGATAGCTGTTGGATCAATTTAAAAATATATTTTTCTTCTTTTTTGGCGACCATAATACAAACGTAAACGTGGGTCAATGTGCGCCTTGGCTGTGAACTAGATTTCCAGCCCACCACCTTGCGTCGATTCTGGGCGGCTATTTAGAAATTCTTACATGTCAATATGAAAAATAAAAAGCTTTTGACTACAATACTTTGCCATAATTCCAGATATTTCTAGCCTTAAATCTACTATGTCGTGTGCGCAAATGGTAGAGAGATGCCACTCGTCGTCAATACAATGCTTGCAATTTAGTAGTTCATGTAAACGTTCTAAAACGCTCCGTGCTTTCCATTGCTCTTATTTTAGAGAAAGGATTGCACGGAATAAACACGATTTAAAAGAGGTATCGATGAGATTCCCTCATGTTTCATATTTATTTACGCGAATCGAAAACTCAGAAATATTGCGCTGACACATATTTTATTGTGTACCACATGTATACCAAAAACAATAGATAGTTTGACGGCGACTGTTAAATAGTTAAAAACTATTGATAGCTTATAACAGGGGTGGGCAACCTTTTCCGGCTCGCGTGCCCAAATCGGCTAAATTTAACGACAAAATTCTTCCGCGTGCCGACCAAAATTAAAAACAATGCTTTTTTACTTTTAAAGCAAAAATACACAATAATAAACCTTCTGAACATGTAAGCTACAGACAGATTCACTATTCGTGAAAATATCAGTCCGACAAATAGATTTGATTACTTTTCTTATTATATATAATAGAGACTTCTGCTACTGCATTGCCGTTGATAGAGATTTACATTGGAAAAAAGTTACGAACTACTGGTTTCATCTTTCAGGCTACTCCTGTTATGAGACTTGATAAAGTTCATAACTGAGAACAGAAAGTCACAAGCATATGTAGATAAAAACATGCAGTTGCAAAGTTTTTGAGACACGAAAAATTCTCGGGAATGCCTTCAAGCGATAGTTCGTTTTCTGCACTTCTCTCTTGTATTCCCTTCTATATTTGCTTATATTTCTTTCGAAATCAAGTTATTTCAGTAAGTTAGCAAGTAACTCTAACCAACATGCGATGTACAACTTCATAAATCAATCAGAAATGGAGAATAATGGTGGCACAGACTATATATTACGTAACAATGAACCCCCCAATGAATGCTGTGTCTCGTCACAATTCATAAAGAGCTAACTCATTTGTTACGTCATAATATATTTCTTTGTAGCCATATGTCATTAAAAGACAAAAAGAGTTTGAAATTTTAAATGAATAACAGATTGTTAACAAACGATAATGAATAAACAAACACCGAGCTTCATCAGATAAATCAGAGCCTCGAAACTTTATATCTGAAAGAGAATGATCTCGTTTCTGAGGCCTCGCTCGCGTGCCGAATAAATGGGCCCGCGTGCCAAGTTTGGCACGCATGCCTGGGGTTGCCCACCCCTGGCTTATAACAATGATGTTGCGCCAGTTGCCTTCAAACTATCTATCATTTTTGGTACACAATAAAATATGTGTTAGCGCAATATTTTTGAGTTTTTGATTCGCGTAAAAATGAAGCATGCTCTGGATCAACTCAATGGGGAATCTCATCGATACCTCTTTTAAATCGAGTTTATCACGTGCAATCCTTTCTATAAAAAGGGAGCAATGGAAAGCATGGAGCGTTTTAGAACGTTTACATGAACTACTAAATTGCAATCATTGTATTGACGACGAGTGGCATCTCTCTACCATTTGCGCACGCCACATAGTAAATTTAAGGCTAGAAATATCTGGAATTATGGGGAAGCATTGTAGTCAAAAGCTTTTTATTTTTCATATTGACATGTGAGAATTTATAAATAGCCGCCCAGAATTGACGCAAGGTGGTGGGCTGGAAATCCAGTTCACAGCCAAGGCGCACATTGACCCACGTTTACGTTTGTATTATGGTCGCCAAAAAAAAAATAAAAATATATTTTTAAATTGATCCAACAGCTATCTGCGGAACCATTAGGCAAAAAATATGAGCTACAACGCATTTTTGTGAGCGCGCGATGCTGTAATATGGTCAAAAACGTGTTTTTCTACTTTTACATTGTGACGTCACGGACTCGGAGGATTCGATTCGAGTCCTTGACCTATTACTCGGACTCGTCCCATCTCTAGTTGTTGGTCGAGCAAATCGCTGTACAAAGCCCCCGCCAACGATTAATTAAATAAGGAAATTAGTATTTATCCAGTTAGGTCTTGGGAATGCAGGTGGCACTGGAAATTCATATTTTCAAATAATTTCTAACTAATTTGTTATTTTGAAACGCGCCGGGAGTGTTTTTCGCTAAGCTCACATGTTTGCATTGATGGCGGGGCTTTGTACAAAAGATACTATTCGTTTATTTTTCGATTAAATGACCCTTAAGAACACACGGGACCAAGTATCCAGTTGCAGCTACTTTCAATCGGCAAGCCACTCGAGCAAACAACCTGAAGCGTACGTGACAAAATGTGTCCATTCGAGCGTGCGGCGTCGCACGTACGCAAGTCTGACTGTTTACGATAGAAACCCTAAACCCGACCACTCGAATATACTACATTCTAATTTTTATACACAAGTGCATTTTAAAATGTTTATTGCCGGGAGAGAGAGAGAGAGCTGGAATGTGTTGTATAAGCACAGGAAATGATTTTTTCAAACGTGAACTGAATATTGATACCTTCGTGTATTATTTTTAGTATATTATATCGTATATTATCGGATATTCGTAATATACTTCGTATATTATTGTATAGGTTTTAGGGTTTACATATACGCAAGGTTTTCTATGGAGGTAGTTTGAGATTTTGGTGTGACAACAAGTATCGAAAAGATGCTCAGAAACTGCCAAAATATTGTTTCAATTCGCCAGTTGAATCTGAACTTTGTGTAGTAAAAGTTTCTGAGTTTCAGTAAACGCGAAGAGAGTTTTAGGTGGGTACGTTTTCCATGAATTTAGTCTGTGACATCGATATTACGAGCAAGTATCAAAAATATGCTTAGAGGCTCAGAAACTGCTAGTTACCTGACAAACGATTAGTCTACCAAATCAGATAATGCTAGTCGGTTTTTTAATTTGCCAGTCGAATCTAACCTTTATGTACCAAAGCTTTCCTAGTTTCAGCCTACGTGTGAGTTTTAGGTACGTTTTCTATGAATGTAATTTGTGACATCGATATTACGAGCAAGTATCAAAAGATGCTTAGAAGCGCAGAAACTGCTAGTTCCCTCAACAAACGATTAGTCTGCCAAAATTTCGAAGAGACCATAAGGACAAAGGCAAAAATGTAAAATGCCGTATGTGAAGTACTTTTGTCAAGAGCGTATAAATATTTTAGTGACAGTGTTAGCTCTGACTTTACAGTAGTCTACTTCTAAAGCTTAGGCTTCTGATTAAAGGGTTGTTCATTACCTTTGCACTATCTTGTTCATATCGCATATTTTTGGGCGTTGTGTTACAAGGAATAAATTAAATACTGTATTTTTGGATTTGGACTTTAATGGCGTGGTTCTATCGCCGTTGTGTTGATAGTAATTTACAAGTTCTAAAGATATAAAAGGCGCATCCGGCCATTTATAATTAAACATTTATGATTCAAATATACCATGCAACTTCTTTATTCATAATTATTGCATCGTTTTTATTTGGTTTCGGTGGTGCAAATTCTGAATACATTCAGTGATATAAAAAGTTGGCAACGTTGATTAGCGAAGTATTGTTATGAATGAGAGAGCCCATATTGGACTTTAATTGAGAATTAACGATTTCTGTTTAATTGGAGGTATTCCCATAGTGTGTGTACCAGGTTAGGGTCAGGCCGCAATTTTATTCCGATTTTCCTCATTTTAGTTCTATTACGAGATCGGGGACTGTCTGTATTAGCCAAGTGAATATACCCCCTGCACATAGGTTTCAGTCCCTGTATATATAATTTGATGTAAAGTAGGGGAACAACATTAGTTACCTACATATATATATATTGGTACAGGCACATCTGGAGCGCCTGATTGAATGCTTGCACGACAATCTGCTGTCTGATAGTTACAAAACCGGAAATACTGTAGACCTAAAACTTCTTCTAGGAAAACTCGGCAAAGTCAGTAATTTGGAAACAGTTACAGTTAGAAACTAATTTCCGTCTCCCTGAATTATTCAATTTACTTTAATGGACGCGAAGCGTAACTATGTGCCGTTTTACTAAATTGTTGTCGTTGTTATTCTTGTTGTTGAGGTTTGGAAGAATGCTTTTTGCCACAACTAATCGACCAAACGAAATAAAATTGTCAGTACCGATTTGTTTTCGTAAGTAACGATAACGTCATTTGATTTCCAGCTTACTTGTAAATTGTATAATAGAAGAAGACTTTGCCTGTGCCTTCCATTATGGCTGAAACACAGCAAGAACAAGTCGAAGAAGTATTCAGCGTTTTAATATGCGTCGATAAAAGTGAAAATTCAGAACATGCTTTTGATTACTACATACAACATCTTAATAAACCGAACCATAACGTTGTCATAGCCTACGTGGCCGAAATGACATTTCCTGTGGAATACCTATTCGCGGGTGCTGGCGGGCGATTTCCAATGCCAGTAGGAATCGGCCCATCGCCCGCTGTAGCGCAAGAGCTTATTGAAAACGAACAAAAGAAGAAAAAGAGCATTGAATCAAAGTACAAGAAAAAATGTGAAAAATTGGGAATCAATTTTGAATTTAAAATACTGGTAGAAGTCCAAGGAGGTATTGGTGCTTCTTTAGTAGAAGAAGCGAAAACACGTGGAACGAATCTCATTATAATCGGCAGCAGAGGACAAGGACTAGTACGAAGAACAATACTTGGCTCGGTCAGCGACTACGTTTTACACCACAGTCACGCTCCAACATTAATTTGTCCAAAACAAGAATGAAATCAATTTCAAAATATTCATAACTATTGCAGACAATGCCTAATGTGTGTCTCTCAGCGGTTTTAACTATTTTGTTCCAAAATTTTGCAAGACGTAGTACCAGGGGGACTGACTCCCTTAGTGTGTGTACCATGTTAGAGTTAGGTCATAATTTTATTCCGATTTTAGTTCTATTACGAGTCGGGGACTGTCTGTGTTAGCCAAGTAAATATACCCCCTGCCCATAGGTTTCAGTCCCTTTACACAACTGGATGTAAAGTAAGCGAACAAAATTAGTTAATTCCCTATTATTTTATCATTCATTTTATCATATTAATCATTTGTTTTACGAACTGATTTACAAATCTATTAGAAAGGTCTTGTACACACCAAAATATTCGTTTTAAAAACTTAATTTTTCCGTAGCTATAGTGTCGGGGTACGATTTGTTTCAACCGGCTGACGAAATCGATAGTAACTTTTTCCGTAATCCACAGTCCTAACTAGTACATGCAAAACGTGCATCCAAAGTTAGATTAGGAGAGTGTCATACATTATCTCATCGACTTCTCGCGCCATATACCGGTACTTTTGCTTTGTTAAACATCGTATATTGCATGTATGATTATGTAAGTCCAACCAACTATTTACACTGCATGGTGATTATCGAAAATTAAGATTTACTCAATTTCTCGTCATCGTAAATCCGAATTCAAGTACTGATAAAAGTATTTAATGAACTAGTGGACAGGTTATATCCACCCCCACAGAATCAAATACCTGGCTAACTAATCCCATGCCAGATATGGACTAGTAACCAGTAGTGGGATTCAGTCGGTTTGCATCGGTTCTATGGAACCGTTTCAGAGAATTTTATGAGATCAGAGAACCGGTTAACATAACATGACTTTTTGCAACAGAACCGCCTGAAAATATGACATTTGTATGATGAAACCCGCTGACAAAAAAATTTAAATCCCACCACTGCTAGTAACCGAACAATGGGCCGTGGTTCGCCACATGAAAATCCCATGTCGTCTTTGGCGAATGAAGAAGTAGCCTACATGTTTCTTCAATATTGCTAGCTTATTATGTGAATGGTTTTTATTGTTGTTTATTACTTTGTGTCTATATTTTCATTTTTTCTGCCAGGTATTTTCAAAATAAAATAAAACATCGAAAATGTGTTGTTACACACTGTATTTTACATAGCGATATAAAAAAATACGTGAAAAAAGTAGAACGAATCACCCAGGATTGAAGCCACATATGCGTAGCAATGCTAAAATATAAAATAAACTAATTTATAAACGAATATAGCGAGACCAATTAATATCAACTGAGCGAAGTCGATACTTGGATGCTGATGATTACCTTCGAAACATGCGCTTGCTTGTTGTAAATTATTTAGCAATTTAGTCAGCTGAATATTTTTGGGCATGAAATACAGGACCAATTTCTTTTCAGTGGTTAAAGATTGTATTTTTCGCTAGAAGGTCATTGCTTTTATTTATTTCAAAAATTCCTATTGGCCCTATGGAATTCATATTTTGTGTGCGATGTCGTCATCAACATTGTAGAAATTGCGCATTTTTACGGTAGTACACTGTGACAGATTGCATAGCTGTGCTACTTCGTTTTGGCTTTCGTCCATAAATTGACATTATCTTGTACACACAAGTTTCGATACTTAAATTACTGTAATATCAAACCGGTACCTCCGTAGTGTATGTACCAGGCCATAATGTTATCCCGAATTTCCTTATTTTAGTTCTATTACGAGTTCGACGACTGTCTGTGCGAGCCAAGTGAATATACCTGCTGCCCATATTTCAGTGCCTTTACACAACTTGATGTAAAGTAAGCTTAGCAAAATTAGTTACCTGCATATTGGTACATACACTTCTGGAGCGTCATCAAACCATCGTCAGATACAGTTTTTGTGACTTTGATGCAAAACGTGAGAAAGATCAAAGATAACCGGAGACGAGTCATCAGCAGATTACATGTTAACATCTGTCCATTATTCCCAGCATCAGAACACGCATACTTTCGACTAACTTTTGCTTCGAAGACATTATTGTTAATTATCATGTGCGGTGTGTCGTCTCACTGTTTAGGCCAGGTTAGGAAATTTTGAACTAAGCAATCTGATAAGATAATTTTGAATCTGTTGGTCCTCTCCTCGCTATATAGTAATTATAGTTGTCGAGTGAGGTTCAGTTATCGTGAATGAGAATTGATAGGTATATAGTTCCGTTTCAATTTATTCTCGGAAAATTATTGATATCATATATACGAATAATGTAATACTACACAACAGAAAAACAGAGGACAGGAGAGCAGACAAAATCTAAAAAAATAGATTCAAAAATCGAGGAATTACCCATAGAAATATGTCAACTGTAAATCTGCTCAAAGCGAAGTCACATACACTGAGTACACACACTCGGAAGTAAAGGCGGGCGACTCATCTCGGAGCAAAGTTGTAGGCGAATGCTGTAACGCCAATATCTACTAACTCACCAATACAACACACGTAGGCAAGCGCTTATGCCAAAGGGAATAAAAACAAAATATTTAGCTGACTATACTTGTTTATTAGCCATATTAAACAGTATAAATAATTTAAATTGCGGTTCAGCTTCAAAATAAGAAGGCCAAAAGTGTTCGGCAGTTGGGTAATGCCACGGGCTGTGTGAATTCACACAAACAAAACAGTATGGATCAAATATATATGTTACGGAGACCAAAACGAAGTAGTATAAAGGCTTTTGCAGTACCGATAGTCTGACCGCCAGATCATTGAGATGTGATCACAGAACCACGGTACGATATTTTAAATTTTGATGACTTCATCACATAAAACTTCGAAGTGAAAACCGAATTCCATAGAGTTCACAGATATTTTCGAATTAAATGAAAAGTATCAGTTTTTAGCTTACAACAACAAGCTTTTACCACTAGATATTTTAAAGCAATTGACCCAGTAGTTAATTAGAGAAGTGATTTTTTCACAACAACAACAAGGAAATGAGGAATACCAACAACAACAACAATATAACAGCAAAACGATTTTAGGTCCACTCAATAATGAAGTTAGGTGTCAGGTTATGTCGTTCGTAGTTTCACAGTAGGCCAAATGGTGACACTTTGATGGCGTTGTGTAACAAAAAAGGTCGTTTCCGCTTCACTTCGCGCCTTTTCATTTTACTTTTGTAACATGCCATTGGCGTTAATTTTTAATGCTTGCATGAGCACGCAGTCAGTCGTCAGTTTATTCGTTAGAGAATCAACACATTCAGCGCAGCCAATAATGAAAATATAGAGGAAAACTTTAAACAGGTGTTTCGCATTATAACAAACAGAGCACGTCGCTTATGAAATACTTCGATACTCCCGAAGTATGTGAACTAAGATGGAGGACATCGGAACTTAGTATGTGTACCAGGTTCGGGTTAGGCTATAATTTCAGGTACTAATACTACGGAATTCACTTGGCTAGTCCCCGAATTCCTAATAGAACTGAAATAAGGAAAATTGGGATAAAATCATGGCCTAACCCTCCTGGTACACATGCTACGTTCCGGTGTCCGCCATCTTGGTTCCCATACTTCGGGAGTACCGAAACCTTTTGGCTTGAAATTGTCTGGTTTATATAATGAAAGTAATGGAGGGAGGGCCCTTCCGTCCATAAAATTTCACCTAATTGTATGCGTGCTAGTAAAATTATCTTGTTTAAATAATTTGAGATGACGTTTTAATTGTTACCAGGTTGAGTCAATATTTTATTTTTGAGTATAAAATTTACTCCGACCAATTCTTTGTTATGACCCGACGACAATGCAAAAACGTAATTATGGACAAGATTGGTGACTTTTAGGTTGTTTCAATTGATTAGCGTAAGCTCGAAAACTTGCTTTAACATTTAGTGATAATTTTCAGCTTTTACAAGTTTGCTCTTCAGTCGAGCTGGACTTGTCACACAACTGATTATTATCGCAATTTAAGATTTGGAGAACACTTTGGATGCATGTTTTGTAAGGTTTTTGTTTGTTTTTCGCGAGTTTTGCAATGTTTTTGGTGTTTTTTCCACATTTTTATCAAGGTTTTTGATAATTTGCCACGTTTTTTTTTTGCAAGGTTTTTGGTGGTTTTTCACGATTTTCGCACGTTTTTGCAATGTCAAAAACAGTGGTGGCTTGATAGTATTTTTTCCGCGTGTTTTTGATCGTTTTATTTTCCTGTTTTTGTAATTTGTTTTGATTATTGCACTAAGTAAGTGATGATTGCCCCCGAACGCGAGGACAAGCAGGCACTGTCTGCCATGTTTTCGTCGGTGACAATCAAGTTTTGTGGTTCGTGTGAAAAGTTTGAGTTCTAGTTATCCACTTTATGTTGCAATATTGCTGTTTTGATTAATTAAGAATAAAGCCGCAGTCGAACCGCGGATCTTCTAATTTTACCGTAGTAGATGTTTTGGTAAGGTAAAGCTGCGACAGTGGAATTTAGTTGGTTCGCGCGAATCTTGTCATTTCGTGATATTCAGCTGTTCTGTTTTTTGTTTGTCTTGGTTCGGCACAGTATTATGAAATACACAAACCTGTTGCTATAGCGCGTTTGATACAAAGAGGATCTGCTCTTCAACTTTGAATCCATGAAAGGTTGCACCAGTGGTTCCCAATCTTTGTTGTTAACTTCCTTCCTACGCCTATTGTGGAACTCCTTATTCCTTCCTCCCTATAATCTTTAATGAGTCCCTAGTGGTTGCGTAAGTCGTACTCCTGTTTTTGTATAGTTTATATATATATCCTAGTTTATTATGTGATTATGAATAAGTACTACAGGGTGTTAAAAAAGTAATGCAAAATTAACAGAAGTTGAGATGAATTGATACTCAAAACATTCAACGACTGCCACCTTTCAACAGTATTAAATTTCAGTAAAATGACATTTAAACATTTCATGGCTAAGGCTTTTAACAGTTTAATAACATTTTAACGTTGCCACGACGAAAAACATCACCTTAATTTTGCTAACTTTTTTAACATTTTGTATATACGAAGAATGACAAAAAACTAAAGAGTACTATTAATACTACAGCGAAACAAATGAGAATTTCATCACGGTTGGGAAATGTTGGGTTGGTCCCTGTCGATGATTGAATTTGATACCGGGGGCACTAATTATAACGTGAACAAACCGCTGATTAAGAAAACTACATTTCTGTATGCAAATCGAAATCTAATCGTTATTACAACTTCGCTTCAAGTCGAAAATAGCCATTATGCTTCTCTGTGTTTGGCTATCCCTACCTGTGTCCCATATTCAGACTTCTTCGCACTTATGCCTATAGGCGGTACAGACAGAAAGGCATTGTCATCTTACTCGCTACATTTGCTCCGTTTGATATTACAAAGACGTATGTATAGATTGTTACCTGATTGATAAAGTGCTATTCAGTTTTTATTATGCAATTCATTGAGGAAGGATTGGGAGTTAGTCTCTCGCAACCTCTACTGATAGTTAATTCAGTTTTTAGTGGCATATTAGAAAAAGAAACATCAATTTTCGAAGTTAAGAAATGTCGGGAGCGGTTTCTAATACTGTGGAGGCTTATATCATTTAACATTAAATATTGGCATTTCATGACTCATCATCTGTTCTGTGAGTAGTATCAGTCCATTTTGAATTCTGTGAAATATTTTTTTGATGTATATATGGAAGATTTTGTGTTTAAATGTGTGTACCAATTGTGTGATATTTTAGTTCAGCCTCGAGAATATAGTAAGACCTAGAATGCCGAAGCATATATATTTCTGTGTTTATCGATTTATCGTAGCAATGACAATGCTCATATAGAATCTGATTAGAGAGTATGTCATTGTGTTTTATTTTTAATTCTATGTCAGGGATGTGCAACCTTTAATACAGGACGACCGGATACAGATAACTGGGTAAAACCGCGGACCGCACTTTAATTTAACAGAGGCTTTCGAGTAGTCGCAGGCACAAAAATTTGGGTCATTGATCTAATGACTTCGCTTCACACAAGGTAGCTGTTAGGCCTAGGGCACTGTAACGTCATATGCATAGCTGATAAATCGGACTCAGCTATAGACTTTGCAACGCAAAAGGTTTGGAATTACTAGCATGTACCAGATTAAACTAAATTAAAAACTCGTTTCGGCACATTTAATGCACGGTAATTTCTAGTAATAATCTCTAACAATTGATATTGGTTGGCTAATTTGCAAAATTCGTATGGTATTTACCATTAATATCAATAATTTCGAAACTCTCCTCCCAATCTGTCGAACTAGGTGTTATTAAAACCGTGGTCGCTGCTCGATAACCAGTTTGGTTCTCCGCAGCTTCCCTTTTTCAGTAATGTAAAATTGTAAATATAATTTTCTTTTATTTGTTGCAAGTTTTTTGTCCTTTACTGGTTGAAAAAAATAAACTTGACTTGACTTTCGCGGGCCGCACATTCAAAAGTGGCTTTAATATGATACATATTATTGTTTTCTGATGAAATCCTTCCCTTCGACTATTGTTATTATATTTCAAATCATTTATCACTTAATTTTTCAGTCTAGACTTGTAATCATTAAAGATGCTGTCAATATACGCCAATGTTGCAACTGTGTCTTTATGTTTTGCGTGGTTCCAGTTTATTGGAAAGTCATTATCAATTCGACTATGCAAAAAATATATTCCATCACACCTCGAACGATTATCTGATGAAGACAAAAAGACTTTAGCCAACAAGTTTGTCCTTAATTAATTACTTGATTAAAAATTTGTTGGGATTGAGATTAAATATAGATGGGCGCGAGGCTGATTGTTTCACAAATTTGCCTTTTTTAACATTGCAAATATTGTTCATAAAATGTAAATCATTATGTCATACTTACATGGGCCCCCCAGTCTAGGTGGGCAAATTTTTGGCCCCTAATCAGGGGACCTTGCCCACCACTGCTCTGACATATAGTTTTTATTTTACTTGGGGCTATTTCTCGAAGATCGCTATCACCTAACCTTGTCTTTTTGGTGATGGAATGGTGTGTGTCTTTGGTGATGTAACCTCACCTTTGGGGATCGGCCAAAAAAGCTATCGCACTGTTACTATTTTCTTAATCACGCTATTTATAAGATTTTAATTTCATTTTTTTGATCTAATAGATTACTTTGTTGTGTATTTTTAGAATGATGTCTTCATTTAACTCAATCTTTGTGTTTTTCAACGTGTCGGCTATTCTTGTTCTAAATTGGCAACGTATACGCAGTGACCCATATTGGTGAGCAAAGTTCTAGTTTGTTTGAATTTTTTTTGGCAACTGGAACAAAAATGTAAAGGGTTCGAGTCGCAATCTGAATACAGTCTCGAAAAATCAGAATCTTGACATAGGCCGAAAAGTTGTGCAAAGGGTATTCATCTGTAACGCTTAGAATCAACCGGGGTAACCTAATATTCCGTGGTATTAATATTCCTAAGTGCATAGAATTGTGGGCGCGTACGATAATTTGGTCGCATTTTGATTCCAAAACATAGCATGCAAGCCCGAATAGTCTATTTCCAATCTTTTGTTAAAATAAATTGAACTTTTTAACAATTTCATTATCATTCGAGTAATTCGACAAGGTTTTGGAAGTAAGCAAACGTCATTTAAAATTATTTCGAACCCAAATTCCGGCCCGAACATTTTTGATGACACATCGGCCGTTAATTTGCGTCAACCATGCACTTTCCCCGAATTCCGTCTGAGACCACTCTATGACACCAATTTCGCGACAGGGATCGAACGAGTTGAAGCATAACCTCATGTTGTAAACTTATCACCTTTTTTCTGAAAAACGAATAGAGCCATTAGCGAGGTTTCATTTTGGGGACTCCCGTAGTGTGTGTACCAGATTAGGGTTAGACCATGATTTAATTTCGATTTATCTTATTTTAGTTCCATTACGAGTTCGAGGACTCTGTGTGTTAGCCAAGTGAATATACCCGCTGCCCATGAGTTTCAGTCCCTTCACACACCTTTTGTAAAGTAGGCAAACCAAATTAGTTACTTCATATTGGTACAAACATTTCTGGGCTCAAATATATATATAGACAAGAATGTGGTACCGGAATATGAACGTACGCTATTTTAAAGGCACTAACACAACACAATATGGTGGTGATTTAGAGTAGTTCTATGTGTTTTATTTAAGCATTTTGTTTTACAGGGCTGACACTTTTGTCCGCGAACCGTACTGCTGCATCAGTTTAGCCTATTTTTTATCAGGTATTATTTATCGTGTGTATACTTATATTGTTATTATATATATCACACGATCATATATATCTTATTATATCATTAATTGTAGATCGAGTATTTTGAAACGCCTGCAACTTTTGATTTTCAAACTTTATTTCTTGAATTGCCAAGCACAGTATGCCGGCAATGACAAACCTGTATAAATACGACTATGTATTTCAATTAAACTCTATAAAGATAATGAGGGTTTGCTCCGGAGTCATTTTGAAGTAAGTGGACTGCGGTAGCAGAAAAGAATTGAATCCAGATTAGTTTTTGTGACTTTCTTCAAAAATCAACAGCCCGGGTTCGCAAACCCGGTTTCTAATTTGCATAGCTTGCTATATATATACCAACAAATACTAAATTATCTTTTACTATTCCATTTACCCTACAACTAGTAGGAGAATTTTCAAAGTTAGTTTTATACGCATGCGTGTGAGTTACCGGCATGTATTATCTCTGTATGATTACAATTTTGAATACCGATTACAGAGAGTTCCCGAAGTATGTGTGCCAGTTTAGGGTTATCAGGTTGTGCGCCATCTTTGTGCCAATACTTGAGGAGCGCCGATTACAGAATTATCTTTTTTTGTCACGAGGTGAGACTGCCGTATTACCTCTGTCTTTATGTTCGAAACCTAATCTAAAGTTCAGCATCTCTTTTGGCAACTTTTCTGAATTTCCTTCCCGTGTGTTGCACATTTTTTCTGGTACAATGGCGGAATTCAAAATAGATTGTCTTATCTTAATTTCACAGACATGATCAACGATTTGCGAGGGAAACGAAATTTCAATACCATTTTTTATGTCCTTCATCATTCCATGTGTCTGTCAACTATTTCAATAGTCATAGTAAGTGCCTCTAGGTCTATTTCGGGCGCTCCAGAAGTGTGTGTACCAATATGGAGGTAACTAGTTTAGTTCGCCTACTCTACATTAAGTTGTGCAAAGGGACTGAAACCTATGGGCAGGGGATATATTTGCTTGGCTAGCACAGACAGTCTCTGAACTCGTAATAGAACCAAAATGAGAAAAATTGGAATAAAATTGAATTCTAACCCCATTCTGGTACACATACTACGGGAGTACCCAATTTCGCTCATCTATCAGAGAAAAAATTCTCAAATAAGGTTTGCTTACTAAATTCTCAAATAGGGTTTGCTTAATGACTTAAATGTGCATTCCGAACTGTATTCAATGCCAAACGTTAAATTTCGCTTTTTCGTAAAGATAAAAATTATTAAAAAAACAAACAAACTTATTCGAACCATTATTTTGGATACTCCGTGGTGTGTGTTATACCAGGTTAGGGTTGGGCCATAATTTTATTCGGATTTCCCATATTTTAGTTCTATTAACAGTTCGGGATGTCCGTGTTATACCACATGAATATACCATAGGTTTAGGCCATTTACACAACTTGATGTGAAATGGGCGAACAAAATTAGTTACCTCCATATTGGTACACATACTTCTGAAGCGCAGATTTTTTGTATAAATAAACTTGGATTGATGACCAAGGGAAATGTGGCATTTATCTTATGTCTTTATTCCTCTCTTTCTGTAATTTGTACTTTTTCGCATAACTTGACTACAATTTTGCATTTAAAGCTTTTACTGCAACCATCAACTTACACTTCTATAATTACAGTACTACAGAGTCTTCATTTTCCACGTATGTATGAGAGGATTGAATGAAATGTCTACGCCTGTCCTGAATCTTAGGTGAGATAAATAATTACGCCCGAAATGCTAGTTTAGCACCAACGAACGTATATATGTCACATAGCGTTGAAAAAGCCCTGCTCTTCAAATATGTGTTTCCCCGAAAATAAAACCTAGACTGAATTTTAAAAATGATTCCAATATAAGCCCTACCCTTAAAATAACACTTAGTCAATACCGCAAATTTTTTTTTCGGTAACGCGAATTTTTTCTAAAGAAAATCGTGTTATTTATAAGCAAATGGATATTAGTTTTCATACTTTGTATATTTGAATATCTCGTAATTCTCTACTTTGTAATATTGTTTTTGGTAGATGAAAATAAAAGTCATCCACCAAAAATAACTCCTAGTGTTTTTTTTTTCCAAAGAAAATTGAAATAAGACCCCGTCCTTTTTTCGGGGAAACGCGGTATGTTAGTCAGTTACTCGGGCATTGTCAGATGTTATCTGAAAATGTGTAAGGTATTCTCGTAATCAGTCGTCTGTAATTCTTTCACGCTGGCCAGCGTTATGGTGTAACGTTCACTACAAGCAATTGCTCAACGTCCGGATATTTGACCACGGAACAACTGCTAGCATGAAATCGTATCATACATTTTTGCCTTTTCTTAGGTGGGCTTTGAAAAAGTTCGGCATGGAAAATGAAAGAATTTATGCTATGACGGAAATTGCGTTTGTTGTGACATACTTCTTGGGTCGTATTGTTACTATGCCAGTATTTTACTATACTATACTTATAACGAAAGATACTGAGGGATATCAGAGGTGAAGAAATTTTATTTTTATCAGGCTTTAAAAACATGAGATGGGTGAATGAAGCAATTCTTACATTTAATCAGAGTGATTATTGCATAGAAGGGCGCTCCAGAAGTGGGTGTACCAATATGGAGGTAACTTATTTTGTTCGCCTACTTAACAACAAGTTGTGTGGAGGAACTGAAACCTACTGGCATGGGTTATATTCACTTGGCTAACACAGACAGTACCCGGACTCGTAATAGAACTAAAATAAGGAAAATCTGAATAAAATTATGGCCTAACCTCAACCTGATACACACACTGTGGGAGTACCTATAAAAGTGTATTGCTCATGTGCTTCTTTGATCGAATATTTTTCTAATACTGTTTTATTTCGCCATCATTTTGTCAGATAGTGATGTCTACTTTCAAAATTATCTAGTAAAATGATACAATTAGGGATAAACGAACATGCCATGTTCATCAAAGTTTGGTGATATTTGTCGATTTTTACACATTTATTTCACTTTAAAAATATTCCAATTGCAGGCTAAATACACTATGCAAAGTGATATTCTTTGGATCAGCAGTTGTTATAGACACTCTAATCATATACTGGTTTCTTCTGATCTGCAAAATGGTATTCACCAATGTCAAAGAACGTTCTCAGATGAAAGGAAAAGAAGACTAGCGATGTGATTTTGAATGATTTTTAAATTGAATCCAATAATTATTTTAGAAATAAAAATATATATCTCAAAATCAACAAGTTTTCGCTATATTGAAGCAGTATTGTATTTTGGGTCCAAACCATACGAGTTTAATCTGTATGCTGCACTGTATTTAGCATCGCTGATTTCTGGCACCTTCACCATTAGATTGAAACAGAGTTGTTCTGTGTGATGAACCTCCGGGCAATATTTATACTCAAGGTGATAGAATTAAAAATTGACGCTTTTCGCTTGTATATATCCAAAATATAATTCACAAATCATGAAAGTTAGCTTCTTTGGTTACTGTCGCGGACCATAGCGTCCACGTTCATGTTGTATATATATATATATATATATATATATATATAGGAAAAAAATGCGTGTGAAAAGCGTCGGTACCCCCAAAGTATGAGAACCAAGATGGTGGACACCGGAACTTAAGGCCATAATTTTATTTCAATTTTCCTTATTTCAGTTCTATTGCGAGTTCGGTGACTAGCCACGTGACTCCCGCAATATTTGTATCTAAAATTATGGACTAATCCTAACCAGGTACACATACTACGTTTCGGTGTCCACCATCTTGGTTTACATACTTCTTCATACAGTTACTTTTTTAACGTTGCCATGACAAAAAATATTACCTTGATTTTGCTAACTTTTTTAACACCCTGTATAGAATAATAATGACAAAAAACTAAAGAGTACTAGTAATAATACAGCGAAACAAATGAGAATTTCTTCCCGGTTGGGAAATATTGGGTTGGTCCCTATCGATGATTGAATTTGATACCGGGGGCACTAATTATAACGTGAGCAAACCACTGATTAAGAAAACTACATTTCTGTATGCAAATTGAAATCTAATCGTTATTACAACTTCGCTTCAAGTCGAAAATAGCCATTATGCTTCTCTGTGTTTGGCTGTCTCCCCCATGTCCCATATTAGGATTTCTTCGCGAATAGATTGTTACCTGATTGACAAAGTGCTATTCAGTTTTTATTATGCAATTCATTGAGGAAGGATTGGGAGTTAGTCTCTCGCAACCTCTACTGATAGTTAATTCAGTTTTTAGTGGCATATTAGAAAAAGAAACATCAATTTTCGAAGTTAAGAAATGTCGGGAGCGGTTTCTAATACTGTGGAGGCTTATATCATACCTAACATTAATTATTGGCATTTCATGACTCATCATCTATACTGTGAGTAGTATCCTGTTTTGAATTCTGTGAAATATTCTTTTGATGTATATATGGAAGGTTTAGTGTTTAAATGTGTGATATTTTAGTACAGCCTCGAGGATATAGTAAGACCTAGAATGCTGAAGCTAATGTATGTCGTGTTTATCGATTTATCGTAGCAACAATAATCCTCACGTAGAATCTGATTAGAGAGTATTTCATAGTGTTTTATTCGTAATTCTATGTCAGGAGTGTGCAACCTTTAATACAGAAGGGCGGATACAAATAACTAGGTGAAACCGCGGACCGCACTTTAATTTAACAGAGGCTTTCGAGTAGTCGCAGGCACAAAAATTTGTTTATTTGATCTTATGACTTCGCTTCATACAAGCTAGCTGATAGGCCTAGGGAATTGAAACGTCATATGCATAGCTAATGAATTGGACTCACGCACAGGCTTTACAACGCAAAGAGATTGGAATTATTAGCACGTACCAGATTGAAGTAAATTTAAAACTCAAAATTGCCACTAGTATCATATTATTGTTTTCTGATGAAATCCTTTCCTTCCAACTACAACTAAATTGATATAACTGATGTTTCAAATCATTTATCACTTAATTTTTCAGTCTAAAATTGTAATCACTGAATATGCTGTCGATATACGCCAACGTTGCAACTGTATCTATATTTTTTGCGTGGTTCCAGTTTATTGGAAAGTCATTGTCAATTCGACTATGCAAAAAATATATTCCATCTCACCTTGAACGATTATCTGATGAAGACAAAAAGACATTAGCCAACAAGTATGTCCTTGATTAATTATTGCTGAAACTAAGTTTAATTTGTTTATTTCCACCGATTGTAAGATTCATATCAAGAGTATACGAAGGGTATAAAATTAAACAGATAGATAGTAGAAGTGAAAACGGGAGCACAATGCCCAAATACTGCAAAATCCGAAACGACTGTTACAATAATGGGTAATTGTGTGCCAGGTTAGAGTTAGGCCGTACTTTTATTCCGATTTTCCTTATTTTAGTTCTATTACGAGTTGGGAGACTGTCTGTGTTAGCCAAGTGAATATACCCCCTGCCTCATAGTAATCAGCCCCTACACACAACTTGATGTAAAATAGGCTAACAAAATTAGTTACGCACACTTCTGGAGCGCTCCTTTACATCCTTTTATTTTTTTGATCTAATAGCTTCCATTTTCGTGTGTTCCCAGAATGATGTCTTCATTTTACTCCACTGTTGTGGTTATCAGCGTGTCGGCTATTCTTGTTCTAAATTGGCAACGTATACGCAATGATCCCTATTGGTAAGCAAGGTTCTAGTTTTTGTGAATATCTATTGACAAAAAAATTGGGCGATCTCGTAGTATGTGCACAAAGATGGCGCACAACCTGATAACCCTAACCTGATACACATACCATCTTCAGGTTGTGCGCCATCTTCGTGCACATACTACGGGAGCACGAAAAATTGTAATTGGTTCTAATAAGTTTATGCCATGACGACAAAAATGGCTGTGGCGAGTTGGTAAAATAACGTAGTTCAGTGTTTGCAATTTTACTAAAGTAAAATTCCTTGGATATTTTTTTTCAAATTTGAGTGAAATATTTTCTTAAGTTCAGCACGAAATGCTATTTTGCAAAGTGCATTGTATTTCTCATAATAATAATAAAAAAGTCGCAAGCTGAATACAGTATTAAAAAATCTCCAGAATCTTGACATAGATTCAAACGTTGTGTAAAGGGTAATTATCTTTAACGCTTTTAATAAACCTAGGTAACCATAATATTCACTGGTACTTTTGGCGCATAGAATTGTTGGCGCTGATGATAATTTGGTCGCATTTTGATTTCAAAGACGAGAATACAAGTTTGAACGCGGTCGATTTCTAACCTTGTCTCACAAAGTATCAAATCATTTGAACATTTTGTTTTCATGGAGTAATACGACAGTGTTTTGGAAGTGAGCAAATCGGTGCTCAAAGTCGGTTTTTCTGTGTATCTGGGGTATCGTGTATCTTCTCGAAATTCATGTAGCCCCAGTTTGTATTTTTCTTCTATTCCTCTTAATCTTTGTCCAACTTTTCATGCTATTACTAATAATTACCGTTAGGCTTAGTCACTGATATCGCTGCCAGTATTGGGTTCTCGCGACTAATTTCATCCTGAAATGTCAGTTTTACCCTTTTTTACATTCTGTATTCATTAAATGTATTTCATATATGGTAGTAAAATAAACAAATGATTATTACATACTGACTGCAAACGTCATTCAAAATTATTTTGATCTTGAGTTCCGGCTCGACTTGAACAATATAGAGACTTTTATGGAGTAAAGTGCCAAATTAACGAATCCCTACCAAGCAGTTTTTTCATTAGATACATGCTATTCCACATTATTCCATGCCAATCAACTGTGAAATCTATCATATCAGCGAATTTGTCGACACCATGAAGCGTTTTTAACGGAAATTAAACTCTTTTTTCCCATTATTGGTAACTAATCTAAGTTACCAAGTTCTTTCGTACCAAAAAGTTTCGACTTTTCCAATGTTATAATAATACCACATTGCCAGCCCATTTAGCCAATCGTGCACTTTCCTTAAATCACTTCTTAGACATTCACTACAACTCCATGACGCCGTTTCCGTGACATGGATCAGACGAGTTCTTAAAATGTAAGGTCATGTTGTAATCTTATAACATTTTCGGACAATGAAATAAAGCCATTAGCAAGAAGTCGTTTTGGCTCGAGACAAAATCCCAAATATGAATGCGATAACGTACTATGGACGTACGCTCTTCTCTTAAAGCCCTAACTCAACGAAATATGGTGGTGGTTTGGGGTAGTTCTGTATGTGTTTTATTTAGGCATTTTGTTTTACAGGGCTGACACCTTTGTCCGCGAACCGTACTGCTGCATGACTTTAGCTTATTTTTTATCAGGTAATATATACTTATTTATCGTGTATAAACTTATATTAAATCATTAAATTGTAGATTGAATATTCCAAAAGGTGGACAAAAAAATTGGATTTTCAAACTCTTTTTTTTTTGTATTCTTATTTAATATTTTTTAATTTCATTCACAAATATGAGAAAGATACTCAGAACCCTGCATATCGTCCATTATACTAAAAATGGCAATCCGAATCTGTATTTCAAATAAGCTCCAAACGCAAGGACCGTGGGCTCATCTCTAAAAATCAAATCTTTGCATTCCAACCTGTATTGCCAGCATAGTTAGAAGTTATTGCGTCCAGTATTATTCTGCATTGTTTTTTAATATCAAAATTGCTCTTCGCTTTATTATTCATTCCAACAAATATTTCCAAATTTAATTGTATGCGCCTGCGTTTATGTCACTGACTTATAGTGTCATGAAGCTCACAGTATTAAAGTTCCTTTAAAAATGTTTTATCGTTCTCTTTTCATTTCCCTATGTAATGTCTCAAAGTGCTCCATTCGGAGCCCCGGGGCTCCATGGGAGTAGCCAAGGACTCCACGAGCTATTCGTTTACCTATTAAATACTGTTTTGGCTAATTTTGCAACTATGCAAAAAAGCAATAACGGCATTGATAAAATTTGACAACAGTAGCATCAAAATGTGGCATCAATGCGGTAATTCAAAAAATCCAATGAATAATTTATTATATAAATTTTATTGTGGGGCTCCGTAAATAATAGTGAACCCCTTTACGGACTCCATAACAGCAAGTTTGAAAACCCCTGCTCTATGTAGCACAATACAAGGTGAGATTACCCATTTAGTACCTATAAATAAGGGGTCATGTTTTAAATCTCTTTTAAAGCTTAGCAAGTCGTTTGGCATCTTTACTGAATTTTCGTCTTGTGTGTTTGTCGTGTGTGTTGTGATTTATTTATTTCGATCATGGCGGATTACAGAGTAAATTAATATTTATTTTAATTCAATAGACATGATCAACGATCTGCGAGGGAAACGAAATTCCAATACCATTTTTTATTTCATTCATCATTCCATGTGTCTGTCAACCATTTCAATAGTTATAGTGAGTGCATTAAGTTAATTTTACTCATCTATCAGAGAAAAATTTCTCTAATAAGGTGTGGTTACTGAGTTAAATGTGCATTTCGAACTGGATGACAAATGTTAAATTTCGCTGTTTCGGACAGATTCACTATAAAAAATGAAAAAAATAACTAAACGTTAACTTATTTGAGTCACAATTTTGTATAAATAAAGTTAGATTGATGAGCACTGGAAATGTGACATCTATCCTCTGTTTTATGTTCTTGCTTTAGTTAATTTGTACCTTTTTGCATAACTTGATTACAATTTTGGGTACTATTGTAGTGTGTGTACCAGGTTAGGGTTAGGCCATAATTTTAGTTTTATTACCAGTTCGGAACTGCCTGTGTTAGCCAAGTGGATATACCCCCTGCCCATAGGTGTCAGTCCCTTTACACAACTTGATGTGAAGTATAGGCGAACAAAATAAGTTACCTCCTTATTGGTACACACACTTCTGGAACTCTTCTTGTGGAACCATCAAACTACACTTCTATAATTACAGTACTACAGAGTCTTCCTTTTCCACATATGTATGAGAGGCTTGAATGAACTTTCTACGCCTGTCCTGAATCTCAGGTGAAATAAATAATTGTGCCTAAATGTTAGTCCAGCCACCAACAAACGTATATTTGTCACATAGCGGTGAAAATCCTAGTATTTGAAATACTCTGAATCAGACTGCAAATATCTTTAATTAACACTAATTACCGTGTTTCAACGAAAATAAGACTTAGACTGAATTTTAAAAATGATTTCAACATAAGCCTTCCTCTAAAAATGAGACCTAGTCGATAGCGCGAATTATTTTTTAAATAAAATCGTGTTATTTATTAGCAAATGGATATCGGTTTTCATACTTTGTAATATATTCAAATATCTCGTTATTCTCTACTTTGTAATATAGTTTTTGATAGATGAGAATAAAAGACATCCACCAAAAGTAAGCCCTATAGTGTTATTTTTCAAAAGAAAATTGAAATAAGACCGTCTTATTAGCGGGGAATCACGGAATGTTAGTTACTAATGTTATCTGAAAATATGTAAGCTTTGCTCGTAAGTCGTCGTCTGTAATTCCTTCACGCTGGCCAGCGTTATGGTGTAACGTTCACTACAAGCAATTGCCCAACGTCTGAATATTTCAACATGGAACAGCTGCTGGCATAAAATTATATCACACATTTCTGTTTCTTTTTAGGTGGGCTTTGAAGAAATTCGGCATGAAAAAAAAGAGAATTTATGCTATGACAGAAGCTGCGTTTGTCGTGACATACTTCTTAGGTCGTATTGTTACTATGCCAGTATTCTACTATACTATCCTTATAACGAAAGATACTGAGGGATATCAGAGGTGAAGGAATTTTATTTTTATCAGGCTATTTAAACGTGACAAGATGTTAGATGGATGACGAATGGGACAATTCTGACATTTAACCAAAGTGATTGCTGCATAAAAGGGCGCTCCAGAAGTATGTGTACCAATATGGAGGTAACTAATTTTGTTCGCCTACTTCACACATCAAGTTGTGTAAAGGTACTGAAACTTATGGACAGGGGGTATATTCACTTGGTTAACATAGACAGTCCCCGAACTCGTAATAGAACTGTAATAAGGAAAATTGGAACAAAATATGGCATAACCTGGTACACACACTACGGGAGTGCCTATAAAAGTGAACTGCTTATGTGCTTCTTTGATCGCATCTTTTCCCAATGTTTTATTTCACCATACATTTGTCAGATAACAATGTCTTCTTCCAAAGTTATCTAATAACACAATACAATTAAGGCTAAACGAGCATGCATAATGTTTTGGTGATATTTGTCGATTTTTACACATTCACTTCACTTTTACCAATTTGAAAATATTCTAATTGCAGGCTGAATACACTATGCAAAGTGATATTCTTTGGATCAGCAGTTGTTATAGACACACTCATCATATACTGGTTCCTTCTGATCTGCAAAATGGTATTTAACAATGTCAAAGAACGTACTCAGCAGATAAAAGGAAAAGAAGAATAGCAATGCGATTTTGAATGATTTTTAAATTGAATTCAATAATTATTTTGGAAATTAAAATATATTTATCTTAAAATCAACAAGGTCATATTGAAGCAGGATTGTATTTTTGAGCAAAAGCCATAAGAGTTTAATCTTTATGCTGCATTAAGCTTTGCTGATTTCTGGCAACTTCTGGCAACTAGATAAAAGCAGAGTTGTTCTGTGTTACGTACCACTAGGCAATATTTGTACTCGAGGACGTAGGATTAAAAAGGGAGGCTGTTCGCTTGTATATATTCTAAATAAAATTAACGAATCATTGAAAATTAGCTTCCGTGGTCACAAACGTCCCAGTGTAACATAGTGCCAACATAATATACATTCATCAGCAACACTTAGTTTTTTAATCCCACGCGTGCGGTCATGTAGATAGATAATTTATTTTGAAAACTCCATGAAACACACAAATTAAAAATGGAGAATTCTGGAGAGCGAGCAAAATCTTTCAAAAAGTTTAAAACATGAGAAATATCACGTGCCCGCCCACCAGCACACAAACAAGAAAAATACAAAAACAAAAAAAAACAAAAAAACAAGTTAAACGAGGCTTGGGACAGAAATAAACAAACATAAGATACGCGAATGTAAGTTTCGGACTGTTAGACTTTTGAAACACTCAAGCTAATACAGTAATAATGACTAGTTTAATCTGATACAGTATATCTGTATATGCCTTAATATAAATGTCTTGAAAGGATAGAACTATAAATTCAATTTTCAATCTTCTCGAAACTTACGCTGATACAGCAATATACAGATATATGCAATGGTGGATTTAGCAGGCGGTTCGCACCGGTTCTATAGAACCGTCTTACGGAATTTTATGAGATCAGCTAACTGGTTAGCATTACTGGTTACTGTCAATGACTTTCTGTAACAGAACCGGGTGAAAATATGACTTTTGTGATGGAACCGGCAGACAAAAAAATTGGAAATTTTTGGAACATTGAACAGTCCTATGAAATCAGTTACAAATATCGTGTTTTCTGCATAGAAAAAAGTTTGCTCTCGATGTTTTTCCGATCTTTAAATTCAATCAATCAATCAACCAATCAATTTTATTTTAGTCACTCTGAAAGAAACAAAACAACAACAAACGGACAAACAAAATGCAGAGGACCTGGAGGACGGGCATAACTTAAAAAAAAGTTAAAAACGTACAAGTACGTGCCCACGCACCAAAAACAGTCAAAAAAACATTCAAAAGATGTTCCCTATAGTGACAATAGACCACACTAATGACAAGCTGATTGAATATTTCGATCCAAACCATAATTTTGTGTATGTGGACGATCATTGCGCGATCTGCAAATCTCGAGAATACTTTTAGAACTAGTAAACTATAGAAAACATTTTTTGAAGATTGGAAAAACGATGAGAGCAGGATAGGATAGGATTTGTGTATTTAGTCCAGGGGAGAGGAAAGCCGATAAGATGGCTTAATCATATGGGGAACCACTGCCTCTCGTCCAGTTACAAGTCCATGTCGGGTATAGGATTAGTTAGTCAGTTATTTGTTTTCAGAGTCACGGAAATGATTGTGGATGAAGCCATAACCGACCAGCGGTTACGTGAACCACCCTACGACGTCGAAGAGACCACTTAACCCCGCATGGGATTCGAACCTGCGTACCCATACAGGGTAATCAGCGGTGCGGGGTCGAGCGTATTCCTAACGCTTAGCACGATGCGCCACCACCGCCGAGAAAACGCGATATCTGTAACCCATTTCATAGGACTGTTCAATGTTCCAAAAACGTCAACATGGCTTTGCGCTGAAACCTCTACAACAGCGTTTCCCAACCTTTATTGATCGCGGACTATTTTCTCACCGGCGAAAACCTTTGCGGACTCAAGGTGAGTTTATTGCAACCGTACTCAGTGTGAAGAAGCAATAAAACCAAATACAACAGAATTTTGACGAATTTCAATATTGGCATTTTCTGTTGCACAATATTCAATCCATGACAACGACTAGAATTTAAAATGTCTTTCTATTTTAATTTAATTGTGTTTATAGTAACTCACGGTTGCGTCGACTTACGACGGGATGAAAGCATTATCTCTTTAAAATGTGCCACGGCAACCTGTGAGCATGATAATGTGAGAATATATTGTCCGATTATATTTAGTTTTGATACGTATTTTTTGCGAGCTTGCGAATTTGTTGTCGCCCTTAGAAAAACCCTACTATCTGCTATAAATTTCCAGATGGTACACTTGATTTAGTACTTATTAAAAATATATTTAAAGTATATTAGTAAATCCAAAAATACATATTCATCGCCTTGCTTTATTATTAATTTAATTGTTATCATTTTAATGTGCGGTTGTGTTGACGAAATAAAAGCAATACTACTCCGAAAATATTATGACAATCCGTGGATTAGTAAATGAAAAATACATACTCATCGCCTTTCTTCATTATTAATTTAATTGTGATCATTTTAATCTGCGGTTGTGTTGACGAAATAAAACCAATACTACTCAGAAAATATCATGACAATCCGTGGACACAAAAATGCGTGGTAAAGTGCCCAATTATTTTTGTGAATTCGACACCTACGCCGCTCCGCTACTGTACGTACCAATGTGGAGGCAGTGAAGCAAAGAATCCTAAGGAAAAATGCCCTGGTACGTTTACTACGGTAGCACGAGAAATTTAGAAATTTACCAGTAATCAGTAATTTATTTTTGCACATACCGAAAATACGAAAGTATACAAACAGTAAGGTAAAACATAAAATAATGAATTTCAGTGTGAAGGGAGACGCGATAAACCAGTCTTGGTTATCGAGCAGCGTCACCTTTGAGGGAGTCTAACATAGAATCACAAAAAAAAGGGAAGCTGAATAATATTTAATAACAGAAATCGGCCTTTTAGGTACGTTTAAGCGACCTGGTGTTTCCAGCATCGCTCATAGTGATTCTAGAGAACAACTCCGGGCACCACGGGCGGGGTAACCGCAGTAGACTGAATGCAAAGTGACTATAAACCTTTGATGGAATGACAAACGGGAGATTGCTAGTTTTTGTGTGCCTATCACGTTTGAGTAGCCTTTCACAGGAAATATGAAAAAAATAGAAACCACTCAAATTGTGAGAGGTTTACGAAGTATACTCAGGGTATCATGGTATCCTGCATTGACATGGTGCCTGGTATTTGGAGACAGTGATAAAAATTGACAGTGATATTGTAAAAACATAAAAAATAGTATATCGCCGGATGAGAACAGAAGGGGCCTAAGTCACATTTTTGCAAAATTCACTTTTTTCAATATTTTGGGGTTTTGAGCCATGCTCTACAAGGTGGTGGTCTTGAAATCCTGAATTTCTCAATAATAAAAATTTTAGCTGGACTTAGGACTGTAGAAGTTAAGAACAGAATGGGCCTAAGGAATTGAAGCTGAAGTGCCAATAAATGTTGATTACAAAGATATTCATATCCACATTAAAATAATCAGAGCTCAGGTCTTTACTGAGTGTGAATATCTAGAAATTCAAAAATAAAAAAATTCCGAATTGTTTTTTGCGTTTTTCTCAAAACTCAAAATTGTGACTTAGGCCTGTTCTATTCTCATCCGGCGATATATACTATGATAATAGCTGCTGAGCTGCAGCATTTATCTGTTTTTATATTATGAAATCAATAAAAAAGGCTGCGGAATCATAGGGAAACTGGTAATATACTTAACTGTGCCATGTCTAAAAAAGCGTTTTTAATCGGTCGCGGACCATCATAAAACAAAACTTATGTTGTTCTCCGTTTTATTTTTAGTATTGGCACTTAGGTATTATCCATCGACGAGTGATTAAGTAACCTGTCGCGTCACTCGTTACCAAATTTTTGAATAGTAAATTGCTATTCTAATATTTGAATATACGCCCAGCCCTACTCGATAACAGTAATTATTGACTCGATTAATGTTATGCAAACAAACTTGCTTTTTATGTTTTATGTATATTCCAACGTAAATCGTAACTAAGCTGATATATAGATAGGTTTCACAAAAACGTTTGCGGTCCGCAGTGAATTTCTGGATCGTTGCGGACTCATTCAAACTCTCCGCGGACTCATTTGAGACCGCGGACTCGGGTTGGGAAACACTGCTCTACAACGATGTCGCTGGATGAATCATTCACCATTACCTGTTTGTACATTAACAACATATATCTGTATATTGCTGTATCAGTGTAAGTTTCAAGAAGATTAAAAATTAAATTTATACCCTTTCAAGACAATGAAGACATATATATACTTTTTACTTACAATTAAGGCATATACAGATATACTGCATCAGACTAAACTAGTCATTATTACTGTATTAGCTTGAGTGTTTTAAAAGTATAACAGCCCGAAAGTTCAATACATTCGCGTATCTTATGTTTGTTTATTTCTGGCCCAAGCCTCGTTTAACTTGGTTGGTGTTTTTTTTTGTATTTTTCTTGTTTGTGTGCTGGTGAAATTTCACGTGATATTTCTCATGTTTTAAACTTTTTGAAAGATTTTGCTCGCTCTCCAGAATTCTCCATTTTAAATTTGTGTGTTTCATGGAGTTTTCAAAATGAACTATCTATCTACATGACCGCAAGCTTGGGTTTAAAATATCAATTGTTGCTGGTGAATGTAAGCTAGTATATTATGTTGGTACCATGTTACTCGGAGACGTTTGTAACCACGGGAGCCAATCTTCATGATTCGTGAATTATATTTAGAAGTATACAACCAAAGTGCCTCTCTTTTTAATCCTACCTTCTCGAGTATATTTATTTGCCTAGTGGTACGTGACACATAACAACTCTGCTTTTATCTAACAGTAAAGTTGCCAGAAATCAGCGAAACTAAACGCAGCATACAGATTAAACTCGTACGATTCTGGCCAAAATACAATTTTGCTCCAATATAGCATGACCTTGTTGATATTGAGATAACATAATTATTGAATCCAATTTAAAAATCGCATTGCTATTCTTCTTTTCCTTTTATCTGCTGAGTACGTTCTTTGACATTGTTAAATACCATTTTGCAGATCAGAAGGAACCAGTATATGATGAGTGTGTCTATAACAACTGATGATCCAAAGAATATCACTTTGCATAGTGTATTGAGCCTGCAATTGGAATATTTTCGAATTGGTAAATGTGTAAAAATCGACAAATATCACTAAAACTTTTGATGAACATTAGGCTTGTTTGTTTATTCCTAATTGTATTGTGTTATTAGATAACTTTGAAGGGAAACATTGCTATCTGACAAATGTATGATGAAATATTTCATTGAGAAAATTTGCGACCAAAGAAGCACATAAGCAAATCACTTTTATAGGCACTCCCGTAGTGTGTGTACCAGGTTAGGCCATATTTTATTCCAATTTTCCTTATTTTAGTTCTATTACGAGTTCGGGGACTGTCTGTGTTAACCAATTGAATATACCCCTTGCCCATACGTTTCAGTCCCTTCACACAACTTGATGTAAAGTAGGCGAATAAAATTAGTTACTTCCATATTGGTACACATACTTCTGGAGCGCCCTTTTATGCAGTAATCACTTTGGTTAAATGTAAGAATTGTTTCTTAATCTCACATCTTGTCACGTTTTAAAAGCCTGATAAAATAATAATTGATAATTCCTTCACCTCTGATATCCCTCAGTATCTTTCGTTATAAGTATAGTACAGTAGAATACTGGCATTGTAACAATACGACCTGAGAAATAAGTCACAACAAACGCAATTTCCGTCATAGCATAAATTCCTTCATTTTCCATGCCGAATTTCTTCAAAACCCACCTAAGAATAAACAGAAATGTATGATATATACAATTTTATGCTAGCAGCTGTTCTATAGTCTAACAACCAGTGAAGGGAATGTTACACCATAACACTGGCCAATGTGAAAGAACTACTGGATTACGAGCGTGATTTACATATTTTCAGATAACATTAGTCAATGCCAGTGTAACTAACATACCGTGCTTCCCCGAAAATAAGACAGGGTCCTAGTTCAATTTTCTTTAAAAAAAAACACTAGGGCTTATTCTTGGTGGATGACTTTTATTTTCATCTATCAAAAACTATATTACAAAGTGGAGAATTACGAGATATTTAATTAAATATACAAAGTATGAAAACCGATATCCATTTGGTTATAAATAACACGATTTTATTTAAAAAGAATTCGCGCCACCGACTAGGTCTTATTTTAAGAGGAGGGCTTATATTGAAATCATTTCTAAAATTCAGTCTCGGACTTATTTTCGTTGAAACACGGTAATTAGTGTTAATTAAAGATATTTGCAGTCTGATTCAGAGTATTTCAAATACAAGGCTTTTCAACGCTATGTGACAAATATACGTTTGTTGATGACTGGACTAACATTTAGGCACAATTATTTATTTCACCTGAGATTCAGGACAGGCGTAGAAAGTTCATTCAAGCCTCTCATACATATGTGGAAAAGGAAGACTCTGTAGTACTGTAATTATAGAAGTGTAGTTTGATGGTTCCAGTAGAAGATTTAAATACAAAATTGGGTACTCCCGTAGTAGTGTACCAGGTTAGGGTCAGGATTTTTTTTTAATTTTAATCCAATTTTCGCTTATTTTAGTTCTATTACGAGTTCAGGGACTGTCTATGTTAGCCAAGTGAATATAACCTCTGCCCATAGGTTATAGTCCCTTTACACAACTTGATGTAAGGTAGGCGAACAAAATTAGTTACCTCCATATTGGTACACACACTCCTGGGGCGCCCGAAATTGACCTACAGCACTTACTATAACTATAGATATAGCTGATAGAACCATGGAATGATGAATGAGGAAAATTATTTTACTGAAGTTTCGCTTTCCTCGCAGATCGTTGATCATGTCTGTGAAATTAAGATAAGAAAACTTATTTTGAATTCCGTCATTGTACCAAAATAAATTAACAAGACAATACAGGAAAGGAAATTCTGGAAAGTTGGCAAAAGAGTTGATGAACTTTAGATTAAGTTTCAAACACAAAGACATAGAGGTACTATGGCAATCTCACCTCGTGACATAGAAGATAAGTGAAAAAAGCACGATAAGATGGTCTGTAAACCTGTCTTTAAAGCTTGCAAGCATTGAGAGACAATACATGCCGGTAACTTACATGCATGCGCATAAAATTAACTTTAAAAATACTCCCACTTGTTTTGGGGGTAAATGGAATAGTGAAAGAAAATTTTGTATTTGTTGGAATAGCTATGCGAGTAATGCATATTAGAGACCGCGTTTGCGAACCCGGGCAGTTGATTTTTAGAGAGAGTCACACAAACTAATCGGGATTCAATTCTTTCATGATGCCGCAGTCCACTTTACTTCAACATGACTGCGGAGCAAACCCTCATTATCTTTGGAGGTTAATATAGAGTCGGATTTATATAGGTTTGTCATTGCCGGCGTACTGTGCTTGGCGATTCAAGAAATAAAGTTTGAAAACCTAATATTGCCGGCCTTTTTGAATATATTCGATATACAATTTAATGATATAATATTAAGTATACACACGATAATTAAGTACCTGATAAAAAATAAGCTAAATTGATGCAGCAGTACGGTTCGCGGACAAAAGTGTCAGCCCTGTAAAACAAATTGCTCAAATAAAACACACAGAACTGCTGCGAAACACCACCATATCCCGTTGAGTTAGTGCTCCAAAACAAGGGTGTGCAACATTTATTACACGAGGGCCGGATACAAATAACTGGATGAAACCCGCGGGTCGCACCTCGCACCTTTACCTCACATAGGCTTTCTAGTAGTTGGAAACCAAAAATTTTGGTTATTGATCTTGTGCGTTATTCGTTTTGCACAAGCTCAGATATAGGCTTTGCAGCGCAAAGGAGTTGGAATTACTCGCACATACTGGATTAAATTAAAAACTCGTTTCGCGGGACGCACGCCATTCAAACGTGGCGCTCCTTCGCGGGTCGCACAAGTTGTCAAATAAGGGCCGCATTTGAGCCGTGGGCCGCGGCTTTCACAACCCTGCTCGAAAATAAAGCGTACGTTCATCGTTCGTTACCGCATTCGTGACATTATATTTGAGATTTTGTCTCGAGCCAAAACGACACCTTGCTAATGACTCTACTCATTTTTTTGGCGATGGCTCCATTCGATTTTCAGTAAATGTGATAAGATTACAACATGTTACACTTCAATTACTCGTCCGATATCTGTTACGAAAACGGCATCATAGAGTCGTGGTGGATGTCATTCAAGTGATTTAGGGAAAGTGCATGGTTGACTCAAATGGGCGGGCAATGTGGTATCATTATACCTTTCGAAAAAATTGAAACCGTTTGGTACGTAAGAACCCTGCAAGATTAGTTACCAATAATGGGAAATAAAGAGTTTGATGTCCGTTAAAAACGCTTTATGGTGTCGACAAATTCGCTGATATGATGGGTTCCGCAGTTGATTGGCATGGGATAATGTGAAATACGAATTATATAATGAAAAACATGCTTGGTAGTGATTAGTCAATTTGGCACTTTACTCGCAAAATGTTTCTACACAGTTCAAGTTGGGCCCGAACTTGAGATCGAAATAATTTTTTAAATGGCCTTTGCAGTCAGTAAATAGTAATCAGTAGTTTATTTTTTCACCATACGTGAAATACACTTCCTGAATACAGAATGTAAAAAGGTGAAAAACTTATATTTCGGGGTGGAAGGAGTCGCGAGAAACCAATACTGGAGGAGGAATAGGAGAAAAATACAAGCCGAGGCGACCTGAATTTCGAGAAGACGCCCGATACGCAAAGAAACAAAAACAAAAAATGACCCCAAGCTTCGTTTTGCTCACCTCTAATACACTGTCAAACTACTCTATAAGAAAAGTTTTTAAATGGTTCAATTTATTGTGACACAAGGTTAAAAATCGACCGTTTGTACTCGCATTCTCGGCTTTGAAATGAAAATGCGACCATTTTATCGTCCGCGCCCATAATTATATGACCAATGGTACAACTGAATATTAGGTTACCTCGGTTGATTCTAAGCGTTACAGATAAGTAAACTTCGCACAACTTTTCGGCCTATGTCAAGCTTCTGATTTTTCAATACTGTATTCAGATTGCGACTTATTAAAACCAATTACATTCAATATACATTCACGAAAACTAGAAATTTGCTTGCCAATATGGATCACTGCGTATACGTTGCCAATTTAGAACAAGAATAGCCGACACGTTGACAACCACAAAGGTTGAGTTAAGAGAAGACATCATTCTGAAAATACACGAAAAAGTAAGCTATTAGAATTCTTATAAATAGCGCGATAACGAAAATAGTAACTTTGCGATAACTCTTAAGGTCGATTCCCAAACGTAAGGTTACATGTAACAGTGCGCTCCAGAAGTATGTGTACTAATATGGAGGTAACTAATTGTGCTCGCCTACTTTACATCAAGTTGTGTAAAGGGACTAAGTCTATGGGCAAGAGGCATATTCACTTGGCTAACACAGACAGTCCCCGAACTCGTAATAGAACTAAAATAACAAAAATCGGAATAAAATTATGGCCTAACGAATTGAATCTTTGTTTCAGCAATAATTAATCAAAGACTAACCTGCTTGCCAATCTCTTTTTGTCTTCATCAGATAATCGTTCGTAGTGAGATGGAATATATTTTTTGCATAGTCGAATTGACAATGACTTTCCAATAAACTGAAACCACGCAAAAAATAAAGATACAGTTGCAACGTTGGCGTATATTGACAGCATCTTCAGTGATTACAAGTTAAGACTGAAAAATTAAGTGATAAATGATTTAAAATGCAATATCAGTTATATCAAGTTAATTTTAATTGAAAGGAAAAGATTTCATCAGAAAACAATAATATGATACTAGTGCCAATTTTGAATTTCGTGCGGCCCGCGAAACGAGTTTTTAATTTAGTTTAATCTCATACGTGCGAGTAATTCCAATCCCTTTGCGTTGCAAAGCCTGTGCCTGAGTCCAATTCATTAGCTATGCATATGACGTTGCAATGCCCTAGGCCTAACAGCTAGCTTGTGCGAAGCGAACAACGCATGTCATAAGATCAATAACCCAAATTTTTGTGCTTGGAACTACTAAAAAGCCTCTGTTAAATTAAAGTGCGGCCAGCGGTTTCACCCAGGTATTTGTATCCGACCGTCCTGTATTAAGGTTGTACACCCCTGACATAGAATACAGAATAAAAACAAGATATTCTCTAATCATAGACGAAGTTCGTGAACATTGTCATTGTAAACGATAAACACGGATACATCGGGCCAATCCTCGAAGCTGAACTAAAATATCACACACTTGGTGCATACATTTTCACACTAAACCTTCCATATATAAATCAAAATAATATTTCACCGAATTCAAAACAGACTGATACTACTACACAGATGATGAGTCATGGAATGCTAATGATATTCAACGTTAGGTATGATATACGCCTCCACAGAATTAGAAACCGCTCCCGGCACTTCTCGACTTCGAAAATTTATGTTTCTTTTTCTAGTATGCAACTAGAACCTGAATTAACTATCAGTAAAGGTTGCGCGAGACTAACTCCCAATCCTTCCTCAATGAATTGCATAATAAAAACTGAATAGCACGTTGTCAAGACCAAGAGGCAACAATTCATATATATGTCTTTGTGATATCAAACGAAGCTAATGTGGCGAGTAAGATGTAGATGACAATGCCTTTCAGTCTGTACCGCCCAAAGGCACAATTGCTGAGAAGTGTTAATATGGGACATAGGGAGGGATAGTCAAACACAGTGAAGCAGAATGACTAATATCGACTTTCTAAAACCGTTAAATTGTACAGAAATGTAGTTTTCTTAATTACCAGTTTTTCAACAATCGCCAGACCAGGTTTATGCTCGTTTTGAGAAACACGTAAAACTTTGGTTTTTATTTGTTGATCGCAGCATTTCTTATTGTACTTATCCTCGATCGCTTTATTTCTCAGACGTATGGTTTCCACTTCTTCGCGAGTGGTCTCAGGCAAAACCCCAACACCGCCTGATAAAACTCCTCCCGCCTAAAGATAGGTTGGAAGCGATACTGAATCAGAAACATGCAGAGCTATCACTTCGCATGTCTTTATGATTGCAGCAAATGAAATGCAGCACAAGCAAACTTACGCCTCACCGTAGATGTGTGTGAAGTCATCAAAACAACTTATCGACACATTTTCATAGATTGTTACCTTTAACGTTTGGTACTATGATTAGCTCAATATAATAATATTTTATATAAAACGTTTTAGTCATAATCGTGAAACCAGGTCACAGTTTTGTCAGTCACCAAATATTATGGGTGATGGTCGCGAAAAAGTGCACATTCAAAACAAAACATTCGAAAATAGGCCACGCTAATGAGAATACTGTACTTTGATACAAAATTATAATTTTGTGTATGTAGACTAGTATTCGAACTGCACATCAACAGGCATCAAAAAGCTCGCAATTGTAAAATATTTTGTTCTGAATGTGTCCTTTTTCGCGACCATCATCATAATATTTGGTGATTGGTAAAGCTGTGACTTGGTTTTATCATTATGAGTATGACGTTTTATATAGAATTTTATTATTTGAAATAAATAAAATATAATAATAATGAGCCAATCATAGTTTCAAATGTTAACGGTAACAATCAATGAAAATATGTCGATTAGTTTATTAGACTCCACACACTTCGCTTGTAAGGCGTAAGCTTGCTTTGCGATTTGCTCCTGCTGCATTTCATTTGCTGCAATCATGGAGACGGGCGGCGTTCTTGAAAGTCCACCAATGCGGGTAATGGTTTGCATTGACGACAGTGTATATTCGCAAGTAGCATTTGAATATTATGTAGAAAATTTCCATCGACCAGAAAATGAGGTGATAGTCTTGCATGTTTCTGATTCAGTAACGCTTCCAACCTATCTTTACGCCGGAGGAGTTTTTTCAGGCGGTGTTGGGGTTTTGCCTGAGACCACTCGTGAAGAAGTGGAAACCATACGCCTGAGGAATAAAGCGATCGAGGACAAGTACAATAAGAAATGCTGTGATCAACAAATTAAAAACAAGGTTTTGATTGTTTCTCAAAATGAGCATAAACCTGGTCCAGCAATTGTTGATGCAGCTAAGAAACACAACGTAAATTTGATTGTGGTCGGAACCAGAGGTCTAGGAATGGTGAGGAGAACCATAATGGGATCAACTAGCAGTTATGTTATTCATCACTGCCACATACCTACTTTAGTTTGCCCGACACCGAAATAGATTCAACTGGCATCTGTTTGCAGTTTGTCACTACTGTCCAACTGTCTTGACTGTACTTCCAGACTACAACACTAAATCTACCTAATTGCTGAGAGATTGCATATGAAATATTGACATCTAATATTACTGTATAAAATCTGTAAATGTTTGGATCTCATGTAGTTTCGTACCACAATAACTTCTAGTGCAGTAGTGGGCTTATCCTAACCATGTTTGCATATGTGATTCCCAACCTCTGAACCTCCACCTGACTACGTCATCCAAAAATTATGTCACTACGACATCACTGATTCACTGTATTGTAAAAAGGCCTGGCAGAATATAAGGATTGCCATCCAAAACGTGCAGGCGATTATCCTTAGTCGAGCAAGCTATTTTTCTCATTTTGGCAATCTCAATATGAGAGAGATGCTTGCATTAGTGAGTTTGTATTATGCGGCGCAGATGATGTTTCGAACGATTGTAGCTATACTAGTATACTTTGACAAGCTCTATTGTGCGATTGTGATGTCGTAGTGATGTCATTTTTTGCCGACTCAATCGCAGGGGGGTTAGGAATGACATATGCAATAATTGTTATGCTGCGCTCACTAGAACTACTTGCGGTACGAAACTACACTAGATCCGCAGTTTGTTACTACTCTACAACACTTACTGAATCTACCTATTTGGTGAGCGATTGCATATGAAATATTAGTAATATTAGTGTATTAAATGTTTTATATCACTTCATTGAAAACCATGTTATGTTGTGAAATAAAACAAAAGATAATTTGGTTCTGCGATGATATGAACATCCCTTTATCTATTTTTGCATATTAAAATTCCTATTCCTTTCCTATTGCAGTTCCATTTTTATAGTTTCGAGATATATTTGTGTTTCTCATTTTAATCAGCTATAATTGATTATAATATAATTATTGATTATATTATAATTGATTCTTATCAAATTTTAGATAATTAATGTTAGTCTCAAAATTCAATTTGCCATGTACTTGAATTAACAAACATTTTTGATTGTATATTTCATCAAGTAGAAAGGAAAAAATTATCAATTACCTTCTGTTGTTCCTTTTGTTATATGATTGCAATTTTCATTCAGTGTTTCCTTGATTTGTTTTTGAAAATCATTATTTAGCGAAAATGGAACAAGTTGTCTCAGGAAAAAATTAAATCATGTTTCATATTGCAGTGTTGTTTTCTCCAAGACTCAAAATGTCTTCCAAGTTTTAATGACCATTTTGTAAAATAGCTTTTTACTCGGAACAAAGTGCATATTTTATCATGCTTTTATTTTATCATCAAGCTGAACTGAAAAAAAAAAATTAAATTATTTTCATGTGTGGATTTTAAATCAAGAAAAATGTATATAACGATATATAATTTCTTTTCATTAACCTGCAAGACATACATAAAGCAATTATGCAGTAATTTTGACTCAAAATTTTAGCATTACGAAAATCTCAAATTTGAACAATCTTTTATGGATGATGCAGTAGAAATAATGCTGAAAAAAATTATTTTGACAGATTACCATTTTTTTTCAATCACTCAATTAAATAAAATACTATCTATATAAGAGCTTATAGTGTTTGCTTGAAGTAATATTACACGATTTCATCATTTATTTAAATATACTTTTTGTATAAATTCAGCTGCAATAACTAAATAATAGCCTAGCTTAACCTTTGAAATTTCAAACTCAATTTCATTCCAGAATATTTTAAATTCTAAGTTGGTGCAAAGGATAGAAATGATGTTAATTTTCTAAAAAAGTCTTGTTACAGCAAATAGAAAATTAACAGATTTATTGCCTTTTGTACATTTGATTGTAGAGATTATGACTTGTTACTTTTGTGTGCAAGTTTTTTTACCGAATAGTACTAAAAACTGATAATTTCGTTTTGTGTTCTAATAGTTACTTTTTTGATATGATAATCAGTACATAGTGAATATTTTCCGGAAGTAAGAAAATTTTTTTCGTTAATTTTGTGTCAAATTTGAGGAAAAATGCGTATACATATTCGTTGCTTCTTATTTTGCAATATATCTTTTTATGGTCGCCATTGATATTAGTATATGATTATCACTAAACTGAAGTTAATATTATTGTACAGTCTATCTGGAACTAGGCTAGCTCGCGATTGAAGAATTTTGCAATAATATATGATGACAATGTCACCAACTAAATATTATTATGATTTGATGTCACAACCATGCAGAGCAATCTACATCTTTCTCAAATGTGCTAGGATTCCTTTCCAGTCAGAAGTTGTGGCTTTGCGTAAAGGTAACAAGTTTGTTATAAAATATATAAAACAAAATTTGTGATCCGTATTTTCCTGCTCTTCTAGGAGGGTTTTATATTCCTTTTTGAGTATTTGTTTTTAAACTTCCATGATTGATGGTCTATGAAGACTCAGTGTTGTGGCCAGTGCTCTTCTATAAAAATACCGTAGTTTAACTTTTAACATTTTTTTTTTAATTTTGGAGTAGCTCACATATATTTTGTTAGAAATCCTATTAACTCTAATAGTGAATATCGAAGCCATTTGTCCTACCTTTCTACCAAGTCTCAACTCTAATAAAATTTTTAAGCAGTATAAATATTTTACAGGAGAACATAGAACTCCAGATTATTTAAAGTTGAATCCAATGGGTTTGGTTCCAGTCATTGATGACAATGGTTTTGTTTTGACAGAGAGGTAAGTATTTGCGGATAATTTTTCTAGATATCTTATATAGAAATTTTGATTGATAAGACCAGGGGTGTGCAACGGGCGGCGAACCACAACCAGTATTGCCCTTATCAACACTCTGATTTTCCCCGTCCAGCATAAGTTCCTGATCCGACAGTTTATGGGTAATAAAAATACCTTTTTTTTTGCTCTCGTGCTGCTTTAAATCTTTCACCGTTTGCCCGATGCCTTTATTACTAAAAGGCTAAGAGGTAGCTGCATTCTTTTCTCATATCTTTCCCACGGCACTCTGGTTTTATTCAACGAGTGTCATGACTACAGGAATCCAATAGAAAAAGTCCAATATACTGTTTTGTCCATTATAAATTTTCTTGTTGTTATTGATATAGTTCGTCATAAATATTCTATTTTTTTTTTTCAGTGTTGCAATAATGAAATATCTTGCTGATAAATACAGTGCTGATGAATCTCTGTATCCTAAAGATTTACAACTAAGGGCGAAGGTTGATGAATATTGTGCATGGCAGCATCTTAATACACGGTATTTGTCATAAAACTTTGTATAATTACTGAATAGGGAACAGAAATTGCAGTCTGAGTGCGCACAAGGAATTTACATGAAGTTTTCATCATCTACTGACAGTTTCTTTTCGAGTTTTTATTTGGTTGAAATATCCACGGCTGAGAAGTTGGGTAAATTTACGATTGATTCAGAATAGTTGCTGATAATTTTGAATACAGCTCCAAATCAAATCTCGATAATAAAAACTGCAGCACATATGCAGAGATTTTTTTTATACACCATTAAAAACGCTTGTTCAACTATTCAGTTTTTTCTCAATGGAAATTTAATTATCTCGATTAAAAGTCTTAAATTCTGACTCATGTGAGTTTGAAAACGACTCTCGAAATACCTTTATCAATGGGAAAACTTTCTTAGTTACTTTGATTATTACTTTAAACAAATCTGTAAGAATTCATAATTTGAGTATGGCTTACTAATTGATAATGTTGTGAGAAGTCCCCAAGTCAAATCAATTACCAGGCCTCACTCTTTGTCTCCTGGTACTCGTACTACATTCCGGTGTTCGCCCTCTTGGTTCACGTACTACACACCTTTTTTCTATCATACGAACCATTGATTACTCTTACAGAATGAAGTCAGCTAAAGTATTCATTGCAGAAGTCATCATGTCAACTCCTTCCTCGGATGTTGGTCACCTAGTTGATAATATGAATAAAATGTTGGACCAATTTGAAAATATATTTTTGAAGAAAAAGAAGTTTATAGCAGGTTAGAAAAGATATTTAATTGTAGCAAAAAGGCGTGAAATGGCATGTATGAAAAAATGTAATAAAAAAGATACTTTTGGAAGCGGCATATGGCAAGAATGCAGCAGAGAAATTAATTATTTAAGATAGGATTTTCATATTTTATCCTGCAAGAGAGAAAACTTGATAAGATGGTTTAAATACATGGTTCAGTACAGCCTTGTCTGGTTTAGGTAATAGTAATACTCAGTTAACTGATTGTTAATTTTACCGCACATACGGTAACTATATACCACAGGTTTCAAATTTTGAAGCCAGCTCTCAAGGCAATATTAGGCGTAATAACAGTGACTCAAAAAATTTTGTCTCTTACTTTGCTAAATACGCTTTGGGTGAGCGTATGGAACGGGATTCATCGTGATGATTATGATGGATATAATAATGTGCCAGAAGGTTAAAGTGTTCATATCAAGTGAAATTTCTGTCAAAATATGCCAATATGAACTCTCGATTTATTTCCAGGAGACCAATTGACAATCGCAGATCTACTAGCTGCCTGTGAAATCATGCAACCGACATGTAGTGGTCGTGATGTTCTCGCTGGGAGGCCGGTTATAAAAGCATGGATGGATAGAGTCCGAAATGCTACTAACCCATATTTTGATGAAGCGCATGCTATGGTTTATCGTGTCAGAGAGAAACGTATAAAGCAAAAATTGTGATTGTTGGTCATGTGTTTAATTATTCATACAATTTCAATTCAATCTCTATGCGGGGACGTTCGAAAACGATTGGTTATATAAATATATTCAAATTAGTAGATTTCTGATCATAAGAATAGTTGTTTTGAAATTGATATCTCATATCACATTAAGAAAATACAGGCTTCTTGAATTTGAAAATTGTTGAGAATCATATCTCTATAATTTTGCAATGATGAGTCATCATCCTCAATTCAGATGTTCTTGTTTTTTAGTGCGACATGATTCTGAAAGGAACCTATCCCCTAAATTTTTGAACCCAGTGATCCCAATTTAGAATACATTTCATATGTTTTCAAATAGTAAAAATACGTAGTTCCGCCACCTCGGTGGATTGGTTCATGTCCTCGTGGTGTGGCATCCCAAAAATTTACTTATTTTTGTAGATGAATTTTGGTCTGAAATTCCTCTAATGAAATTCTTCAAGGACTCGAGAGAATATTACAATCTCTGAATGAATTTTAAGTTAGTTATTTGAGACTAGCAATTTTTCGTCTTCAATAATGATATGCAATTATTTTATTCAAAATTTATCATTGTTTCATGTACCTAATCATTTTTGTAATTTGTGCACTGTGCAAGGATATTATATAATTAATAGATTTCATTCTAGCATGTTTTGCTGGCCTCGTCTATGGAGTAATGATGATAGATGGCTACATGAATTATGTTGGTAATACAGGGTAAAAATATCACCCAGGTTTTATGGAGCTGTGACCATATAAACCGTTTTGTAATTATGTTGTTCTTGGTATCGTTTTCTCTCTATTGGATCAATTGCTTGGAAATTTTCAGCGGTTGAAGATGTATTTTTTTGCTAGAAGGCTATTACTATTTTGTTTCAATGATCGCTGTCAAAATTGACTATAAATTATGGCCGTACCCCTATAGATCCCGTAAACTACTTCCACTCAACTTCAACAATAGAGTAAAAATTTATTGAGAAAAACATGCAACAGTATTTTGCTTTGCTCTACATCTAAGGGGAGTTAAATAATAAAGTAGTGAAGAAGTATGAAACAAACAGTAGATCATGATATGCACTGGGTATAGCAGTGTTCATGGACTGCTGAAAAAGAGCAGCAGATTAAAGTAAAATAGCAACATAAATTTTGATTTTTCTGGTGAGGTATATATTTTAAAAAATAGACTCAGTACCCATTTGTGATGATAAAGTGCGTAACAAAAATGTTATCAGTAATCTTCAACAATTCTTATAGAGATTTAGTAACTTTACATGTACTAAGTTACATATATTGATAGCTTTACGAATTTTAGAATATATAGTCAGAAAGGCTAGATTAAACTGCACAGCTAGCCACTTGGACATATCAAGACTGGTACAGAACTGTGGTGAAGCACATAGTGACTGACAGATCCCAGAATTGTTCGTCTTATTGTACCTAAGCCTCTGGTACCAATAACAATCAATTTGGCATTATTTTTCTTGGCTGCATTTATGATAGCAGCCCCTGGTCCTTTCTTTATATCTTCGTCAATTATAACTTGGTGGTTGAGCCCTATGTCGCTACATAATTTTTCATACTTCTCTTTCAATCTTTTATTGTGCAGCTCAATTTCATCATATGCAGCCATTAAGCTTTCGGGCATGAACCCTACCCCTCCACCAGGGACAAAAGCAGGTATTTTGACTTGGTCAGAAGCATGAAATATTATAACATTACTGTCAGATTGTCTGAAATTGTTGGTGAAGTATTGGAAAGCCTCTAGTGCATTTGAGCTACCATCCACACATATAAGAACTGTTTTAGCAGGGCAGTCATAAATCTGATCCATGGAAGGTGTACCAGGAATTGCCATATTGTTGCCTTAATGTTTGTCTGATAACAGTAACAAAGTTTATTCACACTGAATTGTCTGAAGCACTAAATGTTCAGTAAAAACAACAATTTAAATAACATAGTAGCCTATACACGATACAACCTAATTCTGGTTGTCCTTTTTGCCAAGCCAATCCACGACTACTTAGTTTAGTATAAGTTTATTTTGACTCCATAACCAGCAACAGACGATAAAATATTTGATAAAAACAAAATAAATAAAACTGATTATAGAATCGGGAAAGCAAACGAAACCTCAAGTAAGGTTTGAAGCGTACAGATTTTAGGTGGGAAGGTATTGATAAAAGTAGTAGTACCGGTACATGTTCGCTTACCCAAAAGATAAAAACTAATTAAGGCAGGCACGTACACACACTCCCGACTTCCCCCAACTTCAATATCATACGGCAAGTACTGTAACCCTCCCTATTGAAGTCAATGCTGGTGCACTAGTATAATGTTTTATTTGATATTAAAATTGCGTTGTGAGAATGATCACAAAACAAAACAGTTTTTAAACCGGCGACCAATACCGGTACCATTCAAGTCTAAGCATCTGAAAACAAATAACTTTTCTGACTTGAACATCTTTGCATTACATCCAAAGAAAGATCGCATGCCTGTAGGTACCACTGTACCATATATTTACTGATACCGTACCATACGGTACGGTAGTCTGGTAGTCCATTGTTGTTGTCGCTAAAAAGCTACTATATTACTTTTCAGCTTTCTCTCCCAAATGCCTCCGGGATGCCAACCCCCTGGATAAATATGTAAATCCTATCCTATGGGATCTGATATCTCATCCGAAAATTCGCTGTGATATATTTTTATTCAACAGAACATGGTTTTTGATCCGCTAAGCGTGACAGCTGTCTTGATTTGCAAAATCCTGCTAAGCGAAAGTTTTTTTCGATACCGCGCGGTGACGCACTGTAGGTACAGAGGGTATGTAAGTCGTTGGTACAGAGGTAGGTACGTAAGTTACTTTAGAAGTAAAGAACTGTAAATAATTTGAAACTACAGTTTTTGTCAAATCATGGTAAAGCTAGCACAGTCCGGGTACCAGTACTAGTGAGTTACGACGGTCCGCAGTTTCAGCTTCGCCCAGAATATGTTTTGGGTGAAATATTTAGTTTTGGATTTCGTGATGATATATTTGAGCATTTCTCTCTTGTTTCAGTGATATCGGGTTCGTTCTTATGTTTTGAACTCTATACAAAGTTGTGTACAGCTTTCCAAAAAATTTCGTATTCTGTATATATACATATCCCTGCCTTTCAATATTAATATCTATACTTTGATGGTGGGAATATTAGTTACTGCCGCACAATCTACTTGCATGTGATTTTTTCGGTGTCAAATAAAAATAATCAACAACAATGAACAGTACATGTGGTTGAACTACTGCATATGTCATTGTAGATCGAGTGTTTGTTATTTATTTCGGTGTCCCTAAACTCCGACTCACAAGTCTTTCGAGTATGTGTCGAGTCTGAGTTCAAAGTCGAGCTATTCCATTCAAATGACCAAAGTCTGATGATAAATCGTGACCTCTCTCCAACACTGATTTACTCAACCACTGAAATCAAACTTATGTGTGTGAATCATTGTATTTACACCTAAACGACACACAAGAAATAAAGACTAAACAATAGAATAGTTGTGTGGCACTTAAAAGTGAGTTTGAAATACTCGCCGAGAGCAAGTGTGACAAATAAGCCTGGTGGACGTGGTCTGTTTATTTTACATGGATCTCATGCATAACACTCCTGCAGCGTTTACGGTCGGTTTTCGGTTTTGCATGCCTCCTTCGATTCCGGGGTATTGACTGACCTTAACCACAACTCTCGTTTCGGCGGCATTCCTTGAAGGGAAGTTGGAGTCCCAGGCTTGGTGAACCGCCCACTCTCTCTTGGAAATCACTTTTTGGTTCTAGAATTTTTTTTTTTTATAATTAAATAGTTTTTTTATCAGCATCCAAAAGCAATTCCCGATATACAGGGTGTCTCAAAAGTAAGTATAATATACACTTTCAGTTTTGATTTGCTTTCCAGGTACTCATGACTGAGCGTACACTTCTTCAGAAAACATAGTATGGATAAATAGTAAAATTCAGGTATTGTTTGCATTTTTTGACAACCCACAGAATGACAAGGAGATTAACCCAGTTAATGAGGTAAAAAATTGCTGTTTGGCAAGAAGCATAAAAACAGAAAGGCATTTGGCACTTTTACGACGAAGAATTACGCAATTCATCTGAAATTCATAGAAACTGGATCAGTAGATGATGCACAAAGATCAGGAAAACCAAGGAGCTGACGCTCTGAAAAAAAAATTCGAAGCTGAATTAATTTAAATTTCTCTGTTAAAGAGGCGCTAAGTTTGCCTTACTATTTTAAATGCTTCTTGCCAATCAGCAATTTTGCTCCAAATTTTTTGGGTTAATATCTTTGTCATTCTGTAGGTTGTATAAAGAAGCAAACAATACCTAAAAATTTTTACGAGTTATCCATACTATGTAACCTGAAGAAATGAACGCTCCATGATGAGTACCTGAAAAGCAAATCAAAATTAATAGTGTATACTTACTTTTGAGACACCCTGTATAATGAAAATTTACGTAATGTAAGGATGAGCGTAATCTGAATCATCTCCCAAATTTAACGTGCGAGGATCTGACTTGGATAATCGTATGGTCGTATCGCTCCATCCAGTCTTTATCAAAAAACATGTGGTCTGTTTATTTCATTCATCTGTTTTTAGTTAATTATTCAATGAATCAATCTTTTCATTCTCTAATTATGCAATTATATTGGGTGGTAGCTGACTGGTGACCCTCTCGAGGTCGTATGGCTATGCGAAACCTTTTTGTTCATTTATTTATTGTTCATATATTGTCACGCTAATAACCGAATTGCGTAAGTCATTTTTATCAGTTTTGAGGAAAACGTAAAAAACTTCCTAATGATATTGCTATGCCATTGAGAGTCAATATTTTGCCATAGGTCAAATTTTTGATCGTAGCCGGATTTAAGTTAATTTGTATGGCGCAGTCATATGACGTCATAATGGCGCACTGTGACTTAGGCAGAAATGTGTCTATGACTTGGTGACATACGCATTTTTGCAACTTGACTATATGCACCAGTCCTGAAAACCAAACAATCCAAAAACGAATGTAATTCTTAGTATCTACGATGTCTAATCCCTAAAATAGCTAATCTGTTTCAATTACATTATTTTTTATGTTTAAAAATATATATTTCATCAATATAACACGCTCAGCACACCCACCGAAATAAGACTGAGATTAAATATAGAGAATAAAACAGCAATGTACCCTTATATAGTAGCCAAGTACCAAGTATAGTACCAATGTGAATTGGACTCAGACAGTGAATATCACAAGTGCACGCCTTCCTATACTGTGGTATAAATTCAAATTTATAGGCGCTAAACTAGAATCTGAGATGCAAAAACTCGAAAATCCTTCGCCGAGGTTATTTTGCCTTTGTGACGTCACAATAGTTCTGCGGTACCAATGATAATTCATTATGACGAAACAATTGAACACATTTGCATGTCATACAAAATCTCAATTTTTATGGGTTATGGGTTTATGGAAATTTTTAAAATAAAATCTGAGTTAACAGGCAGGTGCGCAGCATTACATAAATACCTATTTTATAAAAAACTCAAAACCGCCAAAATGACTTACGCAATTCGGTTATTAGCCTGACGATGTGGTAATTCAGCTCCGGCATATTGCATGGCTAAGCATAACTTTTGTATGACAATCATGTAGTCATGTCCGTTTGTTACATGCTTGATTTTTGAGACCGCAATTTTCGTAGATTAGGCTTTTGATTATTTTTTCAAATTAAAAAATAAAATAGGATGATGTATCTCAGAATTGCGAGAAGTGCCGTGATTGAAACTTAGAGTCACCATGGCAAATATTTTCATCCATTTTGAATATTACGTAACAGTTTTCAGGAGGAATATTTGGGAAAATTATATCTTTTCATAGGAATTTTATGTATTATCAAGATTCTATACCAACTTCTATTAATGTATGTCGAGGATGTGTGAGTTTTTTGGAAATACTTGGTATTATTGTGTTGTGAGGATGGGATTTGATATCGGGCTCAGTCTTAAAGTGGTTGCTTCCTACCTTTGTTTAATAAACTTTCTCGGAAATCAATCAACCAATAAAAACATTTGGTATTGTTTATACTAGAAAGGGCGGTGTTTTTTCTCCGAATTTAATTGGGCCATATATTTTAATTTTATCATTTTCAGCAAACCGAAACTGACAATCGTGGTTCTATTAGATTTATACTCGAGATAAATTATAATATCCGTTCTCTTTCTTATTTATTCATAAGTAAGATCTCAGTCTACGATTATCAATATCCGGCAAACCGTGCTTGTCAGTTTTTCAATGGTGAAAATGATAAAATCAAAACGCGGTCCAACGAGAGTCGACGAAAACGAACAGCGTCGAGGTTCTAACAATAGCGATTGTATGTTCTTTTTCACTTCCAAAGTGGTTTAACCAGTATTCTCAACTTGATTTTTGAAATAGGCTTGAAGCTTTTATTTGGCTTACTGTAACTCCCAAGAAAAGTGTATAGCTGAAATTTATAGTTTATATACTGATGTAACGTTCAAATTTCGACTGTTAGATTGCTTCACGGTGTGGATTAATTTGGTCTGTTTCACTGTATTGTGTATGATGTATAATGTATATCAACAAAATAAAATCATGATACTTTTATTAAAGGTTTTGTGAGCATAAGATGTATTTGGGCGCTGAAAATGAACTACAATGGAACAAAGGTTGACACCAACTTATTAAACTACTGAGACAAGATAAATATCATTGTTTATGGTAATAATATTTCACTTTCGAATAAAACAGGTTTCAAAATTCATACAAAGCCTATGTATTTTTTATCGCTTTCAAATCTTGTAAACTATTTATATGAAATTCTAAATATCCAAAAATGAGCAATCAAAATTTTTAAAATCTGGCGTCATTTGTGCATGTCATTTATTTTATAACTTATTTTTTTTATTTCATAGCAAAGATTGCTCACGCTGCTGCATTGCCAAAAATAAAGCAACAAAATGTAAAACTTCTGCATTAATACTTAGGCCCCCCGGAACAAAATGCTGCTAGGCTTTGAAAAGCACTTAAGTTGTTATGTTCGTATGACGGCATTGTTGCTTCAGATTTCTTACCGTAGCTGAATTTTCTTTAAAGCCCTTTTTGTAGTTCCTTTCATCGTTTATTGTTTATACGTGTTCCGGCAGCAGCGATCGTCGCATTTTAACTGTAGATAGATATTTAGCAAAGGATGTTTACTTGGTAACTTATTACGGTACCAGGTGTTATTCTATATTTCGTTGAGATATATTCTGCATATCTGTGAAATACACATATAATATCTGATTTTTCTGTATTATTTTCACAGAAATATATTTTTTGCTGAGTGGAATTGAAACCACACCTCCGATTTAACTCACTGCCCTACACGAAGCACGGGTTTATTAATTCGAGAGAAAAGCGATAGAAAAAGAAAAAAAGATGCTGTTAGCTTCCCAGGGGTCTTCAGTATTGATATGATATAGGTACTGTAACCCTCCCTATTGAAGTCAATGAGCTTAGCTAGAGGCTCGGATGTAGGTATATTTACTGATATAGTCCATAGCTGTTAGCGCTAGCAAGCTATCACTTTTATTTATTTCAAAATTTTCTATGAATACTATGAGATCTAATATTTTATCCAGAACTTCCCTGCAACTATTTTTTATTCAAGAAAACATGTTTTTTAATCCGCCAAGCATGACAACTATCTTGCGCAAAATCTTGCTGTGAGAAAGGTTTTTCGATACCGGTGACTATATATGCTCATTACGGTGACGCACCGCAAGTTACTTTTGAAAGGTGAAGTGCTATATATAATTTAATACTGCAGCTGTATGTCGAATCATTTATCATTTTAATTCACGTTGGCACAAGACGCACGAATCTTCATTTTCACAAGACCTGGTAAAGCTAGCGCACTCAGTCCGGGTACCGGTACCTGTCATAGTAAGTTACGATAGTCCACAGTTTCAGCTCCGCCCAGGATATGTTTTGTGGAAAATTGTGGGTAAAATATTTCGTCTTGGCCTTCGTGATGATATATTTAGGCGTTACTCACTTGTTTCATTAATATCGGGTTCGTTTTTTTTTGTTTTGAACTCGATACGTGGTTGTGCACGGCTTTCCAAAAGTCATCGTGTTCTGTATATACGTACTCCTGCATTCCAATATTGATATCTATACTTAGTGATGGGAATATTAGTTACTGCATAAGTGCTCAGTCTACTTGCATGTCATTTTCTGGGTGTCAAATAAAAATATTCAACGGCAATAAACAGTGCATGTGACATTGCAGCTCAAGTGATTGTTATTTATTTCGGTTTTCCCAAACCCCGAGCCACAAGTCTTTCCGATTATCGTGTCGAGTCTGAGTACAAAGTCGAGCTATTCCAATCGGTTCCATTACATTTGAACCCACGTACATTTGAACCCATGACAATTGCACCTGTATGCTATTGCACCTATGGAATTTTTTTTGTTTTTCGGATAGTTGAACCCATACTAACCCTAACCCATGGGTTTTAGCACCCGCATATAGATTGAACCCGTGGATATACGCATGGGTTCAAATGTACGTGGGTTCAAATGTACGGTCACCATTCCAATCAGATACCAAAGTCTATGATAAATCGTGACCTCGCGCCTCTCCAACACTGATTTACTCAACCATTGAAATCAAACTTATGTTTGTGAATCATTGTATTTACACTTAGCAACACACAAGAAATAAAGACAATGAAATAGTTGTGTGGCACGTAAAAGTGAGTTTGAAATACTCGCCGAGAGCAAGTACGACAAATAAGCCTGGTGGACGTGCTCTGTTTATTTTACATGGATCTCATGCATAACACTCCTGCAGCTTTTGAATTCGCTTTCCGATTTTGCATGCCTCCTTCGGTTCCGGGGTATTGGCTGACTTTAACTACAACTCTCGTATAGGCGGCATTCAGTGAAGGGTAGTCATAGTCCCAGGATTGGTGAATCGGCCATTTCCCAATGGCGTTCACTTTGCTAATCTATAGAAAAAAAAAATATATATATATATATATATATCAGGGGCGGAGACCCCTTGGGGGGTTAATACATGTTGTTTCCGCCTTACAAAATTATCATTTCCGAAAAGTGCGATAGTCAAGCGCAATTAAACGGTTAATAGTTACCGATATTATAACTGTTTTCTTACAATAATGTGGACCAGAGCGCCTTCGGAGCACCTCACATTTTCGTGAAACATGCGCGCCTGCACGGGTAATACTCCGTCTTCAAACGCACCGCCGACCACGCGCCACGGTTTTGCACAACTAATTCATTTTTGTACAATTAAATATGATTTTCTCATTGTCAAAATCTTTCAATAGTGTTATTTATTGTTGGCACTTGCGAGAGAAGTGAAAGAGGCAAACTGTGTTTCATTACAACAATTAATTATAATCGCTAAAAAATTAACTACGGTAGATCTAAAGTTAATATAAACAATTTTCACCGCTGGACGTATCTTTTCTCGTTATGGATTTTGTGCAAGGCCCAGCATAATTTGCGGGCAAAGATCAAAGCATTTACCATGTCGAAAAGTTGGAAAGCGGCAATATAAAATACTAAAAATAAAACTGTAAATAATATAAGTTTTGTTGAGGCCCGCGACAGTCTAAAAACGCTTTTCTAGGCATCGAAAATCGCAAAATTTCGTATGCTTACGGCACAAATTATGTTTGCTTGACCCTTTAAAACATTTCGTTACTAAATTCGAAACACGGTCAATTGTAAGCGGGATTTGCCTTTTATCCATTACTTTTAAATTTACGTCGAAAATTTTCGTGTTAACAAACAAAGCTGAGAACGCGACTTTTCCCCGGTTTTTGATGATATATAAGATAAATAAAGTATATTCGATCACTTATTGTATTTATTTATGTATTTTTATTGTACTGAAATAACTTTTACTACGTGAGAATTGACAGAAAATTTACGGATTTTTCAAAAGGGGTTATCTTTAAAAATGTGTGACAAGTACATCTCAAATTTATCAAATTCGCAAAATAGCAAAAATACGGATCAAAACAATATATAAACGAGCAGTTTACCACACATTTTTATGTCCGCGGATTGCCGTCGTGTTTTAAGGTGGCCCTTGTTTTGTCGACTTAACCGCAGTTTAAATTGAAGACAATTGAATTAATAAATCAAGACATTTTGAATATGCCCGTATCGGTCTTTGATTGATTACTTTGCACAAGTGAAAAATCATTTTTCGTTGATAAAGTCTGCTCTTTTAACAAGTGGCGTAATCGCGGCGACTGTTCCGCGTGGATTTCGAGGCGGTGAATTTGTATTTTTGATTTACTAGTATACTTTATAATTATTTTCATTGTATGAATTAAAATTGTACTATATGGGATTTTATATCAGATATCGAGATTTTTGTAACGGCGATAACGAGTTCGGAAGATTGCAAAAATAGGTATCAAAATTAAATACATCAGGCAGCTTATCTCATATTTTTATGTCCACATATCGCCGTGGTACTTTAGTTTAGTAATATTTTTATTTTGACGTAAGAAGTCGCAACCGCGAGTTACGTTGCACACTATTAAATTAATATATAAGGACATTTTAGAATCTCGTGGCTGTCATGGATCGACAGAAAAATCATTATACGCTTAAATAGGCGGCTCTTTTACCAAGCGCATAATCGCGGTGCTTGTTGCAGACGGCAATGGGAAGTTCCGACCTTGACCCCCCGCCCTTTTTGTAAATCCTGGCTGCGCGCCTGAACTTGTGCCTGTTTATTTTCGTATTAATTTATAAATAAAAACCCTGCAAAATCATTGCGTGAATCCTGAATGTTATTTCGAGTTCAAATGATGATTTAATAAATCGGCGATTATGGCAATTCTACTAGTCAAATGATAATTCCTTGGTAAAATTTAGGAAAAAAATTCGCACAATAGCTTGTTACCTTGTTTTGCATTTCTAATTTTAATTTTGCGCTTTATGCAGAACTAGGAATTGAAACAATAACCTAATAAGACTCCTCAAATTTGTTATTTTCTGTTTGTTAGCAAGAGCCGTGGGCTAATTCTCGCGGAATTCAAGAAATTAGTTCAGTGACACGCAAGTTCCGTGTCCGATCAAAGCAGCCTAGGTACTCGATATATGAGTAGCAAAATGACATGCTAATACTTAGAGAATGACATCGACAGGTTATTGTTACGTGACGATACACGGCGCGGTGTTTTTCGGTAGGCGATCCAAGTTCGCCCCCCCAAAATTATGGAAAGTGTCCGCCCCTGATATATATATATATATACATGTGTGTGTACATTTTTTTTCGATTTGACAACTCTGATAAACTCTCTCTCTCAACGTACCGTAAAGTCAATGGTGAGTCCTATCCATATGTAGACAGATGCTATCGAGTCCCAACTTATCATGGGACTTTTTTTCTTCAAATCGCTTTCCATCAGTTTCATCATGTCTTTATAATGATCAGCCCGGTGAAAGTAACCTACAGTGCCATCCTTTTCTCTGAAAATTGTAAGAGATTTATCAGATAACTTTACTGAAGGATGTATTAACTAATCCTACGTGCCAGCTCTGTATGTACAACTATAATAGTGTAAGGGAAGATTGGTACACTTTTTCTGCATATTTTGAGCCCTATATTCGGTACTCCGGTAGTATGTGAACCAAGATGGCGGACACCGGAACGTAGTATGTGTACCAGGTCAGGGTTAGGCTAGAATTTCATTCCAATTTTCCTTATTTTAGTTCTATCACGAGTTCTGGATCTAGCCAACTGCCTCCCGTAGTATCTGTACCTGAAATTATGGCCTAATCTGGTACGCCAACTACGTTCCGGTGTCCGCCAACTACGTTCCGGTGTCCGCCATTTTGGTTCACATCCTACGGGAGTAAACAATCATTTCACTTTGCGGGGCTGTGAAATGTGTCTTTCACTGTCCCACCGTGGCCAACCTTCCCCTACTGCGTGTAATATTTTGTCTGACAAACCTGCAAATATCTTCACCTTCTTCATACGACATTCCTCCAGAGTTTACATAGAATATCGAAAAATAACATCTACCTTGGTATAGCAGTCCATCACAGGGTTCTAAACGTAAAATGATTAAAGATGAAACCAATTCAGAGTAATAAATACCAGCCACATCGGCTTGGTCATTTCAGATATATATCGAATCTTGCATGACAGCCCACTGACGTGGAAGTAGAGACATTCAAGTGGGTCATATACATATATATATATCATATTAATTAGGGCACTCCAGAAGTATGTGTGCTAATATGGAGGTGACTAATTTTGTTCACCTACTTTACATTAAATTGTGTAAAGGGTCTGAAACGTAGGGGGTATATATACTTGGCTCGCACAGACAGTCACCGTACTCGTAATAGAACTAAAATAAGGAAATTGGAATAACATTATGGCCAACCCTAATCTGGTACACACACTACGGGAGTACGTTAATTAGTATTGTATATAGCAGAGCAATTAGCAATGCGTAACATAGTTTCCGTGAGCCTGTAACAAATTTTTGTGAATTATTAAATCATAAAATATCCGCGCGAAACTATTTTTAGATGACTATAGTAAAAAAAAAGGTAAATGTTGAAATCAGATCAAAACAGAAAAATCACATTGTTATGTAATTGAGTTTGGCTGTTTTGTTTATACTCTACAAATTATTTGAATGTGATATTTTCTCAATTTGTATTGTCCAACTTTGTAATAATATCACAAAGTTTTGTTTGTGCTCACCATTTTTACTAGCTGGGATATATCTTGGACGTGAAGTAGGACTTCTAGTTGGAGGTGCGGTACGGCTTCCTTTCCCCGATTCCAAGGCAGAAACACGTCTTTTGAGATCATAAATATCTGAAAACAAATAGCAGGTAAAATAAAATGTGTTAAATTTGGTTTTCATTTTTGCAATTTATTGCTAAAGGCTTCAGTACGTTACACCGCCATTGCTCGGTATATATGCGTGTAAAGTAATATCAAATATGAGAGATTTGCTAGTTTTTTCATCGTTCCTATTTGGTAAATACTTCATAGTCCATTTACTTTTACAAACTCCATGAGTAGATAGAACTTTGCGCGAACCCGTTCTAGGACTGCTGCGACAATCAGCGACCTGTTCTTCATTTTTATTTTAGATGTCAGACGATTGCAGCAGGTGGGCAATGCGCACCGCAGCTGACTACTAGCATTATAGTTAGCTCTCCAAACGCAAATAATATTCATGTAAAGCGTGTTGTGTCAATGCAGCCTAATGAAGTGGCTACATACATTTTCTGCAACACGGTAACCTGTTGTTAGTGAGTTCGACACAAAAAAAACTGTTTCGAAACTTTTGAATTTCATCACTGTATATATATGCATTCTATAACAAAAGGTTCCCGTACATTTGAACCCACGACAATTGCACCTGAATACTATTGCACCTATGGAATTTTTTTTTGTTTTACGGATATTTGAACCCATACTAACCCTAACCCATGGGTTTTAGCACCCGCATATAGATTGATCCCGCGGATATACACACGGGTTCAAATGTACGTGGATTCAAATGTACGGTCACCACAACAAAAGCATCCATTATGCGGGGCTGCCTCTTATAAAGTCACGTTTATTACTCCAGACGCAAGATCTAACCTTTTGTATTTTGGGCAATTTCGTCATTGAATTCCAGCATGGTATCAAGTGTTGTTTTGGAAGTTTCCAACAGTGCTAAAAAAAGTAGGAAAAAGAAAACAATATATTAAGATGCTCAGATTACCATATCTTAAAGATAGTTGAAACATGTTTTTATCACAAAACAGGGAATTAAATATCACAAATTTAATATATTATGGTATATTACGAAGAAAATTAATCCGTACAGCAAATACATTTGGCGTTAAATTAAAAGTTACATTGAAATGTGTATGATAATGATTCGAATAAAAGTAATAAAATGTCTTACTTGTGACGGCCTTTTGCAACCTGGACACGGACGCTTCGATGGATGACAGACTTGCCTTCTTCACGCCTGCGATGTAAAAATATGTAGGTTTTAGACCAAAAATTTTGTCCACGAACAATTTTGCGATTCTGAATTATGTAAAATGTTCTTAGAAGACAAGATGACAGCCAGAGTGATAGTTTAAAATTGAATGTCGAGGCGTCTATTGACTTCGGCCTATTTTGCTTATTGGCAAACCGGGCCCTGATAACAGCTTGCAGGTCAGGATTATAGATCTCAATAAGTTGCCAAAAACGACCACATGATACGTCGCCTTTCGACAAAGTTATTCGCTTATGTTATTTATAGCGTACTTTGTATGTGTAGGTACTATACGTTTTTGGTCACAGCATCGATTTCATACTTACTTCCAACTGCGCCAAAATTTCCAGTACCGGATACTTCTTCGATATTTTCAACCAAGGCTGCAATAACTTTAGCTTGACTGTATATTTGAGACAATTTTTGACTTTGTTCCACCGCCGGCTCTGAATCTGAAAAATTAAAAAAAAAAGTCGAAAAATTACAGGAGAGGTTAAATTTAACGATAGCGAATTTCTGCTGTGCTTCGCTTATTTAGATGCCCTTTAGGGCCTCATGGTTTGTGGGAAATAGAACTTTTGGTGCATATCTTCGATTGGTGCATGTCTTTCAGTGAACATATACGAATAAACAAACAAATATATGTCGGACAAGGCTAGACGGATGGCTCCGTTGGCGAACTCTTTCGCGTGGAACTTACCCAAGAGCAAAGCCAACGTACACGACAAATGTAATACTACTTTTACATATTATTTACTAAAAAATGCCTCGATTTTGTCGAGGAAATATTGAAATATAAAATAAAAATATTGTGTTATAAAAGATATTTAATTGTTAAATAAAAGTATGTAAAAGCAAAAATGTGCTTGCGGATTGCTAACGGTATTTGGTAATTGGTAAATCCCATCTTTCTTATCGATTGTTATATTCCTTTTTCAAAATCGAAATCGTCTTACCTGGTTCCATTGCTCTTCTGTTTGACGGTTCGCTAGAATGGCTCAGGTCTAGTTTTTCTTCGTTTGCAGTTGCAAAACCGATCAATGTGGCACAGAACAGAAACGCGAGAGAAAATACTCTTTGCGCCATCTTTTTGTTTAGTAATTTTATTTACGGTTATAGGAATACACTAATCGAAATAAAGGAAATTTTCAGAGAATAGAATGCCACAAAAAAGTCAAATTCTTATGTAAAGTAATTGCGATGATTTTGCTGGACAAATTTTATGTATTCGAGCGTATTCTCGAATATTTTAAATCTTCAAAAGCGCTTTTTCTGAAAGTTTCTTTGCCCGATAGTCCGACACCAGGCTAGAGAGGAACAAATTTGAAACTTAGAATTACTGGTGCAAGTTCGCGTTTTTATCCCTTCAGAAACTGGGTTATTATTTTGCCAACGGCAATGATTAAATCTTGTTTTTAACGTTTTGAAAAATATTCCTGGTAAAACTTTTGTCGTTAAGTGTGTGATAAACAGGTTGGTAAGCCACTTGGGATAATGCAGCTCAGGCACATCGCATGTCTAAGCATAACTTCTGTCACGCCGTCAGGTTTGTTTATTACATGCTTGATTTTTGAGACCGCAATTTTAAGATTAAGTCTTTGATTCGATTTTTTCAAACTAAAGAATAATAAATAAAATAGGATGACGTATTTCAAAAACAGTTTTTTCAAATTAGGGGGAGTACCGTAATTGAAACTAGAGTAACCATGAGAAATCTATTTTGAAAATTACGTAACGGTGTTTATGAGGAATATTTGTCAAAATAATATCTTCCAATAGGGGTTTTACGTATTATTAAGGCTATATACCAACTTCTGTTAATCCGTGTCGATGATGCGTGAATTTTTTGAAATACTTGGGAATATTCTAGCCATGCGGCATACCTTGTTTTTTATTGTTTCATAATGGCACTACGATTAGGTGTTTGATAGCCTGTTTTGGTTTATCCGACCTTCCCTTCCCAAGTATAACTTTGCTAATATTTTTTTTCTCGGAATTTGGTCATGACTGATTTTTTACTGGTTGTTAAAAATAAACTTGACTCGGCGCTATTGAAATGGACCGTTACTCAACTTCCATGTCGTTTGATTTTTTAAATGTTTTTAATTCTTTAAATTCTTCGTTGCTTGATTGATTCAGCCAAAAATTTAGATCTATTTTTGTCCGGTTAGGTAATGCCGAACCGCGAAGATCCTGGTCCTTTCGATAAATAGTAGCTTCTTACTATCGTTAAATATCAGTGGATGCTTGTACCGGGCCTTGTTCGGAGATAATAAACGAACAGCTAATAAAAAGCATGATGAGTAATTGCTGTTCGAGTTCAACAAGTCTTCAAATGTTTTTAATACAAGGTTATTTTTACGGAAAAATTCTTCAAAGTGATACGACAAATAGAGACTGCATTATCGTCTGGTGGTATTTCCGCATTTGCTTGTCATAACTGATTATTATTGGGTATTAGTATACGATGGAAAAAAGTCTTTATTTAATTTTCCAAACACGTTTACGGAAATTACAGAACAAACAGAATTTTTTTTGGATTAAATGACCTTTTATTAAACCACTCTCCCCCACCCCTACAAGAAAAAAATATTATTCATAGTGTCTTGGTAGTTTAAATTACCTTGTCAACAGTAATAACCAATAAAATCAGCCAATAAAAATCATTTTGTGTATTGTTTATGCGAGAAAAGGCGTTGCTTTTGTCCTCAAATTTCATTGGGCCACGTTTTAATTTTATCATTTCAAGCAAACAAAAACTGACAATCATGGTTTGCATAGGCTTATACTCGCAATAAATTATAATATCCTTTCTTTTGTTTATTTATAAGTATGATTCTAGTCTACGATTCTCTCTATCCAACAATACCTTGTTCAACTATAAATGCGTTTATACTATTTACATTCCAATGTGTTTTTTGCTGAATTCATTGCCACGTGACCGATTTAATCAGAAATTTTACCCAAAAATTTGATAATATAATTTGGGTACTCCCGTAGTATGCGCCAAAATTTTTCTCTTCGAAAATCGTTCACACCATTCAGTAGCAATCTAAATTTTGATTCAAAAAAAATACTTGATTTCTGTTCATTATTGATGTAAGTTATTTTCAATTTTTTATTTACGATCTTAATTGTCAAAGAATCCTTTTCGCTTGTTGCATTTGCGAAGAAAGCTTATTATGTAATGGTAAACATATACATCAATGTAATGGTAACGAAATACATCACAAATAACGTAAATCACCTAAGCTTATGGCTGAAATTTCCGCCTTGATTGTAACAAATAAATTATTTAGGTTGCTTTGTAGCTGATGATCATCACGTAATGCTTAAAAATATTTTTGTTGAATTTTACATTCCGTCGCCGCAGGCTTATTATTTCATGAATAAAAATCTTGTTTCTGCAAACCGCAAAAAATCGAGAATGTTCTCTCGGTACTCCCGAAGTATGTGAACCAAGATGGCGGACACCGTAACGTAGTATTTTTAGCAGGATAGGACTAGGCCATGATTTTAGGCACAAATACTACGGGGGTCTTGGCTAGTCCCCGACCTCGTAATAGAACTGAAATAAGGAAAAATGGAATAAAATTATAGCCTTACCCTAACCCGGTAGACAATCTACGTTCCAGTGTCCGCCACCTTGGTTCACATACTTCGGGAGTACCGTTCTCTCTGTTTGGGGAGTAACCATTACTGTAGTTGTAAAATTTAATTTTTTATAGTCACGTTTATTTTTTCGTGCAGAAAAAATAACATACGAAATTGAAAAATAGCGAAATGTTTACGCACCCCGTCAAGTAAACAATGTGATATTTTTCTTGACTATTTGTTTAAAATCAACAAGCTTTATATCTATCCTCAGGTCATATACTTTTCTATTCAACTTTAAGCAACAATTTCTAAAGAGGCAAAGTTTCTCAAACGCTGGGGCGCGCCCCACAAGGGGGCGTATACATTTTTTGAGGGGCGTGAAGCGAATTAAAAATGGAAATATTCGTTAGATTTGATCTTGCCCACCTTATTTTGGATATTTACATTTCTTTATTTTCAACGTTAATGTTCTATCCAATTATTTTCAACTTGATTTTTGAATAAAACATACTTTCTGTTATCTGTAGCTCATTGTTAGCTAGTTATTTTGAGATGGGTCGCGAGACTTGACAAATTCTAAAAAGGAGGCGCGGCTTTAAAAGTTTGAGAACCACTGCTGAAGAGACAATGTGGGCTTAGTTGTTTCATGTACTATGTTCATCTGAATTGTTGTTTTTCCCAAACAGATAGTGCCTCGTACAATTGAGTTTCCTGCTACATGATAGAGTAATGATTTGAACTGGTTGAAAAACAACTGCTGGTATTCAACTGAGTTCACAAGAAATAGAAAAGTAACGTCACGTTGTCCTGTAGAACTAGGCTTGCACACTTCGAATAGGATAGGATTAACATACTTATCCCGGAGGAGAGGTAAGCCGATAAGACGGCTTACTCATATAGGGAGCCACGGCCTCACGTCTGATTAACAGTTCATGTCGGGCATGGGATTAGTTAGTTATTTGTTTTGCATGGACTTGAGAGTAGAAGAAGCCGTAACCGACCAGTAGTTTCGTCAACAACCAACCCCCACGACGACGAGGGGTCCAACATTTCTCTTGGACATAATTATACCTCACGGGATTCGAACCTGCGAACCCACTCAGAGTAATCAGAGGTGCTGTGGCAAGCGTATTCCTAACGCTTAGCCCCACGCCGAGCCAGGTTTTTAAGCCAAGCAAGTTTGCAACTACAGCACGTTTTTTCGAATACTCGAAGAGAGGTCATAGTTGTCATGCTATCACGTTTTTCGTGAAATTTTTTATAATGGTCGACTTTCGTTTCTTAAACACATTTTGCCATAAGTATGCCAGGACGCGACGCCCTGAAGATATTTTCAAGTCTACCAATCTTATTTTTTTAACTACGCAAGACAAACAAATATAGTAGGCAGTTTAGTATGCGTCATCCATGGTAATCTAATAAAAATTTTGTTTTTAAAAACATACAATAAATACATTCAAATTTTCTGTTTGTTTTCTCTATGGAAATAGTGAATACCATAAAATGATATGGCGTTAACACCGATGCCATAGATAGTGGAACGAGATGTGAAAATTTAAATTAGTTATCGAGCATAACCACTTTGGTGCTAAATCGATGAAATGATAAATGCTTAGAATTACAATATATTGAAAATAACGATGTTACAGAGATATTGAATAAAAGGCGCTACAGAAGTATGTGTACCAGTATGGAGATACTTAATTTTATTCGCCTACTTTACATCAAGTTGTGTAAAGGGACCGGAACCTTTGGGCAGGAGGTATATCCACTTGGGAGTACCGAATAAAATGTGTTTCTTACCGCCGATAATAGAAAGTTTATAAGAATGGCTTAGTCACAAAACGATTACTCAGATGAAAGATGAATATATGTCTGTTTTGTGGGTGTTTGAACGCCACAGAAATGACGTCGAAAAACGATAGCACGATTGCTGACAAATTGATAAGGTTAGATTCTGAAGTAACAGCGAACTCCCACAATTTTAAAACCGAAAACACAGACCCTAAGGGGTCCGTGGACCCCAGTTTGAGAACCACTGATATAGAATAAGATAAAATAGTGAGCCTAGTTCAATATTAGATATCAGTACTTTCAAAAGCACTCACACAAAATCGTTTGCAATGGTAAGATAGAGAGAAACCCTTCTTGGGGTCAAGGGTCATGGAAATCATCGACAACCAGCTGCACGAATCGGTGTGGCCGTTGTATAATTGAGTAATAATCTCATTAGCGCTGAAGTCTTAAAAATTCCAACGTATTACGATATTAGTAGTTTTATTATATTATAGTTAATTTTTATATTAGAAAATAAAAATAAAAATTCTATTTTCGCCTTAGACGATGTTTTTTACAGCTCACAAAAAGCAATTTTAGCAAATGCTTTGCCTCAATAAATGAAAGTCCCGTATGCTCATACGGTATGACAACATATACAAAATGATGAAAAAAAACTGCTGTGATGGAATAGCCAGGTGATAGCTCTCAGTGCTTTCAAATTCGTAAAAGCACTGAAAAATAGTGTAATTTTTTTGCAATGGTAAGGTATAGGAGAACATTTCTGGGCGTGGAAATTATCGCATACAAAATAGCATACAAGCATACAAAATAGAAGACTACATATGAAACATCCCAAAAATGCAAGAAACAGTAAAGTTCAGGAATAAAACATTTTGCTGAAACAGGGGACGAGCAACAAGTATATCATCAGTATTTTGGTCTGGGAGGCTTGAACGCGATCGGAAGATGAAGTTGCCGTTCCATTGTTTCCTTCCGTGCTGGTCACCACTGAAAAATGAATTCGATTTTAAAGTTAATAGCAGTTATCGGGGAACAGGATTCAGAGACAATTATATATAGTAGCTTGCTGTTATACACAGTAGATTTAAAAAAAACTCTGAGCACTCAAATCGCCGAATATGGTTTTGCATTCGGGATCATGGTTTACAAAAATTTAGACTTCGAACCCCTTTAAAAAAAAAGTCATCCACTCCAATTACTGATTAAATGATAGCTAAATTAGCAGTTGAAAGTTTACAACCGACTTTGTGAAATATAAAGCTCCGACTTCACAACGGGTCAGAAAAACTACGAGAGAATTTAATTCTGGACTCGAGTCCAATGGCTGCAAAAATGACAGATTTCAACTAAAGAGCACCAACAAGTCGCCACTACTAAATGTTCGAAAGCACCAGCATCTTTCCGTCTCGGTGGTGTGTTTCAACCAGGGATTTTAGTCCGTAATGCTATGATAGTTGCGTTTAAAACTATAACAACTAGACCACCGCGCCCACAGAGTGTCTGCGTGTAATTAATCACCATGTAGTAGCCTGTCGATGGCGACCACTCATCAATCTTTCATATTATTTTAATCTAGTGGTTCCCAAACTTTTTCGGCCAGCCCTCTTTTTAGAAATCATCCAGTCTCGCGCCCCACCTTAAAAATAACTAGCTGACAATACGCTACAAATAACAGAAAATAAGACGAAAACTTGTTTAATTACAAAACCCGGTGAAAGGACGTGGATATAAAATCTAACAAACTTTTTTTTAATTTTAATTAGCTTCAAGCCCCCTCAAAAAATTGTTCACGCATCCTTTGTGGGACGTGCCCCACCGTTTGAGAGCCACTAATCTAATCAAATTCGACTCGTAATCAGCAAATTCCAATTATATGGATTAAAAATAATCAAGCCCAATCTTAGAGAAAATTACTTGTAGTATTTGAAGTTGAAACCGTCTCAATCAATTGTGTTGTCGAGGAAATTGCAGTTATACCATCGTGGGTTGTATCACCTAGTTTACCAGTAGTGACGATATTTTCTGCACCTGTATATTAGTATTGCCCACTCATTTATGACTATCCAGATTTGTTGTGGATAGTGCATTTATATGAGCATTTCATGAATTCAGAAGCAAGTCAGAACTTGCCTTAAGTTTTGTAATATATATGCAATGGCAGGAATCTAAGCATTGGAGTAAAAAAAGTCGAATGATTGAATAAATTTCCAAACGCGTATTTGAATATGTTGAGATAAAACCTTTGTTTATGGAGCACGAATTGGCGACAAAAAAATAAAAGCAAGAGGGCCATATTTCAGCGCAATAAATTGTTCTAACAATGGGAAAGAACCCTTTTCGAGGAAGTTGAAATAACATATCAAAATATAATAAAAATAGTCTTGCTTGTTGTCGCAATTGTGAAAGGAACATCCCTGCCTGTATTGTTGCATAGTTGATCTATACACAGATCCCCTGTCTCACATTGGCTACATGGTGTACCAGAGATGTATGGTTTGAAAGCACCGCCGCCTGCCAATCTAATGATATAAAGTATATAGATCTAAGTAGAAGTATAGATTTCCTTAGTTTTAAATATGTTTGAATTATCCGCTTTTTTACTTGCGAATAATACAATGAATGTCCAGATTAAATTTTATAGTTTGGCAACTTGAGAAACAATGATGTGTTTGCCGTCTGAGCACAACAACTTAAAATGCCACGTTAATAAAGATTGAGCTTCTTTACCAACTCTGTATCCGATTCCTGACTCCTGGGAGTTTACGTAGTGCGTGTACCAGGTTAAGGTTAAGCCATAACTTTATTCCGATTTTCCCTATTATAGTTCTATTACGAGTTCGGGGACTGTCTAGGTTAGCTAGTGAATATACTCCCTGCCCATAGGTTTCAGTCCTTTCGAACAACTTGATGTAAATTAGGCGAACAAAATTAGTTACCTCCACATTGGTACACACACTTCTGGAGCGCCATATATTTTTCACTTACGGTATATATCATCCCTCCATATTGTCAATACACAAATTGAACTTTTATCAAACGATTACCAGATCATTCGTATCATATCGTCGCCCATGTACTCAACTCTCGATGAAATTTCTCAATGATTTGATTAATTTAAGGATTTTTTTGTTATAGTAACACATAAATGTAATTCAATTAAACTTACACTTTATTGCCACCAGGTCCATAATTGCAACTGACAAGGCTGGATCCATATCCGCCTCCGATGTTTCTAAATAGAAAATTTAAGTGGGATATTAATCAAGGAAATCGACTACACCCCCACGTTTGTAGTCATATTGACATTACACAACAGCTTCAACCTGAAGAGTCGGGCACAAATCTAGAAATTGGTTCAAAAAGTAAAAAAACACGAGTGAGCGTCGTATTACGTCATAATACAACCCCCCCCTTTTCCCTTCAAATTTTGAGCTGGCTACGCTCTTGCGCTACAGTACTAGTTTGAAGTAGATCGGACGCTAATATGGGAATACCTCACGTAATAGTAGCACTGGAAATATACTTTCTTTGTGGACAGGCAAACCCGTTAAAATCAAACGTAACATTTGGAAGTATATGTCCATAAAGTCCTTCACAATTTCAATTTTGTTATGAAGTCAGTTCTAAATATATCTCAACAGGATTTGTTGTTTTTCAAGCAGTAACTGTTTGAGTATTTTCACATCATTTAATACATTTGTGAGAGCCAAAAGAAATATATACATATAAATGAAATGTCAAGAACGGGCGCGTATGATTTGAATAGCTCAAAATCACAGATAAGCATTCTATTACGTAAAACGAAGTTACTAACTTGCATTTTCCTATCGCACATCCAACCTTGTATGTTTCTGCCCAAACGATTTGAGTGTAACGCCCACATTGTTGTCCAGACTGACAACTAGCGGTTACATAGTTATAGTACTTGATCTAAAAATAAAAATAAGTACATTATATCGAATCCAAAAAAATAATTTCTTTAATACACTTTTGTCCTCTCACAATGGTACACTGGGAGACAGCCTCAGAACTTGCTCCATGGTTACCGGGATTGTCAATGCTAGTGAGATTTTTCAGAACTTTAAAAAAATAAATTGATCAATTAAATCCTGAATATATCAAAATGCCAAGTATTGAAACCCCCAACCTTTGTCTTTGAATCAGCCAGCCTGCTGTACCTATACATACAGTGGATTTATTGGCGCGTTGTGAGGTCAGAGTTTAATACGAAATCCCTTCGTTCCGGGATCGATGTCGATAAATAAAATTAACAAATACTAAAGGTTTCGTTAACTCAAAACGAAATGATCATTAATTAATTATTAACTATGATATCGGAAATGCAGTAAGAAGTAGCAGTACAGGCTGACCATAACGTTCCTTTACAATTTCAATTCCGTTATGAAGTCAGTTCTAAATATATCTTAACCAGGTTTGTTGTTTTATCAGTAATTGTTCAAGTATTTGTTCCTAATTTAATACATCTGTGAGGGCCAAACAATATATATGGTATCGATAAAATGCCTTTTGCATTTGAACTTTTTTAAGACTCTATGGACACCCTATATATCATCTACTCAGTGTCAACTAAAAAATAAGCGTACATTACCTCGTCATACCAAAGTTTCACTATTCCGTTTTTTCCCATCATTTCATTAAAATAATATGCTTCTCCAGCATAAAGATTTTCCCCGATGTATGAAAATACGCTTGTCTTCAGATCACTGGAAACATTATGCTGGACATTGCATGTTCTGTGATTGTTAGAAATAAAGATTGTTAGAAAATAAATGAAACATAACGAGAAAGGGGGAGGAATTTATTTGGGCCAGATTGGTTACAGATATGGGGACCGGTTCCGCACACAAACTCGAACGTCTTTTTCAACGCTTTATTGCTTACTTTTTAAAGATTTACTGAAAGTCCGACGGCTTCCAAACTAATGAGATGAAATTTCTCTTGGATATGTTCGACAGCGACATAAATCTGTGAGAGCTTCTCCAAGGTATTGCTTATAGTTCGGAGTAAATGATTGATTCACAAACATGCGTAGTATTTTTTATGCGCGATTCGCCACGCATTTTGTTGGACTTTTGTAAGGTGGCGGAAGTTGAGCTTGATTATGCAGAAATAAAGTCACTTTATCATGTTCATTGGCAACAATCATAGTTTGCTGCACGAATGTATACTGAAGTCAGCGCCGGATTAACCATTAAACAATAAAAGCACGTGCTTAGGGCACCATAAATAGAGGGGCACTACAGAAATCTTAGAGCAGAATTTTATATAGTTTATCGGTGTTTATTATAATATTACGAGTTCACCAGACGACTCAAACTTCAAAATGTTCGCCTATTTTTCGTCTTCAAGTATCATATTACCCTCTTTTATTAAAAGTAAACACTGAAATATTTTTTTGGACACGGAATGGGCCTATGAGTCGTTTTCTTAAATTGTTGTTGTTTTTGCTTTCTAGTATTCTCCTTGTTGCTGCATTTTTGTTTTCAAAAAATTTCTTCTCTTCAACAATTGGACCAATGAACTATTTACACTATGTGGCGGTTTCACGGTCGCATTTCCACAATCTAGTGGTCAGCGAAGTCGGGAGATTTTTTATAAGGTAGACCAGGGTGGTCCAAACCCTGTCATGCTGATACATTCCGTGCGGCTCACCGAACAATTTTAGCGTATATTTGTATCTAATGGAGGAACGTTTTCGAGTTTTTTTACCTATTCCAACTGGGGTTGGGATCCCGAGATTTAAACCCTTTTTCCAACGCTTTGTGCCTTTGTTTTAGTAAAAACACTCCTCTGATTTTGAGCAAAACGCATAGCCGACTTAACGCCGCGCAATCCATTTGTTTTTTAGCTAGGTCCCGAAATATCAACTTAGACGGACTTTATTGGTATTTGACGATGGCACTAAGCTTTTTTGCGCTGCATGTTTTTTCAGTACAACAATTTGTAATAAAATGAGTGTCGCACAAAAGATGACATAAGGAAAAACACAGCGGAAACGTATTTCCTTGCCCATGACACAGTGTCTGGTTCGATTTCAGGTACTATCTGTCACGAAAGAATATAATTCGAAGCGACATTAAACGCGAGATGCAGAAAATACAACGGTAATTCTCGGGAATTGACTTTAAAATACTTTATATATCTTTTTAAAAAGAACGCCACCCATGCAACATAATATTAATCTGATTTTAACGGTAAACTCTCGTTGTTTATCAAATTTAAGAAAGTAAACTCGCGATATTTCGATCAATTTTGGGTTTTCTCCGACTTGCCGACTGAAATTTCAAACTACGGTTGTGACTTGTATTCTTTGGTATTTCGATTCACGTTGAGACTGGAGGCATGAATTTTTATTGTCACACGCCCCCCCCTCAACCGATATATTAGTCCGATATTGCGTGTTTGCCGATATATCATATCGACGGTAAACGGCCGATATATAGGCTATATCGGCTATATAATATAACAGTTAAAAAACCTAAAAATGTTCATAAAAGTTGTTTTATTTACTGTTGGTTGTGATTATTTTTAATGGATAATACACTCATGTGGTTTATTGTTTTTATAATTAAATTACACATTGAGAGGGCATCAAAGTCTTCAGTGCTTAGGGTTCCTGACTAAAGTAACATAAATCATAATATCAAAACTTACTTCACTACATCTTCAGCAAAGGCTGCAAGTTCGTCATCCCAGGTCATCAGTCTCATATTTGCGGCTTCAGGATTGCTAACATTCCGGCGGTAATAGTTATGAGAATCGACCCATTGCTGTTTATGAGTCGCCTCCATGGGTGAATGGTATAGAAAATCGGACGCTGAATATACAATAGAATGAAAATCATAACAGGGGGTAATTTTGTATCATCGATGATAAGAATATATTTAATAAAAATGTATAATTAATAGAAAGAACTCGGCTCGGTGGTTAGCGCATTGCGCTAAGCGTTAGTTAATACGCTCGCCATCGCACCTCTGACTACCATTATGTGCCCGAGCATACTGAGGCCCGCAGACAAATCTTTCGTGGCCTCAGAACGACCTCATTTCCAATGCATAGAAACGAAAAGTGCTCATAAATATATTATCTGTGAATGTTTCACATATGATTAAGCCGCCTTGTCGGCATTTCTTTCCGATTGATTCGCTTTACTTGATAAATTTCGAAATGTCTGGTAAATTAAATTCAGCTATGATGTAAATCAGGGGTGTGCCACCTTTAATACACGAGGACTGAGCATACTGAGGCCCGCAGACAAATCTTTCGTGGCCTCAGAACGACCTCATTTCCAATGCATAGAAACGAAAAGTGCTCATAAATATATTATCTGTGGATGTTTCACATATGATTAAGCCGCCTTGTCGGCATTTCTTTCCGATTGATTCGCTTTACTTGATAAATTTCGAAATGTCTGGTAAATTAAATTCAGCTATGATGTAAATCAGGGGTGTGCCACCTTTAATACACGAGGACCAGATCGCACGTATCACATTAAACTAAACAATTAAACAGATTACACATTCCTGATGTAAATTATTTTTGTTAAAGTTAAAAAATCAGCTTACCTTCGATGGTAACAAATATTGCCAGGAACAAACTACTTATCAAAATTGCGACACCCATTATTTCGTTATGGTAATAAATATACTATAGCAGTTTTTCTATATCAATATTAACTGAGTCGACAAAAGAAAGTCTAATGATATTTCAAAAGGCGCTCCAGAAGTGTGTGTACCAATATGGAAATAACTGATTTTGTTCGCCTATTTTACATCAAGTTGTGTAAAGGGACTGAAATTTAAGGGCAGAGGGTATATTCACTTGGCTAACACAGACAGTCCCTGAACTCGTAATAGAACTAAAAAAGAAAATAGGAATAAAAACATGCCCTAACCTGGTACACACCCTACGTAGCGGGTCTAATGGTATTTCCAAATGCTACGTACGTGACATATCAGTCGGCTACTAAATAGTATTATACATAAAGTGTCTATCACTGTAAAAAATATTAGAGACGATTTACAACGAAACGTGTGGCAGCAGCGATGCCATGCACTTCGCTATAAACACCATATACAACTTCAGTTGTGTTGAATCGTAGCAACCGGTTGTGATTTTACAACTAAATGTGTGAACTAGGCGAAAGCAGTGAACTGGATGTTTCTGATTTTTACAGCCACAACGATGTTGACCTTAACTACAAGAAGGCAGTTGTAAAACTAAACAACATCCACGAAGTAACTTAATTAACCCTTATGCCACCACCCAAAAAATGGCAAACCATACGAAAGGAAATCACTTTTAATAAAATAGGTGATCAGTAACAAAATAAGATCAAATACACTCGAGAAGTGATTGTCCCCGCCATCAAAATAGTTTATTTCATATCTTCAAATAGATGGCACCTATCCAATAGATTCAACATGACAGTGGCCCCTGTCACTTTTTCTTGCACTACTTTTTTCTTCCACTGGCTCTGTTTATTTTGGCAATTTGGCTGAAAAATGTGGCATAGCTAGTATAAAATGCAAACAAGTAGTTGAGTGAAAAGTCAACTTACATAAGTCTTACATAAGAACGTTGTATATTGTTAGTTCCTCTAGAAACAATATATTTGCATATGTTATGACTTGAGCTGGGCAGAAAGATTCCATTACAAAGTGGAGATTCGTATTTGATCATTATATTCAATGCTTAGTCCAAGCAGAACTAACGGAAAAGCAACTTAGTCCAAGCAAGCTCACAAGTAATATCAAATGTCCATCTTTATAAGCATGGCTTTGATTTATAAAACATTTAATTCAATCACCATTGCCATCAAAAGAAAGAAACACCAATACCAGTTCCTCACCTTTCCAGAAACTCGTTCGTAGGGTTGATACGATGACAGACTTCGTAATGTGTAAGGGTCAAATGCGGATGCCCCAGAGGTTAAAATGGCAGGATATGTTGTTCCACTTTCGAACTGAAAAGAATTAGCAGATTACAGGTACATGGAAATGATGTAGGCATGAAAAATACATGACTATCCACTTCAGTACCCTTGCAGTTTCACTAGAGATGTCTTTCCAGCTGCTTTTATTTCAGATTAGTCCAAATTTCGAATCAAACATTCCAAACCGCAGAATAACTGATATTATAATTTCACCAGTAGGCTATTGTAAATCCTTCTCTGCTTTTTAAAGGATTAGGCTGAAATTGTGTTTTTGGAAATACTGAAAAAAAAACGGAGACTTTCCTGTATTTGTGTAGACTACTTAGGCTTAGAACTCCAATAAATAGAATACCGGTAACAAAGAAAGAACATAAGCGATTAAAAGTAAAATAACGGAACATGACACGGTACAATATCTCTAACACCACTAAGTAGTCTCGTAGCTACAACACTACTAAATAGCGTTAGCCATCGTTAATGCGTTAGAGGTGAATCGCAACACATCTATCAGCACTGTTTCCGCTTTTACTTGATGGAACGAGATCCTGCTTTGAGGAAATTTACATAAATATAGCCTATACAATGCTGCTCATTTTAGCGAACGACGTGTGTACTTAAGTGTGGGCATTTATGCAAAATAAATTGCCCGCGTATTGCTTCTTGTCATGTATGACGCTGAGTTAATGCCAAATTAGTTTTCCATGAGGAAGTTGTATATATTATGCAATATGGCACGACGGTGGTGGTCAAATGAGTTTTGGCCCATCTATGTTGAATCGCAGATTACACTTGTACTTCAATCACTCTTGGTGTAATAAATTGGCTAAGCAAGGCGAAACTGGTCCTCCACTAAATACACTTAATACAACAGGATGGTCGCAAGAAAAACAGAAAATTTGTTCAACAGCTATTTATTTATACAAAAAAAAAACTTTTACAAAGTTTTACAAGGGCCTATGGTAGATTCCACTTATAGATGCTCAAAATGTCGTCTGCGCATTTCAGAGCAGTGTCTTAACCTAGACGTCCAAGCGTGTGTGGTGTTTAAAAGGTTTATTTGTGGGATATCGTTCCAATTCAACCCATATTGTACGCAATTTATAAGTGATCTCATCTGACCTTCAAATTAGTTTCTGCTTTTCCAGTGACCCCTCTGTAGTACTTACTTACATATCGTTGGATGCTTGCACGAGGCCTTGTGTGCTCGGAGCAAAACAACGTGAATTCATGAAACTCTCGTTTGTCAAGCATGACCCATTATTCACTCCACTGACTAATCCAGTATAGTGTTAAATTTCGTATGGGAACTCGGTTACATGACAAATTTCATAAAGTAATATTTTATGAATGACTCTTCACGACGGCTGTATAGCATATATACCTTGGCAACAAGGTTTGATAATATTTGCGTTTGGCACGAGTGCAAACACCGAATAAAAATTAATACCGTATACCAGGTAAAGCGATAAAAGTTAGAGCCGTATCAAAAGAATTGTTATGAAGTTTCCGATGTTTTATTTGAACAATACTCTAAAAGTCAATACAAGCAGAATCGTTATTTTTTTGGACACTGATATAATTCGTTCAAATATCATTCGTTTTTTTTTTCGCATACAGGCCTGCACGCCAGGAAATGTGCGGCCGTACCATAAAGCTTCGTTCTTTAGGCAACGTCCAAATTTTCGATGGCATTTTTTACGTGAGACATGAGCAAAGAGATTTCAGCAGGTTGTACTTTAACCATGTTCTATCTCGCTAAAACAGACCAAGCTAACCAAATTTTGCACCTCTCGTTATGTTGAACATGCGTCGCCTACAACTACATTCATAAAATGTGATCTGTTCGGCGATGTGTTTCCCCAAGTTATTTCAGATTATTCCTAATTCCCCGCAAACATTTTAAAAATCTTGATATGTATATATTCACGTTTATTAGTAAATTATTCATGATAAAATGGCGCCAACTACATTCATTGCTGAACCAGTGTGCCTTCCGCTGATTGGCTAGCGTGATTACGTCATAGGGTATGCGTTCGTAATACCTTCGTAATAACTCTCTGCCGTCTGCCGTTCGCGCTTTCTTTAATACTGACAAACGGTATTTTTCTAAATCTCTACATAAAATAAAAAATTTTGTGTTATATCTACATTACACTTATATATATATCTACGTTAAATGGCCATGCAGAAACATGAATACGGAATCTTATTTCGGATCAGTATTCAGAGTCGAGACCGTTTCCAAAAGTAAATGAGAAGCTGTCGAGAAGCAAGCAATATAAATTTTGTTGTGTGTTTTTTACCAGCTTTTCATAGGCTAAGTATTACTAAATCTGTTGGATACCATTCGTTCTGAGTTTTGTACTCTTTCAGTTCAGTGCGCGGAAGTGTAAATGGCGACTGTAAATCATGCCGATGTCAAATTCTTCTCTATTGTTTGTTCTATCAATATCTACATACAGACCAATTAAAACCTTGAAATTAGACTCGTTTAAATATCTTTAGCTTCCTTCAAGTCAGTATAATCGACCTGAGTGCAGTGAATATTCATTGTTACAAACGTGAGGCATACGTGACTTACGTGAGATATGCGTCGTCGGTTGCTAGTTATCAGGTGAGCCAGAAATTCAGTTGCGTAACGCATAACGTCACGACGTTAAGCTGTTGTCTATCCGAACCTGGTAGTTTAAACTCAGCCGTTCTTTTAAATAGCCGATTATGACTCGTGGATTCCTCTGTGATCGCTGCATAACTATTGGATTAAATTAGTTGGCATCTGGAAACATTAAACCATTAAATTTCTAAATTTGAGTTTGGTTGTGCGAGACTAACTATTCTAGCCTATCTTTTCTCTATGCCTTTATGCTAGTGGATCCGTATGGGTATACTGCAAGGATGCTGTAACTGGAATAAACATGACTATTCTATATAATTAAATTAAATTTCTATTTTACAATTCTATATTACAATTAAATTTCTATATTACAATTTGAAAAGTTATATCATAATATTCTTATTAATATTTTAATTAATTATTCGTTTCAAATACTGTTTATTTGCCATTGGGAGAAAGTGATTAACTAAAAATTTGATGTAATTTCGAAAGAAAATATTTCGAATTATATTTGGCATTTGGTGCAAATAATTATATCTGTTAATAGGCAGAAGGAAATCTGTTTAAGAGCATATTTTATCCCACGTAATAGTTAGGAGAAGGGATGGTTAATCGTCCCAATTGGATGGTCTCCCCTGTAGGAGGAATATTGCGCTAGCATTTTGAAAGCGTGTTCGTCTTTTGCTAATGTGTTTGAAGCGCTTATAAACAAGCATTTTAGTGAAGCACCTGAGAAATTCGCTATTCTTGAAGTCTGACCTCCTCTGTAATTTTTAAACATTTTGTTTTTAATTTTTTTAGATTCCGAGCCGTCGGTGGAACAAAGTCAAAAATTGTCTCACATATACAGTCAAGCTAAAGTTATTGCAGCTTTGGCTGAAAATATCGAAGAAGTGTCCGGTACTGGAAATTTTGGCGCAGTTGGAAGTAAGTATGAATTCCATGCTGTGACCATAAAATTGTAGCACACATGCAAGTTACGCTATAAATAAAATAACCAGTGATTCCCAAAGTGGGCGATATCGCCCCCCGGTGGGCGAAAACGATACGAAGGAGGGCGAAAAAGTCGAAGGGGGCGATAAGGGGGAGATTTCGCGAAACCTGTTCATGTTCGGCGCATCGTGCACCCGATTACTGTACTCTGCGTGCTTTCGTAGGTTTGAATCACGTGGGCGATGTCACACGCGAATGGATTGCTGGACTCGTCTTTGCCGTAAGGTAAGGTAGTTTGCGTATCAAAGTGGTCGGCAAAATACGGCCGAAGTAAAATAATCTGGCCCGGGACGCTTCACTGAATAGACCTTTGACCCCGGAAAATTCTTCCCATACTTTACCATTTTAAAATTTTCGGTGTTCATTTTAAAAGTGGTTTCGCGAGTTGTCGCCTGTGAAATGAGGTATTTGTTTCAAACTATCATTATAATTAATTCAACAATCTGTATTTTGAAAGTACCTGTAGCGAATTTCAGCCTAGTTTATCACAGCTATTTCTACATTAATTTTTGATTACTGCAATTGAACTGAAGCTCCTAGGAAGACAAAGTGATCATTGAAATATTTAATTTATATTAAATTTCCGAAACACAACTAAAAACTAACGAATATAATTAAAAAACACGAAAATGAGGTAACGCCCACGCCTGAAAATCTGTCTGAGTGAGAAAAGTGCCTGAGCGGATGCATAAGGGGGCATTTTTGCGTTTATGTTTTGCATCTTGCTGATTGACCAATGTCACAAAATAAACAAGGAAGTCTATGTCCGGAGAAACATCCATTATACAGACAAAACGGCGGTTTTCACAATTAATTACTTTATTTATAATCTACGCTCGAGAAGTAAATTACATTTTTTACGTAACCGAAATTATCGTGAAACACGTTTAGACTAAATTATATTATATCCTAACAATTTGTTGAACAGCTTTAACGCGCCTACAATTTAATTATAATTAGACCAGGGGCGGACACTTTCCATAATTTTGGGGGGGCGAACTTGGATCGTCTACCGAAAAACACCGCGCCGTGTATCGTCACGGAGGATAAACGCCAACGTAAAGGCGTTTACGACCTAAATAATAGGTCACAGTGATGAAAACAATCGGCGATTTTAGCAAAAGGCAATTGCACGCGGTATTGAAGACTTTTACAGTTTTCAACAAAATTCAGAAGGGGTGGGGGTATCTTTCTTAGATAGTTTCTGTGGTCTGAAAAGTCGAATAGGCGTTTCGACATATAGTAAATGCTTTGATCTTTGCCCGCAAATCATGTTGGGCCTTGCACAAAATCTATAACGTGAAAAGATACGTCCAGCGGTGAATTTTTTTTATAACAACTTTAGATCTAGTTAATTTTTTAGCGATAATGATTAATTGATGTAATGAAATACAGTTTGCCTCTTTCACTTCTCTCGCAAGTGCCAACAATACCACTATTGAAAGATTTTGACAATGAGAAAACCATATTAAATTGTACAAAAATGAATTAGTTGTGCAAAACCCTGGCGCGTGATCGGCGGTGCGTTTGAAGACGGAGTATTACCCGTGCGGGCGCGCATGTTTCACGAAAATGTGAGGTGCTCCGAAGGCGCTCTGGTCCACATTATTGTAAGAAAACAGTTATATTATCGGTAACTATTAACCGTTTAATTGCGCTTGACTATCGCCCCCCCTGGGTGTCCGCCCCTGAATTAGACAAATGGCAACACGCAGAACAGTTGACGCTGAGTACAGGGGTTCGATAGCGCCGTAAATATTCAAATATACTGCAATGTAATAAGAAAATAAAATTCATATTCTATTCGAGAGATTCATCAGTGCTTAATTTTTGTAAGAAAGTATCTTCTTAAAGAAAATCTTTATCAAAATTTCACAAACCATGCAAAAATATTCACTTCGATGTTTCGAAATACATATTTTTGCGAACAGGTATTTTCTAAAATGAACATTACAAAGAACTAGGATTAGTAATGCCCATTCAGCAAATGTTCCAATCCTGGCGTCGTAAATCTATCAAGCGTGATGCAGCAACAAGACAGTGTCATATTTGATGTCATTGTGATAATTTTTTAATGAGACGACTGAGTTGAGTTCATGAATTGTCGCAGTTTTCGCGCGATGTTCTGTTTTTAACTTTAAAAAAATATATGCGTCCCGCAAAAGACTAGCAACCTTAATTTTGTCCAGCGAGCGACATGAAATTTGCCGACACTGGGCCGTAGCCGATAGTCGGTCACGGCTTTTTCCACATCCGAGTCCACGAATCTAAAACAAATGGCTGATTAATTCTATGGACTGGTGATCGGACTGGAGGCCGTAGTAGGATGAGGAAAATTACCTTTGTTTTCATTATTTTAATGTAAATTGAGAGAGTTAAACGCTATGAGGCAAGTCGGTTTTTGAGAAGGTAGAACCCTGGATTCTTTTATTTCCGACCTCTTATATAATGAAAAAGGGGTTTTCAGTCGGCTACCATTGCTATCAAAACAACGAAATCGTTTTTCCATCAGTAAACAGGCTGATTTTAGATTGTGTCTGACGAAAATGTCACCAAATATTAAAAAATTCGCTGAAGAACACCAAGCTCATTAATCTCATTTTTAAAAACACAAATAAACTTTGACTTGTCTTCTTATTTGGTCTGTAATATATTTGTTTCTGATTTTACATTGTTTTTGTAGTGCCGGGGGGCGATGAAGTTGTATAAACTACTGTATGAGGGCGATGGTCAAAAATGTTTAGGAACCACTGATATAAGCGAATAACTTTGTCGAAGGGCGAGTTTGCGTATTATGTTGTCGTTTTGGCGTTATTGTTGTTGTCGTTATTGTTGTGTATATTTCCATGTTTTGTGATGAAAACATGTTTCTTAACGAAATTTCAACTATCTTTATGATATGGTAATCTGGGCATCTTAATATATTGTTTTCTTTTTCCTATTTTTTTAGCTCTTTTGGAAACTTCCAAAACAACACTTGATACCATGCTGGAATTCAATGACGAAATTGCCCAAAATACGAAAGGTTAGATCTTGCGTCTGGAATAATAAACGTGACTTCATAAGAGGCAGCCCCGCATAATGGATGCTTTCGTTATAGAATGCATATATATACAGTGATAAAATTCAAAAATTTCGAAACAGTTTTTTTTGTATCGAACTCACTAACAACAGGTTACCGTGTTGCAGAAAAAGTATGTAGCCACTTCATTAATCTGCATTGACATAACACGCTTTACATAAATCTTATTTGCGTTTGAAGCGCCAACTATAATGCTAGTAGTCAGCTGCGGTGCGTTATCCAATTGCTGCGATCGCCTACCATCTAGAATTAAAAGGAAGAACGCTGATTGCCGCAGCAGTCCTAGAACGGGTTCACGCCAACTCATTGATTGGATATCCAACTCACATCACTGGATATATATATTACATAAAGTTTTATTTATTCATAAAGTTTGGGGATATTGATGAATTCTGAAGACTTTATAAAATATCGATGAAAAAACTAGCAAACCTCCCATAATTGATATTACCATACACACAGAACTACTCAAGTAATGGCGGTGTAACGTACCATTAGCAAAAAATTGCAAAAATCAAAATCAAATTCAACACCTTCTATTTGTTCTCAGATATTCATGATCTCAAAAGACGTGTCTCTGCCTTGGAATCGGGGAAAGGAAGCCGTACCGCACCTCCAACTAGAAGTCCTACTTCACGTCCAAGATATACCCCAGCTAGTAAAAATGGTGAGCACAAACAAAACTTTGTGATATTATTATAAAGTTTGACAACACAAATTCAAACAATATCATAAACGAGAATATCGGTCGGAGACCGAAGACTTATCGATCTTAGATCGGTAATTAGTTAATAACTCGCTAATTATACGACATAATTAACCCAAAATCTATAGGCTTCTGGTCCGAGGTAAGATGCACATGCAAAATTTGGAGCAGATTCAACCACGCGTTCGTGAGATATTGCGTTCATCTAACAGACACACACACAGACACACAGACAGACATACAGACAAATACCTATCAATATACTTACCGATCTTAAGATCGATAAGTAATGAATAATTTTTAGAGTATTAACAAAACAACCAAACGCAATCAGAATCAAATAACAATGTGATTTTTCTGTTTCGTTCTGATTTTAACATTTTCCGTTTTTTTACAAGTCATGGGACGACTTAATCATATGGCAAACCTCGGCCTCTCTAAATGATCTCTAAAATGATCAAGTCGGTGTGATTAACTTTTTTATCTCTAATCATTTTACATTTAGAACCCTGTGATGGACTGCTGTTTCAAAGTAGATGTTATTTTGCGATATTCTATGTAAACTCTGGAGGAATGTCGTATGAAGAAGGTGAAGATATTTGCAGGTTTGTCAGATAAAATATTACAGGGAGTAGGGGAAGGTGGGCCACGTTGGGACAGTGGGCCACTTGACAAACGTTTTTCATAGCATTTTGCTGGTAAGATGTGTGTAGCGAGGGAATTCCTAGTCGCTGAATAAGAACGACATTTACCTCTCTCTGCACCAGCCCTGCAAAGTGAAATGAATGGGCAAAATATAGGCTTAGAATATGCAAAAAAGTGCCCCGGCTTTCTCCACACTAATAAAGTTATACACATAGAGCTGACACGTAGAATTAATCAATCCATCCTTAAGTAAAGTTATCTGATAAATTCCTAACAATTTTCAGAGAAAAGGGTGGCACTGTAGGTTACTTTCACCGGGCTGATCATTACAAAGACATGACGACACTGATCAAAAGCCAGTTGAAGGAAAAAAGTCCTTTGATAAGTTGGGATTCGATAGCATCCGTCTACATATGGTTAGGACTCACCATTGACTTTACGGTACGTTGAGAGAGGGTTTATTAGAGTTGTCAAATCAGAAAAAAATGTAGAATAATAAATAAATGAATAAAAAAGTTTAAATAGTCATTCGAGTGGTAGCCACTAGCTATAAAACCGTTGAAGAGCCATCATAGTCAGCTACCAATCAATATATTTGAATAATTAGCGAATAAATAGATTGATTCATTTATTAATAACTAAAAACAAATGAACAAAATAAATAAACCACACGTTTTTTGATAAAGATTGGATGGAGAAACGACCATACCACATCAAGTCAGACCCTCGAACTTTAAATTTGGGAATTGCTTTTGGATGCTGATAAATTAAAATTATTTAAAAACTATTAATTATTAAATATTATTTTTTTATAGACCAAAAATGTGGTCCCCAACGGAGAGTGGGCGATTCACCAAGCCTGGGACTCCGACTTCCCTTCAATGAATGCCGCCAAAACGAGAGTTGTGGTTAAAGTCAGTCAATCAGAATGGACCAAAGGAGGAATGCAAAACCGAAAACCTAACATAAAAGCTGCAGGAGTGTTATGCATGAGATCCATGTAAAATAAACAGAGCACGTTCACCAGGCTTACTTGTCGTACTTGCTCTCGGCTAGTATTTCAAACTCACTTTTATGCCACACATTTATTCTTTATTTCTTGTGTGTCGTTAGTGTAAATAAAATGATTCACAAACAAAAGTTTGATTTCAGTGGTTGAGTAAATCAGTGTTGGAAAGGCTCGAGGTTTGGTACTCCCGTAGTTTGTGCACTAAGAAGGCGGACACCGGGACGCAGTATGTGTACCAGGTTGGATTAGGCCATAATCCCAGGTAAAAATACTTTGGGACTCACTTGGCTAGTCCCCGACCTTGTAATAGAGCTAAAATAGTGAAAATTGGAATAAAATTATGGTCTAAAAACCGAACCTGGTACACATACTACGTTCCGGTGTCCGCCATCTTGGTTCGCATACCGGTACTTCGGGAGTAATCACGATTGATTATAGACTTTGTTCATCTGAATGGAATAGCTCGACTTCGTACTCAGATTCGACACGATACTCGAAAGACTTATGACTCTGGGTTTAGGGATACCGAAATATTAAAAAAAATTGATCTACAACATATATATGCAGTAGTTCAACCACATGCACTCTTTATTGCCGTTAATTATTTTTATTTGACATCGAGAAAATTACATGCAAGTAGATTGAGCGGCACTTATGCAGTAACAGTAACCAATATTCCCATCATTAAGTATAGATATCAATATTGGAAAGTAGGAGAACGTATATACAGAACACGATGACTTTTGAAAAGCTGTACACAACTCCGTATCGGGTTCAAAACAAAGAATGAACCCGATATTAATGAAACAAGAGAGTAACGGTCAAATATGTCACCACAAAAGCCAAGACGAAATATTTTACCCACAATTCTTCCCAAAACATATCCGGGGCAAATTTGAAACTGTGGCCCATCGTAACATACCTAGTACTGGTACCCGGACTGCGCTAGCCTTGTGACAATGATGATTCATGCGTCTGGTGCCAAGATGAATCAAAATGATGAATTGTTTTACAAGAAGCATATGTGACGACCCTTGTTTTATCTGGTAAATGATGTCATTTGATATTATTGCTATATTTCGTATTTTTAACTGTGTGTGCTGGGGCTGGCGGGGTGCAGTTGTCTGAGTGTGGTTGGTTTTTGGTTGGATTCTGGTCATGGGTGTCTGGGAGAGCCTCTAATCTCCGGTGGGTTGTCGTAATGTTTGTTTGTGGTTTTGTGGCTGCTGGACGGGGATTTGTTGGGTGTTTTTGTGCTGGACAGTGGGCTGATGTTGTTGTTTCAGTGCAGTGCCATTGCAGTTGTTTCGACGTTGTGTTTTTGGTTGTTGTCAGGGAGTCGGCTATCATCAGTGCTGTTCAAGGTGTTTTTATTGTGTGTGTTCTGTTTTCTTGTGTTGTGCTGCCTGGTGCTTGTCGCTTTGTTGTGTGCTTTCCGTTTCATTGTAATGTTTGGTTGTATTAATCGTTGCTTGGAATGTAATCAGTGAATGGAACAAGGTGGCGTGGATTGAGGTGAGTGTCGACAGGAGACTTGACGTCTGATCATATTGGAAGATATTCTGAACCTGGATAATTATTACATAGACTGTCGGGACGCTACACATATAATTCATTAAGGCAAATTCAGCGCCTCTTTAACAGAGAATTTGGCTTTAATTCGGCTCCTACACTACGAACAATTTATGTAATTCATCGTAAATATATGGAAACTGGATCTGCAGTTGATGCACAAAGATCAGGAAGACTAAGGAGCGGACGGACGCTCAGTGGAAAACATTCAAAACCGAATTAATTCCAAATTCTTTGTTAAAACAGGCGCTGAGTTTGCTTTACTGGTTTATATGTTTCTTGTCGAGCAGCACTTTGAACCTCATTTCGTGTTTATCTCCTTGTCATTCTGTGGGTTAATGAAAAAATGCAAACAATACATAAATTTTACTACTTATTCATACTATGTTTACTGACGAAATGAACGCTCTATGATGAGTAGCTGCAAAGCAAATCGAAATTAAAAGTGTATACTTACTTTTAAGGCGTCCAGTATATTTTACCAAAGAAATCATGATGCTCAATGTTTTATTAAAGGTCTTGTCAGCAAAGTTATTTTCAATTTTTCAAATATGATCTTAATTGTCAAAAAACTTTTGCACTTGCTGAATTTGCGGAAAATTTTGATTATGTAATGGCAATGAAGCACATCAAAAATAATGTCAATTTTCCAAGGAAAAATTTCGACCGAGTGTCATATGGCGAAGAATCATTTTTAGCAACAACTAGAACCCATGTACCTGAACAACAACAATAACAATTTTGCAAAGCGATGAAACATACATTTCGTGTCCAATGTTAGCAAATTGGTAAATCAAAGGATATTTTCCCCACAAAACAATATGAAAACCATAAAAATTCAAATGACAAAAATGCTGAAATTTTGACCTTGATTTAAACAAACAAATTGTTTAAGTTGTTTTGTAGCTGATGATGATCACGTAATGCTTAAAAATATTTTTGTGGGATTTTACTTTCTGTCGCCTCAGGCTTATTATTTCATGAATAAAGAATCTTGTTTCAGCAAGCCGCAAAAAATCGAGAATGTTCTCTCTGTTTGGGGAATAACCATTACTGTAGTTGTAAAATTTAAAGTCAACATGGTTATAGTCACGTTTTTTTTTCGTGCAGGAAAAAATAACATACGAAATTGAAAAATAGCGAAATGTTCACACACGCCATGAACTAAGCAATTTGATATTACATTCTTGACTATTTGTTTAAAATCAACAAGCTTTATATCTATCCTCAGGTCTTAAACTTTTCTATTCAACTTTAAGCAACAATTTCTAAAGAGAAAAAAGTTCTCAAACGTTGGGGCGCGCTCCACAAGGGGGGCGTAGACAATTTTGAAGAGAAGTGTAGCTTATTGAAAGTAGAAATATTTTTAGGGTTGATCTTGAAATAAGGTGTATTTTGGATATTTACATTTTTTTATTTGAATATTTACGTTCCATCCACGTATTTTCAACGTGTGTTTTGAAATATCCTTACTTTCGCCTCACTATCTGTTATTTGTAGCATATTGTTAGCCAGCTATTTTTGAGTTGGGCGCGAGACTTGACAAATTTTAAAAATGGGGTGCGGCTTAAAAAATTTGAGAATCACTGTTTTAGAGGCAGTGCAGACTTGGTTGTCTCTTGTTTATTTGATTTGTTGTTTTCGCGAACGCCGAGCCGAGCCAGGTTTTTAAGCCAAGCAAGTTTGCAACTACAGCACGTTTTTTACATACTCGAAGAGGGGTCATAGTTGTCACGCTATCACGTTTTTTGTGAAATTTTTTTACAATGGTCGGCTTCTGTTTTTCAAACACATATTGTCATAGGTATGGCAGGACGCAACGTCTTAAATATATTTTCAAGTCTACCAATCTTATTCTTTTAACTACGCAAGACCAACAAATATAGTAGGCAGTTTAGTATTCATCCATGGTAATCTTATAAAATTTTGTTTATAAAATCATACAATAAATACATTCAAATTTTTTGTTTGTTTTCCCCGTGGAAATAGTACATACCATAAAATGATATGGCGTTAACACCGATGTTACAGAAATATTGAATAAAAGACGCTTCAGAACTATGTGTACCAATATGGAGGTAACTAATTTTGTTAGCCTGCTTTACGAGTTGTGTAAAGGGACGGAAGCCTATGGGCAGGCAGGTATATTCACTTTGCTAGTCCCCAAACTTGCAAAAGAACTAAAATTAGGAAAATCGGAATAAATTTATGGCCTAACTCTAACCTTCTACACACACTACGGGAGTACCGAATAAAATGTGTTTCTTGCCGCCGGTAATAGTAAGTTTATGAAAATAGGCTGTTGCCACAAAACGATTACTCAGATAAAAGATGAATATATATATATATATAAAATCAGTCTGTTTTGTGGGTGTTTGAACGCCACAGAAATAACGGGAAAAAATTGTAGCAATTCTGACAATATTCCTATTACACTATAACTATAAATTACACTATTAATATCCTTGTATTGTTATATATTTTCACAATTTTATTTCACACATGTACCCAATTAGGACATTGCAGGATTCATCGTTAAGTTGCCACGAGCTATCACTACCTTCAACCAGATGCGCACAATCCTCATCTCCGGAGTTGTTGGGCTCACCTTCGAACCAGGGTGTATTTTCTATAGTGGACGGCACACCATCAGCCCAAATAAAATCTCCTTCGTTCTTTATATCGTCCAAACCAATCCAGATTGGAGTGTTGCCGGCCACAAGAGAATGCTTCAATTCACTGAAAAAAAGAATTTACGTTACGATTACGTTGGGCAAAATATGTTAAGCTTATCAATTGAGAAAACAGAATTTTACATTTAGACTGTTTGTTTTTGGACACGTTTAGTGGCCATAACGATCGTTTCAAAATTTTGTTGTTATTGTTATTTTCTTTCGTCATTATCATTAAAAAATCGCTTTTCTCTTCGAATACTGGACCAATTGCTTTGGAATTTTCAGTGGTTCAAGATTGATTTTTTTGCCAGAAGGCTATTACTTTCATTTATTCCTGAATTTTCTATGAATCTTATGAGATCTAATATTTCATCCAAAATTGCGCTGTATTTATTTTCAATTATGGGAACACGGTTTTAATCCGCCAAGCGTGACGGCTGACTGTGGAAATTCTTGCGACTGAAAACCCGGAACTTTTTGAGGGTACGGTACCGGTAACGTCAAAGGTAAACCCTGCTTCGCTCTAGTCCACGTGTCCATATATTTGAGCGTTGCTCTCTTGTTTCTAGAAAGCAATCGTGAGTCAGCTGACAATCGACAATCTTCTGGGGAATTCCTAATAACACCCGCTTCCAGATGAAGTCAAGCCCCTGCACCACAAATCAAATACTTCTTTAGTCGAGTCGCAAATTAGAAATTGCTCAAACACATTTTTGAATACAACGTATATATGTACATTTTGTTGAATTTCAAAATTTGCCTGCTGCTATATTGAGTACGTCTAAATTTGCAATTTTATTTTTAAATATTACTCAAAAATTAGAATATTTTAGCGCAGTGGTACACAAAGAAATATGAGTGATTTTTTCAAACTGAAACCGGGCAGAGATGAGGAAAAAGAGTTGACCTTCTGCCTTTATTATTAGGTCCGCATGTTTACCAACTTAAAAAAGACATAAAGTACATAAAAGGATCACGAAACTAATTTTTATTTGAAAGCAGCATTTTTTTCGTGTAAGTGCGCCGTGCGTTTTTTCCCTGGTAATATGGCGCCGCACGAACAAAAAGTTTGGGAAATGCTATTCTAACGTATTAGATGAAGATGATTGAATTTAAATTTTATTTACCTTCGAATTGCTGCAGCCCGAATACCAACTGATGCCAGATTAGCCGAGTATTTTTGACAGTTTTCTTTAGCAGTTGCATAGTTGACATTATCGAGAAACAATTTATAATGCAAGTTATTACTCGCTTTGAACCAAGTCCTGAATTTCACGTTTTGTTTCAGTTGCATTATGAATTCTGAAAACGGTAAAAGCAAGGGTTTCATTTCTACACCTGGGAAAGTTGTTTTCTTTTCTGAAGTTACGTTTTTACCAATCTTGGGTAGAAATTCTGAAACCTCTTACTATAAAACAGCCGTGAGTCAACGGACAATCGGACTTTCGAGCAGGGCTGTGCATTTTCGAATTTTCAGAATTGAATAAAATATTTTTTTCCGAATCGAATCGTATCTGAAATACTTGGAAGACATTTGAGTTAAATTAATCGAGTCAATCACTGAAATAAGTCTCACTGGTCTCGACGCTTTTGCTAACGTACGATATGTAAAAAGTTCCTATTTTGAAAAGACTTGAATATATAGTTCTGGTTCGGCATTTTCTACCCAATTTAGTACATCGTGGATGAGGAGAAGGGACTTGGACTCAAGATATGCACGTTTTACGTAACGTGGAAAACGTAACGTTATAAACGTTAGGCCATTGCGTTCAACTAAATGCTATAAGTTGAATCAAAGCTGATTATTAATTACCTTCGGTATCAGAAGTTTCGCAAGATCCCTCAGATATCAAACGACCGTTCTTCAATTTTCGGATACATAACCCATCTGTGTGATTGACATTAAATGATAAAAAGGTTAAAGACGAAACTGTTTATGAAGTCTAAATGTTTGGGGAGTAGTCCAGTTCTAATATATATATATATATACTATTAGAACTAAAGCATGTATTATGATTGTTTATATATAATCGGACAGGAACTGAACCCATGCACCGTTTGCAAAAACATTTGTGTTTGTGTCCTTAATTGCGGATTACATTCGGATCCTTAATTGCGTAGAATAGTCATGTTAATTCTTACTACAGCATCCTTGCATTATACGCATGCGGATCCACTAGCCCGGGGGTGGCCAACTCGCGAGCCGCATGCGGCTCTTTTCGTCTCGTTTATTCTAAGGAAAAATATCTTGCTAACTACTATTCTTCACGTTTCAATCCAACATATTATGATGACTCGTTGCGCGTTGCGCGTATGTCGAAAACACAAGAGCGCCTTCGTTCTCTTAACTGTACAATCGTCCATTATAACGACACAATGTCACAATTGCATTTATTGGTGTGAGAAGCGTTTATTGCAACGCCTGTCGTAACTCGTAATCGTATTAATTAAAAAAAGTCCGGCGGCAAGCGCGCAGTTTACTAACTAAGGGAAGTAATTGAAATGCAGGTAAAACGTTTCGTTCTTCTAACTTACAAAGGCATATCTGCTGTTCATGTGTGTTATTATTTATAATGTGGCTCTTGGCTGTAATATGATACAAAATGTAGCTCTCGATCTCTGACTGGTTGGCCAGCCCTGCACTAGCCGCTAGCGCAAGGGCATTGAGGAAGGATTGAGACTTAGTCACACATAACCTCATCTCATAACTCCTGTTGTTGTTGTGAAAAAATCTCCTTCGCAACTAATCAACCAAAAGGTTTCGAATATTTATTACTTGGGGCTGCTAGAACGAAATTTTTTTTTTTTCAATTTACGCTAAAGTTTTGCTGGTTTTTATAATTCATTGACACACGTTAATATGGCATTCGCCATTCAGTACAATTTTTCTATCACCAACACTTATTGACATAACAATGGCCATCTTTCATTTGACCTTCTGTTTCATATTTGAACATTTCTCATTATTTTGATAATGGGATCATAACGTCATATTCATATTGCATTCGTTGTTATCATTTACTGTCATTACGGTGGCCGTATCTGTTATCTGACCTTATGTTTCATATTCCGAGCGTTGCTCAATATTTAGATAATCGGGATTCTACCCTCACTCCCACACCCTCTGCGTAAGCGTGCTCGGTATTCGACGTTTGACCTGTACAACCATTGTTTTCGTAATAATCATCACAGAATATATGTGCCTACCGGTCGCCCACGATCGTTCAGGTATCCGTTTGTTTCGCTCCTGACAAGGCCTTGTACAGTAGGAGCCACTGATATTTAACGACATGTAAGTAACTGCTAAGTTTGAAAACCACGTACTGAAGAGAACGACTTCTGGGTAAATGAAACGCATGAGATTTGAACCCGAGGTTTATAACATGTGATGTCAACATGATTGAGTCCTGTGCTCCAACCCAAAACATAATTATCACTCTCGGTATGTAAATTGAATAGAATACTGATCACGTTTTGCTCCGTGGCAAAATTTACTTATCAAAGTTAGTTAGACTTCTGATTTTTTTTAAAAAACTCCGGAATCTTTTTGTAATAGAGTGGGCTACGGTAACCTATCTGGTTAATCCGTTGGACTTCAACGTATGACATCGTATGTTGAAATCACGAGTTAAAATTCCGTGCCCACCCTGGTGTTATAAATTGGTTAAGCAATCCCGGCTGGGAAGATTAAGTTATGGTTTACCTATAGGCTTATCCATACGTCCTGGTTTAGACGGGACAATGGATGTTAATGGGGGGAGTCTATTTATCGCTGGTTTGCGACTCACTTTCCTACTTCAGTAAGTGAGAGAGAACTACTATATGTCATAATTATTATATGTTCAATATTCTAATTCATTATCTAATCTTAGTCGTACTGTCATTAAATTATCCAAAATGCCGAACAAAAATTGCACGTTTTTCAATGATTTGATTATCATTACTATTCATAAGAGTTGATATTACTGTCCAATCCGCACTGTCCCGGTTTTCAGTTTCATATATATGGTAAACCTATCTTTACCCAACAGTGACTACCTGTGCAAAGCTTTTTCGGAGTTAGTTAAAGACGTACAAGTACGACTGTCAAGAAAATTGATATTCATTTCACAAAAAATGCAGGTGATTGAATCATTCAACTTACCTTGTTTTGTTAAACAGGCCAAAAGCAAAATGCCAACAACAATTAGATAAATTTTCATTATGGTATATACTGCTTTAAATATTGAATCTTGCTAAATTGTATTCTGCAAAATAGACCACCCTTATTTTTACTAATGAAAAAAAAAATTGAAATTATATTACACGCTATCGGGTCCTTAGCTATTTTATAATACAGTTTCGATTCAATACTCCATACAACCTCGATAAAAAATATAACCAATAAATTTCTAGGATATAAATCATTGTAAAATGCTATAGTGTCATTGATGAAGCATCGCGCTCGCGCTATTTCCCCACCTCGGCTCAAAAGGCCAATTTAATTTCCTTGTACAATAATAATAAAGCGTCATATGGGGGTCATTAAATAAAAATATGCCCTCAACGTTCATTGCCCTAGGAAGATGAAACCTGCGATAAATGAGCAATACAGATTTAAATCTGTTCGTCATTACGAAATACAAATCTCTACCGATCTTCTAACGAACATTCACTTCTAAGTTGCAGCAGCGGACATTTTTCAGTGATGTTTCGATCCCACACGGATTTATCTTTGTCGCTCATGATGTTGTTCTAAGATTTTTTAGCATGTTACATGAGTCCTACTTTTATTATAGACAAGCGGTTCCCAAATTTTTTGTTCGTGCGGCGCCAAATTTTCAGGGAAAATCTCACGGCACACTTACTCGAAAAAAATGCTGCTTTCAAAGAAAACTCATTTCTGTGCTCGCTAATGTGTACTTTATGCTATTTAAAATTTGTGAACATGTATGACTATCGAAAAATTGCAAAAGGTCAACTCTTCTTTTTCATCTCTGCCTGATTTTCTTTTGTTAGGCTAAACACTCATGTTCGCTAAACTCGGTTCAGCTGATAAATAAACAGCACGGAGTGAGGTTCACGTAGCCCTTAGCATATTATGATTTTCGCCACCATTCTAGTTTGCGAGACTCAGAAGATAAACTGGTAAACATGTTTCAGCTATTACTAACTATAGCAAAAACGAGTCATGTCCGAAAATATGACTTCAATGAGGAAAATTGAAGAATTCACCTCGACCTTTGGCAGACAGAAAAAAAGATGGCGGCGATTCCAAATTTATGTCTGAACAAATTCGACTAATTTGCTATTCGATTCGACATGGCCAGTTCTAGTGGTAATCGAGCAAGGGGCTTTTGTCCACAATCTGAGTCTTTGAACGAGTGGAAAACAAAAATTAAAAGTAATATTGAAGACGCCTGCCGTTTTTTGCCAACGAATGAATATTCGAAGATAGAGCCGTAATCGTATCAAGGAAAATGACGTGGAAGCTTCTTGTTCATTGCCCAAAATGTATATTGGAATTAGTGCTAGGCATTTTTGAAAACCTGATGATTTCAGAATCGAATATTTTTTCGAAATGGATCTCGAAGATTTTCAACTGTATGTGACATGTTTCATCAATATCTCACAAGAAAGAAAAGAGTCATATTTCGAAATTACGTTGTAAAAAGATGGCTTCAATAAAAAAATCAAGGAATTAACCTCAACCATTTATCTCTGATTCGAAACTCCCGCCTGAACCGGTTCGATAATTTTCGATTCGATATGCTCAGCCCAAATTGGAATGTGCTTCAGTCAATATCCATTTTTTAATAAGTCGATTTCACGGGATTTAAATGTCAAGAACTTCAGGATCATATCAAATATTCTCCGATAAAAATGACTGAACTTATCTTTATATACAATTATATATAAAATTGAGCTTCTAAGTAACGCAGAAGCATTTCATTGTATGAAAACTGACACATGAGAGTTCAAAATTTTCCTTTCACTACCCTCGTATCAAACATGGCGGATATTCGGTTCCTACCCAGCCAATATGACTCAACAAAACACACGAATGGTAGGGTATAATGATTTCCGTGTCCTATGATTGAGTAAGTCTCCATTTAGCATGATCTGAATATGAACCGTATATAAAGGATCTAAAGAAATTCTTAATCTATACTTCCGTTATGTATACACTCATTGGATATATATTCATACCGTCCGTGACATAGTTCGCAAGAGGTGTAGTTTTCCATTAGTCTAGGATTGAGACCCCACATCAGATTGGCATGTTTTAATTGTGTTACGTTCAACCAGCATAAGAATTGAACTACAGCTCAATTAATGTGTGTAGTAGGTAGGCCTATAGTTGTTTTATGATAGTAAATCCTTGCATACTGCGACTTGAGGTGGAATTCTGGATCGAGATTAGTGCCATAAATGGGAAATATGACGTACCCGACGTAGAGATTATTTAATTACGTTGAATCCAAAACAATCGAGTAAAGAATGAAATAATTTGCAATGTAAAAAGCCTTGTTTATTCTCGTATGCCAGGTTTTTTAACAGAGACTCGGCCTACTTAGGGGGCTATGAGCGTTTCTCTAGAGGCCACAAACGCCTTCACTATGTACGATAGGCGGTGACTATACTGATTTAAAGTAAATTGGCAGTGATCTGTCTCCATTTTTGACTTTATTTCTTTGCTCTATTGCTTTTAGTAGTATTGTTTAGTAGTATGAAAAACGACTGATAGAAGCGTGTTATTAGCAAATCTGGGTGTTTTAATGAAGCACAAGGGCTGACAGTCTTTTGAAGAGTATCGCGCGCGAATCAGGGAAGTTCGAGAATCACTCGTCTAATATGATTTACCATCGAAACTGGTAAGAAGTTGTTTCTTCAACATGAAGGCTGGGATCAAAATGTTTCTTCTGATTTTACTTTTACAAACTACAAACAGCCGTGTCAATGGTATGAATTCGATCTGGTAAACTTTAATTTTCTTGTACCTTGAAGTATCGGTAACCGTTTTCCTAGTTATAAAATGGTTATATCAGTGGCATTCAATCAGAGTTCCACCAGTACAGTCCAGGGTTAGGCTTTTTTTTTCAGTTCCGATAGTCTGTATAATGAAATGAATATTGTTTAAATATAAATACACTGGTATATTATATGTGTTTTACAAGTGTTCTGTGAATGGTACAAGGGTTCCTCACGCCTGTGGAATCTTCATTGGTGTTCCGTTCCAATAAAAAAGTTGAAATCCATTTAGTTATATAATAGTGGCCACAGTTTGAACATTTGTATTTGTTTTTTTCGATACCTTCATTGTATTGGAATTTTACAGACCAAAAATAGCGGAAATACCAATGCGTCACATACAAAGCGCAATACAGTGACAGCTTATAAAATGCCAATCTTAACGGGGGCGACATCCGCTATTGCGTTTCATAGATCACAAAGTTGACCTGACATTCAACTTTATTAATATGTAGCAACTTACAGAGACTCGTTTTTGTGTATTATTTTCCACCCACCATGCCATACACTCATTAGCGGTTCCTGCTTTTTATAAAACTTTAATGTATACTTCTCATTTACCGCTTTTAACAATACTATAATTTCCATGCTTTTTTTTCAAATGTTGTAGTAAAATAAACCTTAATTTGAAAATGAGTATGTAGTTGAAAAATACAAGCGTTGAAATTTGAAAATAAATGCTAAGGAGGCCCTTAGGTGGACTTCTCACCTCTTTCGATAGAACAATGTCTATTCACACTTTTGTCAACAATTACCATGTGTAGCTCATGATAGAAGCGTTCATTGTTATTGTATTTTAATTGCAGGAATCAATTTTTATGGTCAGAATTTATTTAGACACTGGAAATTCCGATTTAATATCACAATATTTTTATAATTAGCTTGTGAACATCGGTAACTCGTATTATATTTTATCATTCAGGAAACTCGAACGAACCCTCCTGTACTGAGGACAGAGGCAAGAAGACTTTTCAAATAAACTTTTCCTCGGTGAGCGTAGCATTATGCAATATACTTTCATACTAGGTCTTTTATGCAATGATACAGTAGTAAAAAATACGGCAACAATATATCAATACTGATACAATAACTAGAAAATAATAAAAGACCCAAGTACATAACGAACACAGCAGGAAGGAGACTAACGTTAGCACCTCCTTCGGCTTCATGTCGATTGTTTACATTCGCGCGTCGAAAGCGATTGAGCGTAAAGATCACGTGACCAACAAGAAACCACTCGGGGCGCAATTGTACAAAATTTGCGATGAAACTGGAAGCCTATAAGAAATGTTAAAAATATAAAAATAATAACCATTTAGCCTAACCCTAACTACAGAAAATTAGTAACCGATAGGCTTGGTTGGCACTTAATAGGAGAAGCAATTTTTCGCCTGTGTGAACTCCAAGAATTTTCCTGAACTTATATTTCGATCGTATTGTTTCATCGTTATCGTTAAGACAAAGTCAAGCAAAATCTAATTAACGATATTAGCCCACGAAAAGATGTAATCGAAATGGTATTTCCCAAACAATATTATAGGTTTAGATTAAAAAAACTTAGATTGTAATTGTATCACAAATTTATTATATTCTAACACTTTGATTTTCTTTCTTCTCAGGTTGCTGATCTGGAAAGTAAGTGTAAAACATATTATTTTGGGAACGAAAATGAAAATCGGTCTTCTACAGAGTGGGGCAAATAAACCTCCGCATTCTATTTAATTAGAAACTGCCTTTTTAATCACCTTAACTTATTTAATAAATCTGGGATGATAATACAACGCTACCTCCAAAGAAAGTATTGGTTCGCTTCAGCGTAGACGTGAAACAGATACAGGAAGTTTGACTTAACAAGTTTAAACAGGCTATGCGGTAGGCTAACAAATTGGCGCTCCGGCAGTATGTGTACCAAGATGACGCAAAATCTGAACCCTAACCTGGTACACATACTATGTTCAGGTTGTGCGCCATCTTGGTACACATACTTCGGGAGCACCAACAAACCCTATATTTTTTATCGTTAATATTTAAAAGCTTGACATGTTTGAAACTTCACAATAACGCAGATTAATATTCATTAGGTATCATTGATATTAATTTGTTTTGAGCATTCTTCTGAAATCAAATTACAAAAACAATTCAAATAATTCAAAATGAGATAAAAGAATATAGGCTACAACTTCCAAAGTGCTATGTTAATTTACTCAGAAAAGTTGGTGATGCCTGAATTCCGTAAGTTTCTAGCCAGGTAATACTACTAATGCAGTTTTCATCGAATGTCGATAAAGTAATCCAACGAATAAATACTTTAAAACCATTTTAAAAATATAAATTTTGTCCAGAAAAATTAAGAAACGATCCTGACCTACAACGTTACTTGGAAGAGAAACTATCGACAAATGCAGAAGAATATGAAATTACAACAGGTTATTATTATATTTGTCTTCACTTATTTTTGCTCAAATATTTAGTACTTTCTCTCATGAACCTGGGATTTCGATTTTGTTTTTCACATAAGGAAATTTGCTCAATGCAAGGTCCATAGCACTCACTCAGAAGTGTCATTAGTTAGTGAGGCAATAATGAAATATAATGTAGAATTGGAATTGACGCGAGACATGAAGAATAGGATTGTCCTGTTTATCTTTGAGGAGAGGAAAGTCGATTAGTTGGCTTAATCAAAGGCCGTACCACGGTCTCTCGCCCTGTCCATGTCGGGTATGAGATTGGTTAGGCAGTTATTTGTTTTCAGATATTTCGACTCGATGTTCGGTTGCATCATTTCAGGTGATATGTTGTATGACACAGTCATAGTAAAAAGCCATTTTTAACTACTCGATTATTCATCAAAATAGTAACTTTCCTGTTTAAAAACTACAATACGAGTTAAGGCCTACTTTTCAAACAATGAGCTCTTCAGCTCAAACAATACACACACATATATATATATATATATGCCTACTAGTCTTGCTTTATGATTGGCGAATGATTTATTATATTTTACAGTTCTTCAATCTATCGATCCTCAATTAAGTGAGACAACGGCTACTTCTCCACAGATGGGGACCACTCATGCTGAAATGACAACAGAAAAATCAACTACTGGTATAATATATATGTTTACTGTCTATGTTTAGATGCTGGAAGCCTATCGAGAACTTGAATTTTGTGTACGTTATATGTCGGTGCATTTTTCTCGTTTGAAAAAGAAGAGCCCCCGTCGCTAAATTAATCAAAATGTCTGGGGAAGTTTTTCTAGAATCTGACATTTTTGGCAAATCTGCTTTTTCGTGTCAGGAATTTATTAATTCAAATCAATATCCCTCTCTGCTTACAGCTTTTTTTCATTCAATATAGTACGATTATTCGCGATACTCGTCTAACCATTAAAAATAAGACTTCGTATCAAATGAAGAATTCGTATCATTTTGAATCTATTTTCCATATATATGTGCAGACGACCTTAAGACATGGAATAAATCAAGCAGCAATTATTATTACAAACTATTTCGCGACCCAGTCAACTACACAACTGCTAAAGCAAATTGTCAAAAGTTAGGAGCCGATCTTGCATCAGTGGGAGTGAGGAATGCTGCCGTCCGCAGGTTAGGTGCTATTTGTTGCTAACATCAAGTAGACACATTACTTATATTTTAAATACATTCGGATCCCAAATAATCAGGTCAGTGGAGTTGGAATTTAGAATTTGGCATGTTTTCTGCAGCCGGATTTAGAATTCCTGTATCCGGGGTCAAAGTTGGGGTCGAAATTTTAGAATTCTAATGGTAATAAAATCAGTTGAAATTTTTTGCAGAAATATAGAAAAGCATTGATTTTTCCAAGCGTTTTAAACAGTCTATTGAAATAAAAATAATTTTGTGGCCCCTGAAGCCGACAACCTTAGACCACCCTGGTTTAATTTAGGTGTTCATGGATAAGTATTATGGTGATAATAAAAACGGAAGAGTATCAATTATACTACGGCTAATATAAAGGTAGGAAATTCCTCCTCGTTTCAGAAATGTTGATTTGGGTCTTTAATTGTTTGATTACCTAACCTAAATTATATATATTTTATTGCAGCAAAATACTTCAAATGGTAAAGTCGGGGGAAAAAGATACTTGGGTTGCTCTGGATGACATCAATGAAGAAGGAAGATTTGTGTGGGCTGATGGCGTTATTTCAATAGAAGAGAATACATATTGGAATGATGGACAACCAGACGACTATGAAGACAACGAAGATTGTAGCGAATTCAGTGGTTATCAAAGTTGGAAGTTAAATGACGCTCGATGCTCAGACCACCAATATTACATTTGCGAAAAAAGACCGTTTTTTTGGGATCAGTGAATGAGATTCATATAAAGCAGGGGTGGGCAACCTTTTTCAGCTCGCGTGCCAAAATCGACTAAATTTAAAGAAAAAATTTATCCGCGTGCCGACCAAAATTGAAAACAATGCTTAGCTACTTTCAAAGCAAAAATACACAATAATAAACCTCTTAAAAATGTACAGACAGATTCAATATCCGGGAAAATATCAGTTCAACAAATAGATTTTATTAATTTTCTTATTCTACATCAGTGAGACTTCTGCTGCTGCATTACCGCTGGTAGAGATTTTACATTGAGTATATTTTGTAACTTTCAAAGAAATACACTAACTACTGATTTCATCTTCCAGGTTACTCCTGTTACGAGACTCAATAAAGTCCATAACTGAGAACAGAGATTCACAAGCATATGTAGATGAAAACATGAAGAGTAATGCAGTTGCAAAGTTTTTGAGACACTAAAAATTCTCGGGAATGGAATCCCAATCAACCAATAGTTCGTTTTTTGCACTTCTCCCTCGTATACCCTTCCCTAATCGCTTACATTTCTTTTGAAATTTGGCACGCGTGCCAGGGGTTGCCCACCCCTGCTATAGAGTGAGGTCCAACACATAATAGCGTGGATATACCATATAGCGTGAGGTCTACCGTTGCATGTCTCATCCCTGGTGGATATCATTTATTTCTGTTCATTTTAAATAGCCACACACACGCCCAATCATGTACACTCACTCAGACAGCACCAGGATAGAGGCCGCACGCACAGGTAATACCTTATATTCTTTCAATATATAGAAAGACTATTGCATTACTGCGCATATGGCTGAGAAGTAGCTGTAATTATGTCATCGGCTTACAAATCTTTTGCACCACGCAGGCTCGAATGTGCATTGATTTGACCACAACGCATTTATTTGATTCAAATTGACAAAATGTTGAATCAAAAAATAAACGGGAGAAATGTAAAACATAAGTCTATATTTCTAACCTGCAATACAGAAAAAATAAATATATTCAAAATTTAAAAAAAAAAGTGACAAGTTTTTTTCATTTCACATTTTTTTTTAATTTTATATATATTTGTTCTGTACTGCAGGTTAGAAATATAGACTTATGTTTTACAGTTCTCTCGTTTATTTTTTGATTCAACATTTTGTCAATTTAAATCAATACATTTACCCGCAATGCGCGATGCGATAGAAATCGACATCTGTGATAAATATTTATTTCGATAATGAAAGTCGATTACTTCGTTAAATATAATATTAATATTTTGTCGAAGTATTACGTTATTTCAAAAAGGAAAATGGAGGCAAACTTCAAAGATCCAACGCAAACAAAGGAACTCATTTCTTAATTTTCAACATTTTTCACTTTCCACGGCCATAAAATAAATAATAAAATGATAAATAAACATAATAATAAAGAATAAATAAATGATAAATAAATAATGTCTCGAAACTTCATAATCAAGCCTCGTCCAAAGACGTACCTCCCACATCTGGTTCGAAACGTCCGTAGTCCAAAACGTCCGTATGTCATGTCATCACCATTTGAAAACAAGAGTAATAAGCTTAATTCATTTAGTAAAAACTACGACTGAAAATCCGTTTATTGCCCGTTTATGTAATATGACATAAGTGTGAGAGTGTTACTCATTCTCGCCATTTTAAAATCACTTTTAGAAATGTATTTTTAGAAAAAAAAATGTGTAAAGAAAATATATATGTAAATATGTATTTTCAAAGTTCGGTGTAATGTCTTATATTAGGATAGCATTTTCGAATTTACCCGGGGAAAGGATAAGACGGCTTAATCATATGGCGTTACAAATAGTATTAACATTTTATTTCTAACAGCAATACTGCTTTATGTAGATCAGCTTATATTTCATATAATATATAAGCTTCAAACTGACATTTGTTCCTTCAGATTAAACGCCATTATTCACGTAAAATCACAGATCGGGCAATATTCGAAAACATTAGCACGGAAAGGCTCGAATGTTCAAATATTAAAATTTATCAAATTTAAGTTCAAGATCACCTTGATATCATTAGTAACTTTCCATTCAACATGATTTTCAACAAAGCATAGCAAGCTTTAAATCAAACCGTATCACAATGCTGGTTTAAGACTCCTGACAGTGGCGGTTCAATCAAATTAGGAAAATCTGACACATTTATTTGTTGAAAGTTTTATCTTTAAAAGTGTTTTATTCAATATTCACAATATTTGATCCCATTTTTCTTCATCTCTGTTGAACTTTATCACATTTTTGTACTTGTGTATTTATTTGTTCTGTACTGCAAGTTAGAAATAGAGAATTATGTTTTCCATTACTTTCGTTTATTTTTTCATTCAACATTTTGTCAATTTAAATCAAATTAATGTGTATATATAAAACAAACTATAAGTTATGCATTACTACTTTATAGTCTGCATTCCAAAGTATATTATTTGTTTTCTAAATCAACAAACATTACTGAAATATCGAAACCAAAATCGTTTTGGTAATAAGAGAGAAGCACGCTGAAAATCAATCAATCAACGAATTCGAACGAGCAAACGAACACAGCAAAAGAAAAACAAAATTAAACTTATGCCTTCGCCTGAATGGGCAACCGCGCTGGACCAGGTCAACCGCGCTGGACCATTTGGTCTACTGGTCAGTAGGAGTGGGCATTTTCAAATACCTGATAATTTTAGTTTCCAATGTTTCCTTCTGAATCGATTCGAATTACCGGTCAAGTAAAAGGGAATGTTTGAATTATTGTTAATTAAATCATCAAACTAAGCAACAAATTGATCCCTACAACGTGCTGCTCGGCGCCGCTACACCTATAACCCTCCCCTTAGCACGCTTCAGCACCTGCAGTTTGAACGTTCAAGAAACGGAATAAAGACTTCTTTCTATTGAAAGTGAAAAAATGATTATCATAACATAAAGTGATTAAATATTTTACAACAGTAAGCGCAGCGATGGCTTCAAACCAAATAAGGCAAAATAAAAAACGAGAATATCGGTCAGAGACCGAGGACTTATCGATCGAAAGTTAGGGGATCCTCCAAAACAGCGCTTTTACTCCATAGTGACACCCTGTGTCCCATCACTAATTAATTAATAACTCGCTAATGATACGACATAATTCATCCAAAATCAATAGGCTTCTGGTCCGACATATGATGAATGCACATGTAAAATCTGGAGCAGATTCAATCTCGTTTTCGTGAGATATCCCGTGCATCTAACAGACAGACAAGCAGACCGACAAACAGACAGACAAACAGGCAGACAAACAGACAGACAAACAGACAGACAAACAGACAGACAAACAGACAGACAAACAGACAGACAAACAGACAGACAAACAGACAGACAAACAGACAGACAAACAGACAGACAAACAGACAGACAAACAGACAGACAAACAGACAGACAAACAGACAGACAAACAGACAGACAAACAGACAGACAAACAGACAGACAAACAGACAGACAAACAGACAGACAAACAGACAGACAAACAGACAGACAAACAGACAGACAAACAGACAGACAAACAGACAGACAAACAGACAGACAAACAGACAGACAAACAGACAGACCAACAGACAGACAGACAAACAGACAGACAAACAGACAGACAAACAGACAGACAGACAGACAGACAAACAGACAGACAAACAGACAGACAAACAGACAGACAAACAAATAGACAGACAAATACCTATCAGGAGGCAACTATTCTTTGTAATTTTGTCCATTTTTTTTCAAAATTCCGTATTCGTCTTGATGCCCTCGATTGTTTAAATATTTCCTTATTCCTAAAGTTCTGTGTCAAATCTTGTTCAATGTATTCATAGTATACCAGGCTTCTTTCCTCGTGATTTTCCGAAAGATCTACCCACTAATACAACTAGGCCTATTGTGTCTTAATAATAAAAAAATAAACACTCTCACATTTTACTGACTCAAACTTCAACCTTTATTTATAGATGTTCTGGGACAACTGAGAAAAAGTGTCAAAGCAAAAAGTGAACTATTTATCACTTTTTGAGACTGTTTTCAATATATTTTCCAAGAAATCGAATCATGATTATGAGTTAAAGTTATTATCACAAACATCTATATCTACATATCATAGTTCTTTATTCGTCTCTATGCATTTGCGCAAGTGAATCCGTATGTTCTTGAGCCAGAAGTTATTTTCAACTTTATGTATTTGTAAGATTTTTGTGAGATAAGCATTATAGTGAGTGCGGCTACCTAGTGTTCAAAGCGTTGGACTAAACCACGGATGTGCACCCAGGGCCCACAAGGAAAAATTGTGCGACCCGCGGAGAAATGCCGAATCTAAATGGTGTGCGTCCTGCGAAACGAATTTTTAATTTAATTCAATCGGGTGTGAGTAATTTCAATATTTTTGCGTTGTAAAATCTATGACCGAGTCCAATTTATTATCTATGCATATGGCAATTACTAGGAAAATTACTAGGTACTAGAAAAATCGATCCCCACTTTTCTCTAGAATTGTAGTATATATTTGAAGAAATCCTGCTACCGTACCAACTGGCAAAAGTCGGAGGTTAGATTATTATGCTAAATTCAACTTTTTTTTTGAGGGTTACACAAAAAATTCTACTCTTCCTTGCATATGCGTCAATGGTTCTGTCTGCGTATGATACAAGAATAATATTCCCAAATTAAACAAATAGAACTGAGTGAATTTGTTAATATTTTTGTTGCAGCGAAATAATGCCATTGATCAAAGCTGGCCAACTATCACGCATGGATTGGTTTAAGAAAATTTGAAGGTATATTCATCTGGGCTGATGGCGTAGATTTAACTGAAAGTAACACTGATTGGTATGCAGAACAGCCAGATAAATGGAAAGGTGACGAAATTGTGTACAATTTTATCCTGTGGATACATGCAAGTTAAATGATGTACGTTGCACCATGGACATGAAATATATATGCGAGGCACGTGCTTAAAAATATTCGATTCTATTG